CAACTCAACCCCTTCCTTTCGTGGATGCGCTCCAACGGATTTAAGATCCAAGGCGTGGGGGACACGGCTACGTATAGCTATAAGCTGAGTTCGCTTCGCCGTGACCAGATCCTCGTTACGCAGGATTGGGAAGTGAACAGCCAATCGAGCCGGGCGCAGATCATCTTGGAGGGGACATGGCCTGAAAATACCAGTCAGCAATCACCTGATGAACTCAGTAGATCATGAAACCGACTATTTTGACCCTTCTGATTCCTTATTGATTCCCTTTCCCCTTATTTTCCATTTCCTTTTCAGATGCAACATGCTAAAGTGATTCCTACTGACATCTAATGATCTGTCTTTGTCCTCTTTCCTATTCAAAACATGGGCTGTCATAGATACGTATTGGTTTTGGCTATGTAAACAAGCCGAGACTCTCAGCCTCGAGGTACAGTTGCGTTGATGATGCGGTTCGTCTGACCTACGTGTAGCCGAGGCGACTGACACACGCAAAGGGGTCCTGGCGCCACGCAATTTGGGCTGTTTCCACCATTATTCGCTTGGTCTCATCGTTGTTCTTCATACAATCAGATTAGGCCGAAGCCTATAGACCTTTGCCTTGAGAAGCGGCCAAAGATTCTCAATTGGATTAAGCTCGGGCGAATGAGGTGGGCAGACCATCACTTCGATCTGCATATCCTCAAGGGCTCCGCGTACAACAATAGCGGTATACGTTGGTGTATTATCATGCATAAAAATCCCATCTTCAGCTGATAGATTGGTCGGGAGTAGTCGACGAAAGACTCCTCAATAACAAATCGATTCACACCACCACGCTCGGAGTTAGGATCGCCGAATAGGGTGATTAGACCTGTAGGGCGATCCGCAGAAAAGCAGGCCAAAATATCTGCTTAACCTGCTTAACCTGCTTGTCGCGATGCGGTAATCCCTGACATTGACCGTAGCTACGCTATGCTATTTTTAATACTGAAAAACGCTGTAAATTACTATTAAAAGCTAACTAAACCAACGTCTCGTTGTTGATAGTGCGATCTAAGACATCGTATTTGGTATGATATTTTAGGGTTTCCAGGACGGCTTGGTGTCCACGTCGGCTGGGAATTAATTAAATTAACGTACGGACTAACTAGACACGGCCCCGATGCTATTGAGCACTCTTGTGGAGATCACTTTGCAAGATGAAACGTCTGTCCGAAACAGCGGGTGAAAGTATTTTTGCGGTGGAACACGCCCAGCCTGATACAACTAATGAGAACGGCGGCCGCTAAGGAAATTGCCCACCATACCGTGCTGGAAGCCACAGAAAGGTGGTAAATCAAGCATTACTCCTGCCCCCACTTTATACAGCCTCTTAACGGGTAGCTAGATTCTTCCCGCAGTCTCACAGCCAACCCCCACCCTCATATAGTTTACTAACTTTTAATTGGTCGCTAGCTCGCTGACCAATGTACGGAGTAGAGGCTCCAAAAATGGCCGAATATCTTGAATGTAACGACGGAGTAGCTGATAAACGGCCCCCATTTGTGGCGTCAGGGATGCTGAATCCATCGCAATAAAAGGGTTTTATGCTGGCGAAAGCTTGTAAGAATCCTTATTCGCATAATATCACGTGTCAAAAATATTTGTCATTCGGTGTTTATCGGAGGTAACTATAAGAGACGGGACTATTAAACTGGCATGCCTCACGCTAACTTCCTCGCTAATACCCCTCCGCCAAACTCCTACAAAGCCACATTCAGGTCAAGTCCCATATGGAATCAACAGTTAATTCTCTCGTGCTGGAGCCGGCAACCCCGGAAGACGTCCCTGCGATCACAGAACTATGGTTCGCTGCGTTCACACAGCCAGTGATTGGGCATCTATTTCCCAACACACCCGGTATGCACAAATGGCACCAGGACTGGCACCTTAGCGACTTTCAGACCAAGCCGTACCAAAAGTACCTGCGCGTGGTTGACACCAACTCGAAGGATGAGCAATGCCGGCCGCGGCTAGTTGCCTTTGGCAAATGGGACCTGTCCATGCCCGAAGAGCGAGGTCGTCGCTTTCCGCCATGGCATGCGGACTCGCCTTATCAGGAATGTGAGGACTTGATTACAACGCTGGAGAAGGAAAGGAAGCGCGTTATGGGCGACGAGAAGCATTACTGTATGGATGATATATCTCACAATTAACATAGGAAAGAATTATCACTGACTTGGAAACAAAGACCTGGATACCCTCGGCACTCATCCCGATTATCAACGGCGCGGGGCTGGTTCTATGATTGTCAAATGGGGCTGCGATTTGGCTGATAAGGACGGCGTTGCAGCTTATGTGGATGCTAGCAAGGAAGGCGCACCGCTATACCAGAAACACGGCTTTTTAGATTTTAGTCCTCCTGGCTCTGAGGTGGCCTCGATGGCTCGCGGCAAGAGAACTGCATAAATTATACTCATTCATTTTACTTCGGGGAAGGGCGGCTCCAAGCGAATATATTGAGTCCGGAAGTGCATTCAATTGTCGGTCCTCAAAAAATTACCTCCATCCCTGTAAAGATAAGATGTTGGGCAGGGAATGCCTGTTGGTTAGTTAACCAGGGAGGGTTGATGATTAATAGAAGGCTACGAAAGATAATTAGCTCGTGTAGGGGCAAACCCTAGCATATCCCTTGTATCCATGGACAGTTGAAACCCAATCCTTTTTTGTCCCATGGGTTAGGATTTGGAGGGGGCTCGTGGCTCAAGCGAGAAGGAGAGGGCCCTAGCTTTCGATGCAGAGAGGAGCTATTTTCGGCTTCGTTTTGGTCGCGAGTGAAAACGGAGGGAACAATCGTTATTATCAAGCGTCAACAGCAGGACCGAGGAGGGGTGCTGGTTGAGTGCAGAATAAGAGGCACGCCAGCTCTCCGTCCAAAGTTACGGGTGGAAAGGCAGCCGTTTCTGGCGCCAGAGGGTGTCATTTCCGGCGTCGATTTTACAGGTTCTCAGATTCTAGTTGTAAAACTCAGAGCTCTTCGTCTCGGAGATACGGTAAATGTGTCTCCGTAATGGTCACTGATTGCTCTCGCTGTTACTTTTTATTGCTGAGTCAGTCCTATGGAAGTTTTCATTGATTCGCATGTTACATCTTTATCGTGAATTATCCCTGTCACAGATCTCTCAAAAAGCAACTCAGAGTGGCTGACCAGTGTGCGGCACGGCCATTAATCTTTCTCAGAACTAGCGGCTTCCTTCGAGGCTGGATCCATCACTACTCCTCGCTACCCAGCAATTGATGGAAAATTCACGATTCGGACGAGCTAATTCCCTTGAATCAGATATTTTCTCGTCTGGTTCTACTTGACATGAAAGTTAGATTAACAACCATGGCAGGTCATGAACATACGTCCATGATATTAGCTGGACCACTAATACCATGTGCATGGAGTAAAAGCTTCTCTCACTGGTAGTTGTACTCCAAATACCGATCGATGTGACCGAAAGAATATATTAGAGGATCAGAATTTCATTAATATCATTGAATCACAATTGATGACAACTTCCACAACAACCCAGTTGCCCAGAAGCTGATCGCCACTGCTAGCACAAAAATGAGACAATTCCCTATCAACGAGCCCAGAAAGCAATAATCTCATCAAATTCTTCCGTTGTCAGGCTATTCATGTCTCGATCATCGGAAGGTAGTGCGGGTAATCTCATTTTTGTGTGCGCTTAGGTCAACAGACCAGATATCGAGGGCCACATTGATCATACCACTGAAAGAAGTCAGGAATAATTTGACCTATCTAGGAGAAGACTTGTACTTATTGATGACTCGACCTCCATCGACCTCGATCGTTTGTTCATGCATGGATTGCTCGCCCTCGTTTGGTTCTGCATGGTTTGCCCTGCAGGTTTGTGATGGCCAGGACCATGCCGCTTGTCCTTTGTTTCTTGTTGGCTTATATAGGCCTTTTTCCTGTTCCCTTTTGCTTCGTCGTCCTCTTGCTCTCTTCTAGATAGACCAATTTGACTTCGTTCCCTGCTTCCTGTGTGCTTGGTGTCTGTGACACCATCGCTTATATTGCACTCTTATATTAACTTAAGCGAATAAGATGCTCGGCAATTTTATGAGCTATATTTACAGTATAAAGGTCTCTCTTACCCACTGTCGCAAGTATATAGTCCTATGCTCGCTGGTGGTATTAAAACTATTATACTATCGGTTTTGTGCTACCCGGAGGTTACTAAGAGCATACAAGATTAATCTAGTCCGGATAGGCTCCTTGTTATTCTTCCTTAGGGCTTTTCCTCGACTAGCCAAGCTATCGAGTAGAAGCATGTCGCACCCTTCTAGCTTGCCTTGCGCAAGAAGAGCCTAGCTTAGGTTGGCTTCGCTGGATCGGGGTCTATATTTTATTAATCAACTATTAAATCTATAGTATAACTATATTAGTAGTGTTACTATATTCTAAGGAACACTATATTTTAAGTTTGTTACGTTTTTTCCATAAACTATAAATTTAGATTATGAAGTAATTTTCTCAAATAAATTTATATTTAAGCGAGTCACGTATTTCGTGAAATTTTGTATTAAGACTATATTTACTACAATACTAGATTAAGATCGTGCGATTCATGCTATAACCGTATTGTCAAACAAAATGGTTTTCTATTGAATTCCAGACCCCCCGACTCCCTGCATGGATAGACTAACAGATCCTAAGATATTTTTAAAGGCTGTGTCTGAGCCTCTTTCGCCCTTAATTTGCAACTTTTCAATACAGTGCTTGTGCCCGAGGCAACACCATTCATACCTATCATTGTGATGGTTCTATATACATATGTGTTTTTCACCTAGGGTTTGGCCTCGAATAAGGAACAATTAAATTTCTCAATGATACAAGGTGTGGTTCGAGGTCCTGTAAAGGTGGCCTACCGTATAGTAATAGTCAGGCAGCTTATAGTCCGCTTTCAAATCTGACTTGGCAGGGCTGGTGCTGCACGAATTGCCATATTAGTACCCGAAGGTTGAAATTAAAGCAACGCTGCCAGCACTTTCCGGCAAACCCGAATCAATGGATGTTTGGTTGAATTTTCCTCTTCCCACTGGGCCTTCTGTCGAGCTCTTGTACTCTCGATTGGCTCGGTTGAAACTCCCGTGACCCGGTCAACTTCAGCTGCTCGTACTCGTTGGGTTTTGTAGAAGATTTTATATCCAAAGAGACACATGAGATATACTAGAATGCCAACATACTGCACAATGAAGTTCTTACAGTCAATTCCATGGATGAAGACTTCAAAGCCCTTTCCGATTGTCAATATACAGAGCAATATCAAGCCTGCCCAAGAGCCCCACTCTCTGAGCGGTTCTCGATAAGGGAACAGTTCAGCTGGAATCTGAGAAACCTTGACCGCACGAGTGAAGCCGATGTGAGTGATCAAGATGGGAATCCAAGTGAGCATACCTATAATTGGGAGATATCATTAGCTCCGAAATCAGTGAATGATATTGGTGAGCCCTTCACCACGTACCAAAGGTAGCCACCATTGTGGTCAGATAGCTGAATACTGCTTTTGCTCCAGAACTAATACTCATATATGCCAAAAGGCAGAACATTGTTGGGAGAACCATGGCAAAGAGAGGAACACCTCGGCCGTTTGTCCGAGTCAACAACTTAGGAGCTTTCCCATCCGACGCGGTGCTGTAGACAGTTCTTGTTGCAATATAATAATCTAATATCATCAGCTTTGAGGTGCAATGCGATTGGACAATGCACACCAGATGTAGCCGCTGAGATCACGAAGATCAAAAGACACGCATTCACCACATGGTCAAGACCTTCGATCTTAGCATGCTTAATAGCCACCACGAATGGCGATGCGGCAGCCCTGGTACCGGACTTAGTAGCAAATGCCAACTCAGGGCTGTTGTATGGGACCACCATGCCCAAGGAAAGCACTGAAAGTACATAGAAGACCAAGATGCGGAAAAAGGTCAACTTGACGGCTCGTGCCATTGCCAGCCGTGGATTCCGAGCCTTGGTCACAGTAACAGCAACTCACTCAGTTCCACCATAAGCATAAACACTTGATACACATAGTCAGTCTTGTTAGAATAAGAACTTCCAACTTTAACTGCATAAAAGTCTTACGCTTGTAACATTGTACTCCACACACCAACGAATTTACCCAGTGAACCCTGGAATTTGTACTCTGCGAACGCACCAGGATCACGCCAGTAACGGAAGCCTGTTCGCCCGAATCTGTCTCCGTTAGTTTCGTTATATAAAACCATCGAAAAGGTCACTCACCCGGGACCCCCGCCAAGTGCCAAAACCATAGAGAATCCGAGAGGGTTTATCGTCACTATCCGTCGGGCAAAAGATGACTGTGACAAGCCTTGGATGGGGTCCACCTGGCTTCATGCACTTTCAGCGACCGCTAGACGGTCTGAAAAGCGTGGAGGGAACGCCTAAGCCACCACCTCCCTAAATCCTTAAGCTCACAGGATGTGAAGGTGAGACAGTGGAGCTTCTTCCGGGCCAAACTCCCCGGAGAAATATAGGTCACCTGGAACCCTTCTGGGACCATATGGCCGCTGGTGAGAGATACGAGCTCCTTTGGCAGGGGTCGGAATATGCCTTGCGGGCCTGGGGCAACTTACGCGAGAATTGGTTCAAGAAATTGGGGCTGTCTCGGGGCTAGTATCTATTGTCATCCCCGGGGGGCTCCAGCTTTTCTTTTACCTGCATAGAGGTGGAAGAACGTTCGGACTCTGACTCTCAGCCCGACGACCCTCGGGTAGAGAAATCGGACCGAATGTGAGAAATTCTCTTATGATATCTTTGTCTGTAGCCTTGGCACCCCTTGCATCAAGTGTGTGTCTGGAAGGCCTATCGACAATTTCCCGAAAGGAAAAGGTTCGTATCACAGTGAAGACACCTATGAGGGTCTGACGAACAGGGATCACGAGGCTAGCTGCGCTGATGCAAAGCCGATCGTTATACACGACTACCCGTTTGCTAGTGATAACTTTCGACTGCGACGCCGCTGCCACGAACAGTGGATGACTTAGTTTGACGACGAACGGAATCCGGGCTGGATGATTGTCGATGAACCGGACATCGAGGTCAACGTCGCGGATTCGGCGTTCTTCCGCAGCCTCAAACCGGGGGAAGCTCTGGTCAAAGTCCGTTCTCTTGGCTACGTCGACCAGCATCCCGATACAGTGGCCGGCGACACATATCGATACCAATACTAGGGCGGCTGCGTTGACTGGTGGATCTGGGGTGATCGCGAAGAGCATGCGAAGATAGTAGTGAAATTACCCTGTTGGCTGAACGATCATGTCGTTGACCCCGCTAATAATGATGGAAGGCCGGTTATCATGGTGCCGTCATCTAATTTTGTCGAGTTTACTGTTGTTGATTGATTGAGATGGATTCTCTTTGGTTCAAGTTCTGGCCTCAGTTCTGGGAAGGGGAATAGACGCATTCGAAATATAATTTTTTCTTTATTATGAGGAAAGGTTCGTCAATTCGCTATCTTCATCCCCTACTTAAGCTGGAGCTGTGTCAATCTTCAAGCCTCATGCCTACCAGGTTGGTGGCATGGCATGCTGGACTTGGACAACGAGTTTCGTGTGTCTGTGCTCGTTGAGTACCTAGATATATTATGGATCAATATATAGATTGACATCGTGTGTGCTGAGGCGTATAAGAAAAAATCATGCGTGCATGCCGTGATCATGCTACTCCATTAGTTGCAGCTCTTCTGCAACACTAAACTTAGCCCCCGTCTTGCTCACGACTTCTTCCACCTCCACGCCGGGAGCAAGCTCCATCAGCAGCGGCTCCCTTCCTAAGAGGATTTCCTGTTATGCTTAGCAATACCCGTGAAGGTAGTGTTGGTTAAGGCCTCCTTTTAATCCAGAATCCTTAGACTAGGCGCTACCATTTCTATATATACTACGGAAGCTTTGTACTGAGACGGGTCAGAGCTATCTCCCTGAGATGAGCTCGAGTAGTTCCTATGTAGGACTCTTCAAGTAATGGTATTTGTTACAGGTCAATCGAAAGGGAGATTAGTTCGGTACCAAGGACAAAAGTACCAAGACTGGGGAAAGAAAGAAGGAAAGATTTATCTGGTGGGGGAAGTTGTTGATAAACCCAAACATCCCAATCCGGCCATGTTTGCTCCCGTCACCAGTTTTGAGATCAAACCGACCAACTCATCGGCCATCCCTCCAATTTTACCGTCTTCAGTCGTCTTATTCGTAACAGTATTCACGGATCAGGTAGGTTTCGATTTCCACGCATGATGTACAAGCGCGAAGCAATTTGAAAAAGCAATTGACCTTGTGGTGGTTGGTTAAAGGTTCCACACTTAGCTAAACATAGCATATAACAAATGACAATTAGCGGTAGTGAGAACCTTTGACTTCCGTGTCTTACAATTTGTACACAGCAATGCTAGATTTTCGACGAGGTTCCAATCTTAGCCCACCTGCTTGCACAGACTTCTCAAGGGCAGTGGCATCAATCGCCGCGCCTTAGGTGAATGATTGGGCGGCATTGTGAGAAAACCCGATATTTTGTTAATGGAGAATGCAACTACGCGGATTCCACAGGGAGTATATATAAGACGAGCTAGATTGGTACTTTTTGAATAAGGTCTTGATTGACTTGCTAACGACTTCAAGCGGTGGTAAGAGCACGAGTGCAAATCGTACATATGCTTGCTTTGCGCTGCAATGGCGCATAATAGTTAGCTGATTGTTCCATCCACAAGCCTGCTGATATTGACCGAAGCAAAACCGGATCCGATGGAGGGGTAGATCCAGAAAGGGTTCCCGAAATCTGTATATCCTGTTACGAAGCCCTCTCCCACATCGGATTTTGCGCTTTGATAGGAGTTGGAAGTCTGAGGGGAATTCGTATTCCAGGCGATTAGCCCCACTATGGTGTCGGATACCGGATACTCAATGTAAGAAACGGTACAATGCAGACGCAGGTGTACAGCGGCAGTGCAAAAGTGTGTAACATTCCCTTAATGCCAAGTTTGACCTTTTTACCGGATAAAAAACTACTAAGGCACTAAAGTAGGTAGGTTTCAACGACAGCAGGGACATATCTGTTTACGCTCTTCTATTTTAATTATTACTTATACTGTGTGATAGCTAGTCAATTTATCGCACCTTTTATCAGCCCCCCCCGGCGTGCGATAAGAATATCAGATGAAAATGTATTATTTATGCTTTCTTTTTATTCTCCCTAGCCTGGTTATCGCCTCTTGGACATTCCCAATATTGCGGTCGTATGGTTGCGTTCAACAACATGAGCGTTACCTTTGGCCAGCTGCTTGCAAGTGCCCTAGGTGCTGGCTTTGCTCAAGTCAAAGGTGAGTGGTGGCGAGCCACTGTCGGCATTGGAGCCGCTCCTGCCCTTATACTCGCGGGACTTCTTGTGTTTTGCCCAGAGTCACCTAGGCAGCTTGTATCTCATGGAAATCATGAAGCAGCGAAAGCTGTTCTGCTTCGGATTTGCCCCACATCAACTGAGGAGCAACGGCATGCCAAGATCATGTCAATTGAACTATCGCTTAATGAAGCTACTCAGGCTATGACTGAACAGTCTCTCTGGGTTACCTTCAAGCGTATCTTCACCACTCCTGCTACTGGCCGTGCCGTCTTGACCGCATGCATGGTCATGGCCATCAGTCAACTGGGCGGATTCAATACTCTGATGTAATACGCTGCCACATTGTTCTCTTTTGTAGGGTTTTACAACCCCACAGCGGTTGGAATTACGTGTCAGCTACGAACTTTGTCTTCTCAATCGTGAATATTGTTCTTGTGGACCGACTCGGACGAAGAATCATTCTAACAGTCACCGTGCTGGGAATGGCCATCTATATGATGGTTGCAGCAGCCGTAACCTTCAGCTACATTCCCGTGAACACAAGCACCCTGGAGCTGGAGACAGATCAGGTTGGCTGGCCGGGCCCTGTAGTACTTGTTGCTATTATTGGTTATGTCGCCTGCTTTTCCTCAGGTGTCGCTACCATTGCATGGATCGGCACGGAGCTAATTCCCCTCGAGGTCAGAGCACTGGGAACGATGCTGGTATGTAATAAGAAGCTCCTAATTTTCCCCTTTTGATGCTAACATTTTTAAAGAACACGGTGACATGCTGGAGTACCAACATCATTATTGCTTCGACCTTCCTGTCAATGATGAAGAATTGGACGCCTAGCGGCGCTTTTGGATTTTACACCGGAATGTGTTTTGTTGGCTGGTTGTTCGTCATCTTCTTCTACCCCGAGTGCAAAGGCATGCCATTGGAGGCTGTCAGGGAGGTTATCAGCCATGGATTTGGTGTCGGCTATTCGAAGAAATGGCAGAAGTAACATGAGAATGATGCGAAGGCGGAGACAGTGGCCCTTGGGCATTGAGCTATGAAGAGAGATTGAGTACCATGACGAATAAACATTCTCTCTCTTCTAATTTCCAATAATTGATTCTGGTAATGAATTGATGGTATAAAGGCCGATCAAGTAAAGACGTAAGGTACATACTTATTGCGTTACCTGTACGAAGAAGACTTCACAGTACGAGATTGATCAGGCTGTGACAAAAAGAAAGCATCATGTAACAGAGTTAGAAGGAGGCCAATTGGAATCTGGATATAGACAGAAATTACTATCTAATACATAGAAAACTCTCTTGATCATCATGAAGAGGGGTCAAAGTCTATCAAGGTAACAACGGGAAGCGCAAACGCGAAACGACCTCCCGTAATAATAGCATTACCAAAGCAACAAACTCCTACCTAGCCTTTTTTATTATTCATTTACCAAGGCTCATGGACGTTTTGCTCTGGCATGGGTACGCTATTCGCACTACGTATCGCCTCATGAGTGACTTCAATCTGGCTCGAGACCACAATCCCATTCGAGGACGTGTTTTCACCAACAGGCCCAGCGTAAGCCTTTAAGCCCTCCAAGTGGACGTTATCAACGATTCGCTCCTCACTTTCGTTGAAGGTCATATTGGCTGTAACAGGATTCGAGCTTGTCGGCCCACGGCGATCTCGACTTTGATAATCGCCGCCACCAATGCTTCGGAATCCACCGGAGGGGGTTTTGTATATTTTTTGAGTAGATTGGAAGGCGCTGCCAAATATGGCGCCCAGCCAGGATTTGAAGAGGTGGAAGATCATGGGAAGGTTGGTGGTGATTACGGCGACGAAGGTTTCTCGCGTTCCCCATTCCTCGGCTGTCTGTGCTCCGCTAACAGGGTCCTAGAATAATGGGCCGATCAGAATGATGGTTTGATACGATGGAGATGGAGATAATAGCAGGACATACCACAATGAGAAAGACGCTCTTGATGGTGGCGCAGACGAGCACAAACACACCAGCACTAAGGACGATTGTCACAGCGATCTTTTTCAACAATTTGAGACTCGATTTCCAAAGCATCGGAATTGGGATGAAGATGAGGTATGGGTCGGTAGCGAGATTTGCGGCAAAGGTCACCCATATGATGGGCATGGAAATAGCGGGCTGACAGACATCTAGAGCGAGTATGGTCTATTAGAGCTCGATAAATCCCGAAAAGAGTTTATGAGCCTTACTTTCAGGTGCTGGGTTGATCTGCCAGTAATGGTTGAATGGGCGACATGCTGTGAAAATCGTCAAGACACTAGCTATCATGCTTCCTCCGACAAGGGCAAATCCGATGTAAACGGGTATGCGGTAGCGTCGACTAAGACCATCCTGTTGGTGCCAGTTAGCAAGTCTGGTTTGCCGAGCCAGAAATACCAGCGAGAGTCATACCGTAAGTCGGATGTAGAATGCGAGCATGGACAATTTAAGTGACCCGATAAGCAACACGTAAGTCGTCCATCCCGCGACCTGGATTTTAGAGCCGGTCGCTCTATTGGGGTTGTCAGCACTCCTTTCAAATATCACCCTATGGGCTTGTCAGTTGGATTTGAAATACCTGGCCTGATATTCAGGATCTCCGGAAGAAAGCGCAGCGCGATGAGCGTCTGTCATGCTATTATTTGCGAGGCCATGGGCGATATTACCCACACTGTATGCCAGGGATGTTTGTGCGGTATAGAAAACCTGCAGATATTGGGATCAGGAAGGAGCTCAAACGAGGGAAAATTCGTAGAGAAGACCAACGATTGCGACCCAGATCAGGTAATCATCGGCTTTCAGATTCCTGAAGCCCACAGCCCTTACTCGAGCATGTGTTCGGAGTAATGTCACAGCAACTCCAAACGAATAGAGCGTCCACAACTCCACAGTTGCCTTATATGCAGCAGCTTTGGCCGCATCTGAGGCCGCATCTCTGGCATATAGAGTAGTTATGCCAGACATCCCTAAAAATAACGGGGAATCAGCATGTCAGAAGATCAAATCGAATCCGGCAACGGGAGGTAAGACTAGTAAGCCACGTACTTCCACGCTATATTAGGTTAATGTGCCTCTCAATGGCGGACTGGCATAGCTGTAGTCGCTTGCCGAACAAGAGTCAGAATTGAGAAAGACGGTGGTCCTGTATATCGAGAGAATGCCCAAGTTCTGCAGCCACCACAGGAGCTTATCGTCTGTACCATAAAACTATTAATGAGGTAGGTACCTGGTTGCGATTGTTTCGATCTGCAGCACATGCACAGACCCAATTCTAAGTTTTTGGAACATTCGTGCCTTTTCGAATGATTCCCGAGCGAAGAATCGATTCAGAGACAGTCATATTTTATCCAATCGAAACCGCCAAGTGACTGTTCCCGCGGCAATCTCATTAAAGTTCACTCTAAAGATGAGCAAACTGGTACCCACAGTCAAATCTGAAGGTCGAATCATTGACTTGCAAATAGATTGGTTCCAATGGTAAATTCGGAGCTCGATCCTTCTCACGTTGCATGAGTGAGTTCATCGTTCCATCGAGGGCCAAGTGGTTGCACGCACGTGGGGATGCTAATTGGTCACCGACTCGGAGGAAAGCCCGAGTAAATATGAAGACTTGGTGTCCCATGGACCGGGTTCCAGCTCAGCGTGGCCCAAAAAGTTCAGACCAATTTTGGGCCACGCTATAAGTGTTCATTTTATTATACGTTGAAATATATCCAAAATTATAAAGTTGAGCCCTATATAAATACACAGAAGTAAATATAATAGCTTATTAGGACCTAAAATATTTTGGGCCCCGGTGAGCTTCGGTACCTCAGCGTGGCCCAAAATTAAAATCTTTTGGGCCACGCTGAACTTTTTTGGACCACGCTGAGCTGGGTGCCCCCCATGGACTCCTAATAATTCTGGGCATGGGGATCTGTCCTAGACGTGGAGATATTCTTCAAAAGATAGAAATCCTCTAGTCCTGTCAGATTATTTGGTATCTGTTAGACACGAAATAGTACCATGACAATATTCCAATACGTTAATGAACACGAGTTCAGTCTGTCACTGCTTTTGCTCGGAAGGTTCGGGATCGTGACATCGACGATGCGATGGGGTATCGGCCTAACACGGAAGTCCATTGGGTGGACCCTGAAGGATGCGGCCGGGCCCTCTGATCAGCGGCGCCACCGATCCCTGTGGCTTCCATCGCATGGAACACCGCGTCCGACGTCCGACCCCTGCATAAACTAGCTTTTCTTTCGTCTTGCGAGCGGGGAATATTCCGGTTGCTGGTACTACCATCAGAGCATGATAGTGGTGCTTTCTATTCAAACGTAAATCTTTGGGAGAAAGGAAAGTATTCTGTAGATCTCCTTAACAAAAGACTTCCAGAGATAATATCAACAGTTGCTCACCCTCCGCGACTGGACAAGTTATAAGTCGTGCGAGTGCGCAATATTATTTCAAGGTCCATGTGGGCGACCGGGAGTTCGGCCGCTTGGCATGGCGCCATGCCAACCTTGCAGACCTGGGCGTAGACAAGCACTAAATTAAACCTTTACTCAATAATAATTGGGGTAGAAATTAATACCAGTCCCATATGGTGCCTGAAATAAATATTAATTCCCGCGTGCCCACGGAATAATTGACAGGGGTCCGTACGTTTGCCCGGTCTTCCAGCACTTATCTTTTACGGAGGCCGTCTGCAGGGATTACTGATTAGGCAACAGCGACGCCGCATAGCCGCAACAGCGTTCGAGCTCCTTTAGACAGCCGCAGCAGCGCAGGTACAGCTTCCAAGATGTATCACTTCAAGATGCAAGCAGCCATGGCGATTGCCGCCTGGGCTTTCACCACCGTCGGCCAGAATCTGCCCCTTGGTCGGGATCGACTTCATTCGAGGGGCAGTTATGATATGACAGAGCTCCAGAGTAAGCTTTCGAGCACTGCCAAGGTCTATTATCCCAACTCGACTGAGTTTGATACTGCCTCAGCCCGCTGGTCCCTCTTGGATGAGCCCAAGGTGAATGTGGTTGTGGTGCCTGGCACCGAAAATGACGTTGCCGAGGCAGTAAGTGTCTTTGCTCTCTTGTCCCCTTGCTCTATCCCCTGAATAATTTCATGGGCGGTAAGACTGGGAGCGAGAACACCAAACCAGATCTGTGAACTAATAGTGCTCTAGGTACAATTTGCTAACCAGCGAGGCTTGCCCTTCCTCGCCTATACTGGCGCTCATGGATCCCTCACCACGCTCGGTAAGATGGATCAGGGAATCGAGATCTACATGACTCAACTTGACACCGTCACCGTTGCTGGAGATGGGCAGACCGCAACCATTGGTGGTGGAGCCATGTCAAAGGCAGTTGTTGACGCGCTTTGGAATGTAGGAAAGCAGGCTGGTAGGTGTTTCTCTTATTTTCAGGTTGTATCAGCAAATGGCCAGTGCTAATCATCGTGGAAAATAGTGACTGGAACATGCGAGTGTGTCAGTATTCTCGGACCTGGTCTTGGTGGAGGACACGGCTGGCTCCAGGGACACCATGGTCTTGTCGCTGATCAGTTTGTTTCAATGAACGTCGTCCTGGCCAACGGAACATTGACGAAGATTGACGCACATTCTGATCTTTGGTGGGCGATGAAGGGTGCTGGTCACAACTTTGGCATTGTTACATCCCTCACCACAAAGGTCTTTGATATTCAGCATCGCGACTGGGCGATTGAAACCATCACTTTCAGCGGTGATAAGGTGGGAGCCGTGTATCAAGCTGCCAACGACTATCTGTTGAAGAACGGTACACAACCGGAGGGCCTGATCAACTGGTCCTACTGGCTCAACAACCCAGGCGCTGACCCCAACAGCGTAAGTGAAATCGAACCCTAGAGTGCCGATGTGTTTTCCATAACTGACATTTATCAGCCGGTCATCATTTTCTATATCATTCAAGAAGGTGTCACTACCGTCGACTCTGCTTACACCGAGCCTTTCCATAACATTGGCCCTATTTCAATCCAGCCCGCGTCAGGAACTTACACTGATCTGGCCGGGTGGACTGGAATCGCCAACTCATCGCCACCATGCCAAAAGGGTGCCCTTGCAAACCCCCGCTTCCCAATTTACCTCCAATCCTATAACGTCGACGCTCAAAAGAAGGCGTACAGTGTTTTCGCAAACGCTGTCCGCGGAGCCTCGACCTTCAACAACTCCATTTTCATGTTTGAAGGCTACTCCATGGAAGGCGTGCAAGCGATCGCTAGCGACTCTAGCGCTTTCGCATTCCGCAGTGAGAACATTCTTGCCGCTCCCCTCATCAATTACCTGCCTGCTGGTTCCACTCTGGACACCAAAGTCGCCAATTTGGGTAACCAGCTCCGTGATATTCTTCGGGATGGCACTGGCCAGGACGACTTCCGTGCCTATGTCAACTATGCTTATGGCGATGAAACACTCCAGGAGTTGTATGGAAGTGAGAGCTGGCGCCAGAGCCGTCTCCATGCTTTGAAGCAGAAGTACGACCCGACCGGCAAGTTTAGTTTCTACGCGCCTATCCCGTCGAACTAGGGGGCGAACTGCTACCGGAGAGCGATGTTGTATATACTTCTCGAATGATTGTATTTTGTTGCCCGTATGAATATAAATTTTGAATTGAAGAAGGCTTCAAGACGTCAATAAACAAGAGGAAACTCTTGGCTAGAATTAGATAGTCCTGCCATTTGCTTAAGATCATCCTAACTGAGTGAAATCAAAGACAGATATGCTAAATATGATTGTGCGATCTGCTCCTTGAAGGAGGGGGGGGGGGGGGGGGCAGTGGCCTTCCCTAGGCAGTAGACTGTCGTTCATTTCCAAGAAAAAAAAATCCGGTTGAAGCCTGGCTATCAATGCAGGGGGGCTATAGCGGCCGTAAATAATAGAGTTGTATGTCGGTTGATGCAGATAATAATATTATTATTTTGGAGGAAGCTCATACTGCTTGACCTGTCCTTCACAGTTACTCTTTTTTCATATTTCCCTGATTTCAGAAAAAGCCCTTTTTGTCTCTCAATCTATACAGCAGATACCAAAGGACAATTAAAGAGCAGGCGCCGAGCGTCATGGTTATTCCACTGAAGAGCTGAATACCCAGAAAGTTCAAATCCGCGCTTCCATGAGAGTTTATAGAGGCCAGTGCTCCAGCAATCGGCGGTCCTATTAAGGAGGCAAAGCTGCTGATACTTTGGGCCATCCCGAGCCAAGTTCCAAGGGAATGGGGGTCGGGACAAACATGAGGGAAGACACTCGGTGGAAGAGGGACCAAAGCACCCGAAATAGCGCCTATTCTCTTGATCAATTAAGGTCGGCGAAAAGGAGCGGGATATTGGTACCATAAAATGCCACAAAAACGATAAATCGAGGGAGAGTATCGGCACTTATCCAGCTCAAGCAAAGAATACCCGAAATAAGGCCACACAGAACCCAAGAAACCATAGAGCCGTAGTAGTGAGCGAAAACTGTTGTAGCGACACGACCGACGATTGAGGCTCCCTGCGATGCCATCAAAATATATGAGCCTAAAGAGCGCGACGTATGAAGACGTGTCTGCGCGTAGGTTGGTATGTAATAGTATGGCGTAATATATCCAAGATAGATCAAGAAATTTGCAACCGTGAAACTCCAGAATGGGAGATCTTTCAGTGCGCGCATATCAATGAGAATACGAGGTCGGTCATTCACTGCCCTGCTTTTCAGACCTCCCTCCGATGAGAGCAGTAGAGCGGCCCCGATGAACAGAAAAAGCATAACGAACCCCATAACGCGGACCGTCCATCCGAAGCCCACTCGTGAGATTAGTTGATTGAAGATGACAGTATAGATGATGCCCCCTGCAGGAGCTCCACTTGTAGCCACACCTAGCGCAACGGCGCGATTTGTCTCGAATCTTCGGCTGATCAAGGCCACAGTTGGGACATAAAGTAGACCAAAGCCAAGACCCATACATATTCCTTGACTGAGAAATATCGCGTAATATTCATGCGAAAGGCTGAGCATCATGAAGCCAAATACTGAAAAGAAACTTCCCGCTATGACCATCGCAGGAAAGTAGCCTAAGTCAAAAAGTGGACCAGACAACAGACCACAGGCAATGAGAAGCCATGACTGAATAGTTCCAACCCAGGATATGGCAGATGCTGAGGATGAGGGAATGAAAGTGAGAGTATAAAAGCTTTGGAAAGATCCAAAGGCAAAATTTAAGCCCCTTGTCACAAACCATGTCAACGAATGAGAAATAGCCACTGTAAGAGTAAAATCACTAACCAGACGTTAAAACACACGAAAAATGCCCCCAACACCTGAAACGGGCCCGTTATCCTTCGTGATAGGCTAGGTACATTAGGTATCTCGGACACATCTCCATTGTGCGAGTTTGCGGGCCCAGGCTCTTTGAGTTGCTCGCTTGGGTGAACGGGTCCGGCCATACTAGATCAATTTTTTCTGGAAGGAAGGTTGAACTTCAGTCCAATAAATGGCAAAAGTCAAGGTAAAGAGAAGCCTGGGGAACTGAACCCCCGCTCCCGCTTGGGTCCCACGATCTCGACCAGAAACCAAATTGATGTATTTAATTAGCCCAAGCCTGTCATAGGTCACAGGGAGCTGTGTGATATGCCGTGATATCCGATGAAGAATACAATTGGCAGGAATTGACGTGAAGTATTAGTCATGTCGTATGAACTTAGAAGAACCATTTCTGGCGCCTTGAAAGCCGAAGAGGTCCATGCCTGTACCTCGGCTAAATTGGTCCAAGTGCGGATTTCCCCCGCCTTTCGGCATGGAAAGCGAGAATCACGTATATCATTACAAATCAGCCTTGAGCTGCTACATCGCCTCGTGTTAGAGGGCTAATTGTGTCAGATCGTAATTTGATATATTAGGTGTTGTAATTATCAGTTGAATATTCATGCGGTAATGAATAGGGCCAAAAAACAAAACGTTGTCAGAGTGCCATTGGTCAGGGATGATCTCAAAATTCTTCATTATATCCATTTCACGAGTCGAACCAATTCGCATCCAAATCATCACGCTACAAATAGATTCAAGATGGCCTTCCAAGTTGTTTCCAAGATACAGTGACAGTTAGTCAGCGCATAGTGTATATCTAGACTAGGACCTGAATTTGTATGGCCGAGTCCTGTCTCCCAAGATCATCTTCTAGATGAGATCTTATCCGGTACAGAAGTGTCGATTTTATACCCAACTTTCTCGAGGTCGGATGCATCACTTGGTTCCCATGGGTGCTCTTGCTCAACAGACAAGATGAGTGCCTCCTCAGACGGACCACGAACTGCGATCGAACATTGGAATGGGGTGGGATGGCTAATCACACCCGGCTCAAATTTCGGGCTCTTTGTTATGGCGATTCCTTCTTGCGTAGCGTTGCTTATATCGAAAACTGTCAGGCTCTGTGCTACGCTCAGATAGACTGTGTTGTCCGCCAAGAAGCGACCGGGACATATGCGACGCCCGAATCCAAAGGCGATGGAGTGAGGGTCCATTTCCGGAACGTGTCCTTCTGTTTCAAGGAATCGTTCAGGCTTGAACGCCATCGGGTCGTTGTAGGTTGTCGGGTCATGCATCATAGCCCTTATTTCGATGTTAGATTGGGGGGCTGGTGAATGTAGATTGAACGGCATACCAAATATTAGGCATAATAATAGAGCCCTTAGGAATGAAGTATTTTCCGCAATTGTCATCCGCAGTTGACATATGAGGAATTGCCATAGGTGCAACGGGATGCCACCGCAGTACCTCTTTGACTATAGCATTGATGTAAGGGAGACTGGGACGGTCTGCCATTTTCGGAAGGCGGCCGGGTCCCAGAACTCGCTCAATTTCATCTTGTGCTTTGCGTTGGACTTCAGGATATAAGGCCATGGCGAGGAAGAAACATTCCATCGATGACACAGTCTAATTTCATCAGTATCCGAGTACGGGAATGGGAGGCATTCTTCGAAACTGACCGTATCAGCACCGCCAGTGTAGAGTGACGCAGCAGTCCATTTTGCGACGATTTCCCCCTCCGATCCAGGCTCGGGAACTCCGTGCGTGTTGAATATGTTAGACAAGTATGATGGCTTGTACTTGCCACTGTCCATCTGTGCCTTGACGAATGCATAGGGCCTATCTGCAATTCCTAGCAGTTGCTCCCTCCAGGCTTGGGCAATACGCTTGAAGCCTGCTCCTGGAAGCCATGAGGGCAGATGTTTCACTGTAATTATCAGGTTTTGAAATATTCTTGATAGTTAACGTTGGTTATGACACTCACACGCTGGGATAATATCAACCATCCAAGTTCCAGGGGTCGCGGCTTTGGCAAAATGATCTAGCGCCAGATTGGTAATTTGCACTAGGTGATCGCGATGAAATGGCTCAATTGTGTAGCCATAGGCGATGTTCAAAATAACAGCTCCTGCTTCCCTAGATAGATTTTTCAGCGCGAGTCTATAGTTTTACGAGCAAAGATCTAATGAGTCTCACGTTTGGATGTGCTGGATAAAGTCCTTTGGCTCTCGGAGTACTCGTAACAAGAAGCGGTGCACTTCTTTCTCTTGAAGCGAGTTAAATTGCGCGACAGCTGACTCAGACCCAAAAGATGGTTGGAATGCTTTGCGGTAGGCACGAAATCTATCAGTATAACCTTGAAAGGCCAGACCGTCTTCCCATCCCACCCTATCTCCGACCATCAGTTCTTGTACCTACAAGAATGAACCAGTAGATGCGTAAATACTCACATCTCGGATGCAAAAACCATCTTTGGCCTCGATGAGTAAATAGCAGACCGCTTGTTCAGTAATTCTACTGCTGTTTTCATATCGTTGACAATAACAATTGTTTGCCCCAAAACTGTAAGAGAACTGATTGGCCCTGGATACTAATCAGTATGTCTTCAAATTTGAAGTCAGTATCCGACGAATATGTTTTACCGTAAAGTTGTTTGTGCTTCACCCAATGCATCCAATCCTGTTCGCCTTTCGGGGGTAAATCCGTAATGTTACCCAGTATCGGTTTGCGCCGAGGCCCTGGTGGAAGGGGACCAGGTACCGTCTTATCTAGCATTGTCCTTTTCAAGAAATAGAGAGCTAACAATCCCAGCGACAGGCTCACTATCCAAGGGAAGGGCATGGCGACGTTGAAGGTTGTGAATAGATCCTTTGGAGCGGAATGAATGGACAACCTAGCCTGTTTTTTTTCTGGCCATCGGTGGCAAGGCCTTTATCTTATAACTCCCCCTCCTAGGTTATATAATAATAATGTCTCTCATGTGATCTACGTTTTTTGTAGAGTTGGCTTACTGTGGACTCATTCTCCGTGACTCCAGTATGCAGGACTCACGCCCAAAACAGTTCTCATTGGGGGACCATTACATGTTTGCTAACGACATAGCTTGCTTCGTCTTTTACGGTCCGGTTGAGATTGGCTGTTCATCTAAGCTAGGCGGGGCTGAGGACAAGTAAGGTTAGCCTAATTATGTAGCTGAAAAAAACCACGCGGAGTGTGTCTGCCGTTTAATCAATCAAGTATTCTATATACATATTGCATGAGTGTCTGCTCTACTCCCCGGGCTTTCAATCCTAGCCTGTAGGCATAGGGATTGGTCAAGCGAATTGTATTCTTTCTCCAGCATATGTAACCCTCTATCAGGCTAAAAGAATCCTGCTCTCTTGCTCACGGCGCTGGGCTCTACTTACGTATCTACAACATCTGTAAGTGTAACGAGCCTAAATATGCCCCTAAATAGAGGCTGTCCTTGGCACAGAGCCTAGCTACATTGGGGAGTTGTATGTCCCTTGAAGCTATGCTGATTAGATAATACATACAGTGGATTGGTTGAGAGGCCCGCACACCGTAGTAAGTAGGTGGGCCAGCTTTTGACAGACTGACACACCAGTGTGCTTCAGGTTTCAACAGCCTCAGTGTGGTTTACGAAAAGGTCTTTGGCCAAGGCTTTCATGGAGAGATAATGGGAGTTATCTTCCCTGTCGGAAGGAATTTTTTCAGCCTATGCAAATCAATTGCCTCTTTTGACGAATTTTCTCAACCGCTCCGCCCCTGCACCTGCAACTTCAAAACTTGCCTACTGTAGGAAATTTTCGTGTCTCCACTTGCCGTCTTTAGGGAGAAGGAGAAGAAGGCAGGAAGATTTAGACAACTACAGGGCCGCTCGAAATCACCTTCACCTTTGATTTCTTTTCTTTTCTTTTCTAAACTTGATTCTGAAACACGCTAGATCCCCTTTTATCTAGTCTGGTTTAAGATCCTGAAATGTTTTGTCACCATGAATTACGCGGGTGGTGGGTTGTAACTTTCCTGAAACATAGATACAATCGTTACGCTACGTTTAATTGTGAGGTTCACTTGGGTCAGAGCTTAGTATTCTAATAAGCTCACGTGTTCACTCATGAGTAGGGTAAATGAAAATATACATCGTTTCTCAAGGCAAACACGGGGTATAAGATCAAGGCAGGTAATTTCTTCTGTCTCAAAATCAAATCACTTGTCGCAGTCTACTTTTCAGTCATGTGACTCATTGAGGCTTTACCGAATTAGGAAGTTTGGACGCCACTATAGGAGCCTAGGGCTAATCGAAACGTGTTCCCTTGCGACTCATCAATCTACGTATCCTACCTGTGACTACGCCTAGATGCCACGCCTTCTCGATTTGCCTGGCGAACTGCTCGCTCACACATCTTCTTATGTGGATCGGTCCTCATTAAAGTCGCTGCGCCAATCCTGCCGTTTCATATCACAGCTGGCTACCGATCAGCTCTTCAGGACCGTGCTCCTACAACCCCGCGAGACAAGCCAAAGGGGGTTACAAAAGATTTTGAACAATCCCAATCTACGTCAGATCCCGCGAAAGATCTACATAGACACCGTGGACGAGAGTCTCGTACGATTATCTTAATCCACCTCCAAGCAACAACTAATGCGCACAGAATTACGATGGTGAAGAGGAGCAAAAATGGCCCCAAGGCTGGGACAATCTTGTTCCACAAGTGAGAGAATTGCCTCAGTTGAACGCCGCCGTTCTGTGCTTCGATAAGGGGTTTACTTCAGACAGCAGGGATCGTGATTATTACCATTATATGGACTTTCCCCAGACGCCTCGATTTCGCTTCCACGCAATGCATAAGTTCTTCTCTCTTCTCGAATCCTTACGGCACCCAATCCAAGATCTTGGTATTCGCAACCTGCAAGCGGATAACCCCAAAGATCCGAAAACGCTTGCGAAAATAGGAAAGGTCCTGTCGGGCCTACGGTCCCTTCGCCTAAGCATTACCAGCGAGACAAACGACGCCGCTCCTGAGCATGATCTCGAGGTATAACCCACCCCATTCTCCATCGAGATGCTTTTTCTAAACATATCAGTATCCGGAAATCCGCAAGTTTTTCAAGGAGTTGCCCAGCACATGGCTAAGTCCCGCTGCGCCTTCTCTCCAACATCTCTCGCTCTGCTCGCGTGAATATTCGGGCTTTTACCCTCACCTAGATCTCTCTAATCTGTTCTTTCCATGTCTGAAGTCGCTATCACTAGGAAACTTCTGTTTTTTCCACGATGGCCAACTCGACTGGATTCTAAAGCATAGCGACACCCTCGAGGAAATCTACTTCGATGACTACGCCGTCCTGTACGACTTTTGTATTAAAGAATGGAATGTGGACGCATGTGCTCTACCTAGGGACACCTTAGTACGCCGCGAGGGCAATGATTCTTTGTATGGTTCGTTCGAGAAGCGATGGCACCATATTTTCGATCTATTTACAGAGAAACTGCCAAAATTGCGACACTTTCGAATCGGCCGTAGTAATTGGTACCCGGATATTCCATTTGAGCAGGAGATGGATATCGAGGTCGGGCTGTATTACAATCGGTACATTTGCTGCTATGATGGATATGGCCCTTCGCCTTATATGGAAGGTGAGGATCCCAAAGAACTCGCAACCCTTGAGAATGGGTGGAGACCGTCACCAGAATGTGACGATGAGGATCGTGCGGCACTGCGGAAACTATTGGCAAAGCTTGGGCAATCGGTCCAGGAAAGTTATTCGAATAAACACTTTGGTGATTGTATAGTGGATTTGGTTGAGAGGAGATAGGGATCCGCAGAGTGATACAGTATCCATGGATTGCAATCCTCTGGGTAAAAGAGCCTGTACATAGGCAGGGCTTCCGAGGTTGGAAATTAGGCAGATGGTTTCTAAGTCAGAGTGGGGGGTTAGTGGCATTTGCTAAGTGATTGCTCAACATACAAAATGATGTTACATATGAAAACGCAGGAATATATACATCCAGGGATATGTACTCTTCGGCATCAAGTTGTGCGTCTCGCTCATTGAGCATCTTCTTGGTGACAGACGACCTTCCCCGTTTCTCAATATGTGTGTGTGCATATCCCTGCAATAAGCGAGCGCGTGCATGCATACGCGCGCTAATGCAATCGAATACATAAATCTGTATCCCCATACACCGCCTTATGATATACGATACTGATTATCAACTATTGCATCGGATAGAAAGAACAACGAGTTTCCTAACACTCTCGTATGTCCCTATGTTATTTCGGATTTTCGTCAGTCTTTTCCTGTGACATTCTGCTATATACCCAAAGTTATAAATACTGCCTGTTTCCCTACTTAAATTGAATAAGTTTGACGACAATGTCATAAGTTTGACACCCTTTTCACTCACGAATAGAGCTCAAGGCAATTCTGATTAAACTGTGTTGACCCTCCACTGTTCAACCTGTTCGCTGCCAACCCGCCTCTATTACACTTTCGTCACTCTTCCATAATCGTGGTATTCGATCGACCTGTGTGCGCCTCTAAGCACACACCCTAGGGTTTATGCACACGGCGTAAATCCGACACTATCTTCACTGCTGCCTTAGATATAAGTTTTACCGATAATCCTAATCGAAAGAGCTCTAAAGGATTTATCTTTTGCCTATTTAGAGGCCTAATTAAGTGGAAATCGCGTAAGCAAAAGACTATCACTATATTAACGACCGAAGCTGATTTTGCTTACGATTCGCCACGCAGCTAAGCAGCTATATTAGATTAAACGCCTGTACTCTTTTATCCAATTTAAACCTAACTAATTGGATATAATTTAATGTGACAATAAGCAAACTGTTGACCTACTTACACGAGAGAAACTCTCCTTCCAAACCAAGCTTCGTTACGTAGATATTTATTAGCTTTAGATTCGACAGGAAGTTCAGGTGAAATAGCTACGAATTGAATAGATTAAATTAGCCGAAATACTAGCTGATAGACTTACAAAGCGCTTCCCCGCCGAAAAATATACTGTTTTCGTTCAATAGTTAGGTATAGAAATCCTCCCTGTTCGCTAGAAGGATCCTTTTCTCCCTTCTTTCTTTGTTTTATGCGATCTTCTCTGAGGTCACCCATGAAGAGAGCAGCCAAGCCACGGCCGGTATACCAAAAGGCTACCGACCGAAAGATTCCGAACGGGACTCAGGTTACGCATCAGCATCTCGCCCTGCAACATCGGCCGTACTGCCGGAGTCAGCACTTCGAAATGGAATCAAGTCGCCGGCTGCAACCAAAATTGAGGAGACAAGACATTCATATGATGACGATATTCTGTCCCTTGCGTCTGACACTGACGACATAGGCTCGCAAGTCTCCAATGAAACAACCTACCAATAGAGGACTGGCAAGGCTCTTATTAGGGTGTTTCTATTTGAAGGCACTGATTTTAGATCAATTTGTGAGAAAGCTATGGAGCACATGGGCAGCAGCGTTTCGTGGAGAATTGAAGGCGGCTACTGAAGTCATTTCACAAGAACCTCGCCGCTGAAGCAGAGTCTGAGGCTGAGAAAGCTGTCGCTAGGTTGCTCCGAAGTAGGCGAGGAAGGCTCTGGATCAGCGAACAACTTGCTATCTGTATTCAACAAGAGCAGGAAGAAACACGCGGAGGTCAGAGAGTTGACACACAAGTTGCCTCAGAAGACAAGCACTATGTCGAAACATGGCTGCGTAAATTGCCGAGGGCAGTGGGCCCTGAGGAGTTTGAAGATCTAAACGATAATGATGAATCTGGGACATTGGAATTCGACGATGGCTTCGAGAGAGACGAATTTCCTTTTATCTCTGAGCTGCAGACTTTCTCCAGCGGGCAGAATATTTTCGAACGCTTCTGAAAGATTTTGTGTTGTTGTTTCTGCCAGCTGAATTGAGAGATGTGCTTCTGTCTATACCTAAAGAGTAGATTTGGATGGAGCAGGAGCAGCATATCTCGCCGGCGAATAGGGTGAAAGCATGGGTAGAGGACAGCACTCAAGTGAGATAAGATTGGTGGCCGCTTGAACCACGAAAGCGGATGCTCCGGGGGGGGAATCTAGATTGTTCTGGAGATGCGTAAGTTTCAGAATCTCCGTGTGCGCATATGACGCTGAAATTTAGCAGATATGCGGTGCGCGGTAGTGGAAAGAAATATCCACCGAACAGCACGAGTTAGTAAGAAAGATACTCGCCCAGTTGTGCGATAAGCCCCAGTTTTCACACTGGTGCAGAAGGAAGGGGAGCAGAGTGCTCCTGATCACCTGGGCTAAAGGCATCTTTCGGAAAGCGTCTTCAGCATCATCAGCTACGACAGTATCAACAGCAGCTCAAATATATATGCCGCCGGGAAATGTGGATATTATCACATCATCATCATCATTGGAACATCGATCTTTACCTGGTGTCTGGTGTAAAGGCTCCGACTCAATCTCACCAAGGAATTCTCATCACGGTCCAGTTACACTGAGACCAACTGGCCAAAATCAAAGCTGGATATTATTTGGCGTCCAAGGCGCACGGCGGACCCTGACACCGGCGCAAATATCTGTCAACGATCAAAATACCGACGAAAGTGTCTTTCATGGACTCAGGAAATGCTATCAGACCCATAGAGGTCGTCTGAGGTTATGGTTCTCTATCTGGCAGTTAGGACGCTACGAAGATGTAAGGGTACACTGACTTCTTCCACCGCTCCAAATCGTACACTCTAAGCGTTGACGCGAACATTAGTTCAACAGATTGACTCTTGAGCGTATGGTCCGCGAGTACAGCGATCTGCCAACTCACCAAGACTACCAGTACAGTCCCCGCGCAGGAGCTGCAGATGCCATGAATTCTCTACTCTACACCTGCCGCTTTCCTTGTGCCTGTCTGATCCCCCATGACTGCATGCTACCACCAACCGGTGTTAGGAACCTAAAACGTATCCCAAAGAGGCGGGGGTGTTTTGAAAGCGACCAGACTTCGCCGGTATGGGGCCTTGAGGCTGTTTTTGCGGTCTCATCTTCCCACCTCCTCATCTATCATTGCATTATGGTGGCTTAGAGTTTACCCAGATGATTTACAGCATGCCTCTGTCCCCGTAACGGTTGTTCTAGGTGCTTTATCTCTATTTTGGAGCGGTTCAAATAATCCTGAGAAGCCAAAGAAAATACGGATAAATATGGAGGAGAACTAAGAACAGTTACTGGGGGTGTGAACAGACTGTTGCACTCGAGTCAGTTCGTGTCTGGGAAGCGGTTGACGGTTCAAAGCTCGCATGTCTTCTGGTATTATTACGCAGCTGGTGGAGCAGGCCCGCAAGTCCTCATATCTCTTGCGGGATTTGGCGTAAAGTACTCTCAGTCACCTCAGGGGTCGCCAACAGACCAATTCACGAATTATAGCAAAGCGCTATTTGGCGAAATGGTAGAGCCGAGGTAAGAGACGTTTATTCCCTTACTTTATATGATACAAGGTCAAAGTAACGTCGCATAAGTTCATTATTCCCATGCCAATTTCAACCGTTAGATCCTTATTCTCGTGCCTATTCCTTAATATGCGAGAGCACTCACAGCCATGCCGAAAGCAGTCAGAAAGGTAAAAGGCTGCCAGACGAGAGAAGTGGCCGTAGAACTCGTAGAGTTACAGGTTCCTTTGCCTATTACCACCAAGTTCTTGGTAAAGTTCTTCAAGCGCACTTGTCAAAGTTCAGCTTACCGTCTGCCCAGAGGCACATTTTCGAGTAAACGACCAGGTCGTCCGCATAACCTGTTTCATTGAATGACTTTCCGCACTCGGTCGCCCAGCAGCTTATGAGGTTCCATGCCGCTCCTCCATAATACTCATTATCACAAAGACACTTGACTTCTGACTGCTTGGTGCTGTTCATCACCGTACCATAGTCTCCACACGCAGTAGTGTTGTAGGTAGTATCATAGAACGCCTCTCCATAACATGATTGCGAACAGTTTTGAAGGCTCAGGACCCAAGCATCGAAAGAACACGGGGTCCAAGTCGCAATGGTGAAAGAAGCTAAACAAAGCGTAAGATAGGGCGACCCTCTTCGTGCCGACGACATAGCAGCCTTGGAGAGAAAACTTCGGGTAAAGGCAAGAGAGGTAGGATGCTCGTAAGTGGAAATTTGGTGCCCATGAAGATGAGGAAATTTGCCTTGGATGGAAAGTAAGTAGATTTCTACCTTCGTCACGCTTTATCTTATCACACGTCTCTCGATATCGGCTTAGGTCCAAGTGTTCAAAGCTAACACTAATGCCAAGAGGCTAACAAGCCAAGAAATCGCATAGCTTTAATGATCGAATTGTAGATTACGCGTCCCCTAGCAGGGTTCTCTGCTACCCTGGCTTGTACATGTGGCTACTGGCCGAGTCTTGAGAAAAAAACTTTCAGGCCTTCAGCTGGCCCCCTTTCAAAACTATTATAAGCGAGGGTCCGAAACAAAATGGTAATTGTTGTAAGGGGCCGGTTAATGAGTAGTGATTTCCGAATGATGATCCCATGCTCCTTATCGATTGCAAAACCAACAAGCTTCAACTCTGATTCGCTCATTGGACCATAGGCGAACTCCGGGGTGGCCAAATCTCAAAAGGGGATCGTCTGCATCCGATAGCGACGATGAGCTTAGTTCTGTCCTCGGAGAGGTTGAGAAGTACCTGGTCAAATCTGTCGATGACGGAAATCCAAGCACTATATTTGCATATAACGGCAATATTTCCGTGGGCATTTATGTCGGAGGTGGCCTGGAAAAAGTCGATGCTGCCACTACCATCATTGATGCGCTTCTTGACTATTGTCAGTAGAGGCGCATTCGATCAGATGGCCATTCAGTACTGCGGTACAACATCCAACTATCCCGTTGGTGTCGCGATTAGTACAGCCGATGATTTGCCCGCTGTCCAAGGTCTAGTCAAGACATGGAGTCTGAGTGGTTGTATAACAGGCTTTTATTCCTCTGAGAAGATTTCATCGTCTTTGGAATTTTTCATTCACACCGACGGCTCCGCATTCCTCGACAGACGGTCTCTGCGCCGTCGAAGTGACTGTACAACCGTGCAAGTTGTTTCTGGAGACACATGTACTACCTTGGTCAGCGAGTGCGGAATCACCGCCACTGAATTCTACGACTACAATACCGCTAGCGACCTCTGTTCTACATTGGCAGTTGGACAATACGTTTGTTGTTCAGCTGGAAATCTGCCTGATTACAGCCCCCAGCCGTATAGCAATGGAACTTGCTACACTTACCTTGTCCAGTCGGGGGACTCGTGTTCTGCGCTTGCCGCCGCCTATAGCATCACTATCGATGAAATCGACTCCTTCAACAATCATACATAGGGCTGGCTTGGCTGTGATGATCTTCAAGCTGGAGAAAATATCTGTCTGAGCAGTGGCGATCCTCACTTCCCATCAGCCGTGGAAAATGCTGTGTGCGGACCCCAGGTCCCCGGAACGACGGCTAATAGGACCGACTGGAGCACATAGGCGGAGCTAAACCCTTGCCCTCTCAACCCATGCTGTGATGTTTGGGGCGAGTGCGGTACCACACCTAAGTTCTGTACAGAAAGCGACTCGACCACTAGCAATCCAGGTACATCTGCGTCTAGTACAAATAGGTGTATATCAAACTGCGGTACGAACATAACTAATAACTCGGATGGTCCTGCTGAATTCTTAGCTCTAGGATACTTTGAAAGCTTTAATTTAGATCGCGCGTGCCTCACCATAGATGTTTACAGCATTGACACGTCAAAATATACCCACATCGTCTACGCTTTTGGACTAATCGGCTTAGACTTTCAATCAGCATCAATAAGTCACAGTCAGATCTGTTTACGGAGTTCCTAGCGCTCTCAGATATCAAGAGGATTGTTTCGTTTGGTGAATAGGATTTCTCGGCTAGTGCGGATACATACATAATCTTCCGGGAAGGAGTTACTTCTGACAATCGTGCGACTCTAGCTAAGAATGTTACTGATTTCATCTCCACAAACGATATCGACGGTATCGATTTCGACTAGGAGTATCCCGGGGAGCCAGACATTGAAGGTATCCCGGCTAGTAGTAGTGACGACGGTCCTAATTACCTCGCATTCTTGAAAGCACTTCGCTCTCTCATCGGCGATAATATCACCATATCAATTGCTATACCAGCTTCTTACTAGTATCTCCAGGCCTTTCCTGTTTCAAATCTCATTGATACTGTGGACTACTTCGTCTACATAACCTATGACCTACACGGACAATAGGATTATAGGAAATCGTCTGCGGACGACGGTTATATGGCTGGAAACTGCCTACGATCTCACGTTAACCTGACTGAAACTGGGTATGCACTTTCTATATTCACAAAAGCAGGTGCCGAAGCCAAAAAATTGATGGTCGGTGTAACGAGCTACGGCCGATCATTTGAAATGATCACAGCAAAATACACCGGTCCAGACTGTACCTTCACTAGACCCGACTCGGGTGCGACACCTAGAAGATGCACACAGACTGCCGGATACATTGCCAACGCTGAGATTGATGAGATCATCTCGGACAACCCCACGGTTCAGGTCCTGTTTGACGATGACAGCGACTCTGATATCATAGTCTACAATAACACCCAATGGGTTGGGTACATGACTACCACGACAAAGAGCACTCGCACCACCTACTACAAAAGCCTAAATATGGGTGGCACAACCGAATGGGCAGTAGATATTGAGAAGTTCCTTGAGAGCGCAGACGATATCTCGATCGTCAACCTGAGTACCGATCTGACAGACGCTGAACAATGCGAAACCCCAGACCCCGACGAAGTAACCGCAGCAGAGGCAAGCTCGGAAAGAAACGTGGCTGGATATATCGATAGCCTGATCACTGGTACACTGCAAGGGGAAACCAGTTAGATGTCACAGCAAACTATATCATCTTGGGCATGGATCTAACATATTTTCCAGCCAACTGGTCTCAAGCTGTCTTCGACGACTCTAACGTGAAGTGCTCTTCCTATCCGATCAATGAGGACTGCAACTTTCCTTCATCAAGTGCCTGTACTTCATTCAGCAATCCCGCGCGTTACTGGGCACAGTTCGTTATTGCCAATTTCTGGGCCTACATGGATAAGTTTGGGGCGTTGTTTGACTTGGCAGATAATAATGTCACAAAGCAAATCCTGCAGCTAACAACCGACTTCCCAGTGCAAGCCCCCGATGCTATCCCAGATGTTGCTTCACTTCTTACCAACTTTGCCGGAGTTCTATCTATCGAGCCGTCATACGGAAGCGATATTGCAGACTCTGTGGTGGGCGTGGCTGGCGGTCTTATGTCCGAAGAGTCATCGAACTTGGATTCCTCCGATTCCGAGACGAATTCCGAGACCATTCTTTATAGTAGGAGCGTTGCTATTGCCACTGCTTTCTATGACTCGGTATCATTAGTTCTGATCGACATGTTCGATACCGGTGACCTATCTAGTTGGCCTTCTTCGCTGACTAGTGGTGACTACACTACCGACATTGCCAACTTCTTCGACAGCCGATTCATGTTTGAGTTGACGGGTACTGATGAAAAAGGCATGGAAAGCTTGCTCAATGAAGGTCTGTTAGCGACTATGGCTGGCACGGCGCTTGTTGGGGCGAATTATTTCATCCTCAGGGGAGCCTATACTACCAGCGGTTGCGCGGACGTCACCAGCGGCATTGTAATCGACGGCTATTGCTACACTCTCGAGTACCCCGGTGAAGGATGGTGACAGCGCCCACGGCACTGCTGGCACAGGAAGCGAAGAGAGAGAGAGAGGGAGACTGAGTCAAATTGGTCTATCTAGAGCATGAAGACGAAGACGACTAGGAAAAAGGAAGAAGAAGAAGCAGAAGGGAACAGAACAGGGTCTATAAGGCCCTGAAGCACAAAGGAAAGGAACAAGGCCTGGTCCTGACAGGAAAACCCCGGCCTGCTTCATGCAGGGCCAAAGAAGACGACAAACCCTGCAAACCCTCGAGGTCAAAGGGATCGAGTCATCAGATGGAGTGGATCGGAAGAGGATGACTTCTCGGACCCGATCAGCAGCGATGATTTAAACAAGTTGACAGGCACATACTACGTCTCTTTGGAGAGCCTTTACACGAACTCCTATACTTGCCAAAATCAAACAGGCGATTATGGGGGCACAATGTCCATTGACGTGGCCTTGGCAGTCAGCACTTCTCTTCCGACTTGCTTCTACAATTTTCCTATCTTTGAATTGGAGTATACAGGTGCCGACAGCATCCCTGGGTCTCCATGCCAAATTCTGACCAACAATGGCACTGCCAGTACGCCAGAAGTCGGTGTGACATACATGCCCTCCAACCTGGCAGACATTTTCACCGACGACTTCTGCTTTTGTTCTGGAAGTAACAAAGAATGTACTGATCTGTAAGTGAGATTTGACTGGACATATTCCGGCTCTATACCTGGGCACCGAGATTGCAATATAATATGGTCAGCAAAGTGGTGTCCCGAAGATCCTGAATTTAGATCCTTATTTTTCATTCGCATTAGGTGGAAAGAATGCTGAGTTCTTCTAAAGTAGTAGAGTAGACCGAGGTACATTCGCAGAACTTCCGAAGAGGAAAGTATTTAGCACAATATATCGATGTGATACAGATGTGATTGAATATGTCACCGGGTATTGTATGATCAATTGCATGGATCTATCTCACATTCAATGCTTCACTTATCATATTACAGTTCTGGACTGCCAAACTTCTCAGCCTAAAGTAAGTATCATACCGCAAACAGAACAATCAACTGCCTGTCAGCCAGTACGCCATCCAACAAGACGAATATATGGTTCTCTTCCTGAAAGTACAGCTCTAATTCCAGACAGATGGAAGGTATTTGTATCTGACTGAGCCTCGTTTATTTTTCGGCACTAGTTTTCAGCGCCTCGTGATCTCCAATAATCTCATTTACCGGAATACTGGCATTAATGCCTTTCTTACATTCTACAGTCTTCCCAATCACACTCATTTTATCGATAAGGGTACTCAGGGTTGCGGTCTCCAACTGGGTTACATCAGTGCCAAACGCGATGGATACGGCGGTGAATGAACCTTTTACGCCGGAGTACTACCACTTGAAGTGAATTACCTTAGCCGAAAGGTCAGTATTCTTTACAGGGTCTAATCTATCAGAGCATCTAGACCGGTGCCCTTTCATAGAGGCTATGAGTTACTCAGGCCCGGTTTCCATACCAGCAAACCCATATGTGCAGCATCATCTCGGTAGGCGCGACTGTCATTTCTTTGTTTATGCTATTTTCCTAACACATGATAGGCCCGTCTGTTGCTCTAACCGAACAGCTAGAATTGCATCGAGACAGTACCCCGTTACTAGGAACCTACGACGAGAGCAAAAAGGATTCTACTTCACCCGATGTTAGTTCTCCTTGTACGCATGTCTCGCCCTCACCGTCTCCAAATAGTCTTGAATTTATACGGTGCCCCTAAGCTAGGCCTGCCGCCAGAGTTATCACCAAAAACGAATCAGCCGTGGATGACTCTAAGGACGGGCCGAAAACCTCCGAAGGTTAGGCAGAGGACGGTTACCGATATAGCAAGAAGATATTACAGCGTATCAGCGTGATCGTTAAGCGCCACCATCAAGCGACAGCCTCGTTATCCCATTGAGGAGCTCTAAACATAGAAACGGTCATCTCAAGAGGGACCCTGTAATCAGAGTATCCAGCTTACCTACCTCCCAGCATATACAAGCAACACCCTAACCACCTTCTGCTAAACACTTACAACCCTTAAATGAAAAGTATCATAGTGCCACCGATTTCCAAACGGCGTGTCTCAATTGGAAAAGAAAAGATAAGAAAAGGATAAAAAGGGCTCACAACTCAAAACACAGCCTGAAAGCACGCACCAAAACCAGATCCAAAACCAAGATCAAAGAGATACACTCGACATAACGCCATGGCTCATAATCACATCCAAAAAACAGGATTCGGTTCAGGTTCGGGCTGGGGTCACGAAACGCGATACCCGCGCAGCAAAAACAGCAGCAAAACAAAAGATCCTCTCAGAAATCACATCGCGCCCCAATCCAATCCAATGAGTTTGTCTTGAATACAGCGAGGTTAATAGTGTCTGGGGATCAGCTATCGACATAAAGGAAATCTATAGTGAGTTGGCCCTGAATACAAGTCGTACAGTCGATGATGACGATGATGATTTCATTTACCCTGATCCCTCGCGAACGATATGCAGGATCTACAACTATATATCTCTCTACGCATGCAGATTCCGTGTCCCACTTCCAAAGCGAATTTGATGCCTCGCCTGGGCCTGTCGTGGCTTAATAGCCGATTTGTTTTCCGGCTGCCTTTATGTTGTTCGGCTTTGAAACCGATGTGATGCTTCGGCAAAGTCCAAGACAGCTTCCACTGTCTTAGCCCGTGAAGCACTGTCAATCTTACCCATTCCCTCTCCACCAGATCCCCCCAACAAGGTAGGCTGTTAAAGGAGTCGCCGACCTTTGCTCGGAGTTCTCGCCGTAGATCTCTCAGCTCCGGACAATCCAGCAGAATATGGGTTACACTCTCTCGTTCGCCACAGGTACAGAGGTCGTTATCGCTGAAACGGAAGGTCTTCGCGTAAGTGATAGCCAGCAGTGTCCAGTTCGCAATTGCGTTTGTAAGTAAGCCCGGTTTCTAGGTAAGGGCGCGTAGAGACGTCGGGTGTACTTGGCTGGCAATGTCTTGTCGATTTGGCGCAGGTGACTGCCGGCCTTCGACTCTTTCCATTCCTTTTCCTATTGAGCTTTGATTCCTTGCCTGATGTGTGCCCTCTCGTGTGATATTAAAGGACTGAATGGGTTTGTCTTGCCCGGTATGGCGGCCTCTTTAGCTAGCCGGTCGGCACTGTTATTTCCGGGTATTTCGTTACAGTAGAGCGAGAGATGAATGTAGCGGGGCTTTGTCGCGTCAAGGGTGACCCGTAAACTGGTAGCATCATCCTAGATACGGTACAGTCGAATAGAGAATAAGGCGCAGGACTGTATAGTGGCCTACACTATGCAGCATGTAAGTCTCGCGTATAATATGTTACCATCCGCCGTGTAGGTTTTATGTATGATGCTGACGGCGGCATTACGTATCTCGTAGAAGTGAGGGCCAGAAGTATACACGTGAAACCAAAGTACCCTTCCTAATGATGTCCTACTTGAACCCTTGAAAGCACATACCTGGTCCCGGGAACGAGGACAACGGCTCCAGGATCTGGCTCGACAGCCTTAAGAGCAAAATAGATCCTGGGGTGAGTGGTTGCATTCCCGGATTCGGTTTAGTCATTTACGGGATCGCAGATTGGGATCCCAGAACGGACTATTTGTCTCTTAATCTGCTCGGAGAAGCCTGCGCGTAAAACCAAAGTGCCCAGTCCAGGGGCTTCTCAGACAGATCCCCCAAACCAAAGGTCTGGCCCTGGGATCGTAAGTGAGCGTTCTAGGAGCGCTCCAACTTCCGAGACGGTTTGATATGACCCTTAAACCGGCCGTGCCGTGAATAGGTTAACCTAGGCTGTGAGTATGTTGTATGTCCATATTTGACATCCCGCACGGCGGCAGTAGTCCTAAACATGAGTGTCTGCCCTCATCTATACAGTAGGATTACACCTTCTATGGGAAAATATTCGTAGCGAGCGGTGAGCTATGCAGAGAGTGGGCGCTAGGCTTCAGGGGTCACTCAAAGATTTGTAGTGGGTGACGTTGAGAGGATATACTGGAGTGAGCAGCATCTAGGTCGGTCTTTGAGATACGTAGAAAGAGGCCTTTGTGAGTGCCATTGTTGGCTCGCAGCGAGGAAGGGGGAACAATAGGACATTTTAGGAAGGGTCTTGGTCTCCGGCTCGGTTACACAAAATGGATCTCTCCGGCAACGTCGTAGCGAGTTTCGTTTCTGGCCATACGACCTCATCGTGATCGATAAACGACGCTTCTTGGAGAATGACCAAATCAAGGACGTAGCTTTCAATTCTCAAATTGCACAGCCTGAACCGCCTTTGCCCTTGAAACGATGTCTGGTTTACCTTTCTCACCTTCGGTTGAGCCGGCTCGACACGCTGCTCAGCGCACCTCCAACTTCCCTTCTCAATTCCACCCTCAATTCTCGGAGCCTTGAGCATTCCAGTAGTACGTGGGCGACTGTCTCCCGAGTTCCACATTCACATAGGTCGTCATCGCGGAAGCCGAACTTCTTTGCGTATGTGGATAGCCAGTTGTGACCCGTGCGAAGCTGTGTCAGCAGGTAGGCGCGACTCCTTGGTAGGTTTCCGGTCCGGTCCATAGTGATTTAACAAAAACGTGTGGTGTCCCTATCAATTTCCCCCGTGAAATTCATCGCTTAGTTCAGCAGAATGAAACACTCTTTTCTTCTCATCTCTTTGCATTACCTCTGTTTAAATCCGTTACTCTGATTGGCTGGTAGTTACACATATTTCCAGAGCTATACAGGCCGATCATGTTAGATTATATAGTATGGCAAGTTGAGCTACTAATCCTCTTGGACGAATAGGCAACAAGGTGAGGTAAAGCGGAACCAATCTTGGATGGATGGGTCTGATTGAAGAAAGAACGAATATCATGGGGCAGGTTGAAATACCCCACGGATGGCCAAGACACACGGTGGTCTCTTAAATTTAAACGGATCATTTGTGGAAGGCGGTGAGTTTGCCCGCGACAGCGGACCGACAAGGTTCCTGGACCTATTTCAAGATGGTGGCGTTCTTCGGCTGATGCCTTGAAATAGGTTCCGGCCAACCTGGGCTGCCTATGCGCTCCGTTTCCAATCGGTAGGTGCAACCCTTCCCGCATCTTCTCCCAACATGGCTACCGATGAAGGTCGGGATGTGCGGTCGAACAACCGGCTGGCGCAGGAACGGGAATTTTATAAGTGCGAATGAGCTCTGAATGTTCCTGGTGATACGATAGCTGACCTCCTCCTACGGCAGGTACATTCCAAGCCACCATTCCGTCTCGCATTTCGCTCCTTTCGACGCCGCCAGCCACAGATCCTTCGTCCCACAGTCGTCCAGAGATTCAGCTTTGAATTCCTTCGCCCAGCTGGGTGCCATCCGCCTCGGGACCCAACGGGCCTTGATTTCTCTCTTCGATCGTACCCACCAGCATATCATAGCGGAAGCCACTCCGACATTAAGTATCGTTGGGGGTATCTCCCAAGATGATCGTGACCGGCTACGACTGGGATGCTGCGTGCTCCCGAAAGAGAGCGGCTTTTGTCACCATGTCGAGCGCTTGCCATCGTCAGATTCCGTGGAGAACAGTGCAGCACTTGGGGGCAGCGCCCTGGTCATTTCGGATGTGACTGACGATAAGCGTTTCAGACCCACCACATTACTTCATGCACTATCTGACGTGCGCTTTTATGCTGCTGTGCCTATCGTCAGTCCGCGGGGTTTTACGATTGGCGCGTATAGCATAATGGACAGCGAGCCGAGACCGTCGGGTCTCGAAGAGCAATGTCTTCTATTCATGAAGGACATGGCTGCGACCATCATGGAGCATCTGGTGCTGGGTTATTCTGCACGCCAAAACCGCCTGGCAGAACGTATGATTATGGGCTTGGGGAGTTTTATCGAGGGCAAGTCCACTCTACGTGATTCATGGTCGGAGGCCAACATACAGCATGCTGCATCGGAGCATTCCGGAGAGCCGATTGAGGGCCAGTTGAACATTCAACAACAAGACATACAAGAAAATGCCAAGCGAACCGATGAAAAATCCCTTTTCTTTCGGGAGTCGATAAGGAGAGATTGTCACCCTTCAATGCGACCATTCGACAACAGCAGCAATCTGGCGGATCGCAGCCCAGGACCTTGGATGGAATCAACGCAATCGGATACACCTGTTCGAAGTGCGACTGCAGACGGTATATTGCAAGAAAATCCTCTTTCAACGAACATAAAACATATTTTCTCACGGGCAGCAAACATAATCAGAGAATCAATTGGAGCGGAGGGAGTCATGTTTCTTGATGCCGATACCGACCGCTTCGGTTCCCTCGTCGATCATATGAGCAGCAAACGGTCTGATCCTGGGGAAAAAGATTCAAGCGGCGAAGAAAGCACTGATTCAGGATCTTCATCGAGGCGCAAGTGTGGGGAGCCCAAGATTACTTCGCTGTGTGCGTGCTTGGGGTTTTCCAGCTCGCGAGGGTCGAGTATCAATGATGACTCCGTAGCTGGTCGGGAAATCCTGATGCAACAGCCCTTGTTAAAGACGCTTCTTCAGCGATATCCTCGTGGGCAAATTTTTTCTTACAACGCCCAACGATTACTTTCAGAATATAGCGACGGCACTACAGAGAATTTGACCAACTCTAATCACGGCGCCTCATCCGCTGATTCTTATTATAACGCCCGGTGGCGCGCATCAACCAAAAAAAGAAGGAAGTCGATTTTTCAGCGAGATGCCGGCCGCCTGATCGAAATTTTCCCTGGCGCTAGCAATATCCTTGTATTGCCTGTCTGGGACTCGGACAAACGCAGGTGTACTGCCGGGGCGCTGGTCTGGACGAATAACCCTCGGCGTATGTTCACGTTTGAGAACGATCTCGTGTACATTTCCGCTTTCACCAACAGTATCATGGCTGATATTCATCGACTCGACATGGAGATGGCAGACAAAGCCAAAACCAACCTGGTTCACAGCATTACACACGAGCTTCGCACCCCACTCCATGGGATCCTAGGTACATCGGACATTCTCGGCGACACGGCCATGAATGCCATGCAATATGGCATGATACATACAATCGAGTCATGTGGACGCACCCTCCTGGATATCATTAACAGCCTGCTTGATCTTAGTTTCATCGACAAGTATCAGAAGGAATCATCGCGCCTTACCGGAAACCAAGGGGCGGAGCAGGTCGACATGTATTTCAGTTCGACAAAAGGAGGCAGCGTGCAGAGTAAAGACCGCGGTGAGACGGTTTCATCCGCGCATGTCAAGCTCGATGAGGTGCTGGAGGAAGTCGCCGAGTCCGTTTTTGCCGGATATAGCTTCTACACCCGTTTCAACGCGCCATCTCCAGCGTTAGCTGGTTCATCTACGTCCACGCGATCGGCTGGCCCAGCGGGCGCACTCGGTCAAGCTGGCCCGAGTGTCAGCCAAATCACGATCATCTTCGACATCCAGCCAGAGACGGAGTGGGATTTTCTCACACACGCGGGTGCTTGGCGCCGCATACTGTTGAATGTTTTCGGTAATGCGCTGAAGTTTACATCTTCCGGCTATATCTATCTCGGTTTGAAATCATCCCGAAACCGCCGCCCCCGAAGCGACATGGGATCAATTACTGAAGGCGAGCAAGGTGATAAATATGATGTCACTCTTACCGTGAAGGATACTGGGAAAGGCATCGGACATGAATTCCTGCAAAATGATATCTTCACACCCTTTATGCAGGAGGACCCACTTGCATCCGGTAGTGGACTGGGGCTGAGCTTCGTTCATCAGGCCGTTGGATCCCTAGGGGGCTCGATCGAGATCAACTCTACCAAGGGAGTAGGCACTGAACTGTTGGTCTGGGTTCCACTCATGCGCTTTCCCAATAGATCAACTGTCTCGCCGGAATCGGTGCTCAACACCTTGCAGATTTATACTAAGGGAAAGACGATTGGTTTTCTGGGCTTCGGGTCGTCTCTCCACTCTCAACGAGATACAGCGTTGTACTCGACCTTGGAGCGATTGTGTTGCGGATGGTTTGGTCTGAAAGTCGCTAACATATCCGCATCGAAGTGTGAAACTGACGGCTTCGACTTTCGCGTAGCCGTTCAGACGGAGCTGGACTCGGAGGATATTGAAGGGAGAAAGCTTTTTGACCGCTCTCCCCGTGCCGAAGACGGCAATGGTTGCAGCTCACCGGTTGTGGTCATCTGCCAGTCCCCTGAGGCAGCCCACAGGTTGTTTGTTGCGGCCAAGAATCGGGGTGAGGCCTCGATCTTCGAGTTTATCAGCCAGCCTTGTGGGCCTCGAAAACTGGCCCGGGCGCTGGACATGTGTATTAAGCGGCGGCTCCATCGACAGTCAGGCCGGCCCTCTCCTGACGAGACGACACGCTGGGTTGAAATGCCAGAGTCCTCTCATTTGCCGTTGGACGTTGATACCAGGGATACACCTGAAGACAGGATGAAAATTAGCAAGCGATCGATGCCGGAAGCAAACCCGAGTTCAGAGTTACAAACTGATCGACTTTCATCAGCGGAACAAAGACGACCACTGGATTCACGGGACACCTCCCAACCCACGTCTTCTTCAAATGAGGGACGGGAGAAAATAGACCCTCCTAATCCATCCATCTTGTTAGTGGACGATAACGAACTAAATCTTCAGTTACTGTGTGCCTACGCGAAAAAAGGAGGTTTTGAGTACATGACGGCTCGGAACGGGGCTCAGGCAGTCGCCATATATGAGGCCTACCCCTGCCAATTCCGGGTAATCATCCTTGGTATGTCCAAGGGCACTGTCCTTTTCCTTCTTTTGTCCGTTCTTTGAGTCAAACCCTTTTTTTACGCGTTTGCTGCTTATACTGGCGTATCAGATATTTCCATGCCCGTCATGGATGGCTTCGAGGCGGCCCGACAAATTCGCCGCCTCGAGAAAAAGCACCGGGCCCTGTTGAGCGAATCGGCTCGACAGGCCCTGCCGCCCACAACCATCGCAGCTTTGACAGGGCTCCACAGCCCTGCTGCCCAGAAAGAGGCGTTCGGTTCCGGAATCGACTCTTTCCTCATCAAACCGATCAAGCGATTGGATTTGTACGCCGTTCTGCAGCAGGTGAAAGAAAATTCTATACTTTCTGAGGATTCTCCAACCCCACAGTCTATATAATGCGACCTCACGCAGGTATCGACACTTTTGGGTCAATCGATTCGTCGAAGAAAGTCTGGCAATCATATTCCCATCTATATTTATCCTCACAATTGACCAGCATTAATCTCATTGCATCTGCGGAGGGTCTCACGATTCCAGCTCGATCTAGGGCTTGGTAGAGGTAAAGGGAACACGCTTGTATAACTGATTCAGTGCGACTCTGATAGGGCAGTTGAGTGCGCAAAATGGCTGGTTGAATTGCTGGATCAAAATTGAATACTGAATTCCTCTTGCGGGCGGGGCCACGTGGAAGGGAACCTGTCTGCCTTTTTCACCACGTTAACGATTGGAGGCAGCTTAGTTTAGCTAGCTGGCCGTTTACCATCTGCTTTCGACAGATGGTAGGCTATCTTCTGTTGAAACTAAGAAGGGGCGACATGCGACCGTGATCAGAGGTGGTAATGTGATTCTCTAAGCGATATTTTGGAAGAAGCCCTGGTGCGATCAAAGTATACTGGAGTACAGCCCAGTTTTGACAGGAAAGAAGATATGCCAAAAAGGGCAGCTCATGAAGGATTTCCTGGAGAGACAATGAAAGAATGGCCGCTGAACACCTTTTCCCCAAACGGCACATGAGGAAAACAAAGGAAGTTTAATGACTGGTCAGGAATACGGAGTCGAGGACAGTCTTAGGCTTCAGATTCGATCCAAGTTCGCCGCCTTGTTTTCTCGTTTTTGGGTCAGCTTAGCATAGTGCAGTCCGCGGGCATTACACATGTTCGGGGACTTTCTGGACCCCGGCGTTATTCCGGCCTTTCGGCTCGGTAACAGCTATAGCAACTGAACTATTTCCTGATCACTAGGCACAGAAGCACTCTAATTAAATCATCTACCCCCGGGGAGTCTTTGTTGGGGGATAGTTGGGCAACTCAAGTACACGGGCACTGCACATGCATGTACAGAATGACCCACCCCATTGTCTTATTGAAGCTAAATTTCAGTACTCTGCAATCTTGGACGGTCGTCTAAGACTACTGGAATCTAGCTTGGCTAGCGTATACTCCCGATATGCGTCCGCTGAGGCTTGACCAATGCGGTAGGGCCTTATGATAGTTCTGAGTTTTGGCCAACATCTCGCGGAATGATCTGGTGGAGAATGCTATCATATTCTCCCTCCTTATTTGAGAAAGGGTGCAGCTAACCAGCGAAAATAATGTCATATAATACGTGGTATATTAGGCAATTTTGCTTATGCGGAATGAGCCTAGCTGCGCTGGATGAGTGACGATGACCTGTATCACATCCTAGTGTTACCGCTATTCGACCTATAGGAGTATAAATAGAGCGCAAGGAGCTCGGTCCCTAGGCTTTCATAACCACATTATTATACTCCAGTTACTCCTACGAAGAACAAACAACGTGGTATTTATTGCTAAACTTCTTGTTCTGGCATTAACTGCTGCTGCCACGCCTATCCTTCGCCGCGATGCTGTTACGGTTGAGAACGATATATCTCAAAAAATCGGCCCGCAAATCCAAACCCTTGATACCGACGTTAATGGTTTCCCCGCTAGTGGTCTCTCTGGAGTACTTGCTATTCACAACGATTTCCAGAATCTTGTTACTATTGTGAATGGTGCGACTAGCGATATCGAAAGCGCCGGCTCCTTTAGCGAGACAGAGGGAACTACTATACTTCCGGACGTCCAAGACCTGACACCCACTTTATTGGATATATTGTCTTATATAACGTCTCAAGTGGATGCTTGGCAAGATATTCCGGGGGGCTACGCTCTAGTTCTTAACGACCTCTAGTCTCTCAACACGACCTTCGACGGATTCGCTAACGCTTTGATAGCAGCCGAGTCCGCTGATCTGGTTCCGTCGGCCACGTCAATCAAGACTCAGATTAACGGTGCCTTCGCCTCTGCAATAGCCGCTTACTCCTAGGGCTGTTGGCTCTTTTATGTCATCGAACAGCCGCCGTTGACGGTATATACCGACAATATATCCTGTTAGCTTCAAGAGTGAATGGAATTGGGGTATGAACAGTGGAAGGTGTCGAACTGAACAGCGGTTATCTTACCGGATTTTTCATCGAGATTCCTGCATCCAACTCCCTTTGTTTTTGTATGTTATCAAAATTATGGAGCTACCTACTATTTACTCTTATATGTTGATCTTATGCCCTACAATTCATTGGTTTTTGTATGTGTCGCAGCATTCCTCGCTCCTCTCTTCTAGCAGTCAGAAGCCACAATTGGTATTCAACATGCCAGCTATCTTACACACATTTTTGATCTTTTTCTCAATCAATCAATATTAGTTCAATTGAATTGGTTCATCTTGGTCAAATAGCCGTATCGATGCATACTATGTCGCCCGCAAGGTGTCTTATCACCAGGCACCACCAAACAGGAGGCCACTACGGCATTGACATCATATCAATCAACAATGATCCACCTTAACAGGCAACTAACACAATGGACCAATGAAACAAGCGATGGTGGAGATCACCACCCAAATCTTACTGTTGAGCCATGCCTATCAACTTGCGCCGAAATGGGCACCAGCCGAAGCGTCAGGCCCTCTGTGCTGTATGCTGAAAGAGATATGAAACCGCTACGATGACGTTTCGAGCACCATTCCTCATATTATTTTTGGAATGCAATAGCTGAAAATCTTATACTATTAACGAATGTACGGACAAAATTAAGAATTGGGCATCTAGTATTGTGAGGACCGGTTATCAAATATTATTGGACACGTCCCCTGAGCTCGTACGGTTGACTACAGAAATGAGTTTGCTACAACGAGCAACTTGTTGTCATCATACTGTACACCCTCACTAACATCATTCAGCATGAGCCGCATTTTGACGCAATACTCAAGCTATTAACTGCCTGGTTGGATGGCTTCTGCAAGTCTGACTGTCCAGTGGAGTTGAATCAATGGCTCATTGTTTCGCCTTTGACGCCGTAGGCGAGGCCATTTTTTTTAAGTTAATTGGCTTTCTTGAACGCAGTAAAGAATCTATTAACTAGAATCTATTGATTCTTGACTGTGAAAAGCGCACTGACCGCCGAAGTGATGGAGTTGTGCGAGATTCCACGACCTGGCATGATCCACTTGCAAGTCGAGCTGATTGACGGACACCGTGTTCCATGCTATATCTCATCAACCCCCTCTGGAGAAAGTAAAGTGTCCGGATATTTGATGCTGCATCCATGGTACTCCGAGAGTGGCAAATATTCTTGCTCGGCGGTCGCGGCAAAGAAGCCTAACAACGTGCTCCTTCCCATTCCGGGCTGCCTGCTCCAGGGCTGACTATCCATATCGATTAGTACCCGTAACATCGAGTCGATCATCTCTGAGCAATAGCTGCACAATATCCAGATTCCCATACGAGACAGCTATGTGCGGTGCGGTGTCCCCAAGAGAGGTCTTTGCATTAAAATTCAGTCGAGACCCTTTTTTAAGCAAGAGCTGTTTGCGATCGGGATGAATAGAGGAGACTTGTGCCAGTAGGTCTAATAGATATCGACCTTTTGAAGAGAGACGAGTCGGCAAACAACTTCCAGATGTCCCCTCTCGGCAGCAAGATAAATGGGAGCTGCGTGCGATACATTCAAATCTAGTTCGGTCCTAGTAAGGAGGAGCTCCAGCATCCGCAGATCGCCCTGACCCGCTGTGTTACTGAGGGCCGTCCAACCCTGGTCATCGCAGATGTTTGGATCCAGTGAATCCAGCTTCACAAGCAGACACGCGAGGTGGATGTTTCTATTTTCAACCGCAAAGTGAAGAGCTGTCTTTTGGCCAAAGCCGCGTGCATTGATATTAGCTGGTTCCTCGGCCAAGATCTGCAATTTGCCGTATCAGTGCTTTTGTGATATGTACTTTTCCGCTGCCAAGAATTCCAGTAAAGTTGATATATTCTTAGGTTACATAGTTATAACGATTACAAAAGTCACTATAGGTAATTAGATAGGCGGCATGATGCAACAAAGCTTTTCTACCCATCTCGGACGTTTCTGTGCATGGCGTTATCTTAATGAACCACGAGTTTTCTAGTAGAGTGTGCTGTCCCGTAATCCCTCACTCTAACATTTGTAATTGTTGTTTAAAAAGGAGATGTTGAGTGAGAAATCAAATACTGTTTCAGCTGCTCTCAGGCAACATTGCATAAATGGATTGGGAGTGACAGTGCTCAAATGATGAAGTACCTAGTGGGCGTTTCATCACACAGGGCGGTTCATGTCGCCGGGATGGGGGTTAGGCAGACTGCCACTTGCCGGGAAGAGGGCCATCTGCAGAAGGTCGCGGGAGCTAGCAAGGCCCCAATTCAACATTCCTGTCTGGAGGGAGCCACATGTAGAGTAACTGCACTCTGGATTCTGAAGTGATCTTGTTTCGATATTGATTACATGACTCGAATATTCCACCAGAACAGAAATTACGATACCAGACTCCCTTTTGGGAATAGCGGTATTTTACCTTCACCTCCTTCCGCTCCCCCGCCCCTGAGATAAATCACGGCAGAGCTGGTTGACGCTCGCCCTGCCTATGTGATACATTGATGCAGCTTGGGCCCGACTTATTTCGTGATTCAGCTGATGCGCCGGGTGTGGTTCACTTTCAAAGCGTTCTGCTATCTATCGAAACATCGTGCAGTGCCCATTCCCAGCTAAATCGGCATCGTCTGATTCACTGCCAATGGCTACCCTGGATCTTTCTGCCATTCGCAGTCGGATCGGAGAATTGCGAGTGACATCCGATGGGTTGATTGCTTTGATTGGGACTTGTATCAGTGTCGCTGCCTTGACCTATTTGCTCTCGACTATTCAAGGCGCCGTCACGGTTCACAACAAACGCCATGGAAGCCGACCCCCAAAACTTCCGTATGCCATTCCACTGCTTGGCCATCTTCCAGAGTTCCTCAAGAACACTATGGAATTTTTGGCTAGGGCTACGTACGTTTGATTTCATCATGGAGGTTTCAAGAATTTCTGCTAAGCTGTATGTCCAGAGCTAAATATGGGCCGTCCACTCCAGTCCGGATACAGCTTCTTAACCGGCGCATGAGCCTGCTCAAGGGCGCTGAGTCCATCACTGCCCTTTTTAGAAACTCAAGGGACTTGAGCAGCGAGCACTGGCTCGTGCAGGTCTTGGTCAATGCCTTCGGTGTGGAGGTTGCTGATGCACCCTTCTATCTGGCTGACGACACCGGGATTGCCAATCAGCCTGATCCCAGGAGTAAGATGACCAACCCGGAATATCGCATCTTTCATTTGGTCTTCAAGTCAGTCCACAGTGGCTTGAGCGGAGCGAGCCTTGAGGAGATGGAGAGCCAGCTTGTGCGAAATCTGTCCTCTCAGATCAATGAAGCCGACATTCAATCCGACTCATGGACTACAATATTTGACCTGTACGGCTCATTGATTCGCACTATTGCTTTCAGAGCAGCTGTCGTTTCACTCTGCGGGCCAAAGGTTTTCGAATGCATCCCGACCTTCGATGCCGATTTCTGGACATTCGACAGCGCACTCCCGGATTTGTTTAAGGAAATGCCACGATGGCTGGCACCGGCATCGTATGCGGCTAGGGATAAGATGAAGGAACATCTTCAAAAGTGGCAGTCCTTTGCTCACGAGCATTATGATGTCAGCCAGGGCAAACTGGACAAGAGGGAATGGGAAGAATTTTTCGGATCTAGGTTGATGAGGACGAGACATGAATTCTTCCAGAAGATGCCCTTGAGCAAGGAGACCATCGCCGCGGATGATCTTGGATTGGTGTGGGCGTATGAATCCTTCTTCCAATTTGTCTTCCTGGAGAAACTTTGCTGATCCATGAATAGTGCGACCGCAAATACCGTTCCTGCGATTGGCTGGATGCTCCTGGAAGTTCTCCAGCGTCCGGACCTTCTACGGAGAGTTCGTGAAGAGATTGCTCCGTACATCTCCTTGGACCCGTCCGACCCAAGCCGGATGATCGTCGATATCCCCAACCTTTGCAGCCGCCCCCTCCTGCAATCTTTATACGCCGAGGTCTTGCGTCTCCGCTCTGGCACCGTCATCAATCGAGTCCCGACGTCTAGCGATTTTCACATTGGCGGCTGGCATTTCAAGAAAGATGAACAGATCATCATATCCACCTACGATACCGCGCGCGACCAATATGTCTGGAATCAAGGCACCGTTGACGACCCACACCCTGTGAATGAATTTTGGCCAGACCGTTTCATTCTCTACCCGGATAATCCCAACAGCGGTCCTGTTCTACCGACCATTGCACAGCAACAGCCAAAGAAGATGCAACATCCACCAATCTCGGAACCTACTTTCTCCCTCGATGGCACGGCTGGATCTTGGATCCCCTACGGTGGTGGCACGCGAATGTGTCCCGGGCGCCACTTCGCGAAAAAGGAGATGATTGTAACCCTGGCAATGTTTCTGACGGAATTCGACATTGAGCTATTAATTGATGCGGATTGTGAAATCAAGCCGGATTTGAAGTATTTCATGTTTGGCGTGATGCATCCACAAGGGAAAATACCCGCTCGGATTCGGAGAAGGCGTTTCAATTGATCCCGGTGTTGAATTGATTTTTACTTCATCACAGCGCTGGGCCGAGACTTGGGTGGGAAAGAGGCTGAGTTGACACAATTCGTATAGCCATAGCCATACAAATGGGATCCTGTTAACGGCACGACAAGAACGTTCACGGCACGACATACTAAACCACTTTTGGGTTATCGCGGACCCACCACCAAAATGTACACTCAGCCTCTGCATAAACATGCCAAGCTATTTATGCATACATATCTCTATACATTAGGAATTTGTGATGTTCCATATAGTGTCACCTCGACCTTAGCAATGTGCCTACGTAAGGGTCAGTAAATATCATATCCCTTGCTACCACAACAATCACCACTCCATGGCAACGCCCTTTCACCCCTACCAGCTCTTTATAATAACCTCGAATTTCCGCATCCACCACGTCTCATTTCATCGTCCTTTCTTCTATAAGGCAAGGTATGTGTACAGGGCCTTGATTAACCCCAGATGTTCTGGCCCAAGAGGCCAGAAGCTAGGCAATTCACTCTTCCTGCTAAATTGTCGTCGTTCGTGCATCTAATGCCTTAGATGTACGCCTCTCTTATCAGCAATATTACTAAAGGACGCGGAAGAAAAATACGAGTAACGCGTCAAGGATATTATCGAAAATGTAGCTTGCTTTAAGCTTCCAAGAGAGCTTGGAACCTTTGTGTTGGAGATTGAAACTGCCGAACTTGCTATCCGCTTGTATAGCAAGAAACCGGTTCCCTTAATTTGCACGCCGGTATAGTCAGAAAAGGCTATTGTCCTATTCCCGTTTCTTGATCCAGAGAGCAGGAAGCTGGAGTTTAGGAGATAGTGTCGTGTTTGTTATCTAAGGTTAAGGAAACACGAGAATCTGTGGTGTGAATCTGAAATGCCGCCTAGTGATGAACAACTGGCGTATTGGGAGTAGGACTAGCGTTATCTCAAAGAGCTTAGATTAGTATTATTTAGAAGAAAATAGCTTTTATAGTATATTACTAGCGGTGAATGTCTAGAAGCTCCGAAGCTCTAGTCTAGGGAGGTTCGCTAGGTTTTAGAACAGTGGAAAGCTAAGTCCTCGGCGAATGAGAGAAATAAGTCTCTTAGTTTCTGCTCTTTTTAAGTATCATTAAAGTAGCAGATATACCTGGATCATTTTCGTCTGTGCGTCCTCTATATTGTATCTCCTCCGCTCCGCACTTTATGTATATCTGTCACAGGGATTATTTTCCCACGCTAATGTTACGGGAAATGGGGTGGCCGAGGCGGTCGTGGGAGTAACTTGTTACGGATATTGTTTTCTTTTTTTCTGAATTTCTTCTGTGTGTCTATTATTAGTTTGTCTGGTGTATGGTTGGTTTTGGGAATGTCTCTACTTTTGGTTGTGGGATATACTTTATTCGTCGGTGGCTATTCTCTGCTTCAATTAATATGATATAGCAGAATAGTGATATTATAGATACTATAAGTATCACTTTCTGCTTTAAAGACTGATCCTACTCTTATAATACTTAGGGTTATTCCTGTGAGCTACGTTGTTACGGACCTCAAAGAGGCGCGGGGACCGCAGCTGCTTGAGGGGCAACCGTGAACCAATCATCCCGCGGACGCTAAGGATTAGCGTCATCACGTGCGTTTCGGTATACTTGGGCTTGCCCAGAGGGGCTCCAAGGCAGATACTCGGGGCGGGAGCCAGAAACGGCCTGCGGCTAACAGTCACAACCAATACCCACTTACCTGACGGGACGGTTAGCGCGACGCAGGAACTGGCCACTGACACACGTGACCTTGAGGTAACTATACAGTTGGGTATACCACACGGGCTATGGGAACAACCAAGTCCAGTATACCATCCACTATTCCCAACTGTAGACCACAACCACGAAGGGCTTGATATATAAGGACACTCATTCCACATCATGTATTTAGTTCTTCGCGATCAATCTCACATTGTTACTTGGTTACTACCTTTAGTACTTTGCACTTCACAGTTCACCTTCAAGACAACCCAACCTACAAGTAGGGGATTCACTCAGTGGTAACACTTAGTGATTGACTTACTTGGCGCGCACTTCTGGCACGTTCTGCAAGACACTCAACAGGACCCGAACCCGACGTAAGGCTTTGCATAGCATCGGTACGGTTGCGAGCTACTCTTGGAATCCGCAGTTGGAATCAGGCAAGTATAACCCGTGGACATTCTAACTCACCGTGACCAGTCGGCAACGCGTAACACACGGCAACGAAATCTCGAAATTATTGAAAATGCCCGGTTTGCTAAGTAACGTCGATAAACTAGAAGAAATACACCAAATTTAGTAAGCAGGACTCTTCAGCAGATGTTAAATCACTGCTTTTATGTTAAGATAACTGTAGACATTGATTTTGAGCATCACGATGCCTTAAAATTTACTATACTATAGCAGTAACTGTTTCACCCTAGGAGGGTTTTGCTGCCCTTTAGGGAACCTGCCGGCAGTATTACTTTGCCCGTTACCGGGAAGATCACTTTCCGCATCTCTGCCTTCTTCACTGCCTTCCTAGTTCGTGCCTTTGAAAACCTCCAAACCCGACCTTCGTAACGAACGCTAGTTTAGAACCTCGGAATCATTCAAGAAATCGGCACCACTTCAGGCAACGGGCCATCCGGCACAATAGCCCAAGGGTTAAGAATGGTCAAACTGAAATAGTGCTGCTTGATATGGCCAATATTTGTTGTCCAACGAAACTCGGAAATATTCCAATATAGATTCTGCATCCAGCGATGAATGTTCGGATAATCGAATCGAATCAGTTTCCGGTTTGTCTTGAAGAGGTTGTAGTAAACAATGTCAAATCGGACGACTGTCACAAAAAGTCGTATATCCGTTTCCGTGAGCAATCGCCCGAAGTAGAATGGCCCTCCATTATGCTTGACCTGTAGATGGGATTCCACGGCATCAAGCTGGTTAAAGAGGTCTTCGATGGCCCTATCGTAGGCTTGTTGGCTTTTTGCAAGGCCACATTTGCTTGAGCATTGTTAGCATGATAGGCATCAGATTCATCACGCCGAACTTACTAGACTCCATTGTTGATGTTCTCGTATATCTGAAGATTAACGGAGTCAATCTGGAATTGCAGTCTTGGTGGGTAGATGTCTATTTTCTGGGTTTCTGGTGGCAGCAGATGATTGAATGCGGAATTCAAAATGCGAATTATTTCGCTGCTTTCATTGTTGACGATAGTCCCGTTGGTTTTATCCCACAAAACTGGTACAGAAAAGCGGCCCGAATATCCCGGATCAGCTTTCAGATACAGTTCTTTCAATCGTTTGACTCCCGGATGGAGGGGATCGGGAACACAGCCCTCTTCGGCTGCGCCTTCTCCGCTGTTGTAAAAGCGCCAACCTTCCACGAGAGACATATGAGGGTGCACAACGGTCACTCCCACAATATTTTCAAGGCCTTTTAGTTTGCGAACGATCAGTGTACGGTGTGCTACAGTAAAGATTAGAAATTAATCAAAGCGTTCTGTAGGCTGTTGAGGATTCTGGAAGTATTGAACTTACCCCAAGGGCAGGCATATGAGACATAGAGATGGTAGCGTCCACTTTCAGCAGGAAATCTACCATCAGGGTCCGGAGAAACAGCATCTCTGAACTGGGCTCCTGGCCGCTGAAAGTCGCCGTTTTCGCTCCGTGGTATCAGTGCCTGTATCCATGTCAGATTGTTCTCTTTCCTGGAGCGGAAATCTACTAACGTCGCTCTTCATTGTTCGACGTATTAATCTTGAAATTTCAGAGGTGGGAAAAGCAAGAATTTCTAATGAAGACACCAGACCAATACCCGAATTTAAATGACGGCTGATATATTCTGAATATTCCCGTATGTTGTCAGCTTAGAGAAACAGGAAGAAGAACTAATTAGTGATCTTGGGCCCGGGCTGACGGATCCACTAACTATCTCACATGTAAGTATCAAGGGGGTTTTGTAACTGCCTAGTCAGGCAAACCCTCCGCCTCTAGGGCCCCGCCTAGGTGTAGTAGGTGTAGGGAACCGGGCTGCTTTGTAATACGAACACTTTACTAAAGTCCCGTGTGACGTCTCGACCAATAGGATCTCTTAAATTGCCGTCCTCTCCGATGATACTCGCAATACAACCCGAAACCCCGAGTACGCGACTGCTAGGTTCTCATGAACATATTGCTGCTACAGTGGCACCGCAAAAGTTTGTGACCCCTCGCCAGTCTCTATTCCGTAATTACCGATTGTTTAAACAGAAGCCAGACCTTGGAGTTTGGAAATCTCCACACATGCTTGTACAATAGCACCTCTCCTTTAGCCAACCATGCCGCGATTGAATCAGTCACCTCCAAATCCGAAAACTTCATGATCTGCTTTTGATGTCTTCTCATTCTAGGACCCTCTTGTCTCGCCATTGAGTTGGTAATGTAAATCCGTCTTTTTGGGTTCCTCTTAAGCGAAAATAATTGGCACCGTGTAGCTGTCAATATAAACCTCCAAGTGAGCCTTGACGATATACTTTGTCTTTGTCACACTTACTAAACAGAAGCCTTCATCTGTGTCGCTTAATCCTATCCTCTTGTTGGCCATGTGGCTTCCGATGACAGATCGCACAAATCAACGCGAGCCATCAGCAATTAAGACCCCGACGTCGAAATGGCGTGGCTTCATTCACAGATTCGCTCCGTCGTACGTGTTATCGATACTCCAAATCTTACTAACTAATAATAACAAGTATGCATTAGATAGGTGGTTTGCTATCGTTATGGGAACAGGAATAATCTCGATCCTCCTCTACAAGCTCCCTTACAATAACGCATGGCTTTACTGGATATCAGTAGCAATTTTTGTCATTACTATCGCCCTCTTCGCTATCTTCTCCTTAACATCTGCTCTACGGTACCTCTGCTACCCGATCCTTAGCGCGACATAATCACTTATCCTGTTGAGTCTTTGTTCCTAGCGACGTTTCCTATAAGCCTAGGCATTATAGCCCAAGGGATCGTGAATATTTGCGTACCCGCTTAGGGTTTCTGGGCTTTAACTCTAGCCTGGGTATTGTGGTGGGTTGAGGTTGTAGCTTCGGTTGCGATCTGCTTGTATATTCCGTTCACTATGTAAGCGACAATTTTCCACAGCAAATAGATAGCACAACAGCATACGAGAAGCTTATTCTACTAAACTCTGTATATCTATACACAAGACCGATATCGCGTCCGTGACACCTTTTTGGCTTCTGCCTATCGTCTCTATTACAATCTGTGCGGCTACCGGTGGCTTAGTTGCGGGCGCACTACCGAGTCCTACCTAGGCGGATTCGGTATTATACAGCTAGGTGCCATATCTCTAACTGTATTCCTACTAACGAAGACTCTACCTCTTGTATCAGATACAGGAGACATCGTTTTTGTCTTCGTATTCTTCACAGCGCTATTAATGTGGGGATTTGGGCTTGCATAGCTATTCTGGGGAGCTATGGCTTGTGCACGGATGTAAGGATATACTCTATAAGTCAGGATAGAGGCCTGTCAATCAGGTAGGAGAAATGGAGCCAAGTCAATAGTGTAGAAAGGTCAAAGACTGTTTCTTGAGGATCGCAAAACCTCTTCAACATGGGTCAATTTATATACAGTCTCATCGCTCAAACAGGAAGGAGATGTATCCTTGGTAGGGAAATGGGAACGGGGTGAAACACGAGGCTTGTGTAACCTCTGTCAAGGGTGTTCCCTGCAGGAGTTCGTACACGTACTGATGCCGAAGCCCCAGCGAGCCTCCACAGAAAGCCTGACGGCTTATCAGGCCCGGGAAGCCTGATGCACCAACACATGGGGAAGGCCTGCCGGCTTATCAGGCCGGGGAAGCCTGAGGCACCAACACTTGGGAATAACCTCATGCCAGGATATATCATAACATTTTTATCGTTGGAAAGTTTTTTTCATTGGAAGTTGGACCATCCAATCCCGGTAGGGGTTGGGTGGTCAGTGCCACGGGTATCTGCCACTAAATAGCTGGCAGGTTAAGAATAACAGTTCATTTTCTTCGGGCGTCTTTGTTATGATATATCCTGGCATGAGGTTATTCCCAAGTGTTGGTGCCTCAGGCTTCCCGGGCCTGATAAGCCGGCAGGCTTTCTGTGGAGGCTCGCTGGGGCTTCGGCTTCAGTACGTGTACGAACTCCTGCAGGGAACACCCTTGACAGAGGTTACACAAGCCTTGAGTTTCACCCCGCTCCCATTTCCCTACTAAGGATACATCTCCTTCCTGTTTGAGCGATGAGACTGTATATAAATTGACCCATGTTGAAGAGGTTTTACAATCCTCAAGAAACAGTCTTGACCTTTCTACACTATTGACTTGGCTCCATTTCTCCTACCTGATTGACAGGCCTCTATCCTGACTTATAGAGTATATCCTTACAGTCTTGCTTGTGGAGCCGCTGCCTGTAAGCCGACCATCACAGTGTCGAGCTGTTCTTCCGCCTCTAGACGGATTCTAGATCTCTATAGGCGATTCAGGAGAATATATCTGCCCAATACGGCGTTGGTCTTAAATATATTTCCACGAACTCTATCATTTGCTGATGATTTCGTGGACCATCCCTGGGTATGGCAAGAGTGATAATTATGAATACAAGAGCAGGGTTTCCTTCACTGAACCGCGATTATCATTCTATCTACGATATTGGCCTTTAATGGAAAATCCCAGAATTTAACTGAAAACCCAGCGGTCTAAATTCTGTCTTCCCAACAGTTATATGTCACTGGTGGTGAGATCTATCTAAGAGCTAATCAATCATAAATTCTTGAAAGAAGCTATATCTACCAATGACTGGTCTATATCATAATAAGACGAGTCATTCGGGTCAATTCACTAGGATACATAGTTATAGCTCTCTGCTTTCATCTTCGAGCTGCTTCAAGCTAGGAGAAACAAGCAAATCGCCAGTAATGGTTCCATGGATGGTGAATGCAGATACTACCAACAAAAGGCGAACGAGAGAGACTGTGCGGACCTACGTGTAATGAGACGTTAGCAAATCCGTACTTTTGCTGACGAGCCGTCACGGGAAAGAAACTCACTGTTCCAAGGATTGAAAAAACCTTGATCCTATCTCTTCGCCCAAGGTAATAGTAGACCCCGTGAAAACACCCACCGCGAAGACGATACTCCACTAGCCTATGTTGAACGGTGGGCTTGTCCGTTGTTACGATACATGCCTGGGTCACATGATCATACACTTAGGCCAAAAAGACCACTATATCCGCGATCAGCGGATATGACCCAGGAGCCAATATATATAGTAGCGCACATTTATTGTTATTGCATAACACCCTCTCGTACTCGCTTAATTAGGCGTAGGAGGGCTCGCGCTAAGGTTAACGAATAGGAGAGTCTTACCTCGATCGAATATATCTCTGCTAGCGGCTTTGCATTACTACCCTTCTTTATCTTTCGAAGCAGTGTATTGCTCAAGAGATAGTTTGACGAGTCGCTAGATCCAGATTAGGCTGTATCAGTAGCTAAGACTAGCTATATAAATTCGGATCTTGTATTTAAATAGCTTTAGCATTTTGATAAACACACTATAAATCGCGCTAAAAAGAGTAAGTAATATACAATCGCTATACTTTTGAAGGTAATATTTATACTAATAAACAACTAATTATTAGACAAGCCTCGCTTTTTACTCTTTAATAGGTATACTGCGCACTTAACTGCTGAATTCCTCGAATACTACAGGCAAGCTAAAATCTTACCCTTCTGCTTTATTTCGTACGCTACGTATCTCGTCCAGCCTCTAGATAGTGATACGTTCCTTACGTATAAGACCAAATTTAGAAGCTAGAATCGTATAGTATCTCAATAGGGTAGAGATCCGACTAATAAATCAGTATTCCTACGAGGGATTCGTGAAATTCGTGACGAGACCTTTACCCCCTATATCATTCGTAGGAGCTTCAGGAAGCGAGGAATTTACCTATTTAATCCCGATTTAGTAGTAAAGCCACTTACTAAGCGTAAGGAGAGGGAATTCGTACTACTTACAAGCTTCGATAGGATCCTTAGTGATAACGCGCGCGGTATTCAGCCGCAGTGTAAGGATATACTCTATAAGTCAGGATAGAGGCCTGTCAATCAGGTAGGAGAAATGGAGCCAAGTCAATAGTGTAGAAAGGTCAAGAACTGTTTCTTGAGGATCGCAAAACCTCTTCAACATGGGTCAATTTATATACAGTCTCATCACTCAAACAGGAAGGAGATGTATCCTTGGTAGGGAAATGGGAGCGGGGTGAAACACGAGGCTTGTGTAACCTCTGTCAAGGGTGTTCCCTGCAGGAGTTCGTACACGTACTGAAGCCGAAGCCCCAGCGAACCTCTACAGAAAGCCTGACGGCTTATCAGGTCCGGGAAGCCTGATGCACCAACACATGGGGAAGGCCTGCCGGCTTATCAGGCCGGGGAAGCCTGAGGCACCAACACTTGGGAATAACCTCATGCCAGGATATATCATAACACGCAGCCTCCGCAGGGTAATCGGGTTACCTCGCCTGCTCTATTATCAAGCTCGGTTAAGCAACCGAAACCCTAAGAAGTGCTAAAAAATGCTAGCAGAAACTACGGAAGGCTATAGATAGCCTACTAGATCGACCTAGCAGGGTTAAGAAAGTCGAACGGCGATAGACACGCTTAGAAACGAAGACTGTTACTAAATACGAGGAGGTTATTATCCAGTATAACCTCCTTGCTAAGGCCACTAAGGTCCGCAGCAGTTACACGACCACTAATCGCACTAAGCGCCAGATTACCAAGGTCAAAGTGCTTACTACTAAGGATGCTAATACGCGCATCGCTATGCAAAAGGAGAATCAGCAGTGGGTTCAGCGGGTGCGCAGAGAGAATACGAAGAAGCTGTAGCAGCAAAATTGGCCGAACTGAGGAGAAAGGCCCTTGCTAGCAGTGATATTAATCGCCTTTTTGAGCCTTTTGATAGTTTTGAAGATAGAGAAGGGGATAGCTCACTAAGGGTGTAAAGAGTCAGCTAATGGGCAGATTTGCTGCCGCGCGCACAGGTTGTAAACGCAATTCTCGCGCGCTAATACCAAAAGTTTTCTTATTTTTTTTACTTCTATAGGCTTCTAAGGCACTAATAATGCGGTCTCACTCTTCAGAATAAGAATTAGCCATGGTGGTGGCTGGCGAAGAGAGTAGATTAGAAGGAAATGGGGTGATTGTTATCGTTGGAAAGTTTTTTTCATTGGAAGTTGGACCACCCAATCCCGGTAGGGGTTGGGTGGTCAGTGCCACGGGTATCCATCACCTTGCTAATCTTTGAGGCCGTAGCCTGGAGTTCTTACCGCCTTTGGAAATGGCATAGCCCGGTGACCGAAAATCGGGCGGGCAACGGCGGTGTATAGACGCCATCCGCCAATGCATAATTCGATCAGCAATCCGGGTATCTAATTGGTCAGGAATCATGCATATTTTGACCGCCTTTAGGGCCGCCCCTTAATGCCTTACCCCTCAGGCAGAATTGCTGTCATGTGATTCGTCTCTTTCCTTAATACTAGGCCTTCGCCCTAACTTCCGCCGAGGATTATTTCACCCCTTTCTACCCCCCCAAAAGCAGGCTACCACACGATCTCTTGATCCTGCCTAACAACTAAGCCCTCAGAAGCTAGATAAATTGTTGGAAACGTGAATCTGATAGGTGCTTCTGATCGATTTCATGGCTGCAGCAAATAAGCAGGTTTCGGTGGTGGAGAAAGTCCTTCGTGGCCCGTGCATGATGCGACAGTAAGGTTGGACTTGGTCGTAGTCAAAATTCTGCCGGGCAAATTTGCTTATTAATTATGCATTGGTGAATGGCGTCTATACACCGCCGTACAAGAGGGGCTGAGCACTGAAACGGAAAGGAAAGTCAAGAATTGGCATAGGAAATCCGGTACGGAGGTACATAGGACTGATGATTCGGCCCAACTCAGGATCCTTAAAGTTCCATTCCTCCAAAATGGCCCCAAAGCTGTCCACAGGACATGTGGGGAGGTTTCCGAATAGGAGATTGAGGTATGTAAAACATACTCGAGTCAAATGGATGAGAGCAAAATTTCTACTAGATTCTCTTCAATTGTAATTTTTCTCGGCAAACTTCTTTCTAAAATATCACTATCCCATCTTTCCTGGGACACATAACAGCGGTTTGCGGAGCCTAGGCTCGAGCCGCTTTATGAGTCCTGGATATGTATTTCTTTCCTATTATTTGACTTGAGTGGACAGTTGACGTTGCGACAAGATTTCACCGGGATTGGCAGATCTGATCCCGGAGCCGATTTTCAATACTGTGGTTTGCGATACCCTTATACTTGTGATCAATCACGTCTGTCACCGCATCAATGGCCTGAGCGGAACCTTCAGATGTGTAAAAATGGTATGCAAGAATATGGCCAACCAATAATTATTCACCACCACTCGCAATCAACCATATAAGAAAATTTTCCACCTTGGAAGCTCCATTCTGTTGCGAACCAGGCCCATCCAATGTTTACCCGAAGTCGACACTGTACACAAATTGAATAGTCATTTCATAATATGTATGCTATAAAAACTCCATTCTAATCTTCAAACTCTAGCCGACCTGTGTAAATATCAGCCTCTTCAGGCTTGACCAATGGCTGCCGGAAAGCAATCTTGTGTCCGACGTAAAGCGCAGCAAACAGAAAGAGACTGAGATAGTTGATAAAAAAGTCGGTCACGCTGAAAGAGGGCATGAAAGCGGTAAATCCCTGGGTGATTATAATCAATGTGTTGAAGACCAAGCCATACCATGAGAGATACGGCTGCCAGGGGCCTTTGTAGGGCAATATGTCACGAGAAATTCCCTGCGCTTTGAAGGCCTTCATGAATGCTAGATGGCAAATGTTCAGGGATGTCCAGGTGATGAAGCCTGCTAATCCTGCAATCTGCATCAACCAATTGAAGACGGTGCTTCCGGTGTTGGAGATATTCAAAAAGCCAAGCAGACCAAAAAGGGCTGTAAATAGCACACTCCAGTAGGGAACGCCATGCTTAGTTGTCTTCACAAAAATTGATGGCGCAAACCCATCATGAGAAAGGCCCACGAGGATACGGCTCCCAGAATAGACATTTGAATTGGCGGCGGAGAGAACAACAGTCAGCAAAACTGCATTAATGATACTAGGTAGCACATTGACGCCCGCCCGCTTAGCGGCGATGACGAAAGGTGAGGCGTTGGCATTATTAGCATCGGCTCCAGTGCCTTGACTGGCGATTAGGCCTTCATCGGTGGACGGTACAACAATTCCAATGAAGAAAATTGTCAATATAAAGAAGAAAATGATGCGGAAGAAAGTTTTCCGAATGGCTGAAGGGACATTCTTGCGAGGATTCTCGGTCTCACCCGCTGCAATACCCACTAGCTCAGTTCCCTGGTATGAAAATCCGGCTTTGATAAGAACTGCCCAGAATCCAAGAAATTTCCCCAGGGAGGCATTGTCGTCAACCAAATAGGCATTGAAGGGACCTGGATCGACCCAGTATCGAAATCCGATATAACCCTCCTTGCCAACTCCGGCATTCATGCAGATTGCAAATATCATAAATCCGACGACCGTGGCGACCTTGACGCTTGATAGCCAAAACTCGGTTTCACCATAAAAGCTAACCGGGAGCATATTCAGTGCGATTATAAGGACCCAAAATATAGCGATGAAGATAGCAATCGGGATTGATTCGTTCCAGTACTGAATGATGAGACCGGTCGCGGTTAATTCAAGAGCAAATGTCGAGGCCCATGAAAACCAGTAAATCCAGCCCATTGCGAAGCCTAGGCTAGGATCGACCAGTCGTGAGGCGTATGCGGTAAATGCACCTGGAATGGGAAGGTAGGTTGCCAACTCTCCTAGTGCAGCCATGACCGAAAACACTATAGAGCCCACAAATATGTATGCAATCAAGGCCCCAACAGGACCGGCGATGGCAACAGCGGTGCCGCTACCAATAAATAAACCGGTTCCAATTGTTCCACCTAAATATAATCGCCAATTAGATTTTGATCAATTCGATTTTCAAATTGCCATGGCTCAAATGTAGGCACTCACCGATGGCAATCATTTGAAGATGTCGGCTTCTCAGCCTGCGCTGTAGGACAGGTAGTTGGTTCACCTCCCCATAGGTGTGTTTCTCTTCAGCATCAATATTATCCCCATCTTGATTAATGTCTCCCCTTTCCTTCAATATCGAATCGCGTTTATCTTTATTTCCTATCCTGGTTTGGCATTGTGCGCTGGTGACCTCGTCATCGGCCATCATGCCCGGCTCTTTGATGTGAGAATATGGTTGCGAGGAATTGAGAGATTGGTAGTCAAGACGGAAGACAGCCCTATGAAGATATGTCTTACATCAAGGATTATATGGCTTTTGAACTTGGCTCATCCCCAGCTTTCTTTCTCCACGGGGTGAGTCGCCTGGGGTCAATAGACACCTCCCGCACATTCGTTTTCCGGCCCGGGCATTTCCCCACGTCGAGGCCCTCGGGTCCACAACAGAGTCTTAAGAGGAAATTCGAGCCAGAGTTTTTACGGGTCTCGGTGGGTTCTGAAGAGCCGATTACGTTTTTGACCAAGAATAGACCTCATGCTGGAGCTCGGGATCCTCCGAAAAGCATCAAATGTGCTGCCAAGCCCTCCGATGGCGGATGTTTCCACAACCAACCGGCCCGGGATGGGTAGGCCAGGCTGCACATAGTGGAGCCGATTAGCCAACAGAAATCATATCCAGTGCGGGGTAGCTTCATCAACTCACCCCAGGGGATGAACAAGCAATGATTTCTGGGGCAAAATAGACATTGTTCCAGGTATATACCTGGTTCCGCTGCATTTCTCGTGCTCTGTTTGGGCTGAAGCAAACAAACTTCTTGCGGGTATGCGCCATAAGTGCAGAAAGTCACTTCTCACGCTATGAAAGTTTCTCACTCTGGCGCTAACCTTTTTACGTATTGCTGATTGCTGATTGTCACTGTCACACACAATAATCCTGTTTTCGAATTTGATAGACAAGACTGAACAGATATGTAAGAGCAATCATATGAGCGACTCAACTAAGCCGAACAATTCACGTGCAACCCTGATCAATTGAAAGGAAAAATAATCATTCAGGCGATGAACTTTTCGGCGCGAGGCATGTGAAAGTTATAACACCATAGTTGTCTGCTCGAATCAGAAGAGCACACGAGATGAACAAAAATGGGGTTTCGGCGATTGTCAATCGCTTGCGGCGGGAGTGATCGCTTCCTAGGCTCAGCTTTGATTTGAAAGTACAGACATGTATCATTAACGATCGCATATATTACACGAGAAATGCGAGTTTTTCATACAAAAGTAATTATCAACAACATAAAAGACCGCGTATCAAATAGGAATCAGTCGCTGCAACCAAATGTAACCTGGCGAGTCAACTCATTCTCTAAAAGGCACGACCACTGTGCATAGCACCTGGGAAATCATTCTGAATGGCCTCCCAGAATGGCTTACCACTCATTTGAAGATCCTGGAACGCCGGGCAGGTGAAGTTAACCAAAGGAACAGACAAAATATCGCTCACGAAGCCCAAGGGCTCCGCCAAAGTCGTGTATAAGCTAGCGAGGGCATTCGGGCTAGCGAATTTCAGCACTTCAAAAACGAAGCATAGCAAATTGTTGCCCTCCAATAAATTTGTAAGGTTGAAAACACCACCGGTCAAATTTGCAAGGTCAACACCAGCAAAGCTATTAACTTTACCCATATTGCCTCCGATACTAGGTTCGGGAAATCTGTCAGTCATCCAATATACCCGAGCATTGGGAACGATCTTACCTTCTAAGTTCTGGATACTTGGCCATCCAATCAATAGTATCCAGGTTGAGCTGTAACAGACCGTAGTCCACCGGTGTTTTGAACCAGTTCTTAGGAATTCTTTCCCAACCTTCCCGGTAGATAAAATTACCCTCCTCGCCGTATATGCCGTAGAAGTTTTGAATATGACTCTTGGCTGAATTTAAATTAGCATCCCACATGCTTTTTCATATGAGTAATTGTGTTGCTTACTCAGGGTTCCATCTGGATTCTCGCGGGAATGATTCCGAAACAGCCGACCAGGGAAAATGTAGCCAGCATTGCGGGCAATAAGTCCTGTCACAGGCCCATAGTAGAAGTTTGGATTTGTTTGAATTGTCTCCTCAAAACGTATCTTCGCTCGCTTGGCCATAAGATCCATGTCAAAAGAGCCGTCGACAGACATGTTATACCAGGACATGAACTTTTCCATATTCAGTGCGTAGTTGTTTCCCGTGACATACAAGTCGTCACGCGTGTTGGATGAATCCGCTTCGATAAAGTTGTGAGATCCAATAAGACCCTGAGGCTCACCTGTGCAAGAGATGAGTATGACTGATGGTCTTCAAGATTGGAGTGTCAATACTAACCAAGGAGTCCCCCCAGATTTCCCAGAAGGTTGTTTACACCAGGGTCACGACCTCCAATGGAAAACCTCGGATCCAGGGACAATGGGTCTCCTGTCCAGACAGTGCCCATTATCGCAAGGACCGTTGCCAAATCCACTCCCATACCGTATACTATCACGTCGATGTTAACGCAGGAGTCCCGGGAATTTTGATACCAACACGATACCTTCGTTGATTGCTTTGATCACATGGCCAAACTTTCAAGAAAAAAAATTAGCCTTGTCATCTGGCGTGGAGAAAAATTTACAGCAACCTACCGAAACCACTCCATTTCGCGGAATGTAGCCGTGGTTTGCCAACGCATTGAGACCAGGGCAAGGGCCACGCTGGTCACCACCCTCGAGATTAGGCGGTTGGAATTCGTGTTCCCCCGTGACTATAGTGATTTTATTACCACCATGAACCATTTATCATATTTTCACCCCACATACCATCAATGGATGACATCATAGAATCGACAAGGAATCTTTTTTCATGCTCTTGTACGGCTTGAGACTCGGCGCTGGCATATGGACATCTCTTGTGTAAAGCTTGATGAGCTTGAGTGCCTTTATGGGAGCTCTCCGTTCCTGGGAAGCCTGAAACCAGGGTAAGCAATGGAAGTGCCCAAAGCAGTCGTGCTGGTCCAGTAATGCGCATAGTGAATCAAGGCTGGCCTTTGTGCCAGGTCATCCACTTTAGCTCAAGAATTGATATGCTCAACAAAGGCGATGCTCAACAAAGGCGATGAAAATTCTCAATTTCTCGAGACTAGGGTATTCATCAGCTAAGTAGGGGGTCATTCCGCAAAGTGCAGGCGAGTGCGTGCTGGTTAATTTCTTCCCCCTGAATGGCTACTCGGTACATAGCAGTCGATCACACGTGCAAATTACGCTATTTGGAAAATACACAAACATGAAAGCATTGTTGCGCTTGACTGTGCTGTATTATTGTGTTCTCTCTACAGACTCACTTCGCATATCAGAGGCCCCACCCAATCCTGGGAGCTGCACATAATGCTCCTTAGAGACAGCTGCTCGAGCACAAGCATTTTTCTTTGAGGTTGCGCGTCAACATACTCAAGTTGTTGCTAAAAACATGGAAACAGTTCTCACATTCGTTGGAGATATTATCCACGAGGGTTCTTCGGTAATTGCTTTCGAGCTGGATAAAGGCAGATTGAAGTAGATCATAGCTGGTTAGAGAAAGGTTCGGCATCCCCGCTTACTGCTTCGCCTAGTCTGGTGCGGTCGGAACCACACCGGCTGAATGACAGTGCCGATCAGGGTCAAGCATTGGATTTTAACGGGTTTTCTCCGACACGGGTTGAACAATTGCCTAAAGAAGGCGATCATTGCCTCGGAAAGGCAGGAGCCCGAGTTCGGCATTAAATTAGTGGGGATTGTTCGAGGAAATAAACTTTAACTGCACTTAGCATCGTTTCACGGCAATATTTGTTTGGTCTTTCCGGCTTTTGCTCCTTACTGAAATGACTTAGACCGCTTTGTTAGTAGTCCTGAAAGGCCTTAGACAGCGTGGGGCGAGATGTCAAAATCCTGAATGTAGATCAACTCATCCGCTCTTCGTTCTCAAATGGGGTCGCGTCTAGCCCTGTCGCCACTCCACATTGGTTTAGCATGCCAGCAACATCCTAAATAGTCTAGAATGATGTCCAGATGCTGGAGATACTCCATAGTGCCATTCGTATAGAATGCAGATCCCAATTCAGAAATCAGCCACTGTGTACAAGCAACTCGAACATAGGGGTTGCGCGATTGTTTTCCAGCCGGCGTCTATCTATTGCCCTGCATGTGTTACTGTAAGTCGAGTCTAGAATTTCACGAGTTTTTCGAAGCGTAGTGAAAATCCTAGACGATCTACAAAACGAGCCCCTAAATATTTTTTAGAGGCTCTCAGAGTTGGACTAAGACCCTAGGGCATGCATGAATGTTGATTTCCTAAAGGGAATTCGCCCACAGGGTGAAGTTAAGAGGACCATTACGCTAAGATCTTCATTAGCAATGCATGGCAAAAAATCAATCTTCTCAACTAGGAGGCTCCCCTGAACTTCGCAAGGAATCAAACATCTACCCCGACAAATTTCTGGCCAGTACATCCCCCGACCATCTTCCTTGCGAATGCATGCAATTCAGACAAGTTCGCGATGCAGGTGCTCAAGATAGCAGTTCTGGTGGTGTTCCTGTTCACCGCTACCGTGAAAGCTGGCGCAGAGCAGCTAGCCTCCATTTTGCCTTCCTGTGCGGTAGGTAGTATGATCTTTCCTGTTGCCCGCTAGGATACCGAACCAGCTAACAATATGAAGCTTGAGTGCATGGTGTCTACCATGGCACAAACGTCCTGTGCAGCTACAGATCAGAAATGTCTGTGTACAGATGCCAAGTATACTGATGCACTTGAGAAGTGTGTACTTGTCAGTTGCACAATTCGTCAATCTTTGAGTATGGTCACTTAACAAGCTGTTTTTCCAGTCGTTCCCGCTAATATATCAAAGCTACGAAAAATGTCACAACATCGGCCTGTGGAGCCCCGATACGAGACCGAACTAAGGTCGTTTCTTATGCTGGAGTCGCGGGTGGTATAGTAGCTCTGATTGCCTACATTCTCAGAATGGTGGCTCGTTTCAAGTGCTCTGGAACATTTGGAATGGATGATTGGACAATGACATTGACAATGGTACTATCCGCGCAGCTTGTTAATCTAACATAGATTACTCTTGGCTAATGCATTGATAGTGTCTCGTCATTCCGCTCAGCGTACTCTCGGTTGTCTGTACGTATCTCTATTTGCAACTCGAGATAAGTATCGACCGACTAACTGTCCATTCTAGTGGCTGATACCGGCTTGGGAAGAGATTTGTGGACGCTTCCACTGGACAATATTACCCACATTCTTTATGTAAGTAGAAACGACTCGGCTAATAAAATAATCCAATTTGACCTGACCACTTGTTCCAGATCTACTTTTGGGATGAGCTGATATACCTGAGCATCCTACCTCTCACCAAGATCTCGATTCTTTGCTTCTATCTTCGTATCTTTCCAGAGCGCCGCTTTCGAATCGTGACTTACTTTGTCATTGGACTGAATGTGTGTTACCTGATTGTCTTCGTCTTGATCTCAGTGTTCCAATGTCGACCACTTCCTGGAGCATGGCTTCATTGGGATGGCGAGGGTGATTATAAGTGCAATAACATCAACGCACAGGGCTGGGCGTCTGCCATAATCAACATGGCCCTTGACATAATTGTCATGGCTCTTCCATTACGACAGCTCTACAATCTCAATCTGTCCGCGAGGAAGAAGGCTTATGTAATGTGCATGTTCGGACTGGGTATCTTGTGCGTGCCATTTTTGCCATGTCGACCGACCACGAAGCGCTCGCTAATTTTAATGTTTAGCGTGACACTTGTCAGTATTCTACGCTTGAACTCACTTATTCACTTTGCCTCCACGGAAAACTTGACATGTGAGCTTCATTTTTGCTTTGTTAATCCCGTATACTGACAATTGCTCGGAAGGGGACTACGTGACTATCGGCTACTGGAGTACGATTGAATGCGACGTCGGGGTTATATGTGCCTGCCTGCCCGCGATCAGATCTTTGTTACGCCAGGCTGCCCCTGGAATGTTTGGTGACACTGAGCAAACCAAGTCATATGGGATGAACTCTCATTCTCGTGGAAACTCTCGATTGGAATCCTCGATCTACGTGCAAGGCAAAGGAGAAAATCGACAGTTTTACCCACTGAACGATATAGAGACTTCTAGTGAAGCTCGTTTACACCACCGGACCTAACCGATGAGCGGATTTGGTTAGGCTTCGAGTCGAAGGATATTTCTCCTCATCAACAGCCCTCCTCTCTGTCCAAGCTGCTCATGTCTATTCCCCTCCTTCTTTACTTCGATGAACGTTTTTTGAACCGGTCGCAGGTTTTTTTTTCTTTCTAAAATTTTTGACTACAGTGCCCCCTAGAGTGCCTCTAGCTGAATCATCAAGGCAGTCATAGTTAGTTATAGATAGCTATCTGTTTGAAGAGTTTAGTCGCATTTACCAGAAAGATTACATGGAAAGTTATACATAGGGTGTTCTTCAGTGAAGGTGAAACCATTGGCTGGTGCAAAGATGAAGACCGATGAGAAAAAGCCAGAGCATGCATACCAACCATAGAGAGTTTCACGCGATTAGGAAGCCCGTGTACCCCCTTCTCGGCCTTCCAAGAACAGTCGTCCCTAGTGAAATCATCTCGGATCAATGACCAATGGCTACGGATTTCCTCGGATAACTTGAAGGCCGTGGGTCAGATTCAATGCGATGGTCCCTAATTACCCCAACTGAGTGACAGGTGTGGCATCGCCTAGCCTGACCCATAGACCCATATTGTCCTAGTGATAAGCTCCACCGACTCCATAAACGGTCAAAGTCCTGCTAGCGGCACATGCCTTTGTGCAGCAGATAATTACGGATCCTGGACAGGATTAGGCCCACCTTTAGACCAAGGGCGTTAATCCCACATGTCAATCATGGAGCAAGACATGCCTAAAGAGGACTGAAGTCCATCAGTAAATTGGTGGCGTCGGGTGCCGTGTGATCGACATGGCGGAGAGGCTAAAGAGGTATGCTAGTATAGCCATACGAGTTCCTGCTTCGAGTCAAACCTTCAAACATACACACTGTTGATTGGATAATCTGTGCCATAGTAAGGGGTAGCATCGTCGAATCCCATTTTTACAGCTAACTGTTATGTTTAAACCCGAATCAATATTATGCGGAGCTGGCCATCTGCTCGACCCCTTTGATGGACTTCGTAGTCTCTTCCCCAACTCGGACTAGGGAGGGACTCAAGGAAGAGAAACGTTAAACGACAGCCCAAGTTTAAATAAGCTATCATAGAAAGAGCAAGTGCACGCCGATCAACTTGCCATATTACCGAAAAACAGACATAGCAAACCTGTGTGGGTTAATGTTATTAAAGGTATTCAGGGTCTAGCTTGGTCCTTATAAGAGAGCTCTCATAGAAGGGGTTTAAAATTTGTTTTAACCTTGCTTGAAACTCCATTTTCACATTTCCCTCCACGCCCGTTTTGGCGTTCCTCATACACCATGCGCGTAGCAGTGGCTTTTGGGCTACTTGCTGCCCTTCCAAGTGTTATGGCTTCGTGAGTTCCCCGAAGGCCTTTGGATTTAAGCCTGGATCAATATAACTGACATCCAATATAGCAGTCATAACCCATATCACCATCATGAAACGCATAGGCGCTCTCCAAACGGGGATTACGATTATGTTGTTGTAGGCTCAGGGCCTGGAGGTGGTCCTTTGGCTGCCAGATTGGCTATCGTAGGATACAGTGTCTTGCTTCTAGATGCGGGTGATGATCAAGGCAATGCCACCACGCAACAGGTCCCTGCTCTACAGCTCCAGTCAACTGAATATGAGCCTATGAAGTGGGACTATTTTGTAAACCACTACTCAAACTTGACACGACAAGAGGAAGACTCCAAAATGACCTACCGGACTCCCTACGGTGACCTCCACGTTGGAAAGAATGCACCTGCAGGCTCTGAGCCCCTGGGTATTCTATATCCTCGGGCAGGTACCTTGGGTGGATGCTCTGCGCACAACGCCATGATGTGAGTTTAAACATGACAAATGATCCTTTGCGCATACCCGTACCACATCACATCCTAACCAGCCTATTAATAGCACCATTTACCCGTATGAAAATGACTGGGAGCATTTGGCCAGTCTCACCGGCAATACATCTTGGTCTGCCGCAAACATGCGTCAATACTTCAAACGACTGGAGCGCAACCGATATCTGCCAAGCAGCCTTGTCGGTCACGGTTTTGACGGATGGCTCACAACTAGTCTGACAGACTTGCGTCTTGTCATTGAGGACCAGAAGCTTCTGTCCTTGATTCTAGCAGGTGCAACTGCTGCAGGACAAAGTTTGCTGGGAAAATTGGTCACAACAGTCACTGGTTTGGCAGGAGTTCTGTTGCGTGACCTCAATAATCCTCTACCATCGCGTGACTATGATGAAGGCCCGTACCAAGTCCCTCTTGCTGTAGACGTTCCCGAATACAAGCGAACGGGTCCCCGGGACTTTGTGCTCAAGACAGCAAATGCGGTCAACTCAGATGGCTCTCGCAAATATCATCTTGACATACAGTTGAACACATTGGTGACAAAGGTCCTTTTTGATACCACTGGAAGAAAGCCTCGGGCTACAGGAGTTATGTACCTTCGCGGCCAAAGTCTTTATCGCGCGGACCCTCGGGCCTCCCAAACATCATCGTCTTCCGGCACACCAGGTAGCGTGAACGCAGCTCGTGAGGTCATTCTGTCGGCAGGCTCTTTCAATACCCCGCAACTGCTCAAGCTTAGTGGGATTGGGCCACGAGAAGAACTGTCTCAATTCGGAATTCAAACCTTGGTTGATTTGTCTGGAGTGGGATCCAATCTTCAGGATCGGTATGAGACAGGTCTCGTTGGCAAGTCGCCCACCGACTTTGTCCTCACCTCAAAGTGCACCTTTCTATACTCCCTTCCAGACCCATGTCTGGATCAATGGGAGAATGACCCCCTATTCAAAGGCACATATACTACCAATGGTATCGCCATCGCCATCATTCGCAAGTCTTCTGTTGCCGAGGACGAGCCTGATCTTCTGATCTCGGGAGCGCCTGCCAACTTTCCCGGTTATTACCCGAACTACTCTTATGAGGGTCTCAAGGACGCTCAGCATTGGACTTGGATCACTCTGAAGTCTCGTAGCCGCAATAATGCTGGCACAGTTAAACTTCGATCCACCGATCCTCGAGATATGCCTGTCATCAACTTCAATTCCTTCGACTCGGGCGTCACTACGAATAATGCCGACGAGAAGGACTTGCAGGCTATTTACGAGGCCATGGAATTTTCCCGCACTATCTTTGAGGACCTCGTCCCTCTTGATGGGGCCTTTAAAGAAGTCTGGCCAGGGCCCAATGTGACCACCGAGTCAGAAATGAAGGATTTCATCAAAAGGGAGGCCTGGGGACACCATGCATGCTGCACCGCTCCCATTGGAGAAGATGGCGATCCACAAGCTGTTCTGGATTCCGACTTCCGTGTTCGTGGCGTTGACGGCCTTCGTGTTGTCGACGCCTCAGTCTTTCCTAAGATCCCTGGTTATTACATTGCCCTACCGATTTATATGATCAGTGAAAAGGCCGCAGAGGTCATCATTGCTGATGCAAAATAATTGTCTGAATCACTTTGACCTGCCACTCCGTCTTTAATGTGAACCTTTTAATAATACATTTCCAAAAAGTTGTCAACTTATCATTCGTGCAAATGTCCTCGTTATCACCAACGTCAAAATCCTTGGACCGTATTGTGATTCCTCTCCCTTTCCCTCTCCTTCCCCACCCACCCCCGCCTCTCACGATCATTCAATGCTCAACTTTATGTTTTCTTATCTCATGTCCTAGCTAGCAACCAGCTTGAGCTTTGACTACCTATTGTTGGGACTAACTCCTTTCGGTTAGCTCCGCCCTGTGGGGTTTTAGGCTCTCTCGGCCGATTTCCGACACTCTTCCTTTATCAACTACCCAATACACTACATTAGTGCATTGCTCTGTTCTCTGTTCCTCACTACGATAGCGGTTCCTCACCTATCCTGCCACCACCATGGACACACCGACAACAGAATTTTTGGCCCACAAATAGCTGGAGTCTTGTGGAAATCACATTGATATCCCCTAAGACCAACCAAAGGAGTAGAGTGACAGAAAACAAAGAATAGCAGAAAATTGGCGGGGCCACTCTAGGGCTGCCATTTAAGCAAACAACCTCATGATTCAGGGATGCGGGGCTGCTGCGTCTATCTCCACCGGAAACGACATTCTCACGCTGCATGTCGTAGCTCGAGCCATTTCTTGTCGCCCGCAACTTAAGGTATAATTCGTGGATCCTATGACGCCATTGACACAAGTTATTCTTCCTGAGAGGAATTCTTTACCTTTCGGATATTTTAATCTGGTACTTAAAATATACATCCATGAGCAATATTCTCGGACCATTTTTGAGGGAACCGGGTATTTCGCCGATCCGAAACATGTATGTATGTATGTCGGCATTCGTGAGGGGATGAACATAAAGCCGAAGTCCAGAAATTTCCTTATCGCCTAAAGTCAACTTGTTGTCTGATTAGAACTAAAAGAATCTAGTAAAAAGTGACGTGATTCCGGAGAGCAATTGAGTGATGTCTTGTGTTGGAACTACTTAAGATGAATTCAAATCCGTATTCAAGATCACGGAACGCATCAATCATGTCAGAGGACGCAGAGGCTCATCGCTCTCAAGAGAGTCTGGTTAAGCCAATCAATACATGGAAAGGCTATGTTTGGGATACCTGGGAGTTACCGAGAGACCAACGTTGGCTTTTGTTCAAGCTAGATGCCTTCGTTCTTACTTTCGCATCGGTAGGATATATCTACCCTCATCAGAAATTTGACCGAGTGCCAGTCCGATTTTCTGACTTTCTCTTATTCCAGATAGGATACTTTCTGAAGAACCTCGACCTTAACAATGTGAACAACGCTTATCTTAGTGGTATGGAGGAGGACTTGGAGATGTACGGCAATCAGTTGGTCACAAGTACTTCCATATTTACCGTGGGATATGTCATCGGCCAAATTCCCTGCAATCTACTCCTGACCCGCGTTTCGCCCAGATGGGTGATCCCCTCGGTAAGTACTACTTGTCAACTTACCCTGTGACGTGTTAAACTGACTGTCATTACAGCTTGAGGTAGGCTGGGGTATAGCTGTCATTTGCATGTCCAGTGTGAAGTCCTACAATGCCCTTTACGCGCTTCGCTTCCTTGTCGGCATTTTTGAGTGAGTACTGAATCCTCACCCGACTTTAGATTAATAAAACCAGTGAATCTTGGCTAACGATCCTTCCAGGTCTGGATTTTATCCTGGAATTCACTATATGCTTGGTTCATGGTACACACCACGAGAAATTGGCAAGCGATCCATGATCTTCTGGCTTGCTGGCTCAATTGGCCAACTATTCAGCGGCTTCTTGCAGGCCGCAGCATATACTAATTTAGACGGCGTCCAAGGCCGTGCAGGCTGGCGATGGCTCTTCATTATCGATGGAATCATCACGTTGCCACTTGCAGTGGCTGGCTATCTATTCTTCCCAAATCTCCCGCAAGGCGGAAAAAGACCTGGTGGACGACTGAAGCAGAGCATCAACTTTCTGTCAGACGGATGCAGGAGATCGGCCGAGCTGGCAAAGAGCCATGGACTAAGGCGAAGGCTAAAAGAATTTTTTCAAGCTGGCATACCTATCTTCTACGTATGTTCTCACCATATCCTCCTCCCGCTGGATCTCGCTCTCTCTAATGGGTCATCGTAGCTTTGCTCTACATTGTGTGGAATAATGGCTGGCCACAGGTCGGCATGGGATATTGGCTGAAAAGCTTTAATAAAAAACCCGCCCCACTCCCAGGGACGTCATTTTCAATCCCACAAATCAACAATCGTAGGTCGGATCAAATATACACATGCGGAAAATGAGCCTAACACATAACTTAGTGCCACTTGTTACTACTGGTATCTTCATTGTCATGGCGTTCATATGGGGCTGGCTTTCGGACGGTCCTTGCCGCGGCGCACGGTGGCCTTTTGTGTATGCTGGGGCTGTCATAACGGTAACCACTGCTGCACTATCACACATCAGATTGTTGCTGACTGTTTCAATCTCTCGTTAGATTGTATTCTGCGCTCTTTTGCGGCAGATGCCGTTATACAGCAATATAGAGGGTCGCAAGATTGTTTATTGGCTCAGCAACATTGGGGTGAGTTCCACTGTCCCACACCATTCAAAAGATGTCACTCGACTGACTTCATATAGCTCGGAGCCGGTCCTCTTATTCTTAGTTGGACTAATGAAATATGCTCTGATGACACGGAGAAAAGAGCTCTGATAGTTGCAATGGCTAATGACCTTGCATATGTGGTGCAAGCAGTGGTAGGTCATGCTTTCCCGCAAATATTGAATTCTAGTTAACTCGAGAAGGCTCCAAATTTCGTGTGGAAAACTACAGACTTTCCAGCTGCGAAGAAAGGGTATCTATGGTGCATTGTTCTACACGTCCTGTCGAGTAAGTCCCGGTCTAATCCATATGCTTTTCATGCTATGATTTGAGACTAACCAACCTCTTTAGTCGCCGTTACTGCTGCGATTCAATTTGGATTATGGTGGGACAAAAAGCAAAAGACTGTGGTGGAAACCAACAGTTCAACATCAAATTTAACGCCATCAGAGGATGGAAGCGTGAAGGACAGGAAAGCGGCGCTCGCTGTGGTGACTCCAGCTACTATAGAGTAGAATATTCGTATGCGTGAAGTGTGTGGGCATTATTATTATTATCGAGCAATCAATATTGATATGTGGTGAGCGACGAAGTATCAAAAGATACATCATATAATTATACAGCAAGTTTTGGAAGTATTTTCCTTTCATCTCACCGGGCAGTGTCACAGGGTAGTAGGATGATGACTCGCTCGGAGGCTAACACTTAATCATTTTTTTCCCTTCCTTTAGAAGACAATACCCTTGACCTGGGGTACCTTCTTTAGGTCAATATTTCTGATCATCATAGTCCAAACAAAGGCCAGAACCATGATACCAGTACCAACAGCAAGCATCCTGGTCTGGGCATAACCATAAGCACGCTGAATGGCGAGTCTGGTAGGAGTTCCAACAGCGTAGCTCAACTGGGTATCAAGATCCTCGTAAATCATCTCAAAGTTATCCATGGCAGATTCCGGAAGGTACATCCGCAGAGCATTCGGATAAGTGTTCTGCCAGATCGCGCTGGAGATGGTCGCTCCCATGGTATCACCGACAGTACCAACGACGTTGAGCAGAGCAAGCACGGAAGCAACGTGTTGATGGTCAACCGCGGCCAAGATGGCAAGTTGTTCAACAATGATGAACACACTACCACCAATAGAGATAAAGATCTGGCACATGACAAGGTAGCCGACGGACTGGTTGGGACGACGGAAGTAAATCATCAAGCCCTGGGCGAAGATATAGAGCGGAACCGCAACCCATAGAAGCCACTTGAAACGGCCAGTCTTTCGGATGAGGACACCAACAATCAAAAGCAAGACGCCGGACACAACGTCAAAGGTGTTGCCAACGTATCCTGCTTCAGCTACAGTCAGATCATTGACCACCTGGAGAAAAGAGGTGAAGTAGTTGTCCCAGCAGTAATAGCAGAGCTGATAAGTCGCGTCGAGCAGGCAAGCACCAATGACCGTTCTGTTATACAAGAATCCGTATTGAAGCAGAGGCTTGGGAGCAATCCAAGTCTCCCAAATGATGAAGACGAAGAGCAAAACGAAGCCAACCACAATCATGGCAATGATGTATGGGGTCTCCCAGCTGCTTGGAGCGCTGCCGGCAATATCGAAGGGGAGGAAGAACAGGACGAGACCGGCGGAGAAGAGAAAAACACCCATAGCTATTCATAGTCAGTACCTACAACTATTTTATGGGACGATCTCTGACTTACCATCAAACTTGACGATGTAGAACCAGATGCTCTGCAAGATTGTCCGTCCACTGCTTGCCTTGATCACATGGCCTTCCTTCTCAGCTTTCCGGATGTTGTACTTCAAAATGCAGTATAAAGGGCTGGCAACAAGAGGGAAGATGATAGCAAAGATTCCGAACGGCCAGCGCAAGCCGATACCGTTATCACCCAGGGCATCATCAGCTGCCTTTGAGCCAGCGAAGGCAGTGATGATGTAGGGGGAGGATGTAAAGGCGTAAGCCAGACCTCGACTCTTCAGCATGGACGCATCGGCCGTGATAACGTCGACGCAGTAAGTCAGACCACCGAATCCGAGCGAGTAGAAGACCTAGTGATTGTGTCAGCCCACAATTAATTCCACCTTTATCTGGAGTCCGGTGCACAGGAGCCTTACATATGCGGCACAGAAAGTAGCAAGGTTATTGCAGGCAGCCATCATGATCAGGCCCACAGTGGCGCAAACAGTCATGAAAAGGAAGCCCTCTGCACGACCCCAGACGTCCATCATTCTTCCAAGGGGAACATAACAGGCGGCGGTAATTGCATCGGCGACAATGTAGATTGTGTTCAACAGAGAGTGAGATTCCCATTGACTGGTAAGGTAGGGGATCAAGCTGTAGAGGATCGAGCTTTGGAACGCATTGGTGAAGTAGAGCAACCAGATACTACAATAGGAAAATTGGTTAGCTGAATGTCCCGTTCAGTGTGGATGAAAATCACGGAAGAATCGTACTTCAGGAAGACTGCAATCAATGCGCCTTTGGACCAGCTTTTGGTCATAGCTTCAATATCATGAACACCACGGTGCAACTCTTCCTCCGGTGTCTCGACCGGCTGGTCCGCACTGACGGCACCATTGTTCTCAGCAGCAACACCATCAGAAGGGATTTCGCGCTTTCTGTCCTCATTTGTGGTCACATCGACCTGGGAGACTGAGTCCTCAGTCGCCTGACGACGAAAGACATTTCGGAACCCCATTTTTTGAGACCTCGGACAGAGAAAACAGTGGATGAACTGAAATGGTCAAAGCACCTGGGGGAAATCATTGTCCTTATACCGCATAGATCAAGCTTACCATCACTAATCCGTTAGTACCCATCGATGTACTGATGTACTGATTGATAACTCGTAAAATTGGCTAGCGGGGGCCACTAGCAGCACAACGGATAGCGCCACGCAAGCCGAGAACCGGAGAGCAGCTCGATCGCGCATCGTCATTACTTGGTTGCTGAAACGAAACAGGAAATTTAATCGATGGTCTCGGTCACCGGTGGTACCAGTGGGGGTTCTTTTGCAGCAGGTACACGATTTGCCTGTGCTCAGAGGTCATCCAAGCACTGGACCCCATTGAAGTAACTTAGTGTGGACAAGAGCTGTGGATTTTTGCATCCCTCCCAACGACGAATAGCTCCTTGGCAGCATGTCTACACGACGACCGACGACTCGACCGGGCTGGTTGCCTGCATTGGAACCTGAGTCCCGAGTTGACGGGGATCTCTGCTCGCATCACCAGACTTGAAAACCCTTCTACGCGATGGGGCCTGGTCCGGGAGATGGTGCATCGTACGAACCAAGTGCCATGGGGTCCCATAAGAAAATAGATCATGTATGTAACAACAAGAAACTGTATGCGCTCACTGTGGGCCTTTGGAAGCTCGGGTAATCTGAGAAGCAGGTAGCGAGAATGTGGTGACGGGTCCCGCCCGATTGATGTCCGAAATCCCCCACTTATCTGATCCTAACATTGCCGACCTAATCAAAGGACCGATGAAGAAACCACGCTACTACCGTAGGTTGACTTGATACTGTAGAAATACGAGTCCGGGTGATGATCACTCCCACGCAAAGAATCAAGCCGTGCCAAGGAGATCCATGTGAAATATGCCGTGCAAGTCGCGGCAAGAGCGCATGGCTTATCCCACTCCCATGCCTTGGTATTGCTTGGTATGTGCTTGTAGTGTGGGTCCAAGACAGCATCGAAGGAGAGCGACCATTTCGTATCCGAAAACCTCCGCTGAAATTCGGATTGGCGTTTTACTGGTACTTTGCTCCGATTGGGGGTCCCATAATGACTGATTTTATTTCAGCTCGGTGCCGTTTCGGGGCTGATCCATGGTCAAAAAAGGATCTGATAACTTTCTTCGTTATTCGCGGCTTTTTGCTAAGGGTGGCCCATCTACGGCGACACTTTTTTCTTCTCACTTTTGATTTTGAACCGTTAGACTAGATCTGGGCACACGTGGGAAGTGCAGTGCGCATGAGCGAGATGGCGGAGCTTGCTTCTGCCGAAGTAACAGCCAGATTAATAGCCAGATTAAATCGGTCATAGCGAAGTAACCTCGTTAAAGAAGGTGTGCATCTTGAGGCGACAAGACTGGTGATTGGTTCTTTCTGAGGACTAATCAATCCCAATTTCTCCGTCCGACATAACAACACCTGGGAGAATTCTTCCAGCTGTGGGTGAAACGGATCTGATTAGATTACTTGTCGGTCTGGTTCCTTATTGGTGTGGAGTCGCGTTTGGTGGCGTTCGCGTCCCACACCGATCAGTGTTTTTTTTTTCTCGCTAGAGAGAATCTGTTTCTTCCGTAATACCCGAACGAGTTCAGTTTGCTGGTGTGTTGGTGCGATAATAATGTTAGTTAGTGCTCTTGGGCTGCGGTGGTCATAGTTTGGTCAAGGTCGGGGCCTGGTGGTGAGTTTTGGTGCTGTATGGAGTACACAAGGTACACAAGCACGATTAGTTGGTTCGGAACGAAGTGGACCGCTTCAGCGAACAAACGGGAAATTGGGCGCCAAGCTGATCGCAGAAAATGCCGCTAAGTTGTAGTGTGTTACATTCTCTTCCCCTCGCTTCGACGCGAGCTTGAGCACGAAATGCGCCGGTAAGGCGAGCGTGGGCATCGTCAGACAGTTATGATTTGCGACAGCAATAATAGATAGCACCAGGAAGGGCAACGCTATCAGTACTGTAGCTAGGTCACTGCTTTTCGAATTCACCAAATACTTAAAGGCACCAAGCCGATCTCGGGTTATCAGATCGAGGAACAAGGGGCCCTGCATGCTTTTCTGCCTCGGGGTACAGAACTAGTGCGGTCTAGAAGGGGTCTTCGTTCTTGAGGCGTTCAATGATTTTCCCTTCTAGCTGCCTCTTATGCCGGGTTGTGATTATCTATTCCTCATTGCTTAACATCATTTTTGCAGAAAACTATTCAAAAGCCCGATCTTCTAACACTCGAAAGCGTCAAAGACCTATTTTCACAAGCCACGATCGTAGGAGACACTGATAAGAATACAGGATGATGTTGGTCTAGGCAGCCAAAAAAAATAAAAATAAAAAATAAAAACCTCTCAAGAATGTAAAGAAGAGAACACATGCAGCTGCGAACAAAATGCAATGGCTTGGGTATCAAGGACGCCGGCGTCCAACGCTAAATCGGCAGACGATCAATCTCAACATCATTCTCATCTTCTTCCTTATGCGTGACCAATCGGTACGGCCCATTCCCATCGGACTCGCGGCGTCGTAATTGACGATTCACAGCACAATACAAGCCACACACGACACAGACCGAGGCGAAAATCGCAATCACGATCACGCCCCAGTGGACTGTCAGGAAGTTTCCTCTTGATGAGGAGGTATCGCGTTTCAGAATTTCTGTTGCACCGATGATATCCCCATCGACGTTGATGGCATGGACTCGGAAGAAGGAGGTAATTTCAGGCGGCAATGGGATCTCGGTCTCAAAGCCGATGCGATCAACTTGATCGACTGCGATAAATGTCATATTCTCAAGCCCTGCGCCATCCCAGGCTTCAAGTCGCCAAGATTCGACCTCGGTTGCACCGTTCCAGCTCACAAAGACGCTATCACCGGCAACAGCTGCGTCGGGCAGGGTATCCGGTGTACCAACCCAACTACCCTTGGTAACGCGGTATGAAACGATCCGGCCGAAGGAGAAATACGCCGATGCGCCATAGTGAACGTCGCATAGGACGTCTCCCTCTTGGGAAAATTCGGTGTATGCAGCACTGTGACCCCAACCGACAAGTACATTGCCTGTGTCGAGAACCTGTAGATTTCCCTGAGAGGTCGCCATCAATTCTTGGGGGTGATCGTAGCTTGTCACCAATGTCGCTTGTCGAGCGGGGATGTCTAGTTCAATCAGGGCGCCGTAGCTGATTTTCTGCAGGTCGTAGTCTCCATTGGCAGCATTGTTGAATAATGTTATCCGGTTGGGGCCACGCCAGCGGGCATCATGCTGCCACTCGAATCCAGTAACCACACCGTTCGATTCATCGGAGAACTCGTTGTCCTTTCCGCCCAAAGTCCAAAGTACCCCGCCAGTGAATCCGTCAATACAAGTGACGGAGTGGGTATGCCGTCCAGATACCAGGTAGCGACCTTGGTCATCCTTATCGACACTGTTCATATGGAAATAGTCATATCCCATTGTTCGTTCATAGCCCCGGTCGTTGAGTGGCTCGTAGCTGCTGTTTGGCGGGAAGAATTGGGTTGAGCGCCATTCAAAGAGGAGCTCTCCTGTCGAAATGTCAATTTCTTGGAAGACACCCTCGTAAAGCCATCCAAGCTCTGGGCCGCCAACAGATGTCAAATCTGCTGGGATAGGGTCGTAAATCGTGATAAGGGCCGTATCGTTTGCGGTGATATGAAAGTCATGAAGATCGCCATCCATGGCGCCAATGGGAGAAACAATGTACTTGGTAGTGTATGTAGAGTCCAGCTGCCACGATTGTCACACGTTAGCTGCTTGTAAACTTTCCGTATCAGATGCCTCTTTCGGATCCTACCATGTACCATGAGCCACGGCCATGTCCATCTTCTTCGTCACCTTGCCAGAATGTCACGTAGTCCTGGCCTTTGTATCGTTGAACTTTGCAGTCCTGCGTGGTACCCCAGTTGTAATTCATCCACACTAGCTCACCGCGAGCATCCAATATCATAGGTCCCGGGTGTGCCACCGAGTCGCCTCGAGGCGCGAGAAATGTGTATCGTGGATCACATTTTGCACCGGCTGGGGATATCTCAACAATTGGAGATTCCTCATCGAAGGATATGTAGCTCTGCGATGGTCCGAACCCATATATTCCAAGATCGTACCAGCTCAATTCAGAACGGAACCGAAATCTCTCTAGCTGGGGTACCGCAAAGACGTAGAATAGAACACAGGCACCAATAGTGGCAATGAAAGTAGATATTAAGCGGCAGCGACCGAGAACGTTCGGCCGGTCTCTGCTGCCAGGCCAGAAGCACAGGCGCGAGGAGGCGGAAGAAGTCCGCAAGGACATTGGCGCATTGCGGTCCAAACGAGGGGTGAAGAGCTCTAGGGACGAAGTAGCGCAGCAATCGTCCGAGAGAAGAGCATTAGAAGAAGAGCGGGCGATGAGGATGGTGACCTCCCTAGGGTTATATGACCTTCTCTCGTCTTTCTAGCGTCAACGTCCCACTAACCACCACGAAAGACTCCATGACAAGCCCTTCCCCGCAAGGAAACATGTTCTTAGCTCAAAATAGCGTGGACACTCCTCTGGACGCGCGTGCTAATCGTTCATCTAGAGGTTTTCCATATAAAACTCCTATCTGCCAAGATGAGGGTGGATCTCTCGCGCCTCCGGGATTGCGTATGGAACCAACCAACGGGAAAGACGATTAGTCGGCGGGCGCGTTATTCGACTTTGAAATTGTTCCTGGCTGGAGCGCTCAACGAACACCCACACAAATTAGGGCCAGTGAGGTCGATCAGTCGGAAAAGTGTGGATTTCAGTTTCTCGAAGCCCCTCTACCAAGCCCCAAGAACGCAGCGCCACGAGCCCGCGCGTCCTTCGTCGCAGCAACGACATGTGGCGCACGAAAAGGTCGTAGTGGGCTATTTTGGACCCCTGGATCCAATCAGATCTAGATAACGTCAATGTGCTCATTTGACGGCTCATCAGTCACCTAGCTGCCGTGTATCCGATTATCTGTGAATTGACAGGAGTGGTTCGAGGAAGCGCCATTCCCGCTGGCAGATCTGTGTTCGCTGATGCAATCGAGATATGAGATGCGCATCCTTAAGTTTGTTTGATTTTGTCGTTGGTACAGAGCACGAGTATGACTACTAAATGGAAGCGTTGGACCCCGAAAGTGACCCTGAAGAAGAGCGGAGCTTTGTCAGTACTGACTCCTCCACGAGTCCGCCCCTCTCCCCTCTCTTGGTGTGGTGGGCCTTTACCCAGAAAGGGAGACGGTACGAGCGGAGCGAGAACGAACTGGAGGCCGCGAAACCTCTTCCACTTTAGGGAATACTTTCGGCCGATGACTGTTACGTAGCACTTCTTTCCACCGCGCAATTAATTACTATCACTTTTTCACAGAGCATATTTCATTCGCTAGTACGGAGTACAAGAAGGCTAACGTGCGCTCGCGCGCAACTCTCGGTCTAGAAAGCCTGATTAGGTTACTCCCGAGCGAGCCCAGGTTTGGTGATTGACTCGCGTCAGTGCACTGACCATCGCGACCGACCTCCCGTCCTAGTCAACGATTGTAGGCCACTTGGTGGCATCAGGAATGTTCTTGGCAGTCTCCAGGGCTGTTGACAACCAGAACTAATGTCTGCCACGTATTAAGTAGTACTTGCAAATGACAGTATTGTATGGACTGAATTCGGAAATTAACTCATCAGTCACACCTAGGTAAGGACCATGAAATCATCCTACTTGCTTTAGGTACGCTCGGGCGGAGCGGTTCATGGAATATATATATTGAAAAGGACCCCTTCATCTTCCAAGTCGTTCCAGAACTTGAACTACCTTACATACATCCCCGCACGGGTGATATTCATGAGCAACAAAGTCTTCTGGATTAGACGATATATCTCAAAAAAAGGAATGAATTGTAGAGGTTCAGATTATCACCTATTTACGACCCTCAGGCCTTCCTGTTGCACTCTTCCAATCTATAGTACTTCTGGAGCCCAGGATGATTTTTCCGGTCGCAGCTGCCGGATTTTGCCAAGCAGTCAGATGCTGCATCAGAGAACTTAAGAAAGTCACGGGACTGGGTTTTGGAAGGGGGTTCAAGTTCCCTTTGATGGAAAAGAAGAGAGCCAATAAGATGGATGGCAGGTCCAAAATGATTCAGGCTCAAAGCCCTTGAAATGTGATTAACCGTATTCAAGATCCTCAGCAGCCCTATGTTCATATTTAAATTGTATCTGTGAGAGAGAGAGAGAAGAGTGACAAGGGCATGATACCGTAGTGGAGACATAGATCGTCAGACCATGCATAAAAAGAGGGAGAACTCCATATCACGAAGGCATTCCTGAGCCTGCTCAAAAAAGACCACCCGAAAGCAGCACTCTTGTGTAAGCTTTCGAATAACACAGAGCCTGGTATCGAGGCCTTAGAGTAAGAGCAGGGAGGGCTAAGGCTCCTGCCCTATACACACTTATCTGTCTCCCTTCTCTTCCACTTCTCTCCTTCTTCTATACCTACCACTCATTAATTAACATTTTCTCTGTGTTTCTCCTTCTAGCTCCCTATATATGGTTAGCCATCGACCTGGTTTCTTAAACTTGATTACTGATTACCCCTTTATTAGAACCAAAACCCAGGAACATGTCACTGATGCTATCTTCTCAGTAGCTTCATGGGCCGATGGCTCCGTCACTAGGCTCTCTGGATAAAAAATGATTAACAGTTAGAACGATATTTCTCACTGGTATGTCTCCGTACATAGGACCATTGCAGTGGTTAGCCTCAAAAATGAGTTCAATAGCCCCAACCAAGTAGACCCGCAGGCCCTTGGGCGAGGCCTCATCCCCGGAAATAATAACCATGAGCTCCCACTCTCTGCCTCTCTGTCTCTAAATCTCGCTGGATCCTGTTTCAAACGTTCTTTTGCATGAGACAAGTGGCTGACGGTAGGCCCCGCTGTTCCAAGATTTCCCAAGATCAATGGTTTCTCCACTGAGTGCGACCGTGAGGCCCAAACACGGGCGAATCCTTGTCGATCACACCATGTCGCGACCATGTTCGCTCCGAGGATGCTTGAAGAGGGGGTTACATGAGCGAATAATCCTGGTCTGTGGGCTGCGTTCACCCGTCCCACGGCCGGAGTTAAGACGCAAAGGTTCAGAAGTTTGATAAGGTCATTTGTCTTCTCGCTCATGGAGGGTGTTGTGCGGGCGGACGGTCCAGTTAAATGCGCCCCCGGCGAGGATCGTGTGCAGGTAAGAAGCTTAAGGATGCAACCAAACAGCTCAACACCAGCCTCCATGGGGAAGGTTACCATCAGAGGCCCTAATGGGCAACAATAATGGAAACTTTGAGATGTGTCGTGGCGCTGGCGCTAACGGGAGAGCAGCCCTTCTTTTTCGACGGGCGCATTCTGATCAGCTTCGATGTCTCCACTATGGTCAAGTAGGTCGCGAATCGATGATTGGCGCTCGGCGTGGTCGTGCAAGAACGCCCCTTAACACCGGTCTTCCCAGCTCAGATCTCTAAATTCTTCTTGTCTCTGCTTACTTCGAGCTTTTGGCCTGAAGTGTGTTTGTATATGCAAACAACTGCAGACTATGGCGGGCGGAAAGGAGGATTTGGCCCATGAGGTCGGCCTGGATGCGAATTCCCAGGATGACCGAGATATGGAGCGTTTAGGGAAAGCTCAACAGTTTAAGGTCAGTCACGCATAGTGAGTGCGGGATGGCGGATTTGGCTGACCCGCCACAGCGAAACTTCCGTTTTTATTCAATTCTGGGATTTACGACGACGTTGATGGCCTCGTGGGAGTCGATTCTTCTGTAAGCCAAGATGATTGTCTCGGTTGCAATCGCACTCGCGCTATGATATTAACACGAAATGCTTCCGCCACAGCACGAGTACCTATGGCCTGATTGACGGTGGCCGAGCTGGCATGGTTTATGTTTATCTCGCGTCGTTTGTGGGATTTTTCGCATCTGTCATTTCCATGGCTGAGATCTCCTCAATGTAAGCCTTTGATCGCGTGTTTTTCGACTTCGAGCTGGATTAACAAATTCATACTTAGCGCCCCAACCTCCGGAGGTCAATATCACTGGGTCAGCGAATTCGCAGCTCCGCGATGGCAACGATTTTTGAGCTATCTGACTGGTAGGAAAGCTATTTCCCATTTGCAATCGCACATCGTTTCTGATATTTTCAAGGGTGGCTGTCGGTTCTGGGATGGCAAGCAGCTTTCGCTAGTATTTGCTTCCTCTGTGGGACCCTGATCCAAGGCCTCCTCGTCTTCAACTACTCGGGCACTACGGGATATATCTATGGCTATGAGCGCTGGCACGGAACTCTACTGACTATGGCGATTGCTGCTGTCGGGACGTTGGTCAACACCTATGGCGCCAAGTTTCTGCCTCCCCTGGAGGGCATCATTCTGGGCCTCCACATTTTCGGATTCGTCGCCGTTCTGGTGCCAATGTGGGTGATGTCGCCTGGCCAGGCCCCGTCATCTGAAGTATGGACCGTGTTTGGCAACGAGGGTGGCTGGCCGAGCATTGGCCTGGCGTGTCTAGTAGGACAGCTTACCCCCATCTTCTCATGGACTGGGCCCGATGCTGCAACTCATATGGGTAAGGAGCAATCATCGATTTAAAGTACATGTGATGCTGACTTTCTACAGCCGAGGAGGTTCAAAATGCAGCTCTTGTCGTTCCTTGGTGCATGGTATCTACTGCCTTGATCAATGGCGGCCTGGGATTCGTTATGCTTGTTACTCTTCTGTACAATATGGGTGACATAGCCGATGTTCTCAGCCCTGCGAGCGGCTTTTCGTTCATCCCAGCAGTCCACCATGCCACAGGCTCCGTCGCCGCCACCAACGGCGTGGCCGCGATTATCCTAGTCATGGAAGTCTGCAGTGCGATCGGTATCCTAGCGACAGCTTCTCGCCAGACCTTTGCCTTTGCTCGTGATAGCGCCCTTCCTTTCTCTCGAGCCCTTGCCCACGTCAACCGTCGTACTAAAATCCCTGTCACCTCGGTCCTTGTTTCGACTATTATCACTCTGCTACTGAGCTTGATCAACATTGGCTCCACTGCCGCTTTCAACGCGATTGCCTCGGTTATGATTGCTGCATTGTTCACCACGTATATTTTGTCGATCGGCGCATTCATTCGAGCTCGATTCCAGCCAGGCGGAATCCCACCTGCTCGGTTCTCGCTGGGATGGCTGGGATTGCCTATCAACGTTTTCTCCGTGGCGTATCTCTGTTTTGCTATCATTTTTACCTTCTTCCCGACTGCCGCAAACCCAACACCCGTGGACATGAATTGGTCCATCCTTGTCTTTGGAGTAGTGGTGATTTTCGCTGTTATACAGTACCTTGCCCACGGTCGCCTTGTCTATCAGGCCCCAGTGACGCAAGTCCGGAAGACGGAATGAAAACAGACACAATTACAATGAGGAGTCTAGCGGCTTCCTCGATCTTTGTTCAAACTCAAGTCCATGAGGACAGTATATACCGACCACTTTGTTTGACGGGCAGGCCTCTTATGTCATTTAATTACTACGTTCGATACCCCCCTCCTTACCAGCACTGAAATTGAGAAGGTGCATGCTCATAAGAATGAGACCTTTATGAATTATACTCGCCGCGATATCATTAGGTGGAATCATGTCTCTAGTTGAGATAATTTGTTGCCAAACTGAGAATATCATCCAGACCCTCCGCATAATCAACGCCCAACGGCATCATGAGATCAACGCTGGGCATGATTCCCGAGACATCATTCGACATGTCAGGCCAACGAGTATGCCCCGTAGTTCTTGTGAGAGAGGATCCACTCAGAGTTGTTCGGCAGTGCCCGGTGACACTTGCCCGATCTTGTCGATAAAATGTTTGGATGATGGCTGCAATGTCAAGGCCACTTTCTTTGGGCATCGTGCCATGTAGAAGCGGTGGCTCTCGCAGTTCACCCATGGTTCTCCTCTCCAGAGGGCCCCTTTGTTGAGCTTCAAGCATTGCCCGGAGAAGCGATATACCTCGCCGTGCAATCATATCGGTCTCACAATGTGATAAAATCTCAATCCCGTCTTCGATGAGCTGCCGGTGCTCAGAAGCCTGACGATCTGGTCGAGGCTGATGGAACATGTCTAGACACAGTATGATCTTCGAGTTGTTAGCCGAGATTGTTGTCACGATGAAGATGCACATTGATAGCTTACACTTGCAGTGACACTGAACGCTTGATGAATCCATAACATAGGCCCACCATTACGCGTCGCCTCTTTTTGTTCCTTGATGATCGTTCTGGATGCAGCCACACAGGTTTTCCGGGTGAACTCGAACATTGGATTCACGAAGCTCAGACTCAAAAATTTCCGATGAATCATTATAACCTTATGAGAAGAGCTGATGGCTAAACTTCGTCGAGCCCATGTTACGTAGCATGGCCACGATGGATCCAGTGGGACATTTTGTAAATAGTACGGCAAGTGTTGAGTAGCCAGTGTGCGTAATCTGCGATCATATTTGAGAACCTCTTCGTAGCGGGTGTAGAGGGTATTGCAAGAGGTAATATCGTCTTGAAGATCCGGCATTAAAGCGGCGATCTTGTATTTTAGGCGTGACAAGCCCGTTACAGTAGGATGGTCTTCTGAAAGCTTGTTCATGTCATCATCGCAATTTGAGGGCCTTTCGGTGGTAAAGCATGACCGGTGGATCAAGTAGCTTTCGGTAAATGGAATGGAGAACCAGTCCTGTATGCAAAGCTGACACCATACGCGGCGACCGATTTCCCTTTTCACCGGGCCAATTGACTGTGAATTCTCGTCATCCCCAAGTTGATGCAGTCCGAGCCCCTGGGCGATCCGCACGGCCGATGCCAACAGCACGGAGAATCCGTTGGAATGGCCAAGCATGTGGGCTGAGATGGTGAGACTGGCTATGGCTTCGACAGAGTATATTGAGTGATTGGCCATATAGTCGGCCTGGTGTAAACATGTTATTGACGCCTTCAGCCACCGCTTCGACAAGGTATCTCTCTCAGTGTCACGGAAACCCCATGCCTGGGCAGTCGACCGAGGCGCACAAGCCATCGATCCCGTCAGGACAGCGAAGAGAAAGGAGATCCACTGCAAATTGATTCCACGGCCATCCACCTTTCCATCTCCCTTGTCATAAAATTCATCTAGCTCCTGCAGGAAGGTAGCTGCATGGAACGCTCCATGGTACCAGAGTAGGCACTCGCAGTGGTATTTGGCTAGTTGATAGACTTTTTGTCTTGGAGGGAGTAGTGCCTGGCAAAGAGCAGCAGCCGGAGGCCCTGGCATGTGCATATCCTCCCATTCATTATCGTCGGGAACATCACCAGGGGAGTGATCCAGATTGTTTCGCCTGACAATCTCGTCCTGGTAGGTGGGATCTTTGCGGCGGCCCCAGGCCAGGAATTCTAGTATTGTCGCAGCATCTTCCACCTCATTCGGGCTTGTTGCTGATTCACTATGCGCAGAGCTCTGAAGGGGAACAGTCAACCGCTCCACTGTTATGGATTCGGCCGGGGAGAAAGAGTCATCGTGTATTTCAGTATCCAGCGCCGAAGTACGCGGCCGAAGTAGTGATTCTCTTGCCTCACTCAGCGCGGCCTCAAGCTGTGCAACTCTGCTCTGAAGTAATTCAATAGTCCTTGAAGCATCCACACTCGGCCGGGCCTGAAACTCTTGCTCACTTCGTCCTTCGGATTGAGAAACGCTCGGGTTCGGCGAGTCCCGCTCGCGCGGCCGTGTGCATCGTGACCCCTTTCTGGTGCAATTACGACATGGGAGGATCTTGTCGCACTTCACTTTGCGTCGTGTACACTCGACACACGCCAGACGTTTTCGCTGTATGCCGCTACTCATCTTGTCATTGATTTTGATGGAGTAAAGTAGTTTGGAGAACGGAAGCTATCGATCTGATTGTCTTATCTGCAGCCACGGAGGTTGGTTACCAGCCGATTTTACCGCGATTACCCAGCAGATTGGTGAGTTTCTTATCTTTACGCTGCTCTATTTACTTACCAGCCTCAGTAAAAGATTACAATGCCGAATAGAGTCTCATTCACAATTACTATAGACAGTTTAACCATACACGGTAAATATTTTGATATCTATCTCCGGTCGCTGTATCACGGAAGGGTTAAAATAATGAATGCTCTTCATGGTTAAATCGTCCACGGGCGCGGGCTTGGACACCCGATCTCCCCTTCCCCTCTACGAAGTAAAAGAAAAGAATTCCCTGCTCAGATCCTTGCAACAGTGTTTTCTTGACCAGGAGGTAGACATGTACGCAATAAATTCGACGTGAAACATCTTTGACGGCCCATGAGCTTTCGGACGACACCGACTGTGACCTGAGGGAGATGCAGAGCTCGGCCGCCTCCCTCGGCCGAGGCTGGAGATAAGTGAAACTTGGGGCGCTCCGAAAGAACACAGCAACAACATTATATATATGTTTTGCACCAGTCTCGATATTTCCGAAACGAAAGAGTTTAAGCCACATTGATCACGTTGAACTCACCTGGTCTCCATCGCCATAAAGACAAGCACGATGGCTCAAACTCAATATGTCGAGCGCCCTATCCCCCAAATCTCCCTCGCCGATTTCGAGAATCGTATCGACAACATCACGGCGGAATTGATTGATGCGGCCGAGAATGTGGGATTTTTCACACTGGTCGATCATGGGATTTCCAAGGAAGATATCGAGTCTGTTTTCTTGACATCAAAGAGCTTTTTCGACCTACCCGATGACGCCAAAGCGACCGTACCATGGAATTCCAACAACGTCGGCTGGGAGAAGAACTCACAAATCCGACCATCAACCGGCAAACCAGACAGCAAAGAGTCCTATCAACTTCAGTTCGGAGACAATATGAAGGGGTTATGGGTTGAAGACGAGCATCTCCCCGGCTTTCAAACCACTGCGCTCTCATTCATGCATCGCGTGCAAGGGATATCGGAATGTCTAATGCGGTGTTTCGCTCGGGGCCTGGGATTTCCGGACAACTTCTTCATCAAGTGTCACGATGTATCGCGATCGGACTCTCAAACCACCATGCGGTTACTTCATTACTTTGCGCTGCCGGAGGAAGCCGATGGGAAGGAGTATCATCGCGCAGGGGCACATGCGGATTGGGACTTTCTGACTCTACTGTTTCAGAAAGAAGGGCAGAGTGGGCTGGAGATTTGTCCCGGTCGGGAATCCGTTACCGAGTTCGGCATTGGAGACAAGTGGACCAAGGTGGAGGCGAAGACAGGGGAGATCGTTTGTAACATCGGGGACTTGCTCATGTCGTGGTCGGATGATCGGTTCAAGTCGACTTTCCACCGGGTTAAGGCGCCGTGTGAGCCTGGGGATTATTTTGGCGACCGATACAGCATTGCGTACTTCAACCAGCCCTGCAAGGACGCGTTGATCCAAGGGCCGTTGAAAAAGTACCCAATGGTGACCGGCGCCCAGTTTACCGAGAGCGCGATGAAGAGGAACTTTGCTGCGTTGCAGGAGAAGCTGAAAATGGTCGCGGCGGCATAGATTGGTAGAGGATGGGGAGTTTTCGCGTGAGGGACATCTGAGCACTCGTTGTTAGGGCAGTGCTTGGGTCGAAGCTAGGTGTTGTAGCCTTAGAATCTTCAAGCTCCTGAAGATTGAGTGGTTATCATTTGTGGACCTGAAACGCTCGTCAAGTGCGAAATAGAGATGAATGAATATAATACTCTTATAAGTTTCCAAAATCCCACCAAGTGGAAAATCCGTCGACATTGCCCATGGTGGACTCTGACTCGGGATAACCAAGATTATCCATATCAATGAATTGTGGAGGCTCAGTCCAGAGCCATGGGGTATTGGCCATCAGACTGTCGGCGGGTGCAACGAGTTTCTCTCCCATTGTTGTACTTGCCGGGGATGCAGGTGCCGTAGCAACGCGTGGTGGTAGAGTAGGTGGTAGATGGGCGGCGGATCCTCCATCAGCAGTATTGACAGTGATGTCTGGGGACATTGCGACGATAATCTCAAGAGTGGATGACGAATTTTCCACTTCCTCTGGAAAGACGGCAGGGCTGAGTGAAGGGTGCAACAAGCCAGCAGCCGATGTTTCTTGTGACGTTGGGGTGCAGTTTATTTGCAGAAGATCCCACATCAGGGGAATACTGAGATGGATCTTTGATGGCTCCCAATCAAAGTCCACCTTTTCTGAGCCGGATGCGATGCGAGTCATTTTGTCTAGTGTGTGGTTCTGGGACTGTTAGTATCGAAATTGCTCGTCTGCTCACTGGCAAATTGACATACCAATTTTTCACAGGCGGGGGAGAAAGATACAAAGCTCTTCAAAAACTTTCTGCATTTTGCAAAGTCTGTTTTTGATTTGTACTTCAATCTTGGATCTTTGGCACAACAATAGTAAAGATGCACCGTGGCGGCAATTGCGGCTGCGTGGCCAAAAAATGGATCGATTAGTCGCATCTTCTTTTCAGACACCATGTCGATAAGTCGAACAACCCAAGTAGCATGCAGGAGGACCAGCTCAGACGATCTCCTCCAGAAGGTGTTTGGGATCGTCAAGTTGTGGTTGTATTGAGATGCCACAATGTAGAGGAAGGGATGATTGAGGACTGTCAAGATGGAGTGATAGGTGAATTGCAACTTGAGCCACGGGGTCCAATATTCCCGATTAATCCTGAGCTCCTCTGCTCTTCGCTCGTAAAACTTAACCGAGTCATATCGATGGCAAGGTGAAAGCTTGTTCTCAAGCTCGGTTAGGTCCGAGAGTATCATCGCGTACATCGAGTCATGCCTCCAGGGCTCTTTCAAGCGGCTTTGAGCGCAATCAAAAACGTATGATCTCACCCTGCTCCAGACCCACCCAAAATGTAGCGCCAAATTCCATATGCCAAGGTCCGCGGAGCTCGTGCATCCAAGGTCATCATTTGGTAATGGTGGAGGGCTTGTGTCTAGGTTCTTGAGCCCCCGTTCGTCACTCGTTGAAACGTAAAAGGACCGTAGAACATCCCCCGGCACGCCGAGAATGTCGTTGATCTGGCCATATACCTGCTCAAGGCATTGAAGACTCCAGAAGAGTCTTTTCTTACGTTCAGCAGACGGACATTCAATGCCGTAAGAAGAGTGAAGGTCCAACATTGCAGAGCGACAAAGCTGGAGGGCTAGACCCAGGTGAAACCGCCCAAGGTGATTATTTCCATCTAACAGATGTTTAGCTTCTCGTATTAGGCCTGATAAAGAATTGCCACATACCGAGAAAAGAAGAGAATGAAAGCAAACAGAGACTCTCTATCGTTTCAAGCTCCACAGTGCCATTGGCAATCCGGAGCATGACAAGTGTCCGAGCGCTATCACCGTAATGTTGCAGCTCATTGCGCTCTTGCGAGAATCGTGAAGTGAGTGTAAGAATGCTGCAGACCAGCTCTTCTGAGATGTAGCTAGTGTCCTTGACTTCTTCGCGATCAAAACACCAAATTGGCTGTCTGTGGCAGTATTGAAAATAAAGATCTACTGCCTGTGAGATCCTCGAAGACGGGTTTATCTTCGAGTCTTCAAATCCCATTCCAAGGAGAAATGGATCATTGAGAGAGGGCCCAAAATCGGTTGACGATGGACAGGAGGGTGCCGAGTGCGCAGTGTCGGCGGATTCATTGTTTCCACCATGATTCTGGTCTTGAGGAAGCGATCTGAAGAAAGTGTCAGAGTTTTGTAGAAGCCAAGTATTTATGAATGAAGTGATAGGTACCTGCCACCGTTCAAGATAAGATTGACCTTCTCCTCCAGGTAAGCCAGTCTGTCAGCCTAGTGAATAGTCAGTATCTTATTCATTTGTAGACTCGGGATTACGGTCATACAGAAGGGCCACTGCGAGAGCCTCTTGGCACGGCTGTGTACAGACATTGCTGGTTCAGGCGAACACAGCTTGAACATGCCGGCTTCTCAGCGGGACAACGAGTCTTCTTCCTCCTATGTGGTGTCAGAATCACGAATGCGGCAAAATGACGAGGGCTACAATGCCACCAACGAGAAAAAAAACACTTACCTGCAATTCAGACAGGCCTCGTGCGAACGCAATCTTCCCCGAGTGCCTTCACGTGGCATTATATGACGAGCACGACTCGGAGAACTCTGAAATTGACCGGAATAGCACAAAAGTTACTATATGGATCGAAAACGATAGATTGAGAATAGATCTGGTCCAACAAAAGAAGGCCAAATTTCCATAACCCTCGGAGAAGATGTAGTGGGTGGGGGATGATGGGGGAGGCGAGAGGGGTTTTGGAATGACGGGGACATGATAACACAAAACTGGCGTGTACGAGCGGGGAAACAGGCCCTGTCAGCGCCCGGCAACAAAGCGCAAAACAAAGCATGCATAATGGTGGAAAGTGACCCGCAGAAACCCAGCGACTAGTGATCTGGACTACGGAAGGGCCCATGCTTACTCCAAACTCAACCTGGTTGTCTGCTTGCTGGGCGCTAGAACTACGTCGGCAGGAACACGATGGTCGGGAATGGTCCGTTGGGGGGCGACACTAAGTTTGTGATGTAACTTAAAACCTTACTAAAAAAGGCAAAAGTATCCTGCGTCCAACAAAGAACCCCTCTAGAAGACACCCCTGTCGCAGATCAATGTTGTAGGACTGTTTATCGCTCCAATAGGTCCTTTCTCAGTCCACGGGTAATAGGTGAATGCTTGAAGAGAATTGGCTGTTGGTTTATTCGATGAAGATAAGGTTATTCGATTCCAGCACGTTCGTTGGGTCTGGGATTCTTATCTTAGGCTAGAAACAAACACTACTCGAGATAAGTCCATGGGCCCAAGGATACGACACGAGAATGAGGCGGGGTTCACAAGAGATAGCCGATAAGAAAGTCTATAATTTGCGCGCGGATCGGTAACCCAACTGTTCGATATGCATATCGTGGCGGATGATTGGATTTTGGGGTTACAACAGGCATTTTGCTTCATCGGGATCATTCATCAGCAAATTTTGTCTGCCTTCGAATACAAATGAAACAATCCTCTCTTGGCAAAATGTGATGATATTCTAGGTGAATAAGATTCGTAATTATCCACGTAATAAACTATTATAATTCATGCAAAAACTGAAATGATGTTCTGGCTGAAATGCGAGCAAACCATAAAAAAGAGGCACAAAAAAAAAAGGCAACCCCCGCCAAATCAATAAGCCAATGCTGGATTGCTAGAGTGGCATGCCGCCACACCACCGCAATCGCCGCTGACCTGAGTTGAGCAGTCGCCGGCCTTCTGCAGCTTAGAGCAGAAATCAATATCTTCCTGGCTAGTCTTATCCCCGGATGGCAGTGTTTGCCGCGAGGGCCAGATCTCATGACCCGCCTCCTCCTCACGCTCGTGGAACTCAGTCACAAGCTCCCTTACCACATTCTGGAAGTAAAGAGAACCCTTTTCTAGGCGGGGGTGCAACTCGCCACTGACAAATACCCCGCTGTTGAGGTTCTTCTGGGTGTTTTCGCAGAGGTCCTTGTCTTCAGACATGATTTGTTGGAAAGTAGAGCTGATCTTCTCGAAATCCTCGTCGCTAGAATCCTTCTTGCGGTAAACTTCGTATCTCATGGAGCAGGTAGTGGCGGAGGTCGGGACAAATCGTTGCAGGAAGAAGAAGTTTGGTGAGATTGTCATCGAGGCATTAGGGAAGTAGTAGGTGCTGGCACTCTTAAGACCTTGGGTGGTGTCCGGGTCATGGATGCCACTGTCATTCTGGGTATTGACGGAGTGATATGATTCGTTATAGTTGTCGGCCAGAATCTTCCAATTGTAGTCACCGTTCAATTCCCAGGCATGATCGAATGCGTATTCTTCGAAATTAAAGTCCTTGAATCGTGGTTGCAGGTCGATTCCCTTCAAGTCGTTCTCCCAGGAGATTTCCGGCTTCTCGGAGCCATCCAAGTTAACCCAAATGAAACCATTGACGTCCGTGTGAACATGAATCGGGAGGAGACCATTCTTGCTCTTGTCAAATCCGTTAAGATCCTGATAATGAGGCGCCTTGGCGAGCTTCCCGTTCAGGCCGTATGACCAGCCATGATATTTGCATGAGAAGATTCTTGAAGTACCTCCATCCTCGGTGACTACTGGGAATGCACGATGGCGACAAACGTTATGGAATGCATTGACAGCACCTTCCTTATCGCGGACCAGAATGAAGCTGAAGCCAGCGATAGTGTATCGTAGCCAATCACCGGTTTTATTGAAGCGGAGTGTATGACTAGTCAGGAGCCACTTGCGGGAGAAGATGGCTCGTCGCTCAAGCTCAAACATTTCTGGGGAGGTGTACCAAGAGGCAGGCAGCGCTCTCGAAGGGGAGTTCTCCGCTTGGGAGGCCCCATTACCTGCGGCATCTTCTAAGCCCAGGTCGCTTTTCGAAATCGGTGACATATTGATTGTTCGAAGGTATAATCCGGGGGATTGTTGTACGAGGAAGCTTCGCTGGTCTTGTGGATTGATTTTCTAACCCAGGGCTTCAAAAAGCTTCATATATAGTTCTCTATCTATGTATCTGTCTACTGTCTATATGGTTGTTCTCATGATGGCGTACCGAGTAATCGTGGGTCCTAACGGGGTTTCAAGGCAGTTTCCGATCACAGGATCGGGACGGAGACTGAATTGGGACGGGCGCTAGCGGGTTTGGGCTAAGAAATCAACACTGCGGGGGCTGGCAGGAGACTTGATGCCCGCGGTGAACGGCCCTGGCGACCGGCTCTCTTAAACGCCACACCGGTCTAATCGGCTCGTAATACCGCAACTGTTCTGCCCTTGTATAACCTCCAAGATAAGCATTAAGAGTTGAGAAAGTCATTCATGTATCTTTCAAAAGTATTCTTGGGTTTAATGGGTAGGATTCTTATATACCTATGACAATTAATTCCATATTGTGCATTGAGCTTTCTAGAAGCCTTTCGAGATTTACTAGGGTAGCATAAGGCGAAAGCGAAACGAATTTCTTCCACGATATTACCTACCAAAACCTTTCTATTTTTTCATTAACGTACAGGACTTCGTTTTACATATGTATCACGTAATCACAGATTTGGAGGTCAGAAATAGCGAGGCCCAGGCCGGATCAGTCCAATTGAAAACCGCGCCTATAGACCGCAGCCTTAAGGAATTTGTCAACCTAATAATAAGTCAGTCTTCATCGAGAACCCAAAAAAGAGTCGCCTTACGAGGTCCAGGCAAACGAGTCTCCAAATTGACTCCAAGGTGGCGGACATCTCGTGACTTTCCCCGCAACAACCTAAATGCACAGGACATGCGTCATGTGCGCCCGGGCCGATCACATGAACATCTGCATCAAGGAATTTGTAGGTTATCTGTTGGATGGATGTAGGCTATAGTTCCTTACATTCGACTCCAGCTTCCGTGGCACGTTCTTTTGTCATGATCGACGTGGCCGCTAGAGCCTATCGACACTCAATCCTCCAATCAGTGCCTGCTTAATCTGCAATACATGTCTGCAATACATGCACCATCTATATAATCGGATCTCAGATTATGTAGCCCGTTTGTAGACAATTAGTATAGATTCAGGCTAACAATAAACCAGATCTCCAAGGAAACTGATCATTTCTGATCTTCTTCACTATACAGGATGGTTTCAATCCAGAACTGCTGGAAAACGACATGGCAGGGTTCGCAACTCCTTGCGGGAGATATATGTGGATCGGATTTGCTTCGCTAGGCAAGGTTAGTATTCGTGAACTTGACATTTACCCTGACCGGCTAATCCAACATCACCCGGGCCTGGAAACCGAGCTCCACGGGGTATTGGATGGTGGCCGCCGATATGCTGACGCTACCGAGTACATATTTAACTGTTAGGCCAGAATGGTGAAACATGGAGGAACGCATTCCTAGATTGGGAATCGCCTTCCACTGGCCTTCATTGCAGGACTTACAAGGGGAGACTAGTTCCAGGCAGCATACCTTTTTTGGCGAGTCAGTCTTCTCGGATTTATCAGCCAACAGAGCTATTTGCTACCCAAGAATCAACGTGGTATTAATACATTTCCTATGATTCCTGCAGACTTACGTTCAATCCTCTAAGCGGGCTATCCTTATCTCCTCGGGTACATCATGATTCGGACCCGACAGGAATAATCATATTTACCCCGCACGCGGTAAGTTGTGTTGGTGGAGCCAAAGAAACCCGATTACCCTGGAACTCGGTGCCTATCGGGCTTCTGGGCCCATGGAGTTTGGACTGGAGGCGGAGTATTCCGCATGGAGCCGTCTGGTTCGTCGGAGTGTGTCCGATTTCGCTGTTCGCTTTTGTTTTCTGCCGACCGAGCTGTAACTTGCGTCATTTCGCTTTGTCGCAACTGAAGAACAGACTTGCAGCTCATCAAACAAGTGAACAATGAAATGAGCACTCCGAATGATAATTATACAATCCACAAGGTTTCGTTAAAACGTACGCGTCAAGCATGCGGTCCCTGTCGGTAAGTGCACTTGTGATCAAGGAGCGCATTATGAGGCGCGTACAAAGCTTGAAGCTAAGATCACGTTCAATTTCACAGTCGCAAGAAGGCTCGCTGCCCGGGTGAGAAGCCCACATGTTCGCTATGTGGCAGGCTGGGACAACGGTGCTCGTACGGATCGCAGGAAGCACCAAATCGCATCCGAGACGGTGGCGCATTCGCGATCGACGAGAACAATAATTTAGATGGATCAGTCGAGGTATGCTTCACTCTCGATTCGACTACAAGTAACACGATTTGCTGACCATGGCTTCATATTAACTAGGAGGCCGAGTCTGATGTCCATTCAGCACGGCGAGTTCAACGTATTGAGCTCAAGCTAGACGAAATCTCCTCTCTACTTCGGTAAGAAAACAACTCTCATCTCATGCCTTTGTTAACTGATGAAGACTGACACAAATTGCTCTAAATCAGAGAACGTCTACCGCCGACCCATGCCCTGGTTGGAGCACGACAGGGGGATTTACCCACAGCTCTGGAGCATATCCAAAATCAGCATAACGAAACACTCAACGTGGCCGAAATGGCGACAGGGGACGATGAGTTGACGGCATGGTATGTGCAAGCTTTACATGGAGTTGGAGAATCATAGCTCACCTATTTTAGCCCACTTTCACCCGCATTCATTCAAGCCGAAGTCGAGGTCTATTTGAACAAGTTCCATGACCAGCCTTATTGTGTTTTCGTCGAGCAATGGCTCCGAGAAAACGCTCGCTCTTTGCCGTCAGAAATTGCTTTTGCTCTGGTTGGGCTTACTCGTCGCCTCACGGTCAACTCGCCCGGAATGCCCAACCTCGATACACCTACGGGCAAATATTGTACAGAGAGAGCCTGGAAAATACTATCAACCCAATACCAGCAGGGCAAGATGGGTCTGTCCTTCCTACAAGCGACTTTTCTTGTCGCTCAGCTAGACTTTGCTGATGGGAATGCACACCGTGGTTGTGCTTCGGTCGCTGTTGGCCTTCGCACTATCCAATCGTTTGGGTTCAACCAAGGAAAGACACTCTCCTCCTTCACCAAGACCGAAGCTGAGGCCAGAAGGCGAATAACCTGGGCATTTTTCATGCTTGATCGCACCTACAATGCTTCACGAAATTACTCCCTGTGCCTCTCTGACAATCACTTCACTTTATTCTTCCCATCGGTCTCGGAAGATTCTCCAGCGCTGGGAACGCTGCATGAAACGTCAATGAAACAAGGCCAAAAAGTCGACCAAGGTATCATGGCTTGTCTTCTTCGGCTATACTCACTCTGGGGTAAAGCGACAGAGTGGGTTTTTGAGCCTCTTCCCACAAGCACTCTGCCCCCCTGGCGAACCGGCTCTGCACTTGCAATCCTAGAATCAGAGTGGATGATATTCGAGACTCAATTCGCAGACGTACATCGCTATATGAACGTTGATTTCAAACGGCGAGCGCGCCAGGATCCTAAGTCGCGGCCATATCTATCGACCTGGCTTTGTGTTCAATTCCTTCTTCACTCGATTCTGTGTCTTCTCCACCATCCGTTCGTGACAATGATCAAACTCCGTCATTTAACCGAGAATCTGTCGGCAACGTTTTTGCAGAAGTCCTTTGAAACATCTTTGCTTCATTCTCGGTGGATTGCGAGATTTATTAAGGAAATGGCAGAGGTTGATCTGCGCTTGTGTGACCCTTTCTTTGGGTATCTAGCCGCGATCGCTGCTACGATCCAGCTCGAGCACACTGGGAATAAAAATCCGCAAATCGCACTTTTACTCAACAACGAATATCGAGTCCTTGTCAACTTTATCACAGAGCTCTCATCACATTGGGAGAACATGGATGTATTGGTAAGATCATCCATCCATCCATACTTATGAATGCGCTTCCAATGTCAATTCTCAGGTCCATCGGATAAACGAACTAGCCGCCCGCCATAGCAACTACGGCTCTCTGTTCTACAATCAAGACGGGTTCTCGGGAGCATTGTCGAGCATGCCCACACCGGCGAATCTGCCCAGAATGTCGACCGAAGATGAGGCCTTGATGTGGGACATTCTAGATCTCGCTTCTTCATCTAGCCCTCTTGAAGCGACCGAGGCTTCTTCGCTCGCACCGACGAGGAAGAAACGGAAGACGACGAAACAGCCAGTGGGGAGGTCAAGGCGGAAAAGTGATCTCTGTGAACAAGCCGACCTGGAGAATACACCCACACCGGGTGTACCCCCTCATGAGGATCGGGCCATTGAAGGGTTGGGTGTGCCCATGTTGAATGATGAATCGATATCTGATTGGCAATTCCCCGACAGGGCTGGAAGTAATGCTCCTGGCTCATTGGTGCCTGATATTCCTGATTGGATGATCTTTGGAGACTTTATGTCGGAGCATCTTTGAGGCAACTCTCCTAGTGATGCTAGGCTTGTCGTGATAGGATTCTCGAAGATAGTGCTACGATAATATGACTACGAACACTTCCTGCATGTCCTGGTCAACTCTCACGGTCGCGTTCTATTATATGGAGCATCTTATATCATAATTCGTTCGCATGCTGAACTGCGAGTACTCGCATCACATCTTGCTCTGTCTAGTGGAGGCAGTCAATGCCGAGTCGAAAGTGCTTCGTTCATTAGAAGTCAACTCCCGGCGCTCGGGGCCACCACGACTTCCATCGCCACCAAACACTTCGCCCTGGAAACGCTCGCGGAATTGCGTGGGGAACTTCCACTTTTCAAGGAGATTCTGGGGGAGCTTTTGCTCGAAACTTCCTACGATGTACTTGCCGATCACCGGGAGGAACTTGAATGCACTACATACTGCGTCAGCATACTCAAAAATTTGGATTCGGGAGAAGATCTGGACTTACTGCCCGCTTCCACCTGTCGCAATGAAAAGATTCTTATGCTCGGGGTGATAATCCATGATGAAGTCACCGGTAGGTGTATCATTATACCAACAGATTCCAGTTCTCTCGAAGCCACGGGAGGCCAATTGGGGAAATAGATCCATGAGACCAGCTTCCATCCTCCTCAATCCCTCTGCCGGGACAAAGTTTGCTCGTGCAGCAACGGAGGTTGTTGGTGGCGATGATACATTCGCTTTCTCGTTATTCCGCGTGTACCCAAAGCCATGAACGGCAACTTTCAGATAGCCGGTGCCGTCGTGTGGTGGGAAACAGAAGAATCCAGTCGAGAAATTGAAATAAATTGGCATGTTCTTGAGCTGGACTGCTTCCTCAGGAGTAAGTCGAAGATACCCGACGATCTGGCCAGCTGCGAGCATCGAGTTCCAGGCTGGGACTAGACTTGCAGTCCATGCACCCGTGGCCATGATGAATTTATCACCTTCCACCTTGTTGCCATCAGCGGTGCGGACCTGTTTGATGCCATCGTCGGCATTCTTCTCAAAATCGGTGACATGGCCATTAGGCCCAGTCATGAAAGAAACACCAGCGTGAATACAGCGAGCAGCAAGACGACCGATTGCTTTGCCAGCATCAGCCCATCCGGCGTTGGTGTTGTAGAATCCATCAAATCCGGGCGTAGCCAATCGTCCCGTTAATTCGGGGAATCTCTCCTTGGCTGCCCCCACACTTGTAACGGCATGCCATGGCTGTCCCATCTCAGTCAAAACGCGCTTGGTCTTTGCGCTGTACTCTTGAGCTCGCGGTTGGACTGGTTGGTCTGCTTTGCCTTCCTGGCATACCCACAAACATGGCGTAGGGTAGAAAGCATCGTTGAACTCGGGAGTTTTCCACAAGTCGTACGCCTCTTTGGCAATCTCTGCGTATACAGCATCACCATAGTCAAATCTGATAATGCGAGAAATATCGTTGCTTGATCCATCTGGGACGGGTGGCATAGAGCGATCGAGGACTGTGACGGAAGTATAACCCTCCTCCTTGAATCGGAGGGCTGCTCCGAGTCCGAAGACACCAGCTCCGATGATGACAATTCGTTGATTCTTGTCCATATTGTAGTCGGTAAATGAATGTATAGGAGATATACGGCCCTATTATCAATTTGAAATTCTTTTTATACTAGATAGTTTCGTTGTGCGTGTTCGTCAATTATCGTTAACGGACCGTGTTCCGCCCGTTGGTGGTGAGAATGGGAACCACACGGTCCGTTCACGGCCCGTCTCTGGCTTGAGTCTACAGCAAACAACACCCGTGGCACTAGGCTTCAGATGAGATAAGAGACAATTATCGAACAATTTACAGCGATCAGAAAGTATCCATATCTGGGCTAACAGCCCTCAATTATTAATGTGATTCTCGGAAATTAGTTATAGCTATTCACAGGTCCTCCAATACATCTTATTTAAGTCGGAAGTGCCGGCCGACCATCTCGCCCATCCAGCATCTCCACCTTCTTACTACCATCATGCGGAAGAACGAGATTCAGGACCACACCCACAACAGCCGAAATAATGAATGGCGTCTCAACCATAAGATTGATACCCTGCTCGAACCCTTGCAGTCGGACATTCGACCCTTGATAAGCCAGAATCTTCGCAAACCAGCTAGGAGAAACAATGTCCATGAATCCAATGCCCAGAGCGGCTGTAAGGATAAAGCGGTTTCGACGAGTGAACTCGACAAGACTGAGGACTTTCACACCGGCGACAACAATGGTGCTGTATAGGAAGACTTGCATTCCTCCCAGGACGGATGGGGGCATTGAGCCGAAGACTGCGCCGAATTTGCCGAATATGCCCATGAGAACTAGGAAGGCCGCGGCACACCAACCTGCTCTTCGGCTCTGTACGGGGTTGTTAGATTAGCTTAAAGTCCTGTCTTCATGCATGTAGAGTGGTGAGGCACATACTGCACAACCAGTCAACGAGATGACACCGTTATTTCCTGCCTGACTGACCATAGGCAATCCTGTACCCAAAGCGCTAACCAGACTACCCACGCCATCACATAGGATACCACCTTGAATGCGGCTGTTGAACTCAATCCCGTCGATATCTACTCCGGAAATCTCCGCCGTAGCTAGGATATCAGGCATACAGCTGACTGCCTCGCAGATAAACATAATCAAAAGAGGCAAGGCCAGGGCGCCATCTACCGACAACTTGAATGTCTCAACCCAGAGGAAAGTTGCGACGGGTGCTGCGTTGATATTCTCTCTTGACCAGTATCCAGTGGCTCCGGAGATCGCGCAACCCACGGCTAGGCCAAGAACAACAGATGCAGAGCGCATGAGTGGTGATCCGAAAAGCTCGACGAAAATGATTGTGATGAAGACACTGAAGCCGAGGCCTATCAGTTTTGGATCACCCCTATAGAAAATTAGTACCTAGATTTGCGAATTCTGCGAATTTATGTTCTTACCAAGGCAATGGTTTGGGAGCCGCAGTATTCGGGCAAAGTGCATAGTAGCCAGTGCCACCATCACAGTTGGAACTGCCACCCCAATTCTCCATACCACTTGAGATCAGGTACACACCAACGAGAAGAAGGAGGGTACCAGTGACAACCTTCGGGAAAATGCGATTCAAGGTCTTTGGCGGGACAAAAGAAAGCAATATCTGAATCCAAACGGTGCAAAGAATAGTTCCCAGCATCGCACCCCACGCATCCGGGCATGGCAACTTCGATCCATCAGATGCTGTAGGACATGTCCCATTTGCGTAACGCATATCAGAGTAGCTAAATGCGATGGCCAGGACATCAAACGTGGGAGCTACCACTGAGAGCAGACCGGTTCCAATGTAGAAGGGAATTTTGGCAAAGTGTACCCGCGTCACCTGGAGAGCAGTCGCAATGCCGGTTGTGATGAAGGCTGCAGAAACAAGGTACTGGCTTTTTTCCGCGTTCAAGTAGAAAGCACCACTTGCAATGGCCAGAGGAGGTGAAACGACTGATCCAATCATGGTCAAGGCATGCTGCAGGCCGAGGATGATGGTCAAAAGAATTGGCACCTCGTCGTTCAACCCGTAGAATGGTGCCTGATAATCCTTGTACTTCTTGTTGAGTGGCCAGATGTTTGGAGTGACGAGATATGCATAGTCCTTGTTTTGACAAAGTTAGTTCTCGCTCAATATGCATGTCTCGTCCGACATACGTAGTTGCCAATCCATCCATCCCGAGTAGTAAAGTAACGACAAAGGTATTGCCATCGGGTCTCGGCGACGGGCGCAATCTCGATGATGCGTGAATCTCTATCCCCTGTCTCGAATGTATCGAAAGAAGAAGTGACCGGCATATCGGATTGTTCTTTCTCCGGTAACCTCCGTGTTGCATCCATGATCTTCAGCAGGACTCAAGAAAATTCGGTTTCTTTTGATTCCGGCTGGCGGGCGTTGTACGTAGAATCTTCCCTCGACGGGACGTCGATCGTGTCCGATATATAGCACATCATCGAGAATTATACTTTGGAAGATTATCATCCCTTCGTAAGACAATCATGGAAGATAGTCATATCTCTTTCATCATATCTCTTACCCCGGTTTGTATCGCGAATGATCACGCTAAGTTATCAGGGCCCGTGGGGAATGATAAGCAAGCGAGATGTCTTGGCCTCGGCCGAGGTTCTGAGAAACCCGAGATGCGCCTTTCCGCGATCGGGGGAAACTTCAAAAAGATGTCCATTTCTAAAAATCAATACAAGTCTTTCCAACTGAGATTCGAAGGTTGACGTCGATTTTTCAGGCCACCATGTCTACGACAACAGCTACGACCAGCTGTAAACTATTTGACCACGCAACCATAATCACCGTCAATGGACGGCGCGAGGTAATTCGCGACGGGTACATCCGGATCGATGGCGACCGAATTACATCGGTCGGTAAGTGCCCATACTTGGGAGAGCTACCCTTAGATGCAGAGAGAATTGATTGCGACGGGAAGATAATCATTCCGGGGTTGATCAATACCCATGCTCATCTGGTCCAATCTCTTCTTCGAGGACTGGCCGAGGATCTGCCATTACATGGATGGCTATGCGACGCGATCTGGCCCCTAGAAGCCTCTTTTCAAGGGGATGATGGTGTTCGAGCTGCACGCCTGACTATGGCTGAAATGTTAAAGACCGGGACAACTTGCTTCCTGGATCCAATGTTGACATATCGTGCCGGGTTTGATGCGATTTGCGAAGTGGCTGGCGAGATGGGAATCAGAGGGTGCCTGGTGAGTCTGTAAATTCAACCTCACAAGGAAGCGCCTAGCTAACAAGGGGAATCTTTTTCGGCAGGGCAAACTGGTCAAGTTCACCGAGACAAATCGACAATTGTCAATCACCGACCCGAGAGACCGTGATCTTCTCGCAATGTCTATCCCGGAACTTTTAAAAGCACACCAGTCACACCATAATAGCCACGGGGGCCGGGTTCAAGTATGGGCAGCCGCCGGTACACCACGCGGCACATCAATCTCTCACTATCTCAAACTGGGCGAGACGTGTGCCAGGCATGGAATATCAGCGACAATGCATTGTGCCGAAGCCCCACGAGACCGAAAGATCTACCGAGATACCTATCAGTGCAGCGCCATGGAATTCATTCGGGACGCAAAGCTGTGCGGACAAAAGACACCGTCAGATCAAGGCTTGGATCAGCTTTCCCATCGACTGGTGTTAGCACACATGGTCAACCTAGACGAGCATATCGACATCCCGTTACTGGCCAGTACTCAAACCTCGGTGGCTCACAACCCGAGTTCCAATCTCAAACTGGCATCTGGCGTGGCCCCAGTCCCGTCCATGCTTTCAGCACCATCGCCAGTGAATGTGTCGCTGGGCACTGATGGTGCGCCTTGCTCCAACCACTATGACATGTTCCAAGAAATGCATCTGGCTGGGATTCTTCACAAAGGCGTTCAGCAGGATGCAAGTCTCATTCCTGCTGAGGTTGCCTTGGAGATGGCAACCATCAATGGAGCAAAGGCGTTGGGCCTTGAGCATGAGATTGGGAGTCTGGAAGAAGGGAAAAAGGCCGACTTTGTGGTGGTGGATCCGTATGGGGCTGGTGGACTTGGGGCCGTGCCGTGGAGCAGTCGATCCTCAAGCAGTGCGGTCAGCCCCGTCACCACGGTTGTTCATGGATGTACCGGTCGCGATGTTGATATGACGGTGGTGAATGGAGTCATCTTGGTCAGGGATGGCAGGCTTGTGCGAGGAGGCCGGTCAGAGGAGATGAAGATTATTCATATGGCGCAAGAGGCTGTCGAGGGTCTGCTCCAGCGATGTAATCACGGTCGTGAGCAGGGGCAAGAGATCGGGGGAAAACTTATGGCGCCGTGGAATTATATCTGAATAAAGCATCAACCCTTCTTGTCAGCAGTGTCATATAAAATGGACCAATACTCATTCGCTTTTTCCATCTTTTCCATTGGAAGTGACCAACAATTGGGGGATGTTGGGAGGTGATGGTCGCAGCCCCACCAGAACAATACTAAGAACAATCTCAAGCCACCGTTCGTTGTTCACTCGGTGATTGCTTCTCGGTAATTCCCCCAGTTTAGTTCAGTTTTGATTTTTTTGGTTTTCAACAGGCAATCCTCCTACAACGATTTGTCGTAGTCTCTACTTTTCTTCATCATCCGACCTCATGGATCGAGTAGTGATCGTTGGCGCCGGTAAGTCCTCTATGAATCTTGACGGAGTATACTAGCACTAATGTCCCTTAGGGCTCTACGGCCTCATTGCGGCCAAGACCTACTTGCAAGTCACAGGAACATACGATAACCCGAGACAAGATGACAACGCGACCCAAACTGAAACCACACATACACGGCCTACTTGTTTCTCCGATATCAGACCGAGCGTGGAGCATGTCCCCGGATGTTCTCTCCTGGTGATGGACGCGGGCTCAGACATAGGAGGAACCTGGGCAGAAGAGCGCCTGTACCCCAACCTACTCAGTCAAAACTCATACGGGATGTATGAGTTCAGCGACATGCCTTTCTCACAAGTTGTCCCGGAGGAAACCACCGGCGCTGGACGGCAGTTTATCGCTGGCTGGAAGATCAACCGGTATCTGCATGCCTGGGCTGAGAAGTGGAACCTGAAGAAGCATATAAGATTGAATTGGAAGGTAAGTGCGACTTCTGTGGACTGTGTTGAGTGTCTCACCATGCCTAGGTTGAGAGTATCCGCCGCCATGAGAGCAAAGAATGGGAGCTCAAGGTCCGTATTGGGCCCAGCCCGGCACAAGATATCAGGATTGTCTGCGACAAGTTGATCCTAGCCACCGGGCTCACTTCGGTGCCAAATATTCCGGACATAAGCTCGTCGTCGAGCACGGACACCTCTACATCCGTTATTCACGCAAAGGACGTTGGTGATTGGGCCCGCGATAACTTGGGATACCAACCTCTACCATCATCTGGGTTATCAGTTGGAAAAAGCTCCCCAAATGAACAACAGAGTCATCCTTTAAAATCCGTGGTGATCTATGGAGGTGCCAAGTCGTCATTCGACCTAGTCCACTTCTTCGCTACGCTCCACCAAAAGGATCCCGCACTACATCTGCAACTAGCACCAAAGGAACCATTGACTGTGCATTGGATCATCCGGAAGGACGGAGCAGGGCCGGCATGGATGACACCACCTACATCCTCCCTTTTGAATGGTGATACTGTTGCAAGTGATAAAGCAGCCAGCAGCAGATTACTTCACTACCTGGACCCATGCTGCTACGAGACTCCAAAGCGTCTTGCGTGCCACCACCCTACAGAAGGCCAGTCTTGGGGCTTCCGTGTGGAGGGATCATGGCTGGTTCGTCTTCTGCATGGCAATCCGCTAGGCCGATGGTGGATTCGCTGGTTCTGGCGCTCAGTAGACCGGGGCTTGGAGGAGTTTGCGCAATATGAATCCGAGCCGAAGACGCAATTACTTCGACCGAGTAACAGGTTTGTGACCCTCGTTTTCCACAGTTGTGAATCATATCTGATCGTTTACAGTGTCGTCTCGTGTGCGTCCAGTATTGGGATCACTAATCAGCCCGATCTATGGGAGACTATCAGGTCGCCGCATGTCAAGGTGTATCGGTCTTCTATCGAGCATATCTCAGCTTCAAGTGCGCAAGATGAAGGAGACCTAATCGGAAATTTGAAGGTATTGCTAGAAGACAATATCTCTCTTGACAACGTGGACCTCGTCATTCACGCGACCGGATATAAGCCCGTCGTTCGGATCAAGTTCGATCCGCCGAGCTTCCGTCTTAGCTTGGGCCTGTCGGGTCTGGTGCATAAAAATTCTGAAAAAGACAACCCGGCTCATGAAATTGAGCCGAGCAACGGGGTCGAGATCCCACTGGACGGAGCGGTAGAGAGTCATATTCAACAATGGAAATCCCTTGACCAGCAGTCTGATGAGCTGGTGAGAAAGACCCTCGCTACAACGGGTTGTACACCCGCAGACCGAGCTACGCCCTCATGGATTGGAGAGTCTCAATTGCTCCCGTATCGTCTCTTCCGTCGCATGGTCGCCCCACAACTGGTCGCTAACGGAGATCGCTCCTTTGCAACCGTCGGCGTTGTGCTCACGTCCACGATCGCGGTAGTCGCAGAAGTTCAAGCACTTTGGGTCACGGCGTTCTTGACTGGTGGGTTCGATGAGACTTCGGCGGACTCTAAGTCCCACGGCTCAACAGCTCTTTGCCTTAATGGTATGCCTCAATTGGATATGGAGAAGGCCGTGTCGGAAGATGTTATGCTCGGGTCATTGACTGGCTCTGGGCTTGAAGTCGACGCTATTCATGTAAGAATATCCCATGTTGCATATCTTTCTTAAGGAGCAGAAGCTAATGAGATCAACAGTACAACGACATACTCATGCGCGATCTCGGGTTGAACCCACACCGTCTCGGAGGAGGATTCTTGAAGGAGCTTACGGGAGTGTATGAGCCATCTGCCTATGCAGGGATTGTGGACGAGTGGAGGAAGAGTCGCGGCCTCATGTAACTCGAACGTAAACTTTGATACTACCTTCAAGTCAATTTGTTTCAATATCCCCTCTAGCTCCAGATACATGTAAGACAGGAGGCATAGCAAGCGGCTCAAGGGAACCGCTCCCATATGGACGAATTGAAAAAAAACTCAAGCGTGAACCACCTCAACGAGCCCGCATGAGGAGATAGAATAACAATGCCTCAACTAGCTCTTCCCACCATGTTTCCGATATCGTGCCCTTCTGCAGGTTTGAGAATAAGGGTCGATGAGAATCTCAGAGAAAAGTCTAGAATAACCCCAGGGTAGGCAGCATACCTACTAAGGCTGATACCTGCTGCCTCCAGTTCGGGAAGGTCCTGCTAGGCAGATATTAGGGCAAACATCATATAATACCTAATCTGGAAGGGGCTGGGCGAATCTCCTTTCTCGGCTTCGAATTTTTGCCTTTCTTCTAGTGATTCTTCCCCTTCCGAGAAGTTCTTTCTGCATCTTGCGACATCCAGTGTCCCTTTTCTTCTCATTTCCGGCAGCTTCTTAGCAATCTTCCTCTCATCCTTCTCCCTATCTATTCTCCGTTCTGCTGCTCCCTCGAATCACTTGTTCTTCACGCAACTCTCCCGAAAAGTTCGGTTTCAACTACACCTCTCAAAACCTCCTCTCGCATTGATTCACATCCTTCTTATCTTGGGATGCCCTTTGGTCCCTTGTCATTTTCTCTGCACTCTCCATCTGCGACTCTGCCCATTGCCTTGGGCTTCCTGCAGATATCATGATAGTCGTGATAGCTGAAGAGACCAAGAAATCATGTATCTCGCATTTTTCAATTTCAGCTACTCTCCTCTCATTTCTCTTCCTATTTATTCTCGGTCCTGCTGCTCTCGCACATCGTTTCTTCTTCTCATCACTCTCTCAGGGAGCTCACACTTCACCGGTCAGTACCTCATCTCTCCTGACTTCTCATTCATCTGAGCATCTCCTCTTTCTTCTCTCCTCATTTTTCTCATATTCTCATCTTCCTCGTCTCCCCATCCGTCTTGATCCTTGGTCTTCTCTCCTGCTACCCTCTTCCTCCTGATCTACTCTACGACCCTCATCTTCCGATCTTGTCTCTGTCATCCTCACCACCGCCCTTCTTCTCCTTACCTACGACCTTCTACATCGTCAATAATCCTCGTCTTCTAGCCTTGGATTTCCTATCCTCACCACGCGAAGTAAGAGAACACATTCCTTGCCAACCTACACATGCTGACCGCGAAGCAGACCAAATGCGGATCACGACTACAGAGTCGTCTCTCACAACAACCACACCACTCGTGAATTTCTTTTTTCACATCTCACCATCATGTCTACCAAGCAGCAGGTAGGCCTTGAGCTGATTTTCGTGTTCATTGAACACGTTGAGGCTATGACCCGCTAACTCCGAGAAGCGCTTGATCGCCTTAAATACGCACTGTTCGTGCAGCTGAATCGAGCGGACGGAATTGATCTGCAACCTACAACACTCCACCCTACTCCAGTCCCCGTTCCACATGAACCGCGCTGCTTTCCTATCCTTCCCGGTGACATCCCGAGCCGGGATGTTCTGCATGCCCGACTTCGAGTCTGCATGCTGCGTCTCGTGGCGACCATGCGCGGGACACAGCAGACTCTCGGCTACTTCGAACAGGCAATTGAGAGCGTCCAAGAAGAGGAGGAGGAGCGCCGTGGACAGTAACTTGGAAGGCGGATACCAAGACGCAGACGATGAATAGCATGGAGGAATGGACAGGCGGTGGCATGTCTCATCTGGACGGTATGCAAGGTCCGCCATTTGATCGAGAGTGGGGAGCACCCCGCGGTTAGTTACACGGACCACGCTTCGACACTGATCGGAGAAATCATTGGTGCGAAATGGGAATTGTTATTGCAAACCAAGTTTCTCGTATCTTGTAGGTGTCATGATAGTCGTGGCGGAGTTGATAAACTATGTAATTTATCCGCTGGCAATTGTTGTTGCCTTCACGAAAGGCCGATGTGCCCCATAGGATGGATAAAGACATGCTTATAAGCGATGTCACCTCATCAGAGGAGAGTGCCGAGGAGGCTCATTCAGATACTCAACGCATCTACAATTCAGGGACAGTCGACGAGGCCTACAATTGTGCATCTCATCTCGCATATGTACTCCGAATCGAGAACCCAATCAGTAACTAAATGACTTTAGAGATATCAAAACCCCACACATGACACTCCACGTGACCGGTGCGTAGGCCTTCCTCTTTCGTGGCGGTCCGACTTTCCCTTTCCTTTTTCCCGTTTTCTCTAGTTTTCCCCACGTCTCGCTGCGGGCAGTGCCAACCATGACTGACGCTGCCAAACAGAGCGCCCGAAGGCTCACCCGATGCCGAACAGGGTGTATGCGATGTCGCATACGACGACGAAAATGTACCTTCTCGATCTGGCGGTGGTCAATGTCAAGATAATATCTAATACGGTCCATAGGCGACGAGGGTAAACCGCGATGTCGAAATTGTATCGACCGGAACTTTGAGTGCCAATATGGCCCGCAGTTGACGTTTCTCACCAAAAATGCGCAAACAGTGCAGCCGTCTGCAGCTGGCGGTTTATCGGCTAACTATGAAGTTATTCGAGTGAGTATTGATTATTCAGAAGAAACAGTACATTGCTGATCCTAAGGTAGTTTGTCAATGAGGACCCTGAGAATGCAAGGGACGAGATTGATGATGGAGAGGATGAGGGATCTCCTCAGGCCGAGGAACCGCAACGGTCGCACTCGCACTCGCACTCGCGGTCGCACCAGGAAGCATCCGATCCCAAGATGGGGAGACAATCAGAACCAGAGATACTCTCAGAGTTACCTATCTGGTCGGCCGATGAGCCATCTAATCCAATCCCGCAACCTTCAATTGCAATGTTCAGTGACAAGGACGAATCTGCGGTCGCTGGGTTGTTGGCATTGGGAACAAGCACAACCGACACGATAGGACCAGAAATCAGTCTGTCGGAGTTTACGATTTCGCCTCCAGCGAGGGAAAGGTCCCTCGCTCAAGTGATGGCTCCAATCAATTTCACTGAATATCCTGTGGCCTTTTCTCCGGGCCAACACCAACTTCCTCAGCATACAGCTGTCAGTCCTGAGATGACACCAACAGAGACGCTTGAGCTGCTTCGACACTATCGTTACGAGGTAGCTCCATGGGTACGTTTTTACAGACTCAATGAGGCACACGCGGAGACTGACATTTGCAGCTGGACATATGTGATCTCGGTCAAATATTCGGAATCCAAGGCTTGCAGTTGGCGATGGTATCGCCGCCAGTCCGGGATACCGTGCTCGCTCTCTCCAAGGCATCTATAGACCTGCTACGTCCGCATCCTTCACATTCAAGGACAGAGAAAGACATCCTAAGCCCCATAACTCCAGACGAGAAATTGGATATCACAACTGTCGCTTTTTTGCGCGCCTTGGACAAGACTAAACAATGCATTACAGACATGCCCTTGGCATGGTCATTGCACAGGGAAAGCGACACTGAAATCCTCGAGCCACTAAGTGCATATACAATTGGCAGAGATCTCAATTCAGCAATATACTGGCTATATTTAAGACTCGGTATGTTTGTTGTGATAAATTTTGAAGTTTCCAATTCTTGCTGATAAAACTTATCTCGAAGATCTCGGAGCAGCTCTGGCCGCGGATACCAGTCTCCGAGTTCCAATTCCTCCATCGTCTCCGTACTTTGCGGACGGAGATCTTGGAGGTGATCCCTTTGGACTGGTCTTCTCGTATGCGCATCGTCCTCTCTGGCTTTGTGCGCGCGCTGTAGAGTTCATGCACAATGAAGATCCCTCTCCGCACCTGCCTCCGCTTCCCGCGTGGATGCAAGTTGTCGAAGAGCTGGAACAGTGGTATCGAGAACGGCCCCAAGGGTTCCAGCCCATGCTAGAGATTGAAACAGACAATCAAGCGGCTGACCCCGGCGAAAGCTTTCCCGTCGTTCTGTTTGCCAATGGGGCTGGCGTCTTGTCCAACCAGCTATATCACACAGCCATGTTGCTGTTACTACGTAGCCGTCCACGAACAGCGCACATCGCAGATATTCGTTCTGCGACGATGTCGCCGCTCTGGCATGCCCAGCGGATCTGCAGTATCGCTCTGAATAACGAGCGGCGTGAGTGCTGGGATCCATGTCTGCTGGCATCGTTTTTGACAGCTGCGCGCCGCATGACACATGAGTCGCAGCAGCAAGAGATCTTACGGGGCTTTGAGCGCATCCGAAAAATCACCGGGTGGGATGCTCGAGCGCTTCTCCGGGATCTCCAAGTGGAATGGGGATGGCCAGAGGCATAGACACTGGCTTATCGATGAAATGAAAGGCGAATACAGATTTTCGCAATCCTATCATCCAGCAGCTGGCGAGTGCTGTGTAGCAGATTTCCGACTGCGACGAGTCAGGGGGTAACCCCAAGCAAGCTCCAGGTCACGAATTCGCCAGCAAGCACCCCATCCTGTCTCCGCTTCGATCTTTCGGATGATATCGATTATGATCGCATGTTCAGAGACATGGCTGAAAAGGCGCCCCGCAATCCAAAGAGGCTGGATGGCATTGTTCAAGCATCCCTGGTGAGGGTTCGCCAGGGATATGCCACAGATCCGCCGGGCATGCCACAGTGCTGAAACGATCGGTGCTGAACGCAACTTGATGCTCTTTGGCATGATGTTCAACAGAAGGATACATGCAGTATGGTAGAGCTGATTTGAAGAAATGGCAGCCCAGTGCAGGAAGAGGATGTGCGGAAACGGCTTGGTCTGGGTGGTTTGGACCGGCAGTAACTCTGGTGGTCGATCCTCCACCCATTGCTGCAAGTCATCCCAGAGTCGAATCCAACGCCTCTGGAAGACGTCACCCGTGCATTCATTCTGCGCGCCTAGCTCGAGAAACTGGGTACGGTCGGCAACCAGCTCACAGGCCTTTGCGCACAGGTAGACAGCATAATTTGCATGCATATCCGGGGACTGGGTTGCCTGGAAAAGCTGGGCTGCATCTTCTTCGTGACAGTCAGGCGCAAGCCACTTTCTGGGACGAAGAAGCGTGCTCTCGGTCCCGTCTGAAATAAGCGCACCGCATAAATCTACTCGCCCAGTTAGCAATGTATCTAAAAATTACATTTCCCACATCTTGTCCAAGCCTCACCCATGCGCACGTAGCACCAGAACACAGCTTGCAGCAGCCCGCTACTGAAACCATGGATTCCAAAAGCGTCGAAGAGAGCCGTGCATCCTTCCAGGTGGCGCCTCCAGTCCTGCGCTCGTGCGGACATCATTTCGAGACAGCAGAGCAAGACGCAAGCAGCAATCACTTTAGGATCGCGCATCTGTAAAAGCGGACTGAGTAGGCGAATGGCCTCTTGGTAGAGCTCGATACTATCGAATGAGTCCTGGATACCCTCTTTCCTCTCCATCTGGCGAGCGGATATGGCGAGAATCGCATTGAGTAGAGCAGGAAATGTGCGAGCGAGGGCTGGGATTTGGACGCGAAATGTGCATTGGGAATCGAACATGTCGAGCTAGAGGAGCACATTGCATGAGCCAAAGGACCTTTTCAATCAAGCTTGTAAACCGCAAGCCACGCCGTCTCTTCCTCTTCCAACCGTAGCAATCCTTTCATAATGATCTATCTTAGAATCACTCACCCACGGTGCAACTTGTCCCACGTAATTCTTCAAGTACTCCACCCTCCTCCGACTCGAAAGCGCCGATCGCATTGGCCCGATATTCCTCTCGGACCGTCCTTCCCTCCTCCCCTCATCCAGTCCATTCGCATCCGGACTAGCCGCCCTCGTCGGCGCCGCAGACTGCGCAATTGTAAAAAGCATACATCGCAGCTCCTCTTGCGACGCAAGGAACCCCGGATCATGCGAGAAACCGTCATGACCCCAACTGGCGGCGCCTAGTGGAGACGGGAACGCAGGGCCATCGGTCGAGTCTGAGGGTGTATATGCAGGTGCAGGTGCATGGCGCTGTGGGTGGGTGTGAGTTTGAGTGTGAGTCCAGTCGTTGTTGAGGGTTGGCGTGAAGCCTGGTGGTGAGGAAAGTGGTGGTGGTGGTGGTGCGTTTTCGAGGTCGGTTGGAAATGAGACGTCACCCGTGAGGCGCCGGCGTTTTGCATGCGGGTACATTGTGCATGGTATGGGTGAAGTACTTCAGGGAAGAATGGAATGGGGAGAAGAAGGAATGAGGAATGAGAAGTGGACAATTTGGGGAAGACGCCGACCGAAATTGTGGGGAAGACTTAGTCCGATTGGATACGGATTGAGGGATTCGATGTACTCCGTACAAGGACAATATTTACAGACCGATAGTCATATGTAGACAATAATTAGAAAAAATGACAGATTTAAGGCTGGAGTTGTATTTGCTAAAAATTGTTTTTGTGGTACAGATTCTGTGCTTATCAAAGACTTTAAATCTGGGCCCATGAGCGAGTCGATGTGTATCGTACATGAATCAAACTACATTCACCATATCTAACACTCGAGTCATTATTCATCGTAGAAGATATCCAGGCCTTGTTCTGATCAGAAAATGACAACTCCTGTTAGATTCATCAAAAGAAAATGGGCTCAAGTGTTATCACTCTATAGGTCAGCTGTACACAGAATAGCGCGTAGACCCCAACAAAAGCCCAACACTGTCAAGACACCATTAGTTGTGTCAAACGTGTTCAGATCCCGATTCACATTCCAATCTCTGTCCAGGAACCAATCTCCTCTATGAAGGGAGACCCTTGCCCTGCGATGGACTTGGCCGCCGCCGCCCTGGATGCACGCAAGGGATACTACAAAACAAACCACTGCCCAAGCCAGGACGATTTCGATGAGAACGCGTTCTTCAGCCAAAATCCAATTTTCACGACTGTGTTGGTTTCGACTGTGTCGCATTGCAATATCGCCTAGCAACTTGCATCTAGCATCACGAACCATGCACGGCCTCAAACAACTCACAGTCCTGAGCCTGATGCTTCTCTCCGTCACTGCTAAGGAGGCTGCAAAGAGGACCATGGTAGGTGTTTTCTCTCACGAACACCCTCAACCAGTCGCATTTGGAAGGATTCGCATTTACTAACTCGGCTAACTCGGGGTTAAGGTTGGTATCGAGACTGAAAAGGGCAGCTATGGGAAAGATGTGGAACTAGAAGACTGTGTCGAGCTTGACGAGGAGTAAGTCGCCTACTTCACTGAGCACAGGCGAGAATAGGACTAACTGGTTTACTAGGGAGGTTTACACTATCTCCATCAAAAAGCATTGTCGCGTATTCACGTAAGTTGAATCAGAAGCCCCATGTCACTTCAGTGCTGAGTTGATTCTGATTTTTCTAGTGGCCCTCTATGCACCGGTCGAAACACCCTCCTCAGCCCTGGCGACCACTCCAACGCTGAACCTGTCCCGATTACATCGATCTACTGCCATGCAAAGGCGCCTTTCTAAATACATACTTGTTGGCTCAATGGGTGGTGTCTCGCTTTGGGTTTACGGTGGCACTGGCTACACTTTAAAATAGAATAATGAACCTTATACCTATCATATTGTTCATGGCCTTTGAGCAAAGACTGTAGAAAGTAGAACATGCAACAGAAAAAAGGGTATTGTAGATCTATGGTTTATTTTCACGCAATTGAGTATCTTCGTAATAAGCACTAGGTATGTTCATAATCTATAGAGAAGCTTCCTCCTCATCCACCACCAGGACCTTAATGCTGCCATTCTGGGGATCAGCACATAGATGCAGGGCATCCTCTGCCTTCTCCAATGGGAATACGTGTGAAACCAGCTTCTTCAAATCCAGGATACCGCCACTCAAACATTGAATAGCCGGTGGCCATGTGTCTCGGTAGCGGTTGATGAAGCGCAGATCGATCTAACAGCAATAGTAATTAGTGTGAGTTCGTTATAAAGAGTGTTATATAGTCAGGGCCAGCTCTTACCTCTGCGAGAGAAATATGCATAAAAGGCAGATTGTTCATAATTGCCTTGCCCACTCCAATAACCATCACCGTACCACCCCGTCGGGCAGCATACGCAGCAGTGCAAACACTGCTTTCAACACCGGTACACTCGAGAACAGTCTCCGGTGCAACGTACTCAGTCTCACCAAACAAGGCACGAATAGCCTGTGCATTGCCCTCGGCATCCTTGGTCCGGTCAACCTGGTAGGTGATGCATGAGGGGACAAAATCCTTGGCGAACGCCAGCCGCGAGGGCTCCAGGTCCGTGATCACAATAGGATGAGCACCAGAAGCGCGAGCAGCAGCCAGAGCAATCAATCCGATAGGACCAGCACCGCAGACTACGACACCACGGCCGAGGCTGAGTCCTGCGGTCTTAATACCGTGCATAACCACCGAGAGAGGCTCAAGCAGAGCTCCCTCGGCGAATGTGACGTTGTCGGGAAGCTTGTGCAGCCACTTTGCTGGGTGCACTTTGTATCGCTGGATTGTGCCGTGGTATGGGTAGACTCCGGCGAATTTGACGTCTTCGCAAAGGTTGTAACGCCCATCATCACAGAGGAAACAGTGTTCACAAGGAACACCGGGCTCAACGGCCACTCGATCACCTGGTTCGGACATATATCAGCATCGTGAGATATTGAGACGACACTATCAAGACTTTTCTTACCTGGCTTGAGGTGGCTCACACCCTCACCACACTGCAAAACAATTCCTGAAGCCTCATGGCCGATGATGCAATCACCCTCAAAGACCAACGATCCAATACGGCCTGTCTTCCAGAAATGTATATCCGACCCGCAGATACCAGTGGCCTTGATGTGTACCAGCACTTCTCCCTGCCCGGGCGCATAGATAGGCGCCTCAACAGACTTGAGTTTATGATCCGCCGTCACTTGTAATGACGGGTTAGCGTGTGAGGCCGTGATTACTTTGCGATCGAGCGACTTGGCCGCGACTGCGACGGGCGCATGCTCATGCTGATCCGCTAGTACTGACGGGGCCATGATATCAAGGGGATAATGATTCCTGGAGAGAGTGTGGAGAGGCGTGGGAATTTTGACCGGACAGGGACATTTCTTATTTCTTAAGTAAATCAGCACTGTCGGTAAAGTATCCTTGCTGATGATGGGCGTACTTGGTGGTGGTGGTTCAACTTGCCATTTCTGCGGAGGCGGTTAGTATTACCCCATTCGTCGATTGCCTGAACAGGATGTTTTTGTCGATGCTGGCTGTCTGGCTATTTGAAGGGTCGAGGGACCCAGGAGAGAAGAAGTGGAAGACAAGACAAGCCAGACACCTTTGAGGAAATATTCTGTGTCAATATGACTGTCACGAACGGCATCCACAAGTCTGTGCCTTCGGCTTTGCCTTTGGTGCAGAAGCTCTCCAAGGACCATGACTTGGTTCTTAAGACCTTCCGTCTGCTCATTGCCGACTTGTGCCAGCAATTCAGCGGTGGGCACCCTGGGTATGAGAAGAATCTCCTGTGATTTATTCGAGTCGAGCCAGTATTGACTATGTGACAGTGGTGCCATTGGTATGGCTGCAATTGGCGTGTCTCTGTGGAAGTACGTGATGCGCTACGCTCCCCACACTCCAGAATTCTTCAACCGCGATCGGTTTGTTCTTTCGAACGGTACGTAGAGATGTAAAATATATGATAGTCTCAAATCACTAATTCAATCATTTACAGGACACACTTGCCTTTTCCAATACAGCTTCCTGCACCTCACAGGCTACAAGGCCATGACTTTCGACCAGCTCAAGTCCTACCACTCCGACCGGGTGGATGCGCTGTGCCCCGGTCACCCCGAGATCGAACATGAGGGAATCGAGGTCACAACAGGTCCTCTTGGCCAAGGTATCGCCAACGCAGTCGGTCTTGCTATGGCCACCAAGAATTTGGCGGCTACCTACAACCGCCCCGGCTACGACGTTGTCAACAACCACACCTGGTGCATGATCGGCGATGCTTGTCTGCAGGAGGGTGTGGGCCTCGAAGCCATTTCCTTGGCTGGCCACCTTCGCCTGAACAACCTCACTGTCATCTACGATAACAACCAGATCACCTGCGATGGATCTGTGGATCTGACCAACACCGAGGATGTCAATGAGAAGATGCGCGCATGTGGTTGGGATGTCATTGATGTTGAGGATGGTTGTTTCGATATCGAGGGTATCGTCCGGGCTCTAGAGCAGGGTCGCGCTGCACAGGACAAGCCCACTTTCATCAATGTCCGTACTGTGATCGGTCTGGACAGCCATGTGGCCGGCACTGCTGTTGCCCACGGTGCTGCTTTCGGTACCAAGAGCGTTGCCGACATGAAGGCCCTCTATGGCTTCAACCCCGAGGAGCACTTTGTCATCGGTGAGACCGTTCGTGAGTTCTTCCAGGATCTCCCTGCTCGTGGTGAGCAGTGGGTGCAAGAATGGAAGCAGTTGGTGGCCGATTACACTACCCAGTTCCCAGAGCTTGGTGCCGAATTCCAGGCTCGTATCAAGGGTGAGCTGCCCGCGGACTGGGAGAAGTTCATTCCTGAGAGATTCCCCGAGAAGCCCACGGCGACTCGTGCTTCCTCTGGTCTTGTTTTCAACCCTATTGCCAAGGAGGTGAAGAACTTTATGGTTGGAACCGCTGATTTGTCGCCATCTGTTAACATGATCTGGCCTGGCAAGGTCGACTTCCAGCACGTAAGTGTCAATTCATACCTTCATGAAAAATCTCACATTCTAACTTCCTCTACAGCCCGACTTGAAGACTATCTGCGGCATCAATGGAAATTACTCCGGTCGCTACATCCACTACGGTGTTCGTGAGCATGCCATGTGTGCTGTCTCCAACGGCATGGCAGCATTCGCTCCAAACACTATCATTCCCGTCACATCTTCCTTCTTCATGTTCTATCTATACGCCGCTCCAGCCGTGCGCATGGGCGCTCTGCAGCACCTCCAAGTAATTCATGCCGCTACTCACGATTCCATTGGCATGGGAGAGGACGGTCCCACTCACCAGCCCATTGAACTCGCCGCGCTGTACCGCGCCATGCCAAACCTGCTGTACATCCGTCCCGGTGACAGCGAGGAGACAGCCGGTGCCTGGATTGCCGCCATTGGAGCTAAGAAGACATCCACAATCATCTCTACATCCCGCCAGACTCTGCCTCAGCTGGCCAATACTCGCCGTGACGGTGTCGCTCGCGGTGCCTACGTCCTCTCAGAAGATGATTCCGCGGCCTTGACTATTATCGGCGTGGGTGCCGAGCTCTCCTTTGCCCTGGAGGTCGCCGAGAAATTGAAGGCTGGGAAGGGCATTGCCGCCCGTGTAGTCAGTTTCCCCTGCCAGCGCCTCTTCGAGCAGCAGTCTCTCGAGTACAAGCGCAACACCCTCCGCCGTCACCGCGGCATTCCTGCCGTTGTCATTGAGCCCTACGCTCCCAACGGCTGGGAGCGTTATGCCGATGCCGGCGTCTGCATCAAGCGCTTCGGTCACAGTCTTCCTGGAAAAGCGGCTTACAAGTTCTTCGGATACGATATCGAGACATTGACGGGCAAGGTGGCGGGCTACCTTGACCAGCTCAAGGGGGATGAGTTGCTGCGCAATGAGTTTGTTGAGCTGTAAATATCTTAAGATTTTTGTCTTTATTTTTGGGATTCGGCGCGAACTTGCATATATTTACATAGAATGGGTGGGAAAATCCACGAATTTAGTTGAATAAAATGGACGGAATACACATGAACAACCTTTGATCCCGCATAGAGATAATAAAAGTCCAGTATCTCAAAGGTTCATACTTTGTGGACCTGACAAAACCAGAACCCTGTAGTATGCGCTGGCAAAATATTCGTAAGACTGCGTCACTCTCCATGCCTCACCCTGAAAAAAGAACAACCGTGACCCGCGCAACAAATATTCTATCCCCTCCACCATCCCCAGAATACCCGGAGAACCAATAAGAAGATTGCGGGGTGAAGCTGGTGGAGGGTGGAAACGCCTCTGGTCTCCACTTTGTGAAGGGCCAACCCAATGCGGTAATTGGAAGCGCTGGCTTATCGGCTTTTCCCCGATGTTTGGCGTGGTGGTATTGCCAATTTGCTGGTGGTGGGATGAAATTTCAACTTGTTGCAGGTAGTGGATAAGGCCCTGGTTCTGGGTTTAGGGAATCTTGTGAGAAGGTTTCTACTACTGTAGGGAGGTATGTTCGTTATTTAATGCCATGATATATGGAACGATAATCATTACTACAGTGCATAGATCATAACCCATTCTAAGGAAAATCAGATAAGCGCCAAATCCTCCAGCCATTTTCTAACCCTCACATTGATGAAAAGTGTCCAAATAATCAGACTTGGTACCCATGGTATCTGGTATCTTCCCCTCCTTCAACTCTCCGGTAAGAACGCGGCCACTGTTGCCCATGGTGCTCGTCATCACTAGAACGTCTCCACCTCAGCATGAGCGCGAAGAGGAAACCCTTCCTCAATAACATCGTCACCTGAACGTGTTTTCTTTTGTTGTTTCTTTCCTTCCTTGGCTATTTTCTTCTGCGATTTCTTCTCTTCCTTTGCCATCTTCTTTTGCTGTTTCTTCTCTTTGTTCGCCTCTTTCTCCGCACGTCGCGCTTCTTTGAAACCCGAGTCTGGTCCTTGGAGAATGCGACCGGGATGAATGATGTTGAGGGCGACCAGAGCTGCTAGCATTGGGACCGCGTCGAATACATATTCATACCACTCGTGGGTGAGGATTGGGTTTGTAGGTGAGGTACCCTGGGCATATTGGCCGAGTCGGAAGATGATTCGAATCTATGAAGGAGACTAGTCAGTAACAGATCAATTGCTTCTGCAATGACTCGGTATACGCATTTCATCGACTCACCGTGATCATCCCCAAAGTAAAATAAAGCGTATAGAAGAGCCACCGCCAGGAAAATGGCCCCTGGTTTAGCTTTCCATTATAATCCGTGTGGGAATTTTCCATCCTGATCAACTTCCGATGAAGATCAATTGCAAGTGCCGTGAAACAAAGAATAAAGAACTCCTGTAGGCCTACCCCGCCCATGTAAATGTGCAACCCTGTCATCACAAGACTTCCACCCTCTTGGGCACTGCTCATGAGGGCACCAGCTGCTTGGACGAGAAAGGCGAAGATATCGAGGCAGACGAAGAGGACACCAAATTTGCGCGCGGAGATGCCGACGAGTTTTTGATCTGGGAGGAAGAAGTGAATCATGCGGCCGAGTGTCATATACAGGAAGGCGTTAATCCCTAATCAGATCGGTATCAGTAAGGAGATAAGATGTCTATGGGTATTGTGGGTATGATAGCTTACAGATCGGTGCGAGGAGAAAGAAAAGCACATATAAAGTATCCCAATTCGCGTTATCTTGATGTCGTGTTTGAAGTGCTCGAAAAATGAAGGCGAGTAATTCCCAAGCTCCGCCCATGATCACCACCCATGCGTAAGGCTAGTGAAGCTGTCAGCTATGGTAGTGTAGAAGAAAGACAATCTCGTACTGACCTTCTTGTATACCACAGCCTGGATGAGATGCGTGAGGGTGGTCATTCCATAGAACACACAAAAGAGAACAGCAGCGGCAAATGACGGAACATAGTAGAGTACGACATCGCATGCCTCTGGTGGAAGATATCCATTTTTTCCAGGTGCAATATTAAGGCAAGTTGCAGTCGCTGTTGAAGAGATTGTCGTAGATGAGAGGGAGGTTGTCGCTGTGGGAGCCATGATGATCGTTATGAAATCGCTAGAATGAAATAAAAGATGAAAGGCAGAGATTATTGATTATTCTGAATAATATCATTTCCCGGGATCTTTCTCAAAATAAATACTTCCAGAGCCCGACGGCTAGATACCTTCGTATGTTCTAGGCATCATGATTCATGGTGCTTATCCCACAGCTCGAAGGGGCTGAGCACTACCTTAAACATTATAGCCCCCAATCTAGACGAGCCACCCAATCAGACCGCACGAGAGTCTGACAAACGGCCCGAAGTTATTCGAGCGGACCAATCAGGACCAAAGAACATCCGAGCTTTGGTACAGCCTTACAGTATTTGCTATATTTGGGAGATTATTCGGAAGCTAGACAAGTGCCTCAGGCTTACCATTCGGGAGAGAATCAGGAAATCATATGCATTGTAGAAGTAATCAGCGAAATATAGCAGAAGTTTCACTTATGGCCGAAGCTAAACATGTTCCACCGACTTTTGACACGTCTGGAGGTCTGAGTGATGGCGGAATTATGCGTGTTCACATGGTCAATATCATAGGGGTTCGCGTCATAGACTGTCTCTGTACGCTCCAATGTCGATTGAGAGCTTATTGAGGCGCTTTCTCGTGCAATCTCGTTTGAGTCTGCCGTTTCATCTTTGCTTTCATCGACATTGGTAATTGGCTCAACATCAATCTCCTTTTCAGGCTCGTGGTCTTGGTCATAGGCCTTCTTGGTCAATGAGCGCATAAATGCATCTGCCTCCGCCGCATATTTGCACTTTTGTCGAATGGCAGGGCCATAGCGGTAGAAAATGAAGGGGAATGGGACACAGGCAAGAGAAAGGAAGGCTGGAATACACGATGCCCAGTGCATGCCGAGGTTATGGTACATGTATGTAGTGAATAGCGGAGAAACTGCACCAAAACACGAGCGAATAATGGAGTTCGCAGCAAGAACCGACGCAGCGTAGATGGTGTACGAGTCGATGAGATAGTTCATGATCCCCAGAAAAACTAGGACCATACCCAAGCCGAAGGGAGCGGTAGCAAGCACACAGACAATCCACGGGATCGATGGAGAATTCGTCCAGGCAAACCAGAACAGGCCGATAGGAATAGCGAGGCCACCTAGGATGGAAGGAGGCAGACGAGCCTCTGGTGGGGCAAATCCGTGATGCTTCTTGTGAATGCGAATATAGCACTTGTTGTCGTACATGTTAAGTGCCACAGCGACCATCATCCCGATCAAGACCGAGAGGAATGGTAAGCCACCAATACCTTCACTCCAGCCACGAATCTCTTGAAAGGCAATTGGAAAGGCGTCGAAAAGCATATAAAGTGTTCCATACACAAAAGCCATATAAATCGAGAGCAGAAGAACGATCGGTTCGGCAAGTAGAAGAATCCATGGTCGGCTCAGTGCCGCGCTGAAGGCCTCACGCGCAGACACTTTACCTCGATCAATCTCCATCTTGCTACGATACACGCAGCCGGTGATGGACGAAAGACGCTGAGCCCGTTTCCTTAGCAAGACAGGTGCATATGTTTCTGGAATAACCATAGTTTCGACCATCCATATAAGGCTAGTGAAGACAGCCAGGAACCCCTGTACCCAGCGCCAGCCGGCATTTTCACCAAGGAATCCACCCACCACAGGCCCAGCGAGGGACCGAGGAAAGGGGCACCAGCAAAGAGACTCGTTGCCAGACCGCGCTGGTCGGCAGCAAAGATATCGGCAATGACTCTACCGGCATTGGTAAAGGGCGATGAACCAAAAGAGCCGGCGAAAAAGCGGAGGATAATCAGAGTCCAGACATTCTGAGATCCAGCTGCGCCAGCACAGAAAGACGAGAGAGCCATGAAAGTAATCAAAAAGACAACTTGACGTCCGACAAGCTCGCTGAGAGGGGCCCAGAGAAGTGGCCGTACCGCAAATCCAAGAGCGAAAAGAGAGACACCCAAAGTAGCGACTTCCTCACTAACATCCATATCTTTGAGTACCTCGGATATAGAACCTGCATATGCGGAAGAGGCCAGTGAGACGGCCAAGATCGCAAATGCAACAATGACGGTGTAGAGCCATTTGATGCGAGGATTGAATTGCATGGGATTTCTGGGATCGTTGGGGATCCATTCCATGACGAAAGGATCTTGTTCTGTTCCTGAGCCAGCGTAGGGGTAATCGATGATCTCCTGGGTTACGAAACCTTGGTCGGTCATGAGTCTCCAATAAGGTATATGCTGCGGGTAAACCGCTTCATCAGAATTGGTTGCCATCATCAGGGTGGTGAAAATACAAGCACGGTGCGTGATGAAAATGGGAAAAGGAGCAGATTCAAGTTTGAAGGATGCTCGTCATAGAATATACCAGGCTGAAAATCGTTGGCGCTCATCTCATGACATTAGCTAGCTTAAGATAAGGCACGGCGCATGATGATTGCTTAGATGGTCGGCATCGCTCCACTAGTGGAGTAATTAGCGGATTTTCCGAATTCGCTGCAAACATTCGGGTCATAGGGTCGGCAAGCCGATCGATCGGCTCACTGTAGAGCCTCTGCCGGAGCCTCGGTCCTTTTAGTTTGGGCATCGTGTATTAGTGTGACAGTATGACGAGGACAGCTATCGGCCTTTCCTTTGCCTATCAGGTGGATTTTGCATCAGAGATATGATACTGATTTATCCCTCACAAACCTCGCCCCTTGGAAAGACTTTTTCCCTCTCTATCCATCCACATTCCAATTTATCGACAAAAGTATTGACAACATGTTTATCAACAAACAATCCCTCGGCATGGTTTCCCAAGTGGGCCATACAACGAGTCCAGGTACCAAGTTTTGTATGCGGTCTTTTATGCATTCTGATATGCAAACGCCATAATTAAGGGGGTTGATTTTCCGATCGAGTCCTACTTGCCCTCCCTACCTTCCATGGGCTTTCATGCATACGCCAACTTAAAAATAGCAGAAGTCACACGACAACCCGCCTACTGCCTCACACTAATTAACTATTCTCATCTCGTTTGGCATTCCTTGGTTAAGTACAAGCTGCAGAAGGCGTCCAAAAATGGTATTTTAAGGTTTAATGGGCACTCGCGTTTTGGTTGGTTGATTGAGATGTTGAGCGTAGCTTGGCTTTCTGGAATGTAGCCCTACCGTAAATTTTTCGCTCGTCCACTTTGACAAGCTCCACTTCAAGAAAACACTGCAGAGAAAGGCTTTCATGGAATCAAATCTAAGTGGCAACTATGTTCCTAGCTTTATTTATCTGCAACCGAGGCTACTTGCCTTTTTGAGGTGCTGAAAATTTGCGATCTTGAGAGGCGGTTCTGCTATTGAAACCAGCTTTGATGGCCTATATATTCACCTCCTGTCAATAAGCTTTCGTGTAATCTTGTCTTTACTGGTATCACCTACCTAACTCTACTGTAATAAGAGCACAGGCTGTCGGCTATATGAGTGACTTTGATCCCCAGAACAAACCAATCGACGCGCCTTATCAATGGGTTCAGTTAACATTCCATTGCTACTTTAATCACCGGACCAACAAAGTCCGTACTACTGATTGGCTAGAGAGCAGAATGGATCCGATAACCATGATCAAGTAGTCAGACGAAGTATTGAGCTCTTAACCTTCATTAAAATAATTGGAATCAGAGCGAATGAGCCTTGATTACAATTCTTTTGGACAAGTCGAGGAAACATGACCCGCTCTAGTGATATACTCTCATATGCCTCTCAGTGAGCGCAACAAGTTCAGCCAATTCTGATTTCTGCATCCATAGCACCAAAGGGTAGGAAAGCCGACCTACGGTTTTGGTGCCGCATTTCTGGGCGCGGGAGTGACGTCCTGAATTCCAAGCGCGCTTTTTTTGCGAGCTTATTGGTATCATAATATCGATCACTCCCTAGATAATCCTTTCGTCATACGCTAAAGCTAAAGCTCGTCGAAGGTAAGGTATTTCTACTCTTTCCAGTAGAGGCGGGTCACCCCGAGTCATTCTCGATTATCTCTTCACCGATGTTCTCCCAATACATGCGGAGTGTGTCTACTTAGAATGTCTTTCCGAGATGAATATCACGATGAAAGCTACTTGATCGAAGCCAAAGACTATGCACCCAGTACCGCAAGTGAAAGTTCTCAAGCCCATCAGCCGTCCTGTGACGAACAAGGTACCCAACCAGCTAGTTGCGAGGATGGCTTGCCTCTGGTTGATGGAGGAGTCCAAGCATGGCTATTTCTGACAGCGTCGACTGTGCTCGAGGCACTTGTCTGGGGTGAGCACTTTCAGCGAGATCTTCTGCATTATAAGTTTTTGACTTGTTCAGGTTGGGCCGGTGCTTTTGGCATCTTCCAGGACTACTATAGTGTCCACGGGCGATTTAAAGGATCTGCAAATATCGCCGTCATTGGAACTTGTGCGATGGTATGGTTCGATCTCTACCAAAATCTCGCCCTAGACTGACAATATTCACAGGGTATCGCATATCTCATCGCCCCTTTAGCGATCGTATTCATGATCCTCGTACCTCGTCTTGCCCGTTGGGTATCAACCATCGGAGTAGTAATAATGTGTCTATCACTTGCATTGGGCTCTTTTTCTCAGAATGTAACGCACTTGGTCTTGACTCAAGGGATTTTCTTCGGGTTTGGGGGTTGTCTCGCTTATACACCGTCAATTCTATTCATGTCAGAGTGGTTTATCACGAAGAAAGGCCTTGCGTTTGGCATTGTGTGGGTGAGTCAATACCCAGATGTGATTCAGGCTAATTCAATTAACAATTGACTTGATTCGTTTACTGACATGGACAGGCCGGCTCTGGGATATCAGGAGTGATGTTCCCACCCGTCATCGAATGGCTGCTAGACCAGTACGGATTCGAGACCACGCTAAGGATATCAGCAGCAGTACTATTTCTTCTTTCCGCGCCGTTTCTCTACTTTCACAGACCGCGTCTTCCAGTATCAACAGATGTGCGTCACGACCGACTCGATTTCCGTTTCCTATATAACAAAGTGTATCTGATTTATCAGCTTGGGAACACGGTAGAAGCGCTAGGATACTTCCTACCAACAATTTACCTACCCATGTACGCTCGCAGCCTGGGTGCCAACGAGTTTCTAAGCTCGTTGACAGTGGCCCTCGTGAACCTTGCATCTGTGTTTGGCTCGGTACTTGCAGGGTTTCTCTCCGACCGTTATCACGTTACTACCGTGATCCTGATTTCAACCGTTGGCACCGTTCTGTCTGTGTTTTTCGGTTGGGGATTCGCCGTTACTGTTCCAGCTCTCTATGTTTTCTGTGTCGCCTATGGGCTTCTGGCGGGTGGGTTTTCAGCGACATGGTCTGGCATGGCGAATGAAATTAAAAAGGCCAATCCAAATGCGGACGTCACTGTTATCTTCCCGTTCATGGAGCTCGGCCGAGGAATCGGGAATATCGCTAGTGGTCCATTGAGTGAAGCGTTGCTGAGAGCGGATACCTGGAGAGGCCACGCGTGGGGAGCCTATGGGAGTGGGTACGGTGCTCTTGTGGTTTGTACAGGGGTAACTGCTGTCGTTGGTGGGGTTTCGGTCGTGGCCCGGCAGCTTAGGTGGGTGTGAAATGATGAGTCCTGCTTAAGGTTAATCCATGTTGGACTATCTTATTTCGCCTAATAGGATGCGATGATGCGTTGCGGGTCAATGCGTCTTTTTGTATGGCAGGATCGGGTTGTGAAAGGCGGAAAAAAACTGGTAAATTTGTTATAAACGCTTTCTAGTATATTCAGCGCAAGAGAAATACATCATTTTTAATCAAGTCATTCCAAGCCGTGACGTCCTTACTTCGTGACCCAACCCCAGACTCTCCAGTACCAAGGCTTAGGAGGACCAGTCTCCTTCTTGTAGTCCAACCGGCCAGTATCAAGGTCGGCCTCAGCAGCCTTGACGAAAGAAGGCCGCATGATGATCTTGTGTCCCAAGTAAAGAACAACAAAAACGATGATACAGATGTAGGCGATGAAGAAATCAGTCACGTTAAAGGTGGGGATAAAGGCTGTGAAACCCTGGGTGAGGGCGATGAGGATGTTGAAGAACAGGCCGTACCAGGCAAGGTAAGGTTGAAAAACAGCCTTGTAAGGAAGCGTGTCGCGGGACACGCCACGGGCGGCCAATGCACGCATGAAGGCGATATGGCATGCATTGATCGAGGACCAAGTGACAAATCCAGCCACACTGGACAGGTTAACGAGCCAAGTGAACACCTGTCCCGCATCGGCGGAAACGTTCATGAAGCCCAGGAGACCGAAAAGCGCAGTGAACATGACGCTGATGTATGGCACACCACCTTTGGTGGTACGAGCAAAGAATTTCGGGGCAAAACCTTCGTGTGCGAGGCCAGTCAAAATTCGACTACCGCTATAAACGTTGGAATTGGCGGCGGAGAGGACGACGGTGAGCAACACAACGTTGATCAGGCTTGGAAGAACCTTCACACCGGCCAAATCTGCAGCAATAACCATGGGAGAGGAGGAGGCGTTGGTGGTGCTAGTAGTCAACCTATCATTGGTATAGGGGACGACGAGCCCAATGAAGAAGATCGTGAGCACGAAGAAAAGTAGAATTCGCACGAAGGTCTTGCGAATCGCCGAGGGCACAGTCTTCTGAGGGTTCTCAGTCTCTCCAGCAGCCACACCAACAAGCTCTGTTCCTTGGTACGAGAAGCCAGCCTGGATCAAGACCGCCCAAAACCCAACGAACTTGCCGACCGATGGTGGCTCCTCAATCAAATGGGTCGCGAAGGCGCCAGGGCTCTTCCAATAACTGAAACCAAGGTAACCCTGCGCGCCCACGCCACAATCAATGCAAATCGCGAAGATCATAAACCCAATGACAGTGGCGACCTTGATTGTTGAGAACCAGAATTCCAGCTCACCATAGAAATTCACAGGAAGGAAGTTCAAGGCGGTAATGAACACCCAGAAAACACCAATGAAGATCGCAATGTTAAGACTTGGGTCCCAGTATTGAATGATGGTTCCAGTAGCAGTAAGCTCGACGGCGAATGTAGAGGCCCAATTGAACCAGTAGATCCATCCCATAGAGAAACCGAGACTCGGGTCAATCAGACGAGCAGCGTAGGATGTGAAGGCGCCAGGAATAGGAATATAGGTCGCGACTTCACCGAGAGAAGACATAACGGAGTAAACGATCGAACCAACGAAGATGTAGGCAATGAGAGCACCTGCAGGACCGGAGTATGCGATCGCAGTTCCACTTGAAATGAATAGGCCTAGGAAAGTCAGTTATGGCCTCGGTCATACCAGATCACTTTTGTCAGGCCGTACCAGTTCCGATAGTTCCACCTGAAAATCAAAACAATACTTGTTAGCAACAGTTATAGCCTGGCTGGTGTGAATATGCCTCAACGAACCGATTGCAATCATCTGCAGATGCCGACTCTTCAGCTTGCGCTTCAGCTCTCCAGGAGCTGATTTCGAGTGATTGCCCTCGGCATCCGAGGGTTTGATATCTTGCGCGACATGCTTGTTGTCCGAGTCAAGAGTTTCGCCTTTCACCGACTTGCTAGTGATCTCGGGCGCGGGCGCGGGGGCAACCTTTTCAGATGCCATATCGGGCCGTGAGTTGGAATGAGCGCAGAAACAACGGGGGGCAATAGTCAAGCGTCTATTGACACCCCGGATAACCGATCAGTGCTGGATAATTGTCTGGAGAAAGCTGGCAAGAATTTTCTCTGCCTCCATCTCGCAAATTTCCGTTTTCGCTTGCTGGTCCTCGGTGCGGTTCCGTCAAGGCAAAAAAAGGACCCACAGCCACCGCGCGGAGAGGAATTTTCTTAGGTAAAAGGTGCCGGAAAGGAAAGTGAAGACGACTGGTGGCACCAGTCGGCAACCCGAGGTGAACCAGACATTATGTGATTCCGGTCCGATGCCCGTTTGACAGTCTCGGTCGCTCTCAAACGTTCGGTGTTGGCTCTGGGGGTCGACTCCCAGCGGAGTTCGAACGAAGAAAGGGAGAAGACTTGCAAATAAGCAACGCCAAGTGGAGCATGACGCCCTTTTTAGTCACGTGTACTCTGGTAGAGATTTGATCTGAAAGAGAAAATCATCTATAAACGATCATATTACGACTCAAATGGATTCTAAGTTGTACAGAAAAGAGTAGGGCTACTACTTATTGGCAGCTTTATGCTATATTATTGTGATCCTAGTCCAACAGGCTTGGTACACTGTCTCAGCAGACCTATAGCCATGCGCTCTTCCGCACAAAATTTGTATACATCCAGTTAATACTCCAGACCAAGTCGATCATGATCATATCTTCGCCTTTGTTTGTTCCGTGGCTTCCAATTCCTTCTTCCGTGGCCCTGCGAATCCAAAAATATACGCCGCAACCTTTCGCATCTGAATTTCCTCGGCACCTTCAGTGATTCGATAGCGTCGGAAATGGCGATAGATGTGCTCGAAGGGATAGTGACGTGAATAACCATCGCCGCCATGAATCTAATTTTATCAGCTTTCTCCCTTCTGTATATCACTGGGCAGATTGACAGAAAATACCTGAATCGCTCGGTCGGCAGCCTGGCAACATAATCGGTTCGCCCAAAAGTTACACATAGCCACTTTATCGCTGAGTTGGCGCTCAATGGTAACCCATGGTGGCTGCGATGTCTCTCCTGCCTTACTTGAGGCCACGATGCGATCCATATCACAACTGGTTTTCAGGATGAGAAGGCGCAACATCTCCACTTGGGTCATCAATTCCACGACCGGGAACTGGATAGCCTGGTTGTCCGCTAGCATCTTACCCTCGCCCCAGATCTTGCGCGAGCGTGCACGCACAATGCTTCGCTCGAGGCAAAACTTGGCTGCACCACAGGAACTGGCTGCTTGGCGGATACGATTCTCATGCACAAAGGTCTGCGCTATAGCGAGGCCTTGGTCGACGGTACCTAATACGGCTGACTCTGGTACCCAGACACGATCGAACTCAACGGTAGCGTGGTCGGTTGGCATGTTTAATGTCCACTCATAGCTAGCGATTTTGACTCCTGGAGTGTCGCGAGGGATAAGGAAAGCTGTGATTCCCTTTGCAGATCCTGCGTTTCCTGACGTTCGCGCAAATATCAGAAAGTGAGTACAATGATGGGCTCCTGTCTGCCATTTCTTCGCTCCGGTGATTTCGAACCCGCCACGTTGGCGTTTTGCAACAGTAGACATGAAAGTTGCGTCACTGCCATGATCAGGCTCAGTCAGGCCAAATGTTGCTCGAAATTCCCCTCGAAGTCGGGCAGGGATCAGCGTCTGTCGCTGTGCTTCACTGCCGAAATGGTGAAGCATAAGGAGATCGGGAAAATTGCCAACAATGCTATGCTCGTTCTGGAGGTCATTTGCTAATCCCAGACCACCCCCATGGACTGACGCCAAGTGAAACCGAATGGCAGACATCCATAAGTTGGTATGAGGATGCTCCTGTCCTCCATATTGTTTAGGAAGTGCAAATCGGTAGAATCCCGCCTCATCAGCGAGGACGCGAGCTTGAGCTATATTCAATCAGACACTCATACGTTTGTTTCGTGTTTCTTTGAAACGCACTCAATAAGTTTTCCCACTCTGGACGTGGGTTGCCATCATTATCCCAATCTGTCCGAGCGTGTTCGCGGCGATGATCAAAGAACCGGTTGTTATCGTTTGAATGTTGCAACGGGAGTATGGTGGACTGAATAAAGGAATCAATTGATTGAATATGAGCCTTCAACTCATTTGGAAGTTCAAAATTCATTTTGGCGATGTTACAAGCTCCTATGCTGCGTCTTGATGCTTTGCTCAGCTTATGTATAGGGAAGTGGACCTGCACCACATTTCCCCGCATTCGGACCTCGGTCTCCGCTACGGCTGATCCTCCTCTTACGTGCTTGGATTCGCAGGGTGATAGTATGGTTCCTTATCATTAGTATGATCATAAGTTTTAGGTTCTGATATTACCGGGGTGGAAAGCGCCTAATTGCCTGATCCAGAAAGTCGTAAGCGATTGCTAACTGCCACTTCGTTGGTGGCCGCCGGCTCGCTTTGGTTGAGCAGGAGGATTCTAACAAAAGTAAACCCCTAAATAGTGCCTTCAAAATTTAGGTAATAGACTCTGGTCTAGTTGATAGGGCGTTCCTATCTCCTGTCTCTCTACCTATCGGTTCCCACCAGGCCTTAGGGGTAGAAGCGCAGAACATGGATCCTCGACCGACATTAACTCCAGGCATTACATATGGAGACGAGATGTCCCTCGCGAACTATGACACGAAATTAAAAGCGGAGTAGCTTCTGTTAATTGTACGCCACTTGGTTTGAACTTAAAATAAATCGAATATATACAAGCGTGTGCTTCTTGGATAGCTTTTTTCAGTTTAAAGTTTACCCTTCTGCTTAGACAGCTCCTGCACCTGCTTCACTCGCGCCCAAGCCTCCAATGCAAATGGCTTCGCCCGCTTAGCATAGTCACCAGCCCGGGCGCTACTAGCCTGTCGAGCAGCATACCGCGCTGCAATACCCTGCATAATCACAGACCCTCGGAAGGCGAAGAATGCATCTCCCCACAGAACATCGTCCGCAGGGTTATATCCCGAGACAGCGCTATACCAGCGAACGCAGTCCTCGCGCGAGGGTAGGCCAGGGATACGCCCGAGCTGGAATTCATCCTTCGAGTGATCGGCACCATCCATGATATAGGGACTGGTCAGGTTACAAAAGTCGGACAACGGGTGTCCCACCGTGGCCATTTCCCAGTCCAAAATGCCAATGACGCGTGGCTCGGTCTTGTGGAAGATCATGTTGTCGATCTTGTAGTCGCCGTGTACCAGGGTCCCGCGGTCGCGTGGTTGGGTCGATTTCTGTGCGAAGAATTCCACCATATCCTTGAAGTGCGGCAGTTCACCAACGGGTTCCTTGGTGTCTTTGTCAAGGACCTGGGATTGGGCCTTGGAGACGGTTGTAAAGGTCGCGATCTGTCGGTCGTAGAATCCGGAGGGCCTGCCGAATTTCTCGAGACCGACTGATTTGGGGACGACGGCGTGGAATTTGGCTAATGTTTCCACTGCAGATTTCCATCTGTACTCCCGGTCAGTGAATAGTCCTCGTGAAGTGGATATAGTTTTGTTGCAAGCATACAGTGCATTCCTCTCCGCCGGGCTGACTCCAGGCATGGCAGGGTCGGTGAAGTGCCGACCGTCCAAAAACTCCATAATGTAGAAAGGGGTACCGATCACGCTATCATCTTCGCAGAGGCAAACAGTCTCTGGCACAGGTACATTTGTATCTCCAAGCGCCCGGATCACCTGGTATTCTCGGTCCACCCGGTGTGCGGTCTTCGAGAGCAGCTTGCCGGGAGGCTTCTTGCGCAGCACGAGCTTACGTCCATCGGCGGTGGTAATTTGGTATGTTGGGTTGGATTGACCGAAGCCGAACTAGTTTAGATCCAATAGTCAACGCCTGTTCGTCTCACGTTGGCAGCCACCATATTCAAATGCTCACCTGTTTCAAATCCAGTGGAGTCTTCACCACGGGCACATTCTGGTTGAGGTAGCGCTCCAAGGAGGGCAGGTCTATCGGTTGGCGCACTTCTCCCGCCATGATCGTGGTTTGGATATCAAAAAGAGGGTGGGGGACGAGAATTTCCAATCAAATGAAGTTCATTGACAGATATATACAACAAGAAGAAAGGGCGCTGACAAGGGAATGTCGAGCTGAGCGGCCAACAGCCGGGGAACCTCGGTCTAATGTGCCTCGGCGGCTCCAAGCGGGGGACTGTTTGATTGATTTGCATCAACCCCAGATCGGAGACCGGGCGTGGTTACTCCGGAGTATACTCCGAGTATTATTTGACCAAGTATTTACTTGCTGCAATAAATCCTTACAACCCACATTCAATTTCCAGTCTCTGTGAAATAATCCTCCTCCTTATGCAGCGCCCAATAACCAGGAAGTCGTAGTATCACATGATGCTTGATATCTGAACATGTAGTGCCGATATACTGAGCTGCCACCTCACTGTCCAGAGCAAATCCATTATATCCCATGGTATGCCTCTCAATCGTAATTCCAAGGGTATGACTTCACTTTCTTCGCGATCCAAGTCATGGGAGTCCAACCATCCTTATCAGCAAGATTCACATCCACTCGCTTATCCTCCAGTAATACTCGTACAGCATCCACCTCGTGCATTTCCGCGGCGTGAGATAGCGCAGTTCGACCACCACTGTCTTGCGCATTAGGATCAACTTCCGGTATGGCGAGCAGTTGTTTCATCACCGACAATGCCTGTCGGGTTGAATTATTCTGCGTACCATCTTGTTCAGGCGGCCGATCCCTCACGATCGGGGTCTCTATGTTCTCCCCTCTCCACAGTGGAATGATGATTTTTTTCCGCCTCTTTCTCGTATGCTTGATTACGGACAAAGTCGTCAGGTCTACCTGGAAATCTGCCCGACATAGCTGCTTCTATTAATGGGGTCCTCTTGTAACAGTCCCTTGAAGAAGGATTCACTCGGCCAGTTGCCAACAGGATTTTGACCACATCGGCTGCGCCTGAAGATGCAGCAGATGACAACGGAGTCCGGCCGTCAGAGTTTCGATGATCGGGATTCGCAACCGCGGCAATGAGAAGGCCTACAATCTTGTCGTGCCCCGCATTGGCAGCGGAAGATAGAGGGGTGAAATTGTAAGCTGCCGTGCTGTCGACATCGACAGCACCGGTTGCCAGGAGCTCCTCAACCAGTTCTGTGTTACCGCGACTGGCAGCGTGTTGGAGGGGCGTCGCACCTGTTTTTTCTTTGGGGTCAAGCTCAACACCTGGCGTCTCAAGAAGAATTCGCAAGATCTTCTTCTGTCCATAGTATGCGGCAACGGCGAGAGGGGTTCGGAGTGAATCGTCCTTCATATTCGGGTCGACCCCATCCGAATTCAAGATCATCGTGACGGCAGCTTCATGACCCGCCGCGCAGCCGCTCCCAGCGGTGACTCGTAACCGCTTCCGGGTGGCCATGGAGGTGCCTCGCGCAGACACAGATCAACCAGCTTCTCATTTCCACCCCAAGCAGCCGCAGGTAAGCTTTGATTGTTTAGGTTCACACGAGTGTCCGCCAGCAAGATGTCCACAATCTCTTCCTGTCCCTGTCGGAACGCCTCGTTGAGAACACGACTAAAGTCAAAGGAGCTTGGAGGGCCAAACCCAAGCTCACTGATTGCATCTGGCGGGATATTGGCTGAATGTTTCAACAGAACCTTGACGGTCTCTGCGTGGCCGTTGGTGGCTGCTTTGATAAGCGGGCTGTCATTGTAACCCGAACACTGATTCAGTGCGCTGGGTTGGCGTTCGAGTAACAGCCTCACTATGCTCGCATGCCCATTTTCAGCTGCATCGGAAATTGCTGTGATGAGCCATTGTCTGAGTTCAGGTTTAGCGCGCGGAGTATCTAGGTGCGAGGGGGTGTGAAGTCGAATATCGCCTCCTCGCTGGAGCATCTCCCGCACAAGTTTTTCGTGGCCGTGTTTTGCGGCCCAACTGAGCGTATAATGCTTCTCATTGCCAGAAATTTGGTCGTAAAGGTATTCACGAAGAAAATGATACATGCGACGATCAGTTCTCATCAACGCTGAGATGCTGGCATGATTGGGCAGATGCTGCGCGATCATGCAAAAGATCTCATTGGGCAGATCGATGTGAGACATCTGACTCTGGTTAGCTTCGTATGACCAATTCAAAGCGAAACTTACGCTTACCGTTACCTTCAGCTTGTTCCCGAGCAGCTCGGTATGTACCGCTTTCCCCCATACAGACATGAAGGATTAAGGATTGTTGGGGCTCCGAACCCCTCGGCCCGCCATTGGCATTGTCGGCTCGGTAACAAACATCCATCGCCGCCCACCGCCGCACCGCGATTCGACGACCCCTGAAGTGGCGGGCCTGACTTAGAAAGCTTGGGGTTTAAAAAGACTTGGTTAAAGGGAATTGTTGAAATCAGATAGCCCATCGTTGCCGCCGGTTTCTGTGATGTTCAAGCTTTCGAGTGGACGTTGATTGGAAGTACGTGCAGAAATATGTTGGGCAAGACCCAGTCTCTCGTATATTTCTCAAAGCAATGTGTACCAAAAAGTTGGCGTGCTCACCTTCTAATGGAGGATATTCCTGGAATACCCAGAAGATTTTCCATCTTGACCTTGTCAACTTGAATCTGCGCCTTCCAATATTAGATTCCTTCGTGTTGAACGCTCCAAAACTTCCAACTCGACAGAATCTAATCTGTGAAAGTACTCTCAGGAAGTCACGTGGAAACTGTAAATAAACCACTAAGCTTCGAGAAACCCAAGAGGAAAGAAAGAAATGGCATGGTAATAGTCAGAATCAAATGGCCTTGATTTGTGTGATTCACCCATCAAGATTGGCGATGTTACCCTGTCGAGGCTCTAGTGTCTGCCCACACTAAATTAGGTGATCGCTTAGCGTGGGGCTGATGGACCCTGTCGTGCAAGCAATGGAGGCCATGTTTCGAATCCCATCCTGTCTCTTTACCAATCGTGACTAAAATCAACAGCGCTACCATGACTGAAACTGCATTATCCGCCAACGCGCCTGTGCGAATTGGGACTCGGCGGTCCAATCTGGCCGTGGTTCAGGCAGAGGGCATCCGAGCCAGCCTACAAAAGATTGCGCCCAATGAATCATTCGAAATTGAAGCTCTTCGCACGCTGGGGGATAAAGACAAGTTGACTGCATTGTATGAGTTTGGTGCCAAGAATTTGTGGACTTCTGAGCTGGAAGAGAAGCTTACCTCTGGCGAGCTGGATCTCATCGTACACTGCCTGAAAGGTAAATAAATTGATCAACTTTAATCCTCGAAGCCCTCAGCTGCTAATATGTGTAGATATGCCGACGAGATTGCCCGAGAATTGCGAGCTTGCAGCAATTCCACCACGGGATGACGCCAGGGACGCCTTAATTGTCAAGGCTGGCTTGCCATACACCAGCCTGGACACTCTCCCTGACGGGGCCGTTGTGGGTACTTCCTCGGTCCGCCGCTCGGCTCAGCTTCGCCGTCTCTATCCCAACCTCCGGTTTGCCAATTTACGCGGTAATGTCGAGACTCGTCTTGCCAAGGTTGACGACCCGGAAAACGAGTATACGTGCATGATTATGTCTGCCGCAGGTCTCCAACGCGTGGGCCTCCAGCATCGCATTAATCAGTACCTGCAGTCGAAGGATGGAGGTATCTTCCATGCTGTTGGACAAGGTGCTCTCGGTCTGGAGATTCGCAAAGGTGATACCAAAATGCAAGAATTGCTGAACCAGCTCGCTGATCACAAGTCGACTCTTGCCTGTCTGGCTGAGCGGTCACTGATGAGGACGTTGGAAGGTGGCTGCAGCGTTCCTATTGGCGTTGAGACGGAATGGATTCAATCGGATAAACTGAAAATGAGCGCTATCGTTGTGAGTCTGGATGGTTCTCAGAGTGTTCAGGATTCTGTTGAGGCCAGACTTGAAACTACTGATGAAGCCAATTCGCTGGGAGAAGGATTGGCTGCCAAATTGGTCGAAGCTGGCGCAGAGGCAATTCTGAAGGATATCAACACCAACCGACCAGCTAAGGAATGAATGAATGAACAAATGTATGTAGTATATTATATTCGCGTCATTTATCAAGGCTGAGGCTAATCGCACGCCAACTTGTGCTTTCGCACGGTAGACTATTCGATTCTCTGATATAGTAAATGATAAGTATATCGGTTACCTATATATCTTCACAATACCTACTGAGGCTTTTACTTTAGCTATTAAGAAAGACAGTTCAAAAGACATTTAGAAAGATCTTCCATATACTTCGTCAGGTGACTCTCTTCGGGCCCGGCCGCTTATCTTATCGGTTATCTTATCGTATCATGAGGCCCGGCGGGCGCCGACGAGTTCTCCGCTCAACTCAAAAAGGCGGAGATTCCTATAACCTAAACTCAGGTCATTCATTGTCACAATCCCTCGAGAGAATAACTATACCCGGTGAATTGGAGCTACCCAAACTCCAACAAATCATCAGCATGGCGCCAACCCTCACCTCAAATCCATCCCTCACCCTCGTCCCCGAACCCCTCACACCAGCTAGTTTCGCGCCATTCGGAACAGCCATCTGCTCGCCGCTCCCTCGAGAAATCAGCGTCGCCCCTCAACCCTCCTCACTACCCCCGTATAATCCAACACCAGTCCTAGCAAACCAGAACTCCGCCCTGAAATACAGCCCCATCTCCCCCCTCATCGACCGATACACCAATGGCTGCCCAAGCGGGAAACCCGCCTCGGCACGAATGACCATGTTCTGCTGCTTCCCGCGCAAACTCCGCACAATCAGCGCCAAACAACAAGCCGATAAAGAAGTCTTCGACGTGCGCATTCTGGAGCGTCACCCTTTCACAAATCAGACTTTCATCCCCACCGATCTATCCAGTCATTCCAAGGTGGGCGATGGCGAGGAAGAGCCCGTTTTCTTGGTTGTCGTTGCGCCGACGCTTAAGGGCGAGGTAGCTACTGCGAAGAACGCTGCGGGTGAAACGATTACGATCCGCGATCCGCCCGATTTGCGGAATGTGAAGGCGTTCATTGCGCGCGGCGGTCAGGCTGTTACGTATGGGGTTGGCACGTGGCATGCGCCAATGGTGGTTCTGGGTCCAAGACGAGTTGACTTTGTTGTTGTGCAGCATGTTAATGGTGTCGATGATGAGGATTGTCAGGAAGCTGCCTTCGGCGAGGGGATTGTCGTGGATTTGGGTGTGACGGGCCAATATGGTCGGCCGGAGAAGACTCCTGCGCGACTGTGGGCGAAGCTGTGATTGAATATGGATCCAATAAGCTTGATGAGCTTGATGAAGGATGTATATTGACTCTTTGTGCTATAGAGCTGGTTGCGAGGATGTGGTTATCCAGTACTCGAATTGGAGCCAATGAAAAAAGGGTCACATTTGTACATAGACCTTCTATACATAGTGAAAACGACTTTGGCATTTGACAAGACATTGTAAAAAACACATTCGAGGGGTATACATAAATATAGATACAAGTATAGTACAATCATTTCGCCAAGAAGGCCTGGAACGCCTTATGCTCAATCACCACGTTTCCAACAGCCCGAAGCCTCTTTCGGCCTTCCTTCTGCTTCTCCAACAACTTGCGCCGACGACTGACATCACTAGCATGAAGCTTTGCCAGGACATCCTTGCGGTACGGTTTGATCGTTTCACGAGCCACGATCTTCTTACCAACGGCAGCCTGAATAACAATCTCGAAAAGTTGTCTGTCAACATGCTGCTTGAACTTGGTGACCCACTGTCTTCCTTGCCAGTTGACTTGGCCCATGTGCATGATGCGTGAAACGGCGTCAACGGGAACCTTGTTCACAAGAAGCTGGAGCTTGACGATGTTACCGGCTCGCCAGGCAGATTCTTCGTAGTCTAGACTGGCATAGCCTTTGGTGTTGCCTTTCAATTTGCCGAAGAAGTCATCGACCAGGTGGGCCAGTGGTAGCTGATACTTGAGGATGACTTGGCTTGCAGTGAAGTATTCAATACTTTCCTGTTCGCCTCGGTTGGCCTCGCAAAGCTCGATGACTTTGCCGAGGTACTCGTCCGGGAATGTAATCGTGACCAACACGTAGGGTTCCTGCACCTCTGCGACTTTCAGACGAACACTGTCATCATCAGGGAACTTTGCAGGGTTGGTGATGATTTCTTCCGTGCCATCTTTCCACACCACTTTAACAGGGACCGAGGGAGGAGTAATGATGATACTGGCACCATGTTCCTGTCGAAGCCGGTCCTCAAATACAGAGCAATGGAGAGTACCCAAAAAGCCCATTCGGAAGCCAGCTCCTAGTGCCTCGGAGGACTCCTTTTGAACTGTGATACTTCGGTCATTCAAGATAAGTTGGTTGATGCTGTCCTCCAAGTGCTCAAAATGGTCCGCATTCATGGGATACACTGCCACGAAGACCATAGACTTGGGCTCTTCGAAACCTGGGAGTTGCTTGACAAGCTTCTCAGACCCGACTCGAGTGAAAGTGTCACCAATCTTGGCCTCCTGACTGCGCTTCATGCCGGGATTGAAATAGATATAGCCGACCTGACCGGCCCGGAGAACCGTCTGCGGTGTCTCAGTGGGGTACATAATGCCGACCTCACCCACATAGTATTTGAGACCGGTGACAAACGAGATGAGTTGCTGGCCGGGACGGACCTCGCCGTCGAATACGCGTACCAGAAGAATAACACCCTTGTATGAGTCGTACCAGGAGTCCACAAGAAGCATGCGGAGAGGTTTAGAGACATCTCCAACTGGCCTAGGGATAATGTTAGAACAATACAAGTTGGTTGTGCTCGCTCAACGGAATAATCGAAACATACGCTGGGATCTTCTCCACCACCCTCGGGAGCACTTCTGCAACGTTCAATCCAGTTTTCGCCGAAACCTTGACTGCGTTCTCCGTATCCAGCTCAAATGAGCTTTTCATCTGCTCCAGAGCCCGCTCCGGATCGGCCGAGGGCAAGTCCACCTTGTTGATGACCGGGATCAATTCGAGGCCCTGCGCAAAGGCTAGGTAGAAGTTGGCAACAGTCTGCGCCTGCACACCCTGACTAGCATCGACCAGGAGCAAGGCCCCTCCACAGCTAGCATAACTGCGCGACACCTCTGCACGGAAGTCCACATGGCCTGGGGTATCTACCAAATGTAGCAGGTAATCCTCGCCCTTGTGGTTGTAGATCATTGTACAGGTCTGAGCCTTGACAGTGATTCCTCGCTCTCGCTCGACATCCAACTTGTCAAGGACCTGCTTATTCATACCAGGCTGGATCGTGCCCGTGAGCTCCAGCAACCGGTCGGAGAGTGTACTTTTCCCATGATCGACGTGGGCGACGATGCAAAAGTTGCGATACCGATCGATAGGAATTGCGGCGATCCGCTTTTCGAGGTCCGTATCCGGTGAACTTGGAGATCCTTTTGCCCTGGCACTCCAAACGGCCGAATTGGTGAAGGATCGAAGGGAATTATACCGGGACGAGAAGCCAGCCGAGGCGAGGCTCGCGATCCGACCGTTCGGCGCTGCGCTCAGCCATCGGACTAACTGCAGACATCCTCGCATCGGGAATCCTGCAGTGGCATGGAAGAAGAGAGGAATTGGCCTATCTCCTTGCGCTGGTTATAATCTGGCGGAGATCATAGAGCGGAAGTGGTTTGCGGAGAAAAAAGAATCGCCGGGCGGTGAATCGTCGAGCGATCGCCGCGGCGACCCTCGAGAGTGTAAACAACAAAGGTTCCTTCCCCTCCACTGCTCTACATCTCTCCGTTGCTTCGTGCGTTCGATTGAATCTCACCATGCCTGAAACAAAGGACAAGTCCAAGGTTCACAAGCTGTCTATAAGAGGTTGGTACCCATTCAAAACTTTGTTGATGCGATTAGGAAGCTTACCAGACAAACAGGATCGGCCAAGCTGGTATCCGAATTTGTGAGCCTCTCTTTCTGCCTTCCTACAATGACATTGAGAGAAATAGTAATTGATGGTCTTTCAGTTTGAATACTCGATCAATTCAATCTTGTGAGTGGCAAGCTTTGTTGTACCAGAAGAGCAGGAGCTCATCGCAATTACTCCTCCAGATTCCAGCGCGCAGTCTACCCTCCCGAGGACTTCACAACGTAAGTTGGATTGCAACACCTTTAAAACTCAAGTCTCGGCGCGCTAAAATACTACAGTGTCAAGAAATATGGCCTGAACATGCTCGGTTTGTTTCTCCCTCCCTAGCAGCTTTGGACGATCACCTATCGAAACACAACATGCCCTTGCCGTTCCAGTCTAACCTTCTGTGATAGTGTCGGCGGATGACCAAGTCAAGGCATATATCAAGAAGATCATGTCGCAGCTGAACAAATGGATGGCTGGTGGAAAGATCTCGAAGCTCGTGGTTGTCATCACCGACAAAGAGACCGGGGAACACGTGGAGCGCTGGCAGTTTGACGTGGAAATCTTTGGCAAGAGCTCCAAGAGCCAGAGTTCGCGGAAGGCGGGTGATAAGGAGAATACTGCCCCTGGGTAAATATCCTCTCCTATCTACGTTCAAACTCATTTCCCGTGTCTATGTGCTGTGCTAACCCAAGCGACTTGAAAATTTGTACAGAGAGAACGAGGCTCCCGCCCCCGAGCCTGTCGAGAAAACCGAAAAGGAAATCCAAGAGGAGATCCAAGCCATTTTCCGCCAAATCACCGCCTCCGTCACTTTCCTCCCCGTCCTCGATGGTGATTGCACATTCAACGTTCTCGTCTACGCCGATGCCGACTCGGAAGTACCTGTGGAATGGGGCGACAGTGATGCCAAGGAGATCAAGAACGCAGAGAAGGTCCAGCTCCGAAGCTTCAGCACAAACAACCACCGGGTTGGCACACTGGTCAGCTATCGGCTGGCTGATTGAATGGGCGGTATTAGGAGGTGTTTTATGACCCGATACGAGGGATACAGCTTGCATTGGCGTTTGGCCGGGTTTGGATTTGTTTATTTGATTTTCTTATGTGTTCGATGTGGTGTTTGATGAATGCTGCACGATTTCTATTTGGCAGAAGTGATTATGGCGGATGTCCATAGTACCATGGCAACCTTTCAATGTGTGGAAACCATTCATTTCCTGCTCCTCCATCCCACGAGACCAATTGCTCGACGACGGGTTCGTAACCTCCGTTGAGACATAGTTCATGCACCATGCCTGGTGCCCACCCTCGAATGATGCGTTTACTGGCCAAGTCTTGACCGACGCCATACAAATCGCGTCGCCATAGTCCAATTCCCCTCAAAGACTCGCCCTGAACCAGAGATTCCATAGGAGTGACTTCTTCGGGCGGATCTATCCCAATCAGAGATACTCTTGGGAAGGCCATGACCTCCCCACTACCCAGGCGAGGCAAGAAGCCCATAGCAGGAAAGTGACATTCCATAAAGCGAGCACGTTTGAACTCGTGTGTCACTACAGTGACACGTTTGGGGTAGACGCCAGTGTGAGATCGGAAGCGAAGTAGTGAGAAGAGGACGTTTTGGTAGGAGTCCGTTGCATGCGATTCTGATATGACTGCCGATGGATCGATTGTCGATAGATCCGATTCATGTCGGAAATAATTGTTGTCGCGGACTAGGTTCTGTTATTTGCTGTTAGCTTCGTTATTCAAGTTTGTGATACGGTCAGTCCTACAAGGTATGATTGGCCTTCGCTAAGATCTGTTCGAGACTTTTTGGTTGGACCACTGTGTAGAAGAGATGAGCTGAGCCTATCCTGTTTTCGATATATTTACAAGCTACTTACCCTGAGAAGACCAGTAATCCCTCAGGATCATTTGCCAGCACTCGTAGACCAGCCTTAGCATGGTGGATGAAAGTTGGCGTCTCTCCTTTCTGGAAAGGTTCAATCAACCTGTTGATGAGCATCATGAAGTTCGATTAACATCTTAGACCATACCAACGTCGACCAATGATCGTGCATCTTGAGCTTACCATTCATTCTCCTCAGCCCCACGTGCTGGACCGCCGATATAGATTGCGTGACAACAAACAACGATTAAATGACTCAAACCATCGCCGATTTGGCATGGGCTGGAGGCCATGTTTCTTTTGGATTCATTCGAACCGCAAAGACACTGGTTCGAAGGAGATAACGGGGGTTGAGGATCGACCAACCGGGATCCTTAGTGAATGGCGTGGCCCGTGCGGACGATGCCGATCGTGATGACGCTCTTCCCCACGATTCAGGGACCAGCTAACCAGCAGCGACACCAATCGAACAAGATATCTTCAATTGACACCGGAAACTCTGGAGGCGACAGGAAATCGCACTAGCGAACGAATGTCTAGCTAACGCCTATCCCCTTCATTGATCAATTCTCCATCATGCGACCCTCGATTTCAAACACGTTATCACACCTGTTCAAAGAGTGCCGGCCACAAAGCATTCGATTAGAACGAGGCCTCTCTCGATATTCTCAGTCACAAAGCTTACAGATCTACAATGAATCCTCCAAACGGATGATCTTGCTTTCGACTAAAGTGGGAATCCCGGGGATCCCGCGGAGAGCACTCCATATCAACCAACAAATCCGAGCGATTCAAACGAAGCCCACGCCACAAGAGATAATGAATCTCTCCCTCAAACTCTCCCACGGGCGTATGAATGGAACCACCGAGTTGATTTGCACTCTCTTCGACGCCAATGGGGCTATCGAGATGCCCGAGACTCGCCTGACCAAGGCAGATATCGCCCGCCAGTACGGGGTCGATGGCCGCGACCTACGCACTGCAGATGCGATATCAGAAGGGATACCCCACTTTGTCATTCGTCCATCGACAATTTTCATCAGCCTTTTCTCTTTGAGACTTCTGGTTCAATCGAACCGAGTACTCCTGATCCGAAGTGGTTCCAAGGACAACGACCCGCACGCCTTTCTGGAGGAGATCTTCGCGACCGATCTCCAGAGTAAACTGCGCGGCAATCACGGATCAGGGTTCCCCGTTTCTCTTCCTTATGAGCTTCGCGTTTTCGAGGCAGCCTTGGCATCTGTGACTGCACACCTTGAGGCAGAACACTTACTCATACGGAAGGAGATCGAGTATAGCCTCGAGGATCTACAAAGCGAAGACATTGCTTCAACCGGGCCGCGCACATTGCTGGAAAATGGCAAGAAACTCGTCCACATCGAGCAGCGCGCTCGACAGATGCGTACCGCACTGCAAGAGTTGTTAAGCAATGACGAAGATCTCGCCGAAATGTACCTCACCGACCAACAAGCAGGCAGACCCCACGCCATCGAAGACCACCAAGAAGTCGAATACCTGCTTGAAGCGTACTATAAAAGTCACGACGCGATCGTCGAGTCTGCAGGGGCGTTGCTGAGTGAAGTGCACCGCACGCAAGACGCCATCATGTCTGTTCTTGATGTGCGACGCAATCAGATTATGGTTTTTGAGGCCCAACTCGAGATTTGTATGCTGGGGTTTGCGGTGTCGACGTTTATTGCGGGCTTGTATGGTATGAATGTTATCAATTATCTGGAGGACAGTCCTTATGCGTTTCCGTCGCTTGTGGCGGGATGTGTGATGGGGACGCTGATGCTTGCACGGATTGGAATGTTGAAGCTGCGGAAATTCCGCAGGATACTGCTGTGAAGTTTGCTTCATGATGATAATTCGAGTCTATCAGCAAGGCCTACGGGGCAGGGAGCCGTGATAAGAAGAGGTAACCCTCATGTTAGTTCTAAGATGTTGTCGCGTCGTGATTGATCGGACAAGAAATCAATTGAAGCGATGCGAAGATGAACAATAATTCCGAAAATACAACAAGTAAAACAATCCATCCAAGCCCAAGCATCTACCACTCTCCGCCAACTTCGTAATGGAAGATCTTGTCGTTGATCCTTCCACCAGTAAACCGCCACAGACGGGCAACAGACTACCAAATGTTAGTTCATCCTGTCAAGCACCTCCCCCCTAAATCTTTCCCCTGAACATACCGCATTTATCCATACACCATGCAACATGATCTGAATGAAAGCGTACTCTGCAGGGTGCCCATTACCGGCGGGCCGTTCCCCCAGGTCAAGTCGTGAATTGGCAGGACGATACGTCGGCATACGACGATGATGAGTAGGCCAATCAGCAGGCTGATCCGAATTCACCGGCACAGCAGAGCCAGTACTCTGCTCAGAACCGCTGTGATGGACCTCATAATCGGCGAGGACGGACAGCGAGCGCGTCGTGGTGGAAGTAGCAGTCATAGACATGATGGCGCGGGTGAGGATTCTGGAGAAAGTCTTGATGAACATCGACACACTCCCACCAAGTGACTCGATCACCCTCATATCCGCTCGGAGATACTAAGCGGATCATTTAGCCCAGCTCAGCTAATATGGAGTTCAAATGGGGAGAATAATGGGGGAAATGGCCAGACACCGGCCAAACTGGGGGAGATGGCAACGGGCGCCCGCATTCTCCCCCACATCCCGATCGATATGGGAGCCTCGGAGGGAGAAGCTGGCAATTAATGATAGCCCCGAGCACAAAATTGTTGCTAGCTAATACTGTTAGAAAGTGGGCGCGCATACTTCTTCTTCTTGAAGGGGTCTGGGTGATTCTCTGATTCTTTGATTCCCTTTTTTTCTGTTCCGTTCTTCTATACACTATACCTGCCGCCCATCATGGATTTGTCCCGGATCCTCGCCGCGAATATCGACGGCCGCACCCAGAACACGCGGTACCGTCAAACACAGTTCCATCGCCTGCAGTCGGTGCTTGTCGAGCATGTTGCTGAGATTCAGGATGCGATTCGCGCAGACTCGGGACATACTCAGCAGGAGATCCGCGCTGAGGTGGTCCTCGCGCTGCAAGAACTGCGAACGCATTATAAATCCTTGAGCTTGAAGAAGGACTTGGAGGTTGAGTATCGCATTGCGCAAGGAAAGGATAATGCTGAGAATGTGGAGGGTGCTGGTATTGTGTATATCGTGCCGTCTACACATACCCTCTTCTTCTCGGTCATTTCTGCTTTGACGGCAGCTTTGGCCGCTGGAAATTGTATCGTCCTGGAGGTATACATAATTCCTTATGACAGAGAATATATGGATAGAAGCTCAAATTGGAATTGAATAGCTCCCCCAAACAACCATGGCCCTGCCTGCGCTCCTGCGTCAGATCCTCCCCGAAGCCCTGGATCACGATACCTTTGCGATCACAAGCCAACGACCCGACTCCTCATTCCTGAGCAAGGTTTTGCTGGTGGTACAGACCGGTGCAGATGGATCCAACGGACTGATTTCACCCGCCATTTCACGAAGTGTTGCGATCGTTGATCGCACCGGCAAGGTTGCTGAAGCCGCCGAGTCTCTGGTCGCTGCTCGTTTCGCGCTGGGTGGACGGTCACCATACTGCCCAGATGTCGTGTTAGTGAATGAGTTTGTGATGAAGCCATTTGTTGAGGCTGTTATTCAGCATGCCTCGAAATACCTCGCTGGAGAGAATGGTGAGGCTAGACAGGTTTCCACGTCGCCACGACGACCCGGTGTTCTCGACTCTATTCACAAAGACCGGTCAGCTCGCGTGTTGGTATCGGGTAGTAACTGGGGAGTGGTTGAGGTGCAGGATCGGTAAGTCATAGGTGCTGTTCCTTGATAGATTTGGGTCTATACTAACGTGCATAGAAACTCGCCTCTGTTGAAGAAGAAGATCGATGAGAAGGTCTTGGTGGTGCATCCTGTTACCAGCTTGGATGATGCTATTGACATCAACTTGTATGTTTTGTATTCCTCCCCTTATAAGAGCTTCGACCTAACAGAACTAGCAATGAGAATCTCACGGCAGTCTATGCATTCGCAGCACCTGCTTCAGCCAAGTACCTCACCCAATTCATCGACGCCGACATCTCCTGGGTGAACCATGTCCCCAGCCACATGCTGAGTACGTGATAAATGCCTTCTCATTTCATTTCCATTCTTTCCCTACAAATCTCCCAATCGTTCCATCACCAACCTTTTTCCTACATCTTTTCTAACTCCATCTCCAGTCGGTCCCGCCCTCCCCCGAAACACACCTTACAGCCCCCGAACCCGCTACGCAACATCTTCATTCCAGAAGCCTCGTCCCCAACTCATCAACCCATCCGCCACCGCTCACGCCACGCATACAATTCTTGAAAACAAGAACACCGTCAAGTCTGACGCACTCTGGCGTGAGGCAATCGCCCCTCTCCCTTCCACCAAGCAGCGACCTGGTTTCAAGATTGGATTCTTCGAGCAAGGAATCATTACTGGTGTTAGTCTCACACTGATATCGCTTGTGGCAACGGTGTCGACACTGGGATACTACACCTGGACGTTTGTGAAGTTGCGTATTTAGATAACTGTTGTATCTGTGTATCTATTCAAATTCTTTTGTTTTGGTTGTGCGTGGCGTTTCATTTGTCCTCTAAGTTAGCAATGCAATCTCTTCAAAGGAAATCTTAGTCTATTCTTCTATACATACGTATTACGGTATCAATGTAGAGATGCTTCCCTTATTTGAATTTTCATCGGCTAAAGAAACATAGGTATTTGTCGCTGACACATGTCATTTAAATTTGATTTCATAAAGCTTCACATCTATATCTAAATATCCATAATTCCCTAAGTGCTAGCGCGAACACCAATACCATCAACAACCTCCCCCAATCCCTTCCCCCCAATCTCAATAGGCTGGCTCGGAGAAAGAACATACAACATACGCGCCCACTGCGGCGTACGCTCACCCGTCACAGGATCAACAACATCAGGAGTAACATTCCGCCAAGCATGATTAGTACCACGCTGAATAGCAACATCACCACGCTTGAGAAGTCTCGTCTCCCCCGAATCCAAAACAAGCTCCACCTCGCCCTCCAGAACGACACCGTAATCCAGCGACACGGTGCGGTGCATGGGGCTCAATGAGCCGGGCTGAATATCGACGATACGGCAGACGTTGCCGCCGGAGATTGTGATGCCCGGGGGAGAGCTGAGGTAGCCGGCGTACTCGTTGATATCGGCGTCGTTGTTCAGTTGGGCGGGGAAATGGTCCGAGGTATAGGCGAGACTGAAGTCTGCGCCATCTGGGATGTGTTGGAGGGGCATTTCCTCGGAGAGAGTGTTGGAGAAGATGGCTTTTCCTTCGGCATTGTGGGTGGTGATGTACCGGTTGAGGGGGCGGAGGTTCTTGGGTGTCTTTGCGGCCATGATGGGCTGATGTGACTTGAAGGTGGAAGATAGCTAAGAGGTAAGAATAGTAGAGATGGATGAATTTCGTGGTTGCGTGAGAGGTACTAGTTCTTGCTTGTATTTGATCTATATCTTCGTGCGGGGACTTCCGTCTCGGGACCACCTTCGACCACATCGGCTGTGGGGTAATGACCGTGCGGACTTCGGACATTCGGAGTTAATGGCCTGGGGGAGTTCGGCTGTTTAGATCGGGAACCAGGGTCATGCAGGGCAGGGTCTATTTTGCGCTTTTCTTGGTCGGCATATGCCACTTTATGCAAGCCACGTTGGTGGTGCATAGCTAGGAACGGGAGTAAGCCGTAGTAGGAGAGCACGGATATTGGATGACTGATCATGACGCTACTTCATGTTAAATATAAGGGAGCTTAGGTGAGGTAATGAATTCAAGTGCAATATAGGAAATATCTTCATTGAGTCTATATATCATTCATTTACAATAATCATTTCTACCTATTCACCAATATTTCAAGGAATAATAGGCAGAGTCACGTAGTTGTCACCGAGACCAAAGTGAATGTGGTTCTGGCCCTGGAAGCGTTCCACGGATCTACAATCTTTATTAGCACTGTGCCATCGAGTAAGTAGAATGAAAGAGACTTACCGGTCAATAGGAGAGTTATGTTGGAAGATTCCGGATCCCTGGGTATCACCACTGGCAACCTCCAGAATGATCTTTCCACCCTTCTCAACCACCACGTTGGTCGGCCAAATCTCCACATCAACGGGATAAACTTCACCAGGAAGAACGGGCTGCACATCCGTAGAGTAGTAGTTACGGTGGGGCAGCCAAGGTCGGTTGCGAGAGTTCTGCTCATCGACCTTGCGCATGCTGACACGCAGCCAACCCTTGCACAGGGGAACGGGGTCACCGGCGGTACCGGTGTAGAAGACCTCCTTGCCTTCGGGGGAGATATAGCGGAGAGTGAGGAAGAGGTCCAGGTCCTGGGGGTGGGAGCACCGGGGGTGGCGCTCATAGAAACATTCAAGTGTGCGACGATGTGTCCAGTAATCTCAGTCTCCTTCTCAAAGGCCGGAGTGACGAATTGCACCAGTTGTGGGTTTTCCATGGTACCCAGAGCCTGGTAGGAGATCTTGGTCTGGCGCTCAATGGGAGCGTGTTTGATCAGCTCACGCTGCGATGTCAAGTAGTACTTGGTGTATTGAGTGCGAGCAATGGGCCACTCGTGCTCGATGCGGCGAGGGAATTGCGCCTCGGCTTCGGCATTGTCGAAGCCAACATCACCCTTGCGCAACATGATATTGACCTTGGGGGCCTTTCCAGTAGACCAGCCCTCGCGATCCTCGCCCTTCAAGAAGGCATCCAAGAAGCTGCGTTGCAGCTCAACCTCCTGAGAGTAGTAGAAGGGCAGATCGTGACGACCAGTGATAAAGCGGAGGTACTTGAGCTCGGAACCAGCGTGGGTCCATCCTTCAACGTTTCCACGCAGGTGAAGAAGAATACCACCCCAGTTAGCCACAGACAGAAGAGGCACCTGGATATCGGAGAGACTGTACTCCTTAGAGGCGTAGTAGAGATCATCGCGGAACTTGTTCTCCTCGTTGTCGATGGTCTGATCCTGACGGTTCTGTACCAACTCCTCCTCTGACAAGTCTCCCTCAATGGAATCAGGTCCCCAATTGCGAGCCGCACGACCACCCAGACCATACTGGTTGCTCACAACCTGGCGGTTCCACCAGAACTTGATGAAAGCATTGGACAGAATTCCACCGTGTCTGCATCGATCTCTGTAGTAATCAGACATGCCCTCCCAGGGAATCATACATGCCAGACCCTTTGGCTGCCGAGCAGCGACACGCCATTGACTACCAGCAAAGTAACTGATTCCCAGCAAGCCAACCTTGCCAGACGACCAGGGCTGCTCAGCCGCCCACTCGACCACATCGAAGAAAGCTTCGCTGGTGCCACGCGACATGGTATCGAGCTTGCCGACTGACTGGCCAGTGCCGCGCTCATCAGCGCGCACCACGGCATAGCCCTGGGTAGTCCAGTACTTGGGATCTGGTGTCTCCCAAGCAGAATGCTCTGATTTCTGCTCGGGGTTGACCTCGCTGAAGCTCTTAGGGTGGAAGTCCTTGTAAGGAATGTCCTTGCCGTAAGGTCCATAGGTCACCAGGACCGGAACTTTGTCCGAGCCCTTAGGGCGATAGACGTTGCATCGCACCACACCCGATTGGTCCTTTAAAGATATGGACACATTCTGTTCGAAGATGTAGGGGAAGGATGTTTCATCCCGGGTGGTGATATCTTTGATTTCGTTGGGCATATTGAAGATCCCCTCAAAAATGAAGTAAACAACAAAATAATAAAAACAGAAAGAGAAAGCTTGGTATCACCGATCATGCCATGGCTAGCAGCACCAACAATTCATATACATTCGATTCCCCCGCCCGCGCGGTCGCGCGTGGCTCTCCGAGGTGGAGCCGAAATGGACATCCGAGGCCTCTGCAATTGAACGACCGATACGGCCCCAAGTCGGTACCCGAATGAGGGACGCAAGGGGAGGGGCCTATCGAAGAACATGACCAAGTTATAGCCATACTTAAATATTTACCCCAGACGCGCGGAGAATACGGGACCTTGAGTTCTGGTACTCAGTTGCTATACCACAGGGAAGAAGTGTACGCAAGATGGCGATCAAAGAACTCAACAATGACAGCGGCCTTCGTGTCTTGATCGTCGGTGCGGGCATCGGTGGCTTGACCGCGGCTATTGCTTTGCGCCAGCAGGGTCATCGTGTTGAGGTTAGTTTTGGGTCTGCTTTGTCGCATGAAGAGTAGAAGAGATAAGATGGGGATTGTGTACGCTAACTATAATCCAGCTATTCGAGCGATCGCGATTCGCCAACGAAATCGGCGCTGCCATCCATTTGTCTCCAAATGCCAATGGAGTTCTGCAAAGACTGGGAATTGATGCGACCAAGTTTGGCGCTGTCGAGTGTGAATTGGTAATTTCCATTCCAATTTGGTCATCAGAGTGAAGATGGTTGAACTAACAATGTCGATAGTTGCGAGAGTATACCCCATCGGGAGAACCCGTTCACATCACGCAAGTAAAGCAGCATGCGGGCATGTGGCGACACGTAAGTACTGATCGTTACTTTCTAACCTGAGGAATATTAACTGACTTACATTACTAGAGCTGGCTGCTCGTTCACCGCGCCCACTTCCACGAAGGACTCAAGACTGCCGCTCAAGCACCAGGCAAGGGAGAGCCCGCCGTTCTACATACTGCCAGCAAGGTCGTCGACGTTGACCCGCACAACGCGACCGTGACTTTGGGGAACGGCGATGTGATCAAGGGTGATGTCCTGATCGGTGCCGATGGCGTACACTCTCTCACTCGCACCAAGCTCACTCAGGACATCAAGCCCGGCCCCTCGGGCAAGAACGCTTTCCGCTTCCTGATCTCCCGCCAACAGGCCCTGGATGATCCCGAGACCAACAGCATTGCTAATGACTTCGGTGCCGTCGATATGTGGGATTCCTCCGACCGTCGCGTGGTCATCTATCCTTGCTCGAACAATGAGCTGCTGAACTTTGTCTGCATTCATCCGGATTCATTGACGACTATTGATGCCGGTGGTGATTCTTACAACCAGCAGATTGGAAAGGAAACCCTACTTGAGGTTTTCAAGGATTTCAACCCTCAGGTGCGGAAGCTCCTCGCAAAGGCTGACCCGCAGACCCTGAAGCTGTGGCCGCTTCTTGACATGCCTACTCTGCCCACATGGGTGAATGACCGTCTGGCTGTGTTGGGTGATGCTGTTCACCCCTTCCTGCCGTATCGTGCCTCTGGTGGTGCTATGGCTATTGAAGATGCAGTTTCTTTGTCTGTCATGTTGCCGCGAGGCATCTCGGCCGCAGAGGTCCCGGAGAGATTGAAGCTTTATGAGAAGGCCCGTCATGGACGTGCCACCACTATCCAAGAGATGACTCGCGAGTCTGCGCAGCTCATCGCTCCCGAGAAGGGTATGTCTACAGAGAACCATTAAGAAAACCGTTTTCGTGAGAGATATATGAAATACTAACATCCACCTTATAGCATTTGGTATGGTCGTGTACATCTACGGCCACGACGAGTTCGACCACTCCGCCCAAGTCCTCCGCAAGCACCAGTGGTCCCAAAACCCACACATGTACTGGCGTCAACCCATCGTTTTCGGACCCATGCCAGGCCCTCGCCAAGATTTCATGGGCAACGACCGTGCCCTGAAGTCCCTTGAATCCACCTTCCAGACAGCCTCCATCAAATTCAAGACCAGCCGCACCCTGCTAAAGAACCTCTTCCCCTCTGACCGCTACAGCTTCATTGGGCCCGGCAGCGTCGCCCGCGCCAGCTTCTCCCAGACCACCCTGAACGGCATGGACTGGCTGGGCGGTGGTGGCTACCGCCATATTGGCCTGTACATCCACGGAGTGCAGTATAAGAAGGAAAACGGCGAAGTGATCAAGGGTACTTACATGCCCATTCTATTCGAGAGTCTGGCTGACCCGATCGTTTCTGGTCGGGAGGAACTCGGTATGCCGAAGCTCTACACTGCTATTGATATCCACGAGCGCAACAACTCGTACCGGTATCAGACGAGCTGGCAGGGTGCTGTGTGGGGACACTTTGAATTGGAGGATTTGGAAGACGAAGATCCAGCCGCGGATAAGGGTACTATTGGTGGTGAAGATGATGAGGGTATTTTGGTTTATCGTTATATTCCCAAGGTTGGTCGGGTCACTAAGGGTGAAGCTGAGGCGGAGTATCCTGTTTTCGTTCCCCATGCGCAGGAATCGAAGGTTGTTCCGTCCAAGGTGACGCGCCTTCGTCGGACGAAGAATGCTAAGATTGAGATTAATGCTCTTGGGTGGGATGCGTTGCCAACTTTGAATCATGTTGTGTCTCGTCTGGGTGAAATCCCTATTGATGAGATTATTGATGCTAAGATTACTGAGGGTCGGGGTGTGCCTGATGTGTCCAGCGCTCAAAGGATTGAGTGATGTGGCTGGGTGAAGTCGAAATTTGATAGGAAAGTGTTTGATGAATAGAAATCTTGTTTTAATGATGAGAATGATTGATGGCATGGATAGTAAGACATGGAGTGTATATCCAGTAACAGCCTTCACTAGGTTTGAGGCGTTGAATAAGCTCGGGCGGAATTGCCTCTTAGAACAGTAGGTTCCAAGATATATTTCGCATCACATTTGGGCTGGGAGGTAACCGGAGTACCTACAGATTGGCGAGATCTTACGTGGAAAACACCGGTGACAACAAATTGTTCCCACATAGACATAGACGCCTAGTATTTACTCTCGGCAAATGTTACCGACCTAGGTAATAGGCCTCTTTGTATTGTTATAGTTCGTTTCCAGTTAAATCGGCGTGGAGAAGCCAATGCCGAGCGTGGGGAATTTCGGCCGGCGGCATAAAGGCGACTTGCAGCCGATGAGTATGTACCCGAAAACTCGAGTGCAATTAGCTTTGGGATTTAATTGTGATTCTAAGGATAAAGCCGTAAATCAGAGCATAAAATTTGTTTCCATCTCGGTGACTTTTTTCAGATATTGATTATACCCCTTTAATACATTGACAGTCGTCGCTGATCTGTATATTTCGTGGTGGTGCGGGTAAAAGCAGATCCCCCGAGTCATAGTGAAACATCCCGATCGGTCGGCTAAGCTTCTCCTCACGTCCTCGCGACGCATTTCCTTTCTTCGCCACGACCACAATTATAAGCTCCTCTCAAGTATCTGACAGCAGCCTCGCAAGCAGCTCACAGATCTCACCATGGCAGCCCGCAACACCCTCCGCCGGTCCTTGCTATACGGTAAGTAAAACGCAACCGCCCGCGTACCGCGTCTTTCCCCGCATTTGTACCATGTGGAGGGAGCTCTCCTTGGTTGCTCAGTGATGCTAACAAATAATCTTCCTCACTATAAACAGTCCCCGGTTCGTCACAGCGATTTCTCGACAAATCCCGCTCGCTAGTGGCGGATTGTCTCACCTATGATCTCGAGGACAGTGTCACGCCGCACATGAAGGCGGAGGCTCGGTCGCTGGTGCGGAGAGCCATCGATCAGCCTACGCCGGAGAATATTCGCGAGCGCGCGGTGCGCATCAACTCGGTGGATAGCGGAATGGCGTTGGGGGATTTGACGGAGGTGGTCAGTAGCTTCACAATAAGAAAATAAGATGATGCAAAGCTCACATCGGTAATAATCTATTCAGCTTCAATCACCCAACCTGACTACCATCGTCATCCCCAAGGTCAATTCAGCCTCGGACCTGACATTCGTCACCGATGTCGTCAGTCACACTCTATCACAGCTCCCGCCCCGAGAAAACAGACCTCCAATTTCACTTCTCGCCCTTATCGAGTCCGCCAAGTCTTTAACGAATCTCTCAGAGATATGCGCCGCCTCACCCCTCCTCCAAGGATTGATCTTCGCAGCTGAAGACTTCGCTCTAGATCTGAGTATCACGCGAACTCCCTCATTGACAGAATTCCTCTTCGCACGCTCGGCAATCGCGACCGCTGCGCGTGCCGCGAACCTCCCGTCTACGATTGATTTGGTCTGCACGGCGTATAAATCTGATAAAGCTGATGGGTCTCCGCCAGCGGTTTTGGAGGAGGAATGCCGTGATGGACGTCGATTGGGATTTAATGGGAAGCAATGTATTCATCCCTCGCAGGTGAAGACGGCGAATGAGATCTTTGGTCCGGATCCGGCGGAGACTACCTGGGCGATGCGTGTTGTTATTGCTGATGATAAGGCTGCTGCGGCGGGACGAGGTGCGTGGACGTTGGATGGGAAGATGATTGATGTACCCGTTGCGCATAAAGCTCGAGCTATTGTGAAGAAGGCCGAGGCTTGTGGTGTGGATGTCAAGGCTCTGCGGGAGGAATGGCAGCATCAGGAGCCTGAGTAAATCAAGCCAAAGAAAGAAGACTTTGTATATGTTCAGCCAAGACATAAATGATATGTTTTCAAGAAGAGTGGTATTTGTGAGATAATATTCAAAATTGGAGACGCTCGTCAATAAATAATACACAAATGGCATCGTAGATCAATACCCCGCGGCTCAAGCAATTTCCACCGGCAGGTATATCATATCGTACACGCTTTTATAATCATACAGCATCCTTCTCCAAGGCACCAAGGAAAACTTTGCCCAGCAGATGACGAAAAGAAGGCTCAAGGCGATTTGGAGCGGGGAGAATTCGCGGATCAAACCGGCGACCACCAAGAAAACGGGTCGATATTGAAGGTGGATACGGAAAAAGGCGTAAGAGGGTTTGGAAAATGGCGGACGATGTCTTCAAAACGTTCATTTCTCACCCAGCAGCTCCTTCCGCATCTCCTCACGTTGTATCCTGGACTCCTCCTTCGCCCGAGCCCGCTGCGCCTCGAGCTCTGCGCGCTTCCGGTCCTGCTCTTCTTGCGCGGCGTACCAAACTAAACAGACACAAGAACATGGATTAGCCATACTATCCCAATTTACGTCCTAGGTCCACGTTCCAACATACTAGACTTATCCGATTTCGACCACTCCTTCAGCTTCTGGACATAATCATCGAATTCCTGGGCCTTGCGGTCTCCTTGCTCTGCGCTGCGCTTCTGCAGGTCTGGGTTATACCGCTTGACAAGCTCTTCGTCTGAGGGGCGGATGTATTGGACGAGGGCTGGACCGCCGACGCAGAAGAGGACGCCACTGGAGGAATCATGTTGTTAGCTGAGTTGACTGGTGCCGGCCGTTGCAGCACTTACCCTCCGATTGCTTTGGCCCACATTCCGGCGCGAGACATGATGGGTGATGTGTGGAATGGGAATTGGAAGAAATTCTAGGAATGGCTCGATTCAATCGTGATCTGAGTGTGTTTCGTAAAGAGTAGATCCTGTTTCGTCGAGTAGCTGAGGGAGGAGCGACGGGGAAAGTTGGTGATGATCATCGACTGCAAACTGAACAAACACGGTGGATCCGGGGATCTGCTTAATCACCATCCTTCCTGATTTGGTAAGTATGGAAGATATGATGCTTAGGAAGGAGAACAGAAGTGACTGAAAGGAAATATGTTCAGAAGCCTAAATAATCATATCTAGAGTATCATTCTGTACATCATACTTGGGACGGTTATTTAACGCTCTCTACCAATCATTTAATATGGCAAATGACCAATAGGAATAAGGATGTTACAGTAGCCACAAGTTGGGCCATTTTTCGATGACATACGACGAGACTTTAGAAGGAATATTGCAGGAACAAAGTAATAATAGCGGCAGTTATTAATTTGAGAGTGCAACCAGGGACTAGAACATCAGAGAGCAGTAGAGAAAGCGGTAACCATATCCAAGTTAAGTGATTGTCATTGAGCACAAACCAAATGGACCGAAGCAAAATCTCGCCTGAGCGAGGCACAAGCTGCCTGAAATTCTGATGTAGGCCGTATCGCCCACATAGGATCGAGACACAGCTCGGGATAGCAGTCACACGGGTGACCCTCATGCCACCACTGACAGCCAAAATTGTTTTCCCTGATGAAGCCAGAAACCTCCTCAGCCGTCCGTCCTTGCCCGAAGAATCTGATCCTCCAGCTACGAATCACGACCTCCGTAAAGTCGAAACACGTCGATCGAGACCTGCTGTTATACCGCAGTTCCTGAACGAGGTGTCGGGGATTGATGTTCCTATGAACAAAGTCATGGTTAGCTCATTAGACCTCAAGAATCAGTGCATAGTACTCACTGTTTAGAGCGCTGTGCTAGGTGGACTGTGTGGCTGATGCCTAGTCCGGGCGTGAGGTCACGATAGAAGGCCTGATAAGTCACTCGGTGAGTGGGATACTCCCTGCCGTTGATCGTCACTAATTCGATTTTAGAATGAATGAAGACTAAGATATTGGCAGGGGTAGACAGACTCAGTGGGTAGACTTGCCGGATATTAGACTCTGGTGAAAACACTGGCGACTTGGGCCAGATAGTTGGCGACCCGAGTAGACCGGTGATCTCATCTTGTGAGCGGTGGAGGTTTTCTTCGACGAAGCTCGACGACCGCAAATGCTGGCTTATAGCCCCCTCCAGGACTGTGAGGAGAATGGCGTGGATTAACATGGTGATAGAACAAGTGCTGGGGGCGAGATGGCGAGATGACGAGAGGTGGTCAGTTGGTGAAGTGTAGAAGATTGTTGTGATCCAAGAGAAAACACTAGAAAGATCAGTATCGTGTGAGAGGTTGAGCTCAAGGGAAGAGAGACGGCTGGGGAGAAAAGTTGAATTACCTCCATGGGACCTGCTTGTTCGTCGTTGCCAACCTTGGAAGCCTACTTCAACTGTTGCTAAAGATCAAGGAAAAGACACGAAAAAAAGGTAGTGTGCACTTCTGGTTCTCTGACCCACAGCCCTTTTGGTTGTAATGTATGGAACTTGATATAGCTATTCATCATACTTGAGTCAGTATTAGTTCAGCTATACCCCATGATAAGCTGTAGCAGGTAATAGCTTACTTGCAGTGAAGGCGCGAAGCCTTGATCTGCTAAATAACTCTAGAATGGGGCGACCGTCCAAAACCGAGCTTCCCCTACAGCGAGCTCTTGAGGGGCGTTATAGAATTATCTAGACATTCTTATCCTGGGATTTTCCGCATTTTCTCTATAGAAGGAATCGGCAGTACGGCAGAATCATCACATTCAACCTATCTGTATTTTGCTTTCATGCAAATCGGTCAAACTCCGCTTTCATTGTGGATGATGCATTCAGCTATTAAGCAAAGTGACAAATTGTCCGAAGAAAAGCTGCCCACAGTTTGTTCCCTCACAGTTCAACCATATCATCATCACTCAGTACCAAGGGATTCCTCCCTTGGATTGTAAAGCGAGATACTGCTGGCCTTCCACTCGCTCCATCATTGTCTCGCTGCTCGAAAAAACGAGACTGAGTTGGTGTGTCGATACCAGGAAGTGTGCCATCGTCCGAGGGCCACTCAGCTCCTTCAGAAAGGTACTGATCATCGTTCAGGGAGCTTGAAAGATTCAACAGGTTCAAATTCAACGGGGGGACTACTGAATTGATATTGCCTACGCGGCCAAAGTACCGACTAGTACTTGGTTGTGTCGGTGGTATCGCTACCTCTGCCATCATAACAACACGGGGCCGGGAGCGATGCATGTTCACATGAACGGAGTCATCACTATCACTCACAACAGAGAACGCGGGGCTCAGTGTGTCCCGTCGCGGACACGGAGCTTCCGGAGACTGAGATAGGTTATCTTCCTCTTCCGATGTTGACTCCGAACACGATCCATCATCGCTCCTCGGAGGTATATACGATGTTGTGGATTCACTGTTACATCGCATAACCCTATTCAGATCGTCAACCTCGTCCGATACATTGCGTGCTGGCAAAGTTCCAGGTTCCTGGAGTTTCTCTCGGCCCTCATAAGCGGGACCAAAGTCCATCGTCCACGCGTCGTGGATATCCTTCGCAAAATACTCGTGGTATTCTTCCGGTAGGCCGAGATAAAACGCCAATCGCCGAAGCCTGCAGCGGCTGGTTTTGTAGCTACACTCTCGGAGGTTTGTGCACAAGTCTCGTCGAAGAGCGCGATGACAGGTCACTTGCCCGTTAAAGAGATGCAACTGGAGGAAATTCTGTATCTCATGATCCCACGAGACGATATCTTCTAGGGCGGCAATATCGAACGTACAGATAATTGCCTCACTGGGGGCATAACCCCAAATTGCGTATTCGCCATATCCTTTCCACCGCTTGACAGTCGTTCTAGTAATCTGGGCCAACGGCTTCGCATAGAAGACAGGGGTCGCTAGCTTTCGAGGATCGATGATTGAGACCTTGGCGTTTTGCCTGTTTCTCACTGCTCGATGGATCGGGGCGAGTGGACGGGCGAATGCCGAAATGAAGGGTGTCGGGACTTGTACCCTGGTCACATGGGCCGCGAACACACTAAGGAAGTCTGTTTCGGACATCTGTCCTGGGGAACCAACATCAGGATAGGTATCAGTGAACCAGCCCGCGACAAATAACGTCTCCGAGTTGATGCCCTGCGAGTTGGTATTGGACCACCGATAGAGCAAGTGGGGTAGATTATCAACCCCGCATGGCCCTGGGAGCTCCCAGAATTGACGCAGATCATTCAAGCCTTCGATACTGGCATCGAGTGAGCCTGCGAGCTGAATATCTGGTGGATTTGCTGGTTCCGCGAGCTCGTTAATCCGCTGGTTGAAGGTTTCACGATTTTCACCAACATTGACATTGGGTTCCTCAGTTGGTGTGCCGTCATGAGGCTCCGCCCCCTCTATCTCGCACCAGAGGCAAACCTTGCCATGGCTGGTCACTAAAGGCTCAGAGTTTCGACCCGAGTCAGGGGTGATGTGACAATCGGCAAGAGTGGATTCAGCCATAGCTCGGCTCTGTGGGGTGGGCGTGTTGTCTCGAACCCTCTCAATTCGTAGATAGCTCGTTGGAGTCAGCTGGTTGAAGTCGGTTGTCGGTGTCTCTGGAGATAAGACAAATGCGGATGGAGATGCGTTGGAGGAGAAGCCATCAACCAGGGAGGCACTGGCTGCCGAGGAATCAAGATGAGCATTCCCAGAATGATGGCCATCAAAGTCGTCTGTTGTCTCCACAGAGGAATGGACACATGCATCAGCATGGTCGTTGACGGAGCCAGCATCCTGTGGCCTGATGGGCCTAGTCAACAATACAGATGTGAGGAATTCAGACGCGTCGTTATTGACGTCAAAGTCGCCATCCGAAATGATGGTCATATCGCTGAGTTTCTCATTCAAGAGAATTCCCAACTCAAACGCGGTGAGGCGAATGAGATGGATGATTTCCTTCCATTCCCCATTCGTGCGAAAATCGGTGACGACATGGACGTGGTACCACACAGGCAACTTGTTCCCTCTGATCCATCGCCACTGCGCGTTTAGTGTCCCATATGGAACATTTTTATTTCCAAACCCACGGTCTCTTAGGTGGGTTCGAAAGATCTGGGAGAAGAGATCTGATAGCTGATCATTGCTGCAGTCGAAGAATCGGTAGAGGCAGCACAGGACCTGCCGCTTGTACGTATCCCAGGACACTCTCGGGAATTTATGAGGACGGTTTCGGCGTACTTGGCGTCGTCGAGCCATGGCTTCTAGGCAGACTCCGGGTTGGGTAAATATGAATATCCGTGGGACGGACAAGTGAGATGGACGGGTGAGCGCAGCCCAGGAAGAGTTCGGAAGATCAGAAAAGGTGATGGGGGAGAAAATGTAGATGAAGTCGGATGGAAAAGTGGGAAGGGAGCAAGGTGAGGAGATGGAAGTGATAGAAGTGGATGGGATAGGGGGAGAAGGAAAGAGGAAGAAGGGAAGGGGAAAGGAAAAGTGAGAAGAAGGAGGATGGGAGAAGGGGAACAGATGTCGAGGCAAGGGCCAGGGGAGGATCACTAAAGATGCCTCGTCTAAGTTTGAAAGTGATATTGTCCAAAGCCAGGCACTTTATGTTTGTTCATTAAGTGATGAGGTGCAATAAACCGCAAGATGGAGTGCGGTACCTGGCTGGTCCTGCCCCCTAATGCCAGCTGAATGGAACCTCTGAGATATTCTGTTTACACAGTGAGCCATGAGTATCTCTGATTTGATTCTAGCAAATGACGAAAAGAAAATTCAGTTTCGGGTAAAGGCATGATTCTCATCTATCCATGTACCGTGTATAATTCACAACAGAAATATGCTGGAATACAACGGACATGCGATTTAAAGCTTGAGTATAGTCCTCAGAACCAAAGATACGCCCAATAAGGAGTCATATGGTGGTAGTAGGTTCCAATCGAAGACGTAAGTACAGTTCATGTCAGGCAACGGAGATCATTGCTCAAGGGACCTCGGCATGATGGGATCGGAGACTACTAAACCAACGCTCTGAACCAACATAATCGATCCTGTCAACACATCCTGGAAACTTAGTATAATGAGTATAGAGTAGTATAATGAGTATAGAGCACAACTGTTGCTGTGGCACTACTCTTTTCCTAACCACGGGGTTTCTCTGCCCGATTTCACTTAGTATGGGTGTGTAAAGTAAATCTCCTCCCTGCCTCTCCATTGCCCTCTATGTTCAGGATTCGCTCGCATCTCTTATCTTATGACTCCCCCAAACCTCTTACCATCATCGACTCAATGATATCGACCGGTCTTGCCCGTCATAATTTCACTCGAGTCGAAAGTTGGTATCGACGCTCGACTCACAGTCTGTCACCACCATAAACGACACTGAATTCCGGGATCGATGGAGTGGCACAGTCTATTCATTCTTTTGCAAACTTCCAAGGTACACTGGTCGTAATTCACTCTCCTCTTCAAGATTCAACGAGGTGACCAAAATAGAAAGAGAAGATGTCGTCAAAAGAGCCTTGTCCAGGGCGGTGAGTATTCTGCCGAGATGCGTCACCGCGTGCGGAGGAAGTTGCGGCGTATTTCGACAAAGCGCTCTGACACTTGCACCTCAACAGAGTCGTTCTGTCTTTCTCGTGGCTTTCTTAGCTGCTGAATATGTGACCGGGGAAATAAGAAGACTCTCATAAAGGTCCCAAGCCTACCATGTCGGTCTTGCAGTGCGCTCCTTGTCGCCGTTTCTCCGGGCAGTTCTTGCGGCGCCGCTTCTCGTCCTCCGCAACGCGTCTGGAGATTCGCGATGTCGGCGCTTTGTCGCAACGTTTGATTCCAAGGTATCAAGGTTTGTATCTACGCCTCGAAGAACGAAGTTCAGATACTAAGCTGCTTTATCTTGATTAGAAAACCGAGGCGAGCTTCTTTCTCTACAATGGCCGGCACCACCGCGGAATGTACTTCTGGTGCGGAAGAACTGTGCACCAGCAGTAACAGACTCCCTCGTTGAATTTGCCAAGTACTTGATCTCCCCTTCGTATCACAGATATCATCTCTAACCACAGACTTCCTTCCAAGTCACATCACCTCCACATATCCCTCCATCGCCGTCATCCTCGAATCCAAAACTGCCGCCGAAATTCACGAATCACTCTCCTACCCAGTATACACAGCATGCTTGGAAGACAAACCGACAGCCTTTCATGATAAGGTAGATCTTACGGTGACATTGGGAGGAGATGGCACGATATTACATGCCGCCTCTCTGTTCGCTACATGTCCCAATGTTCCCCCAGTCTTGTCATTCAGCATGGGCACCCTCGGTTTCCTGAGTGAGTGGAAGTTTTCCGAGTTCAAACGAGCCTTTCGAGAAGTCTACATGTCTGGTGCTGGCGCTGGAGATCGCACACCTGTCCTCGAGACTCATCCGCTGGCGTCGGAAAAAACACCAGGTCTGGAGACTGGTGAGTCATCGTTGGGCCCGACGGGATGGTCATCTGTGCGAGGACAGTCCATGGGTGCTACTCGAGGGGCCCCGATACTCATGCGCAATCGTTTGAAAGTCGGACTCTTCACAGCAGACGGTAAAGAAACTACTGCGGTCCGTGGCAAGACCGATCATGGCCAAGGTGTATACGTGATGAACGAGCTGCTCATCCATCGAGGCAAAGAGCCTCATCTGGCCGTGGTGGATATCTTCGTGGGCGGTCGGTTCTTGACTGAGGCCGTGGTTGATGGAATTATCATCTCGACCCCGACTGGAAGTACAGCATACAGCCTCAGCAGCGGCGGGAGTATCGTGCATCCACTAGTCCCCTCCGTCCTCCTCACCCCCATCTGTGCGAGAAGTCTTAGCTTCCGGCCTCTCGTTCTTCCCTTCAGCACACCGATCACGATGCGACTTAGTGAGAAGAATCGTGGCCGAGAACTAGAAGTCAGTTTGGACGGTGTTAATCTGGGCCAAGGTATGGCCGTTGGCATGGAGGCACGAGTATGGAATGAGGAGATGAGGCATGGCGAGAATGAATGGCAAGGTGGTGTACCAAGTGTCATGCGCAGGAGCATGGGTGGTGAAGCTCACGAGGGATGGGTTGGCGGTTTGAATGGACTGCTCAAATTTAACCACCCCTTTGGTGAGTGAATTTGTAGATCTGTTTGTGTATATTTGAGATACCCAATCGCACTCTTTTATCAACATGAAGTATTACTATCCCGTTGACTCGGCCTTCGGGCTGTCATTTATCTTGTTCCTTGATCTTCGAATTTTCGATCGTGGAGACTTGGCAGATAACGATGACTGCATGAACAAATTACAGGGAACATACAAACTATCAAGTCAGACACGATTCCTCCGGGAAACAGCGCGTGCTAAACAGGCCAAATATCTGCCGCTTACAGTTAGTTCTACTTCGGCACTTGGCGTGTTCAAGCAACAAATGCCGAATTTTGGCGGCTTGCGGCTTCTATCAAACGCCGAGACCCACTGCTCGTTCCAAGGTTTTATTCCCAAACTTTGGATTCAAGGCCCGAGCCATGAGAATCAAAGGCCGGACACGTAAATTTTTTTTTTTTTTGGTTCGACTCCCCACTCACGATGTAGCGCAAATGGGTTGTAACTTGTGCCGATTTACGAAATCAAATTCAATATTTGACAAAGCTTTAATTTTTTCATCATTCATACTTCGAGTCTACACTTTGCCTTGATCAAGAGGGAATGATTGCAAAGACACTGCGAAAGTCAGGGCTACCGATATCATTCCCGCTCTCGCTTCTGCCCATGCAAAAGAAACTCGAACATGACGTGGAATCCACCCAGGATCAAACCAAAGAAATAATTGAACCCAACTATCAATTGACACCTCTTGTCAGCGCCTCTTTTCCTCCAGATGGAGGATATGGGTGGGTATGTACCGTTGCGGCTGCAATAATCAATGCGCATTCTTGGGGCTTCAACTCAGCCTATACCGTGTTCCTAGCTCATTACCTGAACAACAACATCTTCCCCGGTGCCACTTCGCTCCAATATGCCTTGGTCGGATCGTTGAGTCTCACATGTCTAATGCTCATCTCACCCGTGGCAACTCTTGCCGTTGGCAAAATCGGAATCCGAGCGACGATGATGTGTGGCGTAGTCTTGGAGACTGCAAGTCTACTATGCGCCAGTTGGGCTACAGAGATATGGCATCTGTTCTTGACGCAAGGATTGGTTTTCGGTATGGGGTTGGGCCTCATCTTTATTCCTGTGGCGGCGGTTGTCCCGCAGTGGTTTACTACGAAAAGATCACTTGCAAGTGGAATCTCCCTTGCCGGTGCAGGTCTTGGTGGTGCGGTGTATTCCCTTGCGGCTGCGGCTATGATGCGCAATCTTGGACTTAGACTTACCTATCGAATCATGGGGAGTATCGCTTTTGTCGTGAATACAAGCTGCACGCTTTTGATCAAAGACCGGAGTCGCGTCACTGGGTCAAAGCAAGTATCATTCGATGCCAGACTGTTCAAGAAGTGGGAATATACCCTGTTGCTTGGGTTCAGTGTCTTCAGCATGTTGGGCTATTTCATTCTGATCTTCAGTCTGGCCAACTTCGCCAACAATATTGGCCTCAACTCCTCACAAGCTTCTGTGGCGAGTGCACTATTCAACATCGGACAGGCGATAGGTCGCCCCTTGATCGGGTACTTCAGCGATACCACTGGTCGCATCAACATGGCAGGCTCGATGACTTTCCTTGCAGGTGTATTGCCTCTGGTCATCTGGACCAATACCAAAAACTATGGAGTATTGATTTTCTTCGCGCTTGCCGAAGGTCTAGTTGCTGGAAACTTCTGGGCCACGATAGCACCGCTTGTGGCAGAGGTTGTCGGACTGGAGAATGTACCTTGTGGCCTCAACCTCATATGGCTGGTCATTGCTATACCGTGCACATTCAGTGAGCCGATTGCGTTGGAAATTTTCTCCGGGACTGGAAGTTATCTCGGTACACAGCTGTTTACTGGGTTCATGTACATTGCTGCTGCTGGGTGTATGTTGGCTCTGCGAGGATGGAAAATTGCCCAAATTACGCAGTCTGCCAATAAAAACGACTCGGATGAGCAAGGCACGGCAACAGCCAGTGCGATGTCTCCCTGCGGGGAGGAGACGGAAATTATCAGGGCTGACGAATACTGGTACAAGTGCTTCAAATGGGCGAATGTATAATTTTCAAGCTCATCAACGCTCTGTTTTTTAATATACTTTTCAATTTAAAGAATATTGCGTGGCTCTCATGCACAGCATCGTGACCACGAAGACAGAGAACAATTTTGCGAATCAGTAACTTAGCCCAAGCTCATCACGCTACGCCTGGAACACATAGTGGCCAGTCATAGGCAAAATCAATAAAATATCGATATGTCTGGAAAGTTTGTGATTCGAGAGGCTTCGGTCGAGTCAATCGTGTTTGAACCTCCGGTCTTAGCGGAATTCCCTCGGCCGAAATATCAGCATTGTGATCGTATAGTTCCGGGTAGCTCGCGAAGAAAGCGGGATCGAGTTTATAATTAGACACATTGTGATCCATTTTGAGGAAGTTAAAAACCGCTCGACAATATTCCGAAGATGAGAAGAGTGTAGCCACATCTGGAGCTGGGAGAGTGACACCAAGTGAGAAGATGTCTGCACTAGTTGTCGTAGACGAATCAATATTCGGGACAAGGTCGGTCACGCGAACATAGGCTTTAACCATTGGTGCCCCTTCAATCAAATCCGTCATCCAAGTTTCGACCACGTAGCTACTAACGGTATCACAGAATATTTGATCGATTTTCGGATTCGCCGAGTGTAGCTGGATTAGTCGATCGCGAATCGATGGAAACGGTATCCAGTCTATGACTTTCGGGTAAGCGTTTTGAAGTTGAAGTGTGGTAGGCTTGTACTGGGGATGTATGGCGTTGAAGGTCCGAGTGCAGGGCATGATTTGCCAAGCTGTTAAGTTGACGATGTGATAAAATCGTGTTTTGGCGTACCATCGCATAACATCCGGTCGTGTCATACTATTAAAGAGGGCAAGTACCATGAGGACCTCTTGATAGAAGCTGTGCGTGGCATTAGCTTTTGGAGGAACCTTTCGCTTTCATGTCGTTCACGCGTTTCCAGTGACCCACAAATTACTGTTCTCCCCGGGTAACTTCATCTTGTGCTCGATTTTGTTCTTCATGAGGCGTTGAAGAACGTGAATATGGTCTGAAAATGGTGAATTTGACTCAGTCCAAGCCTTTCCCAAAGCTAGGCTAGACTCTTCGCTGGTTGCAAGAGCGGCAGTGTATGGATCAAGGCCCATCTGATATTCGAACGACCATAAGCTGGGAATCTGTTGAGCTAGGGAGTTGAAGCTAGCCGCTATATTTGCTCCGAGGTCTTGTTCACACACTGTAGATTGAATTGTCGCCAGTTGAGTAGCCTCCGTCCAAGGAATGGTGTTCTTAAAAACATCATTTATACTCTCAACGTTCAGGAAGTCCGAATTATCCGGTTCCCTCGAGGTAGGCTCATTAATTTTGCAGTTCGACGATCCGCAATCGTCAATCAAATCTTTTGAATCCAGTGAAGATTTTCCCAAGTCTGAATCATCCAGAGCTTTAGAAACAGTTCCTGATAAAGTCTGTATTGTCGCAACCAGCCGAGCCAATTTTGCTTGGACCTCGATGAGGCTCCTCCGTAAACCGCTATTCTCTTCCTGCAATGAGCGAATGACTTCGTCGTAAGGTTTGTCGCTTGAGTCCGCCCGATCTAGGAGCTCCTTCATACGACCCGCCTGTCTTTGGCGGAATGCTCGCTGAGCTAGGCGATTACGCAACCGCCTAAACCCATTTTAATATCCGATTGAAGCTTATGCGAGTCAATTACGCACCTTTTGTCAACATCCTCATTCCTTCGTAGCTTCGCCGTATCAGTTGATGACTTTCCTTTTGTGTACGCCATCTTCAGTCACTGAAGGAGGCAGGAGGAATGATCCAAGAAATAGAATTCCATATCTCATGCTCCATGGACCACGTCGAATTTATGAAAGCCCATGAGCTCATCCCACCGGGCGCACCCATCAATACGGGACTAGTGGAGCCGAAGGAATGGGAGGTGAGTGTCTACACACCATGCCTCGGGCCAATTGGCGAATTACAAAACTTGCAAGAGATTGACTCCGTATATTTTAACTCGACTTGGTATGGTCTTATCCGAAAAGCTAGGGGACGGGGCTGTTTGTGAAGCCTGATTCTTCCATGTATTTCCGAGACTGCGGAAATACAGTTCCTCGGGAATAAATTGCTCGGGAATGTGATCTTTCGGGAATGAAGACCTGGCTTGCTAACCTGCTGGACTTGTTCAATTTCGAATTCTCAGAATTGGGAGTGAGAAAACTGCTAGACTGACTTAAGTCAAATTTAGTTTTTTGGAAGCATCTCGATTGTTGTAATTTTGTTTAATTCAAATGCTAATCTGGGTAGCCGCTCTAGATATGGACCTATGATCCCTTTCGTTCTACCCGCCCCTGCTCACCAGGTGCTTATACCTCGATTCTACCCAGCCTGAGTTCTTAACTCAGGCCAAGCTTGTGACAGTCAACGTTCCCGTCTTTGAGATCAAGTATTCTTCAATAGCGACGTCCTTGCCTGCCTCCTTTCCATAACCGGACTCTTTAATTCCACCGAAAGGCGACTCCGCTCCAGAAGAGTTGCCTGTTTGAAAGTATTAGCGCCAAGCAAGAACTCCAAGACCATACCGTAGTCAAAATGATTCAAGAAGGTTCTTACCTGTGTTCATCCCAATCATGCCTGCTTCAAGATTGTCCAACAACCTCCAAGTACGATCCACATTTTTCGTGAAGAAGTAGGAGGCGAGGCCCATTGAAGTATCATTCGCCATTTTCACGGCCTCTTCTTCTGTATCGAACTTATACAGACCCAAGAGAGGCCCGAAAATTTCCTCCCTGGCACTGAGCATTTCCGAAGTCATGCCAGAAATGATGGTTGGCTCAAAGAAGTAACCACTTAGACCAGCGGGCTTCTTTCCACCACAGAGAATCTTGCCGCCAAGGTTCACAGCATCAGCAACATACCGCTCGAGCTTCTCGACGCCACGGCTGGTTGTCAGTGGACCCATCGTGCTGCTTGGATCTGACCCATGTCCAATTTTGATCTTTTGAGTTGCTTCTAGCATCATCTCAGTGAACTTATCGTAAACGCCTGTTTGAACGTAGACGCGATTGGCGTGCGTGCATGCTTGCCCGGCCGTCCGCCACTTGAGAATCATCAAAGCAGCCACTGCTTGCTGGAGGTCCCCGTCGTCAAAGACGATGAATGGGCAGTTGCCTCCCAGTTCCATGGTGACTTTCTTAAGACCTTCGCTGCAGTGCTTGGCCACGATGCTGCCCACGCGGGTGCTACCAGTAAAGGTCACCTTTCGGACAAGCGGATGCTTGCAAAGTCTTTCACTAACGGATGGTGTGTTTTCATTGTCAGTGGATATGATGTTGAGGACACCTGCCGGAAGCCCAGCTCGAAGGGCAAGATCCCCAAGGGCATTTACACTCAAAGGAGTTTCAGGAGATGGCTTGACCACCATCGAGCAACCGGCAGCGAGTGCTGCAGCGACTTTGCGAATAATCATCGCAACCGGAAAGTTCCATGGAACAAGGGCCACACTGACACCGATGGGCTGTTTGATGACGAATGTGCGACGGTCTGAGACAGAGGGCTGGGCGACAGAACCTCGAATTCGCTCTGCCTCTCCAGCAAACCACCACGCAAAGCCAAGCGCGTAGTCTACCTCTCCTAATGCTTCTGCCATAGGCTTGCCGGTTTCATAGACCATTATCTTGGCTATGTCATCTCTGGCAGCCGCGATGAGGTCGTGCCATTTGAGGAGAATCTTGCCTCGGACTCTTGGATTCACATGGCGATAGGTCTCAAACGCCCGCTGAGAAGACACAACGTATTTGTCCACATCCGCGACCTCATTCGTGGGACAGGTAGCAAAAACGTCACCGCATCCAGGGTCTTGATTCATGACACAGGTTAGTTTTCTTGGGCTTACCGGCATCGTTTCTGAGAATTGTAGACTCACCTTCAACGTCGAATGTTTTGCCTGAGCTGGCCTGAACCCATTCTCCATTCAACAACGATGCTTCATGGAGAAGGGACGGATCATTAAGCTATGAGGCCGTCAGTACTGCAATTTGCCAAATTCAAAAAATTGTCTGCATTACCTTCAAGGCACACTTCATCGCGGTTTTTCGCCTAACGAGGTTGGGCAGATTCTTGGTAAAGGGTTTGATATAGTCGTAGTAGACTGGCTTGTTTGTTTCTCTATGTATACTCCGGACTACAACGGAGATTATATATATACGACAATATTCTTCGGGTATCCCTACTTCATCCATCTTTCGCTCAATTAGTTCAGAGCCCGACTAGGTGGTATCGGAAATGGATTACGAATCACCTGCTGCCCCTCCGCCGAAAGAGATCATATTACTGCATCGAACGCTTATATACTCAAAGAACTGACTTGCTCTTCAAAATCAAAAATGAGCACTGGATACACTCAGAAAAGAAGCTGTGTTACATGATTGACCGATTACAGCCACTCAGCCGTGTCCGCCTACATAGAAAGGTCAGAGTTAAGTGGAGACATGTAAGCGTTCGATTACCTGAGTGCCTTCCAGCCTACAACCTACACCAAACCGAAATTTGTCATTGAAGTATTTTTAAGTTCCTAAGGATAATTCCACACCTATATTAAATTAACAAAGCCCTGCACGAGTAGCAGCACCAGCCCCCGAAATTTCGAAGTCTCTCCAAGTCAACGATGGGGCCTCCGAGACAGATAAATATTGCCGTTATCGGTAAGGGTACTCAGTTCCCGTCTGTGAACCGATAAAATAACCATAATAGGTGCTGGTGGCGTGGGCTCATGTTTTCTCTTGCAGTTAGCATGGTTTGCTAAAAAGCAAAAATCTACTCGTATTAGTCTATGCTACCTTGCGACAATTGACGGGGCCCTTTATAGCCAAGACTACACCGATATCGAAATCGAAACAGCCCTGTCTACATTGGAGGAAAAGGGATCTGCCCTACCGTCCATTCCTGAAACAGTTGATTATTTGGCTGGTGCACCACACAAGATTATCTTGGTGGACAATACTAGCTCTGGGTCTATCGCAGAGGCCTACCCTTTGTTTCTGAGACGAGGAATAAGCATCATCACGCCGAATAAAAAGGCCTTCTCGGGAAGCTACAGCCTCTGGCAAGACATCTTCAGTGCTGCCCAATCGGGGGGTTCAATGGTGTATCACGAATCTTCTGTTGGGGCTGGAATGCCTATTATCTCCACATTGAAAGAGCTTGTTCAGACTGGAGACGAAGTCACTCGCATCGAGGGTGTTTTCAGCGGAACAATGTCCTTTCTTTTCAACCAATTCTCCCCCACATCCGGTCAAGCTGGAAAATGGTCAGAGACTGTCAAAAGGGCAAAGGAGCTTGGATTCACCGAGCCAGATCCTCGTGACGATCTCAATGGCCTGGATGTCGCTCGAAAATTGACTATCCTCGGTCGCTTGGCTGGTCTCCCGATCGAGTCTCCGGCGTCATTCCCCGTACAAAATTTGATTCCCCAAGAGTTGCAAACATGTGGTGATAGTGATGATTTTATCTCAAAACTGCATGAGTTTGACGACCGCATGGAAAGTGAAAGGGCTCTCGCTGAAAGAGCAAGAAAGGTCTTACGGTATGTTGGAAGTATCGAGATGGGCACTAGGAAAGTGAAAGTTGGAATGGAGATGTTTGATCCTATGCATCCGATAGCTACATTGAAGGGAAGTGATAACATTATCAGCTTCTACACAAAGAGATATGGTGAGACACCTCTAACAATTCGAGGAGCTGGTGCGGGCGGAGATGTTACAGCGATGGGTGTGACGGGCGACTTGCTCAAGGTACTTTGTCAAATGAGCTAGGAAAGATAGCAACCCTGTTATGAAGAGACCTTTGGTTCAATCAATCAATCAATCAACACTCTATTAACCTGTTGCAGCCTAACTAGTGGCGTAATGGCTATGCAGGCGCTCCCTCCGGCGGAAGCAAGAGTGATCTGAACGCCAGACCCGCGCATGAAACAGTAAATACATAGGAAAAACGGCGTATTGCCATATAAAATCAGCCCAAAACCCGTACCAAACGCCCTCAAAGCCCTCACGTTGGCCTGCCGCTTCCTTTGCATCTCCATCCCTGCCTTCCCTCTCCGGCATCCACATCATCCTCCTGCTTCGGCCTCAATTCGTGGCGTTCGCTGTTGTTGGATGTATTCTTTGGAGGAGGAATGTCGGAGCTAGCCTCACTGAGCCAAGTCGCATTTGAAAGCTCTTGCCGCCAGCTCCATCAGTTCATCTCAGGCGAAAAGGCATCTGCAACATTTGCCTGCGGCGGTACAGTGTCCATTAGTGACAACTTGCCCCCAGGCACGCACGGTGTCTCACCGCCAGTAAGTATTTCTTGGACACCCAAGGATGCCGCAAAGGAGCGCAAGATAGTACTTCCCGTCGATGCTGCCGTTGCGGACAAACTTAGCCAACTAGTGTCAGACTGTGACATTGCCAGTTTTGGCAAACGAGAGAAAGATGTCATTTATCTCCACTACAGCAAAGCTAGCAAGCTCAACCCTTCACGATTTCTGACCGGCTTTCATCCCGCAAACCTCAACATACTCGAAGAGGTTGAGCAACTTCTTGTACCAAACTTCAACTCGTGGACGGAGAATAAGCTGCCATTTTGAAAGCTCAAAGCAGAAAATTTACAAACTGAATGTGGGCTTTTCTCCTAGTAATCCGGGCCAAATGGCCGTTTTCGAAAGCATGTTGATACTCCACTATCCAAAAATCAGATTGGATCACTTGTTATTTGCTTACCGTCCACATTCGAAGGTGGTAAATTGGTTGTAAGACATCAGGGGAATGCCGTCGACTTTGACTGGAGCGCCCGTAGTGGTTCTACTATACAGTAGGCCGCATTATACAGCGATTGCGAGCATGAGATCAACGATGTTACGGACGGACATCGAATTACATTGACATACAATCTCTATATCACCAACTTCGGACGTGGATCGGTTCCTCGTCACGTTAATCTCGACCCCAAAACACTCCCAATATACGGGTACCTGAGCAGCCTTCTTGCTGAACCTAGATTCATGAAGGAAGGTATGTAAAATACCGGCAGATTGACGAGTCCTGGACCCGCATGACAGTGGTGATGATCTTTGCAGGTGGTATTCTCGGTGTTAACTGTTCTCATGCGTATCCCCATGCATCGTCACAAGCACGTGAGCTACTCCCAAGAGGCCTCAAAGGTGCCGACTTGGCTGTGTACTCGTTATTCAAGTCGCTTGGTATAGATGCCCATGTGCTTCCTGTGCTGAGACAGAAGCACGATGAAGGTGTCGAGGAGGAAGCCGTAAGAGACGTGCTGGGATTTCTGCGTGATGGTGACGAGTTTGAACCGACATTTACTCAATTGCCTCAAATCATACCCGTTGACAAAGACTTGGGGAAATACTGGAAGATGCTCCACGTCTCTCGAAGACTCCATGGAACGAGGAAGATAATTCAATGTGCACAAGAAAGGAATTTGGAAATAGAATCTCGCATGTTCCAAGACACAAAAGGGAATTACTTCGGGACCGAGCTACTTCCGTATTTGGTTGAAACCGAGTTATTCGAAGGCGACTCGATCACAGCCGTGAGCCATTTGCCAGATACTACAAGAGTTTTCTTTCTATACCAGTACACTACTGACACGAATGTAGAACAGAATCTGACCTGCACAGTTCATCCCAGGTATCACATGGATTTCTGATCCATTGAACAAGGAGATGGCTTTTACGTACCTGGCATATGGAAATGAGCCGAGTATCGCGACAGTATACTCTTGCGCTTCAATACTCGCTGCTGTACCTCCATTTGATCAACGTCCAGCGATGCAGGGATCGCGCGACGATCAAATCCACGCAGACGAACGATAAGAGTTTTTTTTTCTATTAGCTAGCTTTTTGCTGCCAAATTCAAGAGAGCACCGAGGAAATGACTGCAAAACAAGATCACCGTAGCATGAGCGTAGTTCTTGCAACTCACCAGGCATATGCTTAATGAAATATGTATGATGAATGCTACCAAATCTGAACGATATGAATGAAAGCGAAGCGGCTTCCTCAGTGTTTACAGATAGTCTCACTGGAGGCTAGATTTCCACTACTGTCTAACTATCTCTAACTATTGTACAGGCCCATTGTGCAGATTCCTCCTCATGTCTAGATAGGGTTACATGCCTTCGTTCATAAATCGTTTCATCATCGTTAGATCTTCCACTGGTGTGCATTATCCAATCCACGAGTCCCGGACAAGTCACTCTCATCCAGGTAGCCACAAATCCTTCCCTGAGGATCCCATTTGCGGCGAATTTCCATCAAACGGCAAGCGTTATCATCAGCCCAGAACTTAGTCTTGCGCACCTGGAAGTCCGAATCTCCTAAGTAGGCGCCGACCGAATGTCTCTCCACTCCTTTCATCACGTCTCTTACCCAGGCCTGGCATCGTGGGTCGTCGTGTGCATCCTCCCAAACTGTATAAAGAGCAAAGTAATGATCAGATTGCATGCTCAGAGCCATGTCAGGAAGCTTTCTCCGACTGCAGGGGTTCATCGCAAACCAAAGCGCGAAGGATTTCCTGTGCGGAAGAGTGGTGAATGCCTCTTCCAGTACTGCTGGAACATCGGCATCATTTTGGATATATGCATTATCTGCGCAATAGCGATGCTTCTCTGGATTCGCTCTGGCTTGATTATCGTACTGTCCTTCAAGGCTGTCTTCCTTGCAGAACCACTCCTCTACGCATCCCGCAGGTCGAGTTTCCTGAGCGGCGCGAAGAGCTTTCTCCGATTCGGAGGCATCGTTCTTCATAGTAACAAAAAGAATGAAAAGTCGCATCTCATCACTACCTTCCGGATAGTGAGAGATTGCAGCTATTTCAGTATCGTTGTCAAAGTCTGGCGAGATAGAGATGACCCAGCCAAGGGCCTCCCGATACATCTCGATAGGATAGATATAGCCAGAGGACCGGAAGCCGTTCTTTGGGTAAGAGTTCAACCGAAGATGAAACTTGGTGACAACGCCAGGAAAGCCTGTATATATGAAATTTAGCCGAAGACACACTTCACAAGTTTCTGGTCAGAGCATACCGGGTCCAGCTCCGCGGGCGGCCCAGTAAAGGTCCTGGTTTTGCTCGGAGTTACAGTGAAGCAATTCTCCCTTTGCTGTCACAACATCAACGGCTTGAACTCTCTCGCATGCCCAGCCCCAATTCTAAAAGAAAACAGTCAACGTTAGTACACAATCTCTATTTTTGTAATATAGTTCCTTGAACTTACACGACAATTCCATCCCATCCCACCCTGGAGCAAGAAGCCTCCTAGCCCAACATCTGGACAATGGCCACCAGGGAACATAAGCTGGTGATCCTTGACCAAAACCGAGTTCAATTCTCTACCAGTCATGCTCGGCGTAGCACGAGCAATCTTGTTGATCGCATCGACCTCCATGCTCTTATAGTTGCCCAGATCGATAAGAATTGAGTTATCGCGGACACTCCATGCTGCCCACGAATGTCCTCCAGATCGAACAGCAATGCGGCAGTTCTTCTCTACGGCCAGTTTAACAGCAGCAACGATATCTTCCTGACAAGTCGCCCTCACGACTGCCAATGGAAATCGCTCTGGACGGCGATGATTGAACACCCGGCCAACACGGGCATCCTCATAAGTGACGGTATCCGCCGATTCTCGCCAAATGATTTGCATATTGGGTGGATTGATTTATGTACCGAATGATTCTAGTCAGAAACTGAGCACGGAGAAAGTCATTGCATGGACTGGGCATGGGATATTTGTATCCGGAGTCGATCCGAGTCCCCACGATCTCGTCAAGCATACCTGGAAAGGATGAAGGGGGATTCTGGTAGAGCAATTTGGAAGACTTGTGGACACCGAACCCCATGGGGAACTGGTTGGTGAGGTGGTCCACATCCCGACTAGTCGCATGACCGTTTGTGAGCAGTTTTAATTGAGAAGGTTCAACTGCGGGGGAAGCGGATAAAGTTAACACTCAAATCACTAAGCGGATGCAATTACTAGCTCGACTCGGCGGGAGGTCATGATGTATGAGTAATGACCCAGTCATTAAGATCAGCCTCTCATGAAGCCTGCAAACTGTGCCTTTTGCCCCCAGCCTATTTGATATTCGAGCAGCCAATATGAAAGCAAATTATCAGATCACCCTCTTTTTGTTATTAGATTTCCGTGTACTTGAACTGAGATCTGTAGACTGCGAGGGCCTCGGAATCGACAGCAAACCGACTGCCTCGAGGTAAATTGCCCAGGCAGTCTATATCAACAAGGACGGAACAATCTTGATGTCCGAAGGCCACCTCATGGAAAAAGGCTATATTTCGACACCGAATCACTACTCAGGTGCTGCCCAGATGCTTCCATGCCAGTTCCTTCTCAGAGAGAGGACATTTCTCGGAAGATGAACGCCCGCTTAATAATCGCGGACATGGATCCGACCTAGATCTAGAGTTTCGAGGATCCACAGCTACCTGAGTATGCACTGTCGTTCAAACGTCCTCCACTATACGACAACGAAACAACGAAAACAACTGCCGGCTGCTGAATAATAGGTGTCATGAAAGCTAAAGTGGGAGTGCTATGTTGGTCTCCGTTTAAGTTTTTTGTTCACTGGTTTGTGGCCAATGTTGCAATCCGATGGGCGTGGTAATATGGGGTTTCTCAATTAGCCGGCCGACCATATACCTAAAGGAATTTGTGGAGATAGTCTCTTAGACCCAATATATCTGTGCTTTTTGCTATATCTGAATCAAAAAACGAACCTCATTGTCTCTGTGAGAGCACTCAAAGAGGTGGGGCCGTCTTTTGCAAGTACCAGCCATCGCGACTGTGGTTAATTTGGAGGAATACTATATTGCTATGAGTCATCTGTAGTTTCAGCTGGCCTCCAGATGAAACAGACTGATAGCTGGCATTTCCAGCATTGTTTGTAACCCGTTCACGAATGTTGAGCCGCTGAAAGAGTAGCAGAGAAGCCTGCATTGCCGCTACCGACAACTAGGATGTCGGAGGCTGATGGGAGCGACATTGTAAGAGGAAATGACAAGATACAGAAACAAATGGAAGTTTCTCGAGTTCTAACAGCCCCAGCAGTCTTATTTGAATGTAAATGGAAGCTGCATGGCAAACACAACCCCTCGGCAAATGTCATCTTAATCGACAAGTGTCCCGCGACATAGATTGGTGGGAATAGTTATTTCACTTCGGGGGCATTCCGCACCGTCCACGATAGACTGCCAGACCTGCTACCGTTAGTGAACAATGTCCCATCGGACAAGGTGTCACAAATAGACATGCCTGTCTACTCAGCATCAGATTTTACGCGCGATCTCCAACGAATGACTGGGGGCCGAACTGATCCAGCCTTATCTAAGATACTCGTGGAGGAGTCCCGTGACTCAATTGGCTGGTTGGCTGAGAATGGTATTCGCTTCCAGCTGTCCTTCAATCGCTAAGCCTATGTGATAGATGGCCGTATCAAATTCTGGGGTGGTATGGCTCTCAAGACAGAGGATGGAGGAAAAGGTCTCATTGAAGATCATTTGCTGGCTGCTGAAAAGCACGGTATCGAGATTTTCTTCGACACTGCCGCAACCAAGCTTGTCACCAACCCCAAGACAGGTGCTGTGACTGGCGTTGAATTGATTAGTCGCGCCTTCACAGGCGATGACTCTGGGTCTCAAGTAGGTCAAAAAATGACGATCCAAGCCAAAGCTGTGATTATGGCTGCTGGCGGGTTCGAAGCAAATCCTCAACTGCGAGCGCAATATCTTGGACCAAGGTGGGATGCTGCACGAGTCCGATGTACTCCTTACAATACCGGCGATTTGCTTCAAATTGCACAACGAGATGTCTTTGCCAAGGCCTTAGGCAACTGGTCCGGCTGCCACAGTGTTGCGTGGGATGCAGATGCGCCAGCCTATGCAGGGGATCGTGCCGTATCGAACGAACGATTTCACAAGGTTGGGGTATCCCCTGGGCATTATGGTCAACAAGGATGGAGCTCGGTTCGCCGACGAAGGGTCTTATATGCGCAATTATACCTATGCTATGATTGGGCGCCGGATTCTCGAGCAGCCAGAACAGATCGCGTTCCAGGTTTGGGATGCACGAACAACGCCATGGCTTCGCAGCGAGGAATATCGACCCGAGGTAGCCCGTCATCTTACGGGAGAATCGCTTGGAGAGCTGGCAGACCGGTGTGTTGAGGCAGGATTGGCAGACGATGAGCGATTCCTTGCAACACTTTCCGAGTATAATCGCTCTCTGCCTTCCGAGGAAATTGCAAAAGACAAATGGGATCCTGGAATCAAGGATGGTCTCACCACAAAGGGTCTTCCAGTACCGAAATCAAACTGGGCATTGCCCATCGACCGGGCTCCTTTCCTGGCCGTGCGAGTGACAACAGGAATTACGTTCACATTTGGTGGCCTCACTGTGAATCCTAATACGGCAGCTGTCGTTTCAGAAGCCACTGGTGCCGAGATCCCGGCTTGTATGCAGTTGGCGAGATGCTGGATGGTATTTTTCATGATAATTACCCGGGAGGTAGTGGGTTAACATCAGGTGCAGTATTTGGACGACGAGCTGGGCGAGCCGCATCGGAGAGACTTGGTGAAGACGGAGGGAGCGTTTGATAGACGTGTTTGTCAGATAGATGACGGCAGGGGCCATGCGCTAGAAGTCACATATTCGAATCAAACAGAACCTCCCACTCCATGGATCGACTCCTGGACGTTTTTGATATTAATCCGATTGGTGCACGACACGCAGTGTGCCCCGTCCTTGTCTGATCGCGTCTAGCCCCAAGTGTGAACGACCAAACCTTCATTTTATCTCTCACGATACTGGGTTTACAATTTGGTTCTCTGCTTAAATCTTCCCATTCACTTCTTGCCTTCGCCTCGATGTCGTAAGTGTCTTAATTTGACGTATTGGGTGTGAAAGTGGATGGTTGGAACATCTTGTTCATGCAAAACAAAGTCGTTTTCTCTAATGCCTACAGGTGATTTCTTCATACTAATATATTTAAACCCAGGATTCAACCAGATACCAGACGATCAACCGAGCCGTGATATAACTGGATAATTCTGAGAACGACAGGCTTTAGTACCGACCCACGCATGTTACGAACGTGGAATAAACTTACCTTGCCAAACCCATCTTCAGGCTCTCCACCTCCACCGAGAATATGACGCGAAACCAACCTGGAACCTCATTATGATAGGCATGCCCTGACGACATTACCACCCCAATCTCTTGCAGCCGGCGGGACAAATCCAGCTCTGCAGCCCACCCGCCTTGACTAGTCACGATCGCATGATCCAAAAACTTGGACAAATCAATCCAGAGGAAAAATCCCGCAACACTAGATAGATACTAGAGTTTAGTTTCATACAGTTTCTGTTTTGGAAACCTGCAACATGGGGGCGCAGGAAGACCGACCTTCCTTTTGAAAAAGGGATCCCCGCCTCCCCCAAGGCTCGCGCCGCTAAATCCCGATGTGAACGAAGTAATTTGTGGCTTCTCTGAAGAAAGCTCTTCACAAAGTCTTGGTCCTCGAGAACAGCGGTGGCAATGCTGCAGGATATATTCGAAGGCCAATGAAAACGACTAGATCATTTAGCCCGCCGCCAACACAATACAACACGGAGCAAAAGCTTTCTGCTTACCTCAACGATAAAGCCGCTTGTAAGAACCTCTTATTTTGGCTGATCAAACATCCTAGCCTTAACCCCGCTGCGGCGAAATCCTTCGACATCCCGTACAGCACATGGACTAGGGCTGGATCTACCCCGAGCGTGACAGGATCGATCGACAGAACAGAAACGAAGCCATGACTGGGATCACCATTGTCGTACACCGAGAGTGCGTACACTTCGTCGCTGATGAGATGGATCTGGTATTTCTGACAGAACTGCAGTAGCACCACCAAGGTCTCGCGAGAGTAGCATCGACCGAGCGGGTTGTGCGGGTTACAGATCAGGAGAGCTTTTATTGCTACCCCGGTCTCGTCCCGAGCTTTTAAAAAAGCCTCCTCATACCGAGCCACGGCGTCTACGCTAAATTGATCGTCCCCGTGGAAAGGAGAGTAGATCAGTTGGCAGCCTGACAGGACGCTGAGATCTCCGGTGAAGGACCCGTAGATTGGTTGCCCCAGCAAAATCCCGTCGCCGGGGTTGGTGAGACACTGAGCACAAACCGCATTTAGACTCGTCACGCCATTTGTGAAAACGATGTGCTCAGGTGAGATTGGCTTGGCGGGGTGAAAGTATGTCGCAATCAGATTAGCCATCGCGGCTCGGAGGCGGCTTGACCCAAAGGGGCCTTCATGGTAGGTGAGATTTGTGCTGTCGAGGCTTGGTTCTACCTGTTTTTTTACCCTTGCCTTAGCCGACTTACTCCCTGTGTAATGTGTAAAGATGGGTAGTCAAGGCTTCACCTGCGTGCGGATGTATTCAAGCAGAACATCTTGCATCAGAAACTACCACCTTATGACTTAGTACATGCACGTCCATAATTTAGGAACTTAGTAAGGAAGGTGTTGCGGCTGGCTTACATTCTCAGCATTGCTGAAAGACACGACACCCTGCTTGGTATCTTTATCAAAAGGGGCCTTACGGGGGCCAAGGTAGCCATCGGCCAATCCCGCCTTCGCGTATGCTTCTCCACGGGTCGAAAGCATGTTATATTGATGGATGAGATGATGAGTGGCGAAACTGGAATAAAGACTTGTCTTCAGGCCGAAAATGAGCTCGAAACCCCAGTGGTGACGGGTCAGGAGTAGAAGAAGAAGAAGAAGGCTGGGATAAATAGGACCACAGACTAGCGGGGCTTCGGACGCATCAGACACGTGATGGGAGGTTTGATTGGGGAGTACAGTACGGAGTAGTATGCCTTGAACTGTCATATTAAGGTTGATCATCTCTCAATTGAGATATGATGTCAGCAAGGCAGATCAAGTTCCCTTGTCCTTCCATTTAGCCCCCATAATGAGTGGCTGTGCGGGATGTGCGGGCTGTGCAGCAGGGACCGTGATAAACGACCCCTATCGCTTTTAAGCATCACAGCGTACACCATATTTTTATTGCTTTCAATTCGAGTTGGTTTCCTCGTATTTAATAACCTCGTGCGCCATTTCAGTGGGCCTTCAAATTCATTTCTCGCTCATCACCAACTATCTGGAAATCGAATTTACTACTACTCGACAACATGAACATCCAAAGTGAGAACCAAAATCTTTCCCTAGGGAATGGATCAATGAAAAGTCCAGCAAAAAGCATCGCCTCTACATTGGCCTCAACAAAAGTACAAAGCAGCCCAAATGAGCTCAACTTTACACGCATCGGGACCTGGCGCATCAACATGGAAATTTCCCCAAAAAGACACCATGAAAGCCCAGTATACTCCATCGACGTTTCCGGTCTATTCAGCGACAACACCGAAATCACATTATACACCAGTCCCAAGAAGGATGACCGTGTCCTTGGCCGTTGCCGCTTCAACAAATTCCGCCCATCGGAAATGCAAATCTCCTCGAATGGAGGTGCCTCATCGCGCATGACGTGGATTCAGCACCACGAGTGTTATCGGTGGTCTATCCCACGAAAGTCTCAAGCAGGCGAGAAGGCTGGAGAACAGGAGGAGAAATATTTCTCATGGAAAACTGTTGAAGAGCCTGCTTCTCCAAAAGGCAATCATGTTTATCAGAATCTTGAACTCTGCGATATGGACGATGTGATTTATGCTGCATATTCTGGGGGTGCGCCGGGTACTAAGAACGGTGGGAATTTACGGTTGAGGGATGATTTGGATGAGGAGTTCCTCGCGATGATCGTATTGACAGTCTGTGGGTTGATTGAAAAGGAGAGACAGGCGAGAGCTCGGAAGGGTAACTATACAATTGGCATGTTGGCCTATTAACTTTGATGGAACTTGGTTGAGCCGTTGATTAACTGGTGGTGGTTGATTTCGACTATTCTGCAAAGCGCGCGTTTTTATGCTTCATGATTTTGAGATACCTACTTCCTTAGCGAGAACCTTGCAATATGGACACAGTCTTTCGCAATTATACAGACCAGCCCTGGCAGATTGAATCTGGATAGGGCCATCCAAATTTCGTTCTAATCTATACCGAGATATCCCTCTATCAAGATTGAATCTCCGCCTTCATAGAAACATTCCCTCCAGGCCCCAGAATGTTCACCTTGGCCAAATTCCCATCCTCCTCCAACACAATATTATACTCATCCCCGGCATACAACGGACTAGTCGCCCGATAAGAAATACTCCGCGGCACCAGCTCCATCGCTTCGAGACCACTCTCCTTTCCCTCGCCCTTGATATCCCGCCACAAATCCAAGATAGAAATCAAATTCAATGGACCGTGGACAACAATATCTCGATGCCCCTCTACATCCCGCGCCCAAGGTAGAGAGTAGTGGATTTTGTGCGGGTTGAATGTAAGCGCGGAGAACCGGAATAGTGTGACAGGGGATTGCACGAAGGTCTTGCTGTGTGTGTTGCCTTCGGTAGAGATAATCGAGGCGGAGGCTTCTGTGAGATGGGATGTAGAAGGGGTTGCGGTATTTAAAGGCGTCAAGAGAGATGGAGTTGGTAGTGCTTTGCGAAATACCCAATTCCTAATATTCAATCCTGTCAGTATTATCATGTTGAAGGAATAATGCAACAGTGTTCACCTTCGATCAATAATCGCCACGCCATGTTCATTAAAAAATTGCTTCTCCACACCAACAACAATCATATCCTCGCCAGTCTTCTTAACGACCTTCGACTCAGCGCTAAGCACGCGCGTCGTCTCGCGCACTTCCTGTCCCACGCGCAGGAAATTCGGTTTCCCGTCCCCACCCCGAGGCCAGAGTACCTCGCCACCGGCCCACATACGTCTCGTGAACGGTGACTCGGGGTTATAAGATGTATCGGTGCCATCAGCGCCTAGCTCGCCTTCTAAGAAGGCCGGTGTGAAATATACCAGATGGTAGCCCGGGGGTACAGGGGTGTCGAGTGGGGGCGCATTATTAGAGAGCGATGGCGAGCCCGGATATAGGGAGGGGCGGTTTAGGGTGAGGGTTAGGAGTTGCAATTGGTTTGCGTCGAGTGTTTGGGTGCGCGTTTGAGGGCCTGGTGTTTGGAAGCGTGAGAGGAATGAAGATGCGATGGAGGAGGCGGCGGGCGGTTCTGCGGAGAAGAACCGGGCGGAGGTGGTAAAGGTGCGCGGGGCGTTAAATTGACGCGTTCGTGAGAGGAATTGTGGTCGCATTGTGAGTGAGAAGCTTGAAGATGTGGATTCAATTCTGGCTTGTTAAAATAGCACGCGATCATGGAAAACTGCAAAGTTGGAGAATGCGCATCTCCAATCTTCTTAAAGCGCGGGGAAAACTACAGCAAACCGAGTCGGCTTTATGGCCGAGGCAAGACCCACCTGCTTAGGTCGGCATTCTCGGACTCTTATGAGGTAGCCGAAATAGACGAACAGGCTGAGATATGGTAGGATGATTCCAGTATTTTCAGGATGAGCATGTCGTTTCAGAAAAGGGGAGATCAGCCCCTGCAATTCATTCTACTTTGTGTATCCGTAGTTCCACTCAAAGCTTCGAACCCTCTCGGTATATATATGTACAATCCAAAAGCACTCTCCAAATCACTCATCCATCTATTTCTTCTCCTGCAGCACCTCCTCGGTCGTCCGGACCAAAATATCAAACGCATTACGGACAAACTTCTCCTCAGCCATGGGATTAGCACTCACCACGCGAACAACATAGATCCCATCAATGACCGTGGAAGTAATGAAAATCTGCCCACGCGCATTAATCAACTCATACACCTTCTTCGTAATACCGTCTGCCACCTCATCCTTTTGCGCGACAGTGACACCGTTGGCACTGCCATTAGCCATCTGCGGGTTCTTGATGCGGAATACCGTCAAGGCAAAGGCTGGCTCGGTGACGATTTCGAAGAGATCTGATCGGCCACGGACAAGGTCGGCGAATGTGTTGCCTAGCCCAATGGTCTTACGGATATGTGCTTTCATGCCGTTGAGGCCGTAGCTGCGCATGACGAACCAGATCTTCAGAGCACGGAAGCGACGGCCCAGGGAGATGGACCAGTTTCGGTAGTCGATCACGGTGCCCATGTCGGAGTATGGGTTGCGCAGGTACGTGGGGGTGATGTCGAGGGCATTGGTCAGGTCAAGTCGGTTGCGGACGAAGAGAACACTAGATATAGTCAGTAATAAGCCAGATTGAGGGTGAATAGAATAGTGAAACCAACCTTGCATCAAAGTTGACTAGCAACCACTTGTGCATGTTCATGTTGAAACTATCCACACCTTCCGCAAAGTCCTTGGCAATGTACTGCCATTCATCCGCCACCAGAGCAGCCCCGGCATAAGCAGCATCGACATGCACCCAAATGCGCTGCCACGCAGGCTTCTCCTGCAGAACGGCCTTGATCTCAGCAAAGCGATCCACACTGCAAGTGTTGGTGGTACCAAAAGTCATAGTCAGATGGTACGGCGTCAATCCATCCTTATCACACTGCTCCAGCACCTCCCGAAGTCGAGATCCGGTCATCTCCATATTCTCCTCCAACCGCGTAGACACGCTACGGAACCGAGTACCCGCGATCAATGCGCCCTTCGCAGCACTGCTATGCGTCTGGTCACTGGCGATAGCCACCAACCTCGGCTGCAAGTCCATTTTCCGCTCTTCGTACTCGGGAGTTCCCTCCTTCAGACCCTCGGCGAGAACCATCTCACGCACGCGCCTCTCACGAGCAGCAACTAACAACGTCGCGATGGCATCACTGGCACTGTTCTGAATCACTCCACCACCGAGGTTCTTGGATGTGCTCAGGAAACACTCCGGTAGACCCAATGCCTTGGCAACCCAATCCATGACAATGGTCTCCATCTCCGTACAGGCAGGTGAACACAACCAATTGAATGCCGGGGCTGTGAAAGTCGCCGAGTACATCTCGCCCAAGATACTGGGATACGTCACGCTGGCCGGATAGTATGCCATGAAGTTTGGCGACTGCCAATGGGTAAGACCAGGCTTGATTTTGGTATCAACATCTTCCTGAATTGTGGCCCAGTCTTCTGGCTCGGTCGGAGGGTTCTCGGGGATCAGTGGGCGCAGGTAGCCAGGGTCAACGGCGGGGAGGACTCGGCGCTCGGGGACGGAATCGAAGTAATTGACGACTGCGGAATGGCCCGGTTAGCTTGAAACAGTGCCGAAGAGTCAACTGAGGGAATCACGTACTGTCGTCAATGGCCGAATGGGCCGCAGCCCGAAATTGATCGCGATCCATTCCTGCGAGTGAGCAGAATGTATGAAATAAATGCGGGCGGGGAAGCTGTAGGCGATCTAGCAGCGTGCGGGGCAGAAGCAGTATGCAGCAAGATATATTGAGCACGAGGAATTATCGGTCAATGGCGCTGAATTGTTGTTCAATGTGAGATTTGAAGCAGCGGCCGCACTCGGTGTATATATATGAGAGAAAGGAAAAAGTGTCCTACTCATTCCAAGTGGTCAAAATCTGGTCGATTTGCGCAGGGAGTAAATGCTCGGAAGCGGAACCACTTCCGATCAACCGATCTCGATCCTCAGTTGACCAGTTGACAGGGAGAATTGCGGAATGCCGTCTCCGTTCCGCTCGCTGGGTCATCAGCTTGCGCAATCGCATTACTCGAAGAAATAATCTCTAGCTCGATATATTGTGCTTACATGAACTTTACAGACATACGATCATCGAGTGTGCTAGCTTTTTCTTTAGCCTGCAGGGCCCTTCTAGAAGAGTCCTCGTCTCAAAATTCCCGGAATCCTTGGTAATTTTTCCGAGACGGCAAAAGATCGCCGGTGTGATATTGTATCTCGTTTTTGTAGATAGTCTCAGATCCCTATGAGTTGAGAGTCTTTTGTTCTTGCAAGGGCGTATGTATTTGGGTGTGTTGCTGGCCTTCAAACCGACTCATCATTGTTACTGAATAAGTTACGTTCAGGTTCTATTCAGGCCGGTATACAATGCTCATGAATACATGTTTTTTTCGATCATAGGATGTAAGAATCAACTATATTACATAGAGGTAGCTCAATCGATTAAACAGCGACCAGAGCCAGAGCAGCGGCCGCACCGCCAGCAACCCACAGAGCGTTTCCAGTCATCATGGGCATAGCCGCGTTAGAAGAGTGCGAAGCACTCGTACTCGCGGTAGAGGTACCGGTACTGCCAGTCTGCGAAGCGGTTCCAGTGCTGGTTGCCGTGGTGGTAGAGCCAATGCTAGCGGTGGTCTTCGTCATAGTAGCCGTAGGAGCAGAAGCCGAGGCACCAGTCGAAGCAGAGGCATCACCGGTCTGAGTCGCCGTGACATGAACAGCTTGGAATCCGCCGTAGGGGATCGTCGCGATACCAAATGAAGTACTGTCAGTTGAGGTCACCGTGCCGGAGGTGATTGCTCCCCAACAGAAGGCGGAGGTTGTTCCCTCCAACTTGCAACTTTGCGAGATAGTCCTGCGGGAATGTTTAGTGAGTGGTCTGGTAGAGAATAAAGCAAGTCGTGTATGGCAAGAGTGCGCTTACTCTTCCTCATAGCTCATGGTATAGAGTACGGTGGAGCCACCGGCCGTAACCCTGTATCCAACGTCTGGGAGACCGCAGTTATTCGGATCTGCGCCGGGCGGGCAATTCAGCAGGTAGGTGGTCATTGTGCTGCTCTAGATGCGAGTCAGTCATATCCTGGACATGCAGATCTTAATGACCGTACCGAACCAAGGATTTTGGCGTCAATTGACTGCGCATCAAATCCAGGCAGGAAAAGCGTGACGGTGCTATCAGCGGCCGCAATAGCGGCACCAGCCACCAAGGCAAGAGACTTGAAGTGCATTGTGAGAAATTAATGGTCAGAGTATTAGAATGATATCAAGGTCGCGGTGGGAACGAGCGTCGGAACGAGTGTGGAAACGACCGTGGAAATGAGCGTGGGGACGAGGAGAAAAGAGAAACGATCTTCAAGACGAGGGAACCCCAGATTTAATATTATTTATGAATCAGGGGGCATCATCAAACCAGAATAGATCCTGATTTTTCATGCAGGGCAGCTTACGCCAAGGCTTGATGGTGGCGCCGATTGGCTGCCGCCATAGGATAGTCACGGATAGTCAGGTCGTAGTGCAAACATTAAACAGGAACAGTCTGTCGATACATGCCTTACCTTTCAGGCATAGGGCCTTCAATGTCTCATGTGATAATTGTGATTGGGGCTACATACTGTGGATTCATTAAAGTTCGGGTATAAATAGTGGTGAATATGAGATGAGGGCTGCCTGATTGGTTGATCTAGTCCCTCTCTAAATCCCTCCAAGTAAAACTTCGCGTAAAATGACTGCACTTTTCTACAACTCCTAAAGATCGGCTGCCTTACTGAAAACGATCCATCTGAGGTCTACTTGTCTTTGATTTTGTCCTCGAACGTAATGCGGTTTGATTCATCCGCTTCCATAAAATGACTAGACGAATCTACCAATACGAGAGATCGAGTCACATCCAAATTTGACATGTCAACGAAGTGTCCCAAGGAACTGAATAATTCGACGATAAGTCGATGGACGGAGCCCTGGCGACCTGGTCTTTTCAGCAACAAGATGGTACGCCTGCAAAGCATTTGTCTTGAATGCATGCGTCCCGCCGCATAGAAATAGACGAAACATGCGATACGTTTCCTCCCCCCAGCCCGCAATGACTTCGTTCTTGGCTGAATCTAGTCTCTTGGCCCATTCCAACATGGTAAGCTCATAATCCTTGGTCTCACGAGCTACCTCAATAACCTCGAACCCATGATACAAAAACTCAGCCATGACGTCTTGCACAGTCATGAATGTATGCGTGCCTCGCCAGATATAATTTCTCGTCCATGAACTCACATCAAATTTGGTGGCAGCTGCCGATCCATCGAGATAGATTCGTCCTCCAGGTTTGAGTACATCCCAGACCCTGCGTGCGAATTCTCGGTAGTCTGGAAGATGCTCGATGACGCCGTAGATAACGACATGATCGAATTGCTCCTCAGGCTTGAAGTTTAGAAAGTCCTGCAAGAAGACCTCTCCGGGAAGGTCCTTTTCGCTTATCAAACGTTGGATGAAGCGGGCCGAATCCACCGTCAAAGTCAAGGTTGTGACATGCACCCTGCGAGCACCACAGTACTGCGTAACACCTCCCCAACCACCGCCAATATCGAGGAGTCTCTGTCCAGGCTTGAGATCCAAACTGTTGAACATGCTCTCAAGTTTATGCTCTGATGCCTCTTCAATACTCTCATCCGGATGCTTGAACAATCCTTGAGAGTAGAATCTATATCGCTTGTCGATAAAGGTAAGATAGAAATCGTCGCCACGACTATAGTGTTCTCCAATGGCCTTGGAGTTCATGGCTGTAGCAGTTCGAAAATAGTCGTATAGAAATTGAAACTTCTGTCGCAAAGGCATTTTATCCTTGAGTTTCTCCCGAAAATCAAATAGGGCACCGAGGTCTCCTTCGACTTGGATTTCACCAGAAACATACGCACGGCCGACACTAAGTTCCGTCATCGGCGTGCGTAAGGCGCTTTTGGATTGAAAGATCACTCGATATTTCGGCTCGCCATTTCCTACTTTGACGACATTTCCAGCGGGTAATTGGATCTCGCCCGGAATGTCAAGACTGGCTAGGAGGGCAGCGAGCCCAGTGCGTGGCAACCCGTGAGTAGGACCCATTGTTATGACCCAGGGTAAGTCATGAGAATTTAGACCACCAAGGCCGAATTTGGCCTATAATGTCCTTATGTAGTTGAAATGAGCTATTATTTAGGGGCCGTGATCCTTCCAGATTTATTGGTTCGTTTGGTAGGGGAGTTGTGTCGTCTTGCGTCATATAGGTAAGCACTAGGGCTGCATAGTCTGCATAGTACTTCCCCTCTCCTGCAGACCGGCCCAGTTTTCAGCATCTACCATAGGTGAAGGGCAGATAGTGAATTAGCGAAGCAAGACAGGACGGGTAGGAGGTTGTTCTAAAAATATGAGGGAAGTAGAAGGTCACTCCAGCACTCTTACGGAGACTGGTTTAGTTTTTAGATTTATGATCCAGTTTCACTTCCTTGGTTCAGTTCTCACGCCGGTTCCTGGCGGAGTGGGATTGTCAAATTCTTTGGAGAGGTTCGCAATAAACTCGATCCGTTCGCTGCGGCACTACAAGCATCACAAGTGGCGTCCGTGGTAGTAAGAGCTACTTCTGATCCTTGTCGGTCCTCAATTCTAGGCGCGTATCGTCGAGGATAATACCCTGAGATATAGAAAGTAAACATCAAGGAGTGAATATCAAGGAGGCGCTCATAGTATTATCTCCACACTATAAGCTTGCCCGTGTAGATAAAGCGAAGCAATCCAGCAACGCTTAAATTAACCTTCATCAAGTTAACGGTCCCAGATTACATCCTTCGATAAAGTCTTGATCATCCCCAGGCAAACCTGACTTCTATTCTTCCATCTCTTCTAGAGGATAGTTTCTTAGTGACTCTGACTTATATCACCCGTTCAGCAAATTTCAGTGTATTGAAAAATGGATATGAATCAATACAGTCGTTCTTCCGAGCGTCAAGAACTCTTCGTCACGCCTTCTCGCCGACAAAACGCAGAACCAATATCGGGTCATTCTGAAGTTGACGAAGCGGAAGATATTAGGCGAAACACCCTGATCTTCTTGAACCATGGTCTTAGCACTATTCTCGTTCTGACCCAGTTCTAGGACACAGCTGCTAATGTTTGCATCTGGACTTGAGTTATAGGCGAAGAGCCGATCAGGCGATCTCACTCCTCCAAGCAAGAACGCTGCGTGGGGTGGTCCACTTTGATGCGTCCTTGTACTTACAGCAATTTGGAATTGTTCCCGATACGGTTGGAAGCAGGGTTGTTTCGTATAAGGATAGGTAGAGGTCGTTCATACTTGTTAGAACTGTATTACCCACACCCGGAAATGTGATAGTTCCGGCACTAGTGGTCACTTTGTTCGAATCCGTCTTGTGAACAGGATACTCCCGGGGTTCTAAATATGAGAATGTTTTAGTCTGCGAATGGAGGTCCTTCCCAAGACCTTATTTAATTAAACACTTGTAATTCTTACTAAGTAAACTCTAGTTACCTAACGGGAGTTTCGGGGCGATGCTCCTTGATCTCGCAAAACCCGACGCTTATCAAGTTGTCGAGCATGATAGCATTTGTTGGCGTATTCTGCCGGGCGGTCGAATGGGACCTTAACCCTCCTTCCCACGCACTTTCTCTTCTACACACATTCATGTATTCACCGTCATTACCAGTTATCCAATGACAATGTATTATTCTATCGTTTCTATCCTTGAACTATACGGCCCTATTTCAGTGGTCGTCACAAGTGTTCCGACAGCTGTCAACTGTAGCTCGAGCGGCTCGATACGCACCGGGAACGCTTTCGCATAGAGATTGGATGGGAGTTTGAGAATCCGAGACACAATTTGGGGCGGTAAAGTGGGGAAGGTGGAAATGAAGTTGCAAATTTCGAGGGTCTATGGTTGTATGTGGTTAGCACATAGCTAGTCTCGGCCGCTACTGTAGTAAGAACCCTGCCGCCAATCAATCAGCCTAACCCTTCGGCCACAGCAACCAGTTTCGCAAACATCCTGCACAGATCGATCGCGTTCCGATGGTATACATAACGACTTGTATCAAGTGGCTTTTGTGTATTGACTCTATTGAAAGGTGAAGTAAATCAAGCAATGCCAAATTATGATCTGAGTACATCGTAAATCATGTGGAAGCAGCTTCAGCCTTAAAAAGAAAACTCCGCTGTAATTTCTCATCGTCCCAAGGCCTCAGCACACGTGACCGATCTGGCCCCTTTCCTAAATTCCCATTATTCATTACGGGCCCTGGCATAAGAAGAAGAGTGGATGAAAATCCAGACACATAATCATCCCTAATACTTATCTCCTTTTATCTCCTTATCATTCTAAAATCGTATATCACAGTCTAGGGATGAGGAATGCTAGCCCACATCAACATAGTACATTTAATGCACGGCGTATGTATATATCGTACAGTAACCTCCGTGGTCTTGGCTCTGCGTGAAATGCCGTGAATAATCCAATCCACATTGGGTGGAGGAGATAACCGCCAAACCTGTTTCCACAGGAACCCACAACCTACTATTTGTCCGGTCAGAGCACCAGAGAACGCCTCAAAATAACCGTGCCCACTGCCGGGCATGAGGTAAGCCCTTACGCATCAAGTTAGCTATCTACAAAAGAGCAAGTCTTACGTATATATATGATAGTTAGACTTCTCGCCTGCTGTTCAGACACAAAGCAACGAGAAATTCAATTCGAATCCGAATGTCATGTCAGAGGTACACCTTCCTCCCGGATGGTGGACCGTTTACTAAGGCCTAATTCGATTAACTATCCCGAATCACCATGGACCCCACAGCAAGGTCAGTCACAGGGAAATTTCGTCCAGAACAAGCCAGATACTCACTCCAGCACAGCTAGATTGATGCTCTCACTACGGAAATTCGATCTGGCCCCATTCCAGCTCAAAGGTCATTAGTTGGCCAAGCCGATCGTGCACTTGACCGGACATTGCTGCCGTTGAATTACGGCTCAAGAATGGAGTGGGGCTCAGCCTTGTTCCATCAAACCAGCGCTACAGTACAATATTAGCGAGCTTTCGCCACTAATCAACGTGGAGTGGGGAAATGACTTCAAGAAGTTCCCTTCTGTCGAACGCACGGCTCTTCTATCGGCGAGGATCCCCCAATCTCATCCCTAGAAGCTCCTTGCCACACCATGGCAGAGTTTTTGTTCATCGACTATCATGATGACAACCCGCAGAACCGCTCAGTTACGAAAAAGAAATACAGGTTCGCGCAAAAGACTAGCCACCGCAAACAGCGCCTTGCGGCGGTAGGAAGGCTAAAGTCTTCATCACTTGTCCTTCGCCAACGCCTTCCATTGCCATATGTCTCTGAATCGGGCAGGGCCGAGCTAGGCAGGGCTGAGAAAGGCCCTCACGATGGGTCAGAATTAGGTGCAGCGACAACTGGCCTAGAGACCCAACATGCTTACCAGATTATCCCGGTGGCAAGCTTCGGGTCCCCCAAAACACTGCTAGGTCATGGGTTTGTAGACCCATTCTCTACAACCCCAATTCCAATGACTGAATTCATGAACTCCTACTTCCATCAATGTACGTGGATAGCTATTTTTAAATGATAAGTACCCGAGAAATATCGTCTGATATAGTATAGTGCGACATTTCACGATTCCCGGCGCTTACCCCCTTGATAAGTCACGCATGAGTGCATGGTGGTGGCAGCAGGGACTTTCTCAACCAGTAATTCAATTAGCACTACTTGTCTCAGCCGCAGGCCACCAAACTGCAATGCATGCTCTTAACGACACTCCATCGAAATATGCACAGCAATCAATCAAGGAATACCTTCGCCTTCAAGGAAGTACGATAAGGGTTTTGAATGGTCTTCTTCGGGACCCAGCCGCGGCCAAGTCGGCCGTCCTCATTGTTGGTTCGCTCAGGGCAATCGAGGTACTATCTTGCTTTTGGGGGCGCTTTGGCTTTTCTCCCTTCATCTACACAATTCTGACAGTTTCCAGGCGATCGAAGGCAATATCGAAGCTGTTGCGGCACATACAAAAGGTCTGGATGTTTTGATCCAGCTCAACGGTGGCCTTGAAGTGCTGGATCACATGGTCCTATCTAAAATCTACCAGTACGTAGCGACTCTTGTTGTTATTAGTTTGAAATGGGTGTCATCCTAACAAATTTTCCCTACGATCCAGTGGCGATATTATGAGAGCAGCTCTGACAAATACGAGACCTGCCTTACCCTTGATAGCAAGCTGGCGCAACGAGATCTTACAAGAGATGAAGGTGTTTTATTCAAATAGCAACTTCATGGCGCACTTGGATGAGAGATTCAAAGAGAATGCCTCTCGTTTATCACTACTCGGGACTTCATTCTTCGCAGCACCTTGGTATCAGGGTCTAGAGGATAGTATGAAGAAGCTCCTTCATATGTTCCAACGCTCGATTCAATACTACGAGGTTGCATGCCTCCGGCCCTCAATCATTGTGCGAACAGATAATGATCTGTTTGTACTTCTTGAGCACCAGCTTATCTCTATTCGCTACGCCCCCAACCCTTCCGCTTCGTCTATGGTCTCGAGTCTTTTGAACGAACCTCTCCGCATCACTCTCTTCATTTACCTAAACATGTGTGTGTGGACTTTCCAGGTCTTCCCAGTCATGCAGTATATGGTGAATCCTTTACGACAAAATCTACTCTCCGCCGTACCAATTCCAACCCTGACACACATCAAACACAAGGCTCCCGATGTACTTTTTTGGATGCTGTTCATCGGCAGTATGGCATCACGGGGCCATGATGGGCATTGGTGGTTCGTTGCACAACTGGTTGAATTGACGTTGCATTTGGGAATCCATGATTGGGGCGCAGCGCGGGAAATTCTGGGCGGGTTCTTTTACACGGATCAATCCGGCCAACTAGGAGGTGAGGAGCTCTGGGAACAGGTGATTAGGCTTGAGCAGTTGAGGCTACGTAGTACGAGTAATGCCGAATATGGTCTGCGCTCTAGTCAGAACGATGTACATTAGTCAAGCTCAAGCTTTTTCATCCAGTTTGCTCGTCATCAACCAGGTTCACAGAGCTAATTCTTACGAACTCCAAACCCCGGTTTCAACGGTAACTATATCATTGGCCAGGAGGCTGTTTGTTTTCGAGTTTCGAGTGCTAAGTGATGGCTCTTTAAAGTCGAAAAAAGAAGTTTACGGCGTCATAGGAGGCGATGAAAACACTACTGACAGATCTATGAATTGTAGCAGTTTGTTAAAAATAAAAGTGAAGGGAAGATGTCGGCAGTACCGCTGCCGTCACCCACTATTCAACCCTCCCTATCTTCCGAAATTTTACCTTGAAAACATACGAGTTGTGCATGAGGCTTTAAGCGTTCATAATTATGTTTATGATAATGCAGCTTTGATCTGCCGCACACTAGTTAGCTCCATCCTCCTCTGTTGACTCACAAATTCTGATCTACCTCACCGGCCTGGCATCTACCACAACACAAAAATCACCCTTGTGAATACAGAGTTAGGGCCTAGAATGAACGATTCCGAGTTCTTCCACCATCCCTCGTGGCACGAACCCTGGAATCACCCCGATTTCACTATTCCTCATGATGAACGCCTAGCGCGTTGGAAATCACAGGGCTGGTTCAAAGACCGTCGGCGCGCCTCTGTGGAATTCATGGGAAGACTTAAATGGCCGTGGGGGTTCATAATATATCGCACTGTTTATACACCGGAGTCCGATCGATTATGGTCAGCTTGTCTCGATAAGATTGAGGGATCTGTGCGCCGCGACATCGACGAATCTGGGGAGAAATACGCGGATCAGTACCCCGAAAGAATCCTCAAAGAGACGTTCAAAAATGTGATTCTCGAAGACCGGGAGTGTTGGGACTTCGCTTCGGTGGAACAGATTCGAGCGGACTTTATCGCGTATTTACAATCAATGGGTTCATCCATCGGAGATGACGTACCTCGATCTACTGTATGTCTCGTCATCAACGATGCATGCTTGCAATCCATCAGAAACACCTTTGACGAACCTGAGAACAATCGAGGCAGTTGGGCTCCAACTGGGTTTGTCGGGGCGATTGATCCAGATTACACCGAGGGCCAGAGCTATGATAATATGGAGTATCGAGGATTCATGAGAGTCCAGATCACCTCTCTCTATGAGCTAGTGGCTGGCCAGTTGGGTTACTTCTCTATGCATGAGGTCTGTCCTATTATGTATCATGACATGTATCCGAGGGTGGTCGATCCCAGAAAGGTTCCACTCTACAAAGGCCTTTGATGCAATGAAAGGGATCAGGTCCGTTCGAATTTCCACCTGTCTAAGCATCATCGGTAACTTGTTCGCTTCCAATGGGTATATGCCACGTTCCTAATGTGTGGTCAATATTCAAATGCCGGATTTCAAGTACCCAGTGTCGCTAGTATCACAAGGAAATTCCTGTTTCCTTCCCCTCCATTCCCTCCCGCTTACTTATTCCCCATGCCCACGTCTCTGATTAAATGCCACTACATTGCCCCTTTCCATATTCTCTGTCACCGAGCGGTAATCCATATACATCGGACTCATGTTCATACAAGCATAAATAGGTCTTCAGACCTGATCTCCACTTATAGAAGTGACAGCAACCGGAATCGAGTAAATCTGAGGGACAGAAATAACTGATAACAGATTTTTGGCATAGCCAGCTGCCGTCGCTGCGGCATAGCCCTGCCATTCCTTGCTTTTATGTGAATCTGCATAGTCACAGATGCCTCGCACCACTAAGCAGGGAAAGTTGTTCATGAGCCCTGCCGCTTCCATCTCAAAGCACAGGATATCCAGATCTTTGGCTAGTCGATCCCGTGTCAGACCATGCCGCATGACCTGGTTTCCAGAGGCGACTAGACCGTAATGTATCTTCGGACTATTGGATGTCCGAGGAGGTCGCACGATCTCTCTTTTTCGATCACATTTCTCGCAGGTGGCTGTAGATTCAACATGATCATAGTTGGCCTCAAAAAGCCGATCCCGATCTGGGCCCAGACAAGAAAAATCAGACTTCATTGTTGGATTTTCTGTTAACATCTCTTCAACATAGTCTGGAACCTTGTTGCCCGAGATCAGATGCTCTGTCCGTAACCTAGCGACTGCCACAAGGAGTGACTGCGGTGGTCTATTCAAAGCCCCTGTCATCTGGATCTTGTGTCCGATGTTTTTACCCATGTCATGTTGTATGACGCCTCCGAAATGCCCTGTAGGGCTACTGACAACCACATCTCCTAATCGAATATCGTTTTTTGTTGAAGGAACACCACCTCCTACTCCAACCATCACGCCCATGCGGATTTGATTGAAAGTGTAAAGCATGTGCGTGGCTACTACTGCGGCTGAAGTAGTGCCATATGCATCATTTGGTAGACATGCTAACACGATGTTATGGGAGCCAATCTGTCCCAACACGTAATGATTGGTATCGCTGGGGTGCACCGAAAGATTTGGATGAATCTCCTCTAGCATCGCCTTCGCCGCTGCCATCTCTATGGGCAGAGCACATATCCAGGCAACAGTATAGTCGCTGTGAGTATATTTAGAGTGTGATCTTGGCTGCTGGCTGTCATCAGAATGACTAATGCTGCTTCTATTTGTCTGTTCGAGGCAGAAAGTTGGATGAGGGGATGAAGGATCCTGATCCCGCAGGAGCATCTTGGCGGCACTTCGATATTTTTGAATGTTCAGTCTCGTCATCTCATAGTCGAGTTTAGATGCAATATCATCCAACTGAAACTCGTCTGTGCCGCAGGGAGTCACAATGCTAGATAAATTGGGTATGTTGCCTGGCTCCGTTGGCCGACGGAAGCGGAATTTCTTGTTCTTCTCCCCCTGAAGTCGGCCATCGATGCGGACCTCAATTGAAAAGGGCTTCATGTCGTGCTGGAGCACGAGTGCCAGGCGCAGGCCCCCACAGGCAACTGCATCCTCCACTAACCACTCAACACGTCGAGGAAGACCACTTGTATCCTCAGCCAACGGCCAGGAGAATCCACGTAGCGTCCATTCAGACCCATAGTCGGATGATGAAGTAATCGGTTCTCTTCGACTGCTCATGGGACCCATAAGATATCCCTGTCCGAGAGAAAGTGTTGCATCTCCACAAACCGCGCTTCCCTGGCTGTTGATAACTGTCCCATCGATACGTTGCGGTCCAAAATAATCCGTAATGATAGGACCTAGTCGACTGCCGGCTGTGGAAGTTCGACTTTCCTGGTGATGCGACCGAAATATCACCTCAACATTTGCACTGGAGAGGGAACAGTCTTTCGGTTGGCTAATTTTGACGTCTAGATAGAGGAGCCAAGCAGGCGAGGCCGGATCCTGCCCAATTCGTCCCCATCGAGAATCTGGCAAAAAAGAACAGTCAATCTTGACTGTTCGTACCTCTCTGTAAGCCAGGCTTTGTCGGTGCTGTTCTAGCAGCGATCGGGTTTCTTGCTGGTACTTATCAACGCGACGTTTCAGCACATAGCGACTCCACATGATGCCGCTCTGTTTCAGACCATCCCCACTACCGTCCTCACGGCGATGTGTCCAGATCAACCATGGAGAGGGGCAAGTAAGAGAAAAACGAGGTGTGCTTTGGCGCTTTGGGCGCTAGAGCGCCACCCCTGCGTGATCACATAATCGTGAATCTCCTAGAGGTAGACATTTCAGCCGAGAAGTGATTGCATCCCCGCACTAACCAGACAGCAGGTCTATTGTCACAGGAACGATCACCCCGAAGGCCAGGATGACGGCGAATGCGTCGGAACTTCCGGGTCAAGAGGCAGCTCCATTCTCCTTGACGATGGAGGTAGAGGAGGATGTCGAGCTGGAAATCGAGACTTTCGTGCGGTTCAAGCGACGGGGAGAATACGAGCGAGCTGAGGAAATCTTCCAGCAAACGCTTTCAGCACATCTTTCCCTATTTCCAGTCATTGCCGAGTACGCCGACTTGCTCTTAGTGCAAGAGAAATATCGAATGCTTTCAGAGTTTTTGGACATTCAGATCCAATATATGGAGCCTGTGCTTGAAGAAGAGGAAGTTGAGCTGCTGCGTATCATGAGATCTCTGGCCCATCTCTATACTGAAGGCTCATTGCGGTCGGCTTTGAAACAAGCCAAAGCAAGCTGGGATTATATGTACAGTCGGAGTACTAAAATTCCTTTTGGTACACTTCCTGGCGATGTCGAGGTGAGAAGCTACTCCATAGGCTTTTAGCTTTTGTTCTCGTACTGAACGACAGCAGATTCACATCTTCGAGCTCTACATCAGAATCATGGTCTTTGCCTTAAAAAATTCCAACTGGGTAACGCTGGACAAGATGAAATGCCCGTGGGCCCTCGAAGAATCACCCCATTGCGGCTTTGTGCGGTGGTATTCGATCTTATCATCCAATGGTCATATTTGGAGTGCGTCTCAAGTACTCGTTCTTCTTTTGGAGGCTCTGCCATTGTTCAGCTCTTTGGATGGCTCGGTTCTCTTTGACAAGCATTGCTTTGGGGAGATACCAAGCGAAGAAGCTCTCTGCGAATTCCGTGAGTTAGATTGGGTGATCGCATGTTCCGTGTCTTTCAGCCGGGCACAGGCTCTCCTCGATCTGACGTTGATACTATATCCCAACAATGACAAGTGGAGAGGGATCTTCGAGGTGGCACTTGGCTACCATCAAGCTGCCAAATTCTTGACTACAATCACATCTCGTCACGACATGCGCAGTCTTCCCTGCTTCAAGTGCTACGTTCAGGGAATCCAGTTTGAGCGCGTGCAAGAAACACTCATCAACCAAGGCCCTGGTATAAAATCTCCAAGTCCTGCCTATGATTATTCTAGAAATTCTTTGGGCCATACAGATCCTCGGTGTTTTATTATATGCTATTTCCAATCTCTGTTCGATTCTCCTGGCTATTCTTCAGATTATCAAGGCAGCTCGATCAATCTTGCATCGCTCCTCGACCTTCAGTTACGTGACCACGGCAACTTGATCGGATTTATTCAATCATTCGACCTGTGTGCCACTCTAATACGGACCTTCATAGTAGGCCACTGCGCTCAGGTCATGAAAACTGACTTGTCTTCGACAGCAGATTCTTTTCTGCCGGTTTCCCATCCAATGAAATGGATGACCCAGATCTGGGATTTGATCCAAGTTTTAGAGGGTCGGTTTCGGGATAGCCTACAGAACATTATCTCTGGCAAGAAGTCTGCGTTTGGACAGTTCGCAGACCTAAGACTGCTCGTACCTGGAAGTTTTGATATTCCAGCATATATCCGAGCCGTGCACACAATCCAGAAGACTTTAGCCGTGCAACCCTGCGAGTCACGTCAGGAACTCCTGCTCAGCAATTCATATTTCGAGGAGAAGATAAAGGTTCTACTAGAGCCTGTGTCGATGATCAGCCTCAGTGAACTTGTTGAGCTTGCTGACTTGGTCCTGGTTAAGACGCGGAAATCAATTGGAGCAGATGAATCTGCCACAGAAATTAAACAGATAGCCACCGACCAGGCAGGGAAGCTAAGCCATGACCCTTCATTCACTCGTAAAAGCCCAACCCCCAATATTGATGCGGCCATGGAGGCTGGGGCCAAGCACGGAGGTGCATTGGCAGAGAGCTCTATCAAAGCATCCTCGCAACTTCCAGGGGAAGCCTTTTCAAACTTGCAAAATTCGATCCAATCACCACTCACGGGCAACTATTCCGCGAGAGATCAGACTCAAAAAACAGCCAAAGAGTCCGCCAACGATGAAGTCTCCATTTCCTACATCGAGTTCTGCAAGGGATTGCGTGCAGATCTCAAGAAATGTTTTGAGCAGTGCGATAGAACTACCCCTAAGTTCGCTCCACGTGGAACTGCTGAGACGCTTTTGCGTGGTCTCAAGCTGCTCCAATTTTTCAACTGTCTCTCTTTACCCGAGGTTGCCATTCAGGCTCTGGATCCTCCTTACGAAGAAACCCTCGCAAGAAGGTTGAGTGAGAAACGTCTTCATGACTTTTTGGCTATTTTGATATATTCTGAGTGCGAAATCGAAGCTGTCCAACATTTTGTCATTAACCTTCTCGTAAGAGAGTCATGGGCAGCAGAGAGATGTTCTCTCCCGACGAGCGGAGAGACTCTCATGGAGTTGTTTGAGGATACGATTGCCACGGACAAATTTCTCACCCAACAAGCAATATTTTGCCCTGCTGTCCTTGTGGTAGGGATGGAAGTTTTAATTCCAAATGTCGAGGGACGAAGACTTCCCTATGTAAAGGAGCAAATTATAGGGAAAGGTTCTTTCGGAACAGTCTTCAAGACTGCTATCGCGGAAGGTCATATCCATGATCCGTACTTCAACGATTTCACCAGATGGACCACTCAAGTTGCAAGGAAAGACTTCAATATCAGGACTGATTTGGAATCCCGGCGTTCAACAGCAGCTCACGAAATTATGACGACAATTCTTTCACTTCGCAAGGAAAACGATAATGTTCTTACCAGCTTGGGAGCTTTTTGCATTGGCTCGTTGACTTACAGCCTCTTTATGCCGCTAGCTACCTACAACCTCGGGCAATACATGATGGTTTCTCAACCGATGAGACCAGATTCGAGAAATCAGAGAGTAGCCTTCATTAAAAATGCCCAGGGCTTGGCAAATGGACTTGACTTTTTACACACTAGATTGAAGACAAAGGAAGGGGATGACCTTGTCTGCTACCATGTGGACTTGAAACCTGAAAATATCCTCCTCATTTTCTCCGAGAAAACCCCCGGGGATGACATTTGTACCTGGAAAATCAGCGATTTTGCGATGTCATATGTGAAGTATCGACGTCAGGGCGAAGAGCAAGGCACTGTGATAGACTTAAGAAGCCGATTCACTCGCAATCTGGAGCAAAATTCGCAGGACTCTCCAGCTTCAAGAGCCGAAGGCCGGCTAGGCGAAGCCACATGCCTTGCACCGGAGTGCATGGAAACCTTTCCGATTATCAGTACCAGTAGCGATGTCTGGTCCTTGGGCTGTGTGATCAGTATTGTGTTCACCTATCTGGACGATGGCGCGCAGGGTGTAACCAAGTATGCTGCAAAGCGAGCAGCTCACTCAAAAGCCAATGGGTGCGATCGATTTTTCATTCGAGGCAGAAACAACCCTCGACCTCATCCGGCGATCAAGACTTGGCACAGCCAGCTCATCAAAAGAGCAAAGAATCGAAGTAGGGGTGAAGGAAAAGAAGTGGAATTGATTCTACGTTTCCTAGAGAATGATGTGTTCCAAGAGCAGTCAAAACGGTGTGATGCTCGAAGTCTTGAGCAAAAGTTGTCCAAAGCATTGGGTACGTATGAAGAGTTGGAGCTGTCCATAGATCAAGGAAGGCATTCGAGATGAGACAGATTGTTGGAAAGCCCCATGATTCGGAGGATTGTTCCTGGCAGGGGAGGAAGAGCGCTTGTTTCAAGGTTGTCCGTGGGCCTCATAGATCTACGGAAGTCTGACACATCGCTTGAGAGGGTTGCTATTCCTGTATCGCCTTCGGAAGGGAGTTACAAAAGTAGTCTCAATTTGGGGGAGGAGTGAAAACCCCAGTGAGTATTATTGGTCGGTTAGGATGACCCAAGATGTTTCTGGAGTGAAACTTCAATCATTTGCTTGGCCTATTAGGATGCCTGTAAGAATCTACACACGGCGCTTGAGGAAGCTGGGAAATCGTTAGAACATCCAAGTACTGAATATAATTCTAATCTATCATATTTCTATCTAAGAATTATCGGCGCAAGACCAGCAAGCCGAACCCCCAGACTTCTTATAACTGTTGATGATACTCACAACAGACCCATACGTGCCTGCGACCATCAAGAAGAATCCAGCCACAATGACAAAGATAGACCAGCAGACCATCAGGTTCCACCTCATAGTGCGATGGTTTTTGCCCTTCGACCAGTTATCGTAGAGCCACATGCCACCCATGGGCTGGAAGCACATTGGGGTACCGAGCAAGGCACCAACCAGCGAGACGAGATCGCCAAAGACAGGGATAGCGCTGGCGATGATATAGGCGATCAGGGTGACGCCGAAGGTGCATCCGAGCCAGATGACCCAGTGCTTGACGGTGTTGGCGGTCAAATGGCGGGAGCCGTGGAGCATGCGGACGAAGATGTATTTTCCAGTGATCTAGAAAATTGTTAGAATAAATACTCGGGTTGGTGGAATTTTCTCCTTGGGGGAGTATAGAGCAAAGACATACGTGGACAAATAGCAGTGTGCTAACAATCAGACCAGGCAACGCAAAGCCGTAGCTCACCTTCTTCACGACCGGACCAGCCGAGCCGAGAGCAGGAGAGGAGACATAGGAGCCGCAGTAATAGTAGATGACAATGCCGATGGCGAGATAGAAGCAAGTCACAACCGACTGGCAGAGCATCAGGGCCCGGTTGTAGTGGGTGGGATCACGCATCTCAGAGGCGATAGAGAAGAAAGCAGGCGTTCCGGCATAGGCGAAGATGATTGTGGAGATGGCGGAAATAGCATCAGTGAACGACGAGGTACCGACGATCTTATAATCCGAGACCCAGACGGCATCTTTGGGGGCAGCAGAAGGGCGATCCTGAATACCGACTCCAACGGTAACGATCAAGACTATAAGAAGGGTCAGTGACCGGGATTTACCAAAATTTCCTCACAGAAAACTCACTGGAAGTCAGAATACAGAAGAGACCGATCCAGGCTAGCCACGAGATGCGCCCGAGAGTCTGAATGCTCGCAAATGCGAAGGCGACAACAGCAGCGATGGCCACGTAGACTGCGGTACACGTCGCATGGGAAGAAACGGCGTTGAGACCGATAGAGATTCCCAGCATTCCAGAGCCAGCCACGAAGACCCACCCTAGGACGGATTTGTTAGGAAAAAGGCAGCGACTCAAGAGGGCACTTCAATGGTTAACTCACAAAGAATGAAAGCACCTCCCAGCAGAATACGCCCAAATCGACCCATCAGCAGTTCGCCAACATCGTCAATGCCATAGACCTCGCGATGCCGCAACTTAAAAGTGCCAATGATATAGTCAGACCACGTCGTAATACCCGCAATGACAATCAAGCATATCACACCCGGTACGACGCCGAGGGCATCGAAGGCGACAGGGATTGACAAGACACCAAGACCTATTTGTGTCTTCATCATCAAGACGGCTGTTCCCTTCCATCCTACCTATAGTCCCAAACATAGATTGTTAGTGATCAATTCCAGACGGAGCACGATGAATAAAAGGTATGAGACGTACAGCGCGATAGTTAGGACCATCCTCGGTGATCTCTCCAAAGACGGCATCATGGGCGGCCCCTTCCTCGATTTCACCAAGCTGCGAGGGCACAGGAGCCAGGAAGTCTTCTTTAGTTTTCTCCGACATGGTGTGACATGAAAGAAGGATAAAATTCAAGGAGAAAAAAAAAGGAAATAGAATGAATTGAATACAGAAACAATCTGTCCATGCAATTGGAAAAAACCGCACTAAAACCAGGGCGTCCAGGTAACTTTTAAACCCTTCCACCCCTCGCGGCTAAGCCCGGTTGCCAGGGCCCATAACCGGTCACTCTCTTGGGGCCAAGCCTCAGGCGTCTTAAAGTTCTCTCAGGGGGCCCGGGGTGAACTCAGAAAGTCAGAAACAAGAGAAATCAAAAGGACCCGGAACGGCTTACCGCGATCGGCGTGACGCCTCCCCCGTCAGCCACCGAGCAGAGATACGCCAGATAAACAGGGGGATGAACTCTTTATCTGTATCAGTTTAATGCTTATCATAAAGAGCCTCGCTATCTGATAGTGCTTTCTATCTTGCATATTTTCTCCATCTTTCCAGTTTCTTGTGCTGTTCTTTTGAACGTAATCTCCCTCAATCCACTCCCCTCCCCTTGGCGTGAAGCCAGCAATTACTACGTGGGTCTCTCGTCGGGTTTCATCCCCAGATTCACACAGCCGATCCCACTTAGTACTTGCCCCCCGCAATCCAACCACTTTCAATTTGGTAAATCCACTTTTTTGAGTGCGGGGGAAGTCCCTAGGCCGGTAGGACCCCCTAAATCCCTCATGGTGTGACCGGGCACAGAGAGACCATTACGAAGTGTGATTACTACTGTAGCTGCTTGGGTTGGGTGGTTGGGTGACACCACTGACGACATCCTACGAAGAGCGGAACCCCCTAACATCAAAACGGAAGGTGATGATATCCACTCTCGACCTTTGAATGGCCCACTTACGATAAGGACTCCAGACTCGGGCGCAGCCTAGTCTGATTGACCACTGTCTTATCGGACACCCCGTGGTAGAGTTGTTAAGTTGACAGGTTGGCAGGAAACCATCGCAGAAGCCTGCCGGTTCCGTTTACGGTATGAATTGATGCTCTTCGCCACACAGAGATCTAACAACCCGCACCGGGCGCCTGAAGGACGAGTTGTCCGGGTTGCGGGCTGCACAACCGGCTACAAACACCTGAACTCGGTACTAATGGCTCCTTGCGAGTGTACGGGGTCTCAGTTGATCTGTGCTCGTCCAATCCTCGGCCGGATTCCGTATGTGAGTTCGGAATTGTTATTGTTTCATATGTGCGCCCGTAGAAAAGAAAATTCCCTATCAACGCGTGGCCTGATCTAAGATAATTCCCCCGAACGGTAGAAAGTGACCGAATATACCCGTACAACTACAACTTCATAGGGAATAGGGAGATCTACGATGAAGTAAAATCCCAGCGATCCCCGGCCACAACCGCAGCCGCAACGGAAGCGCTATGCTTGTCTCAGTCACGCCACGGAGCCTCATATCCTCAAACAAACACCCCCTTGCCCCCCGGGCTGAACAGTGGCGTTGTTTAAACACAAAGTCTCGCACCAATCCCTATTGTAACCACATCTTCCACTACATGGAGTAAGGAGCCCACCATAGGAAACATGTTAAGGCAAACAAAGTTACTGGGTCCAGAGTTCCAATGCTTAACTTATCGGGCTCGGCCCCGGATCGCTCACCGGGGGCGATTATTACTGCATGTACGGCGCAGCCCTCCTCCAGACTGGAAGATCTAGGCACTCATCGAATAAAACTCGGCTTCTAAGAAGACTACGTAAGATAAGCCGACCGGCTCCCGTCATCCGCGGGAGGCGAAAAGACAACGGGCCGGCGAGTATCAATAAGAGAGTTTCAGACCGAGAACAACGTGGGGATCGGTGGCAAATTGAGCTAATCAAAAGGCTCGTCGGTGACCGGGGTGAAAAGTGTAAATCGGAAAGTTCAGATGGCGGGATGACGACCAGGGAAACGGTTTGCCCCAGCCTCTAGCCTTCAGGGGCTGTGCGAAGAGTGAGACAAGCATATTGCCTCACTTCTCAACACGAACAGTCACTGTATATCGCCCAGAGACTCTTTGGGGTTTATGAAAAAGACAACAAGCCGCTACGGTATGACTGTTGGGATTAAATTGTACTTTGTATGAGAAGCGCTGAAGAAGGGTGGCCTCGAGAATACAGTCATGAACCGTTTATTGCCTTGTACCTTTGACGAACAATTCAATGCATAGAATCTCATTTACAGCAAATCTTGAGCATCCAGGTACACAATACGTCGGCACTCACGCCTACATTATGAAAGTCCACTCCAGAGTAACCTCAGTCCAAAACCTCAACTTGCCGCCACCTTTTGAGCAACAGAAAAGTCCGCAGTACGCAACTTAGCAGCCCCATACGGAATCAGCCTGACCCTCGTCGCATTACCAGTAACAATAGGATTCTGCGGTGGAACAGCCGCAGTTCCACTCGACTGTGCCCAATCAATCAACCATGCATCAACCCATAAAGCCACAGGTACTGCATCGCGTGTCCAGACAGGATTTTGGAGATCCTTATCCGGGTTATGCAGCTGCTCAACTGTCACAGATGTGGGATCAATGGCGTATTGCCAATCTGAAGTTGGATCTAAAACCCATTCGTGGGTTCCTGGCGTGATCTGATCAGTTGGAAGGGGTGCACGATCTGTCCAATTCAGCGGGCTATGGTATGAGGCGTTGGCGTATTTAACATCTAGAGCGTAGAGTAAAGGGCCGTAGTGGATTGCTACTGATCCGTTGCGCGGTTCCGTAATTTGAACTGGAAACTCGAGATTGATCTCGAGTTGAGTTTGTCCCTTTTCGATGGAGACGGTTTGAAGTCCTGCGAAATCTGGTGCAAGAGGCTTTGGCTTTGACCCATTGACAGTGTAGTTATTGTGTCCCGTGCTGTTAGTCCATGACGGGATTCGAACTGAAAAGTTCAAGTCCGTTGCTGAAGTGATCGCATAGACTAATTTCCCAGAGAACGGGTAGTTGGTTTTGCACGAGATGAGAACATTCTTACCATTGACGGTGGTGTGTAAAGTCGTAGGTCCGAGTAGGGCATGGACGATGTGATCTTCCTTTTCACGCACGTACGAGGATGCCACATATTTTGGATATCCCTGGCCGTGATTCACCGTGCAGCAGGGGAAGTTTGGCTCTAAACCAAAGGTGTTTCCATATGATACTACGTTGGCGTACGGTCTTGCCGTCAAATTACGAGACCAAGGCTGGTTTGTCTGTTGAACGTATTGATGTGCCCACCCTATCGAAAGTTAATACATTCGTCATGACGGAGCAAGGTAAACATGACTTACAGTCTGGAGTCAGTGCTGCTGGGAAGGCATTGAAGGCAGCTAGTTCGGCCTTGTCTGCATATTGGTTGATACCATAGAACCGGAAGAGATAGGCCATCGAGAACATCATTTCCGCTGCCATACAGGTTTCCGATCTGGCATATATGTGATTAGTATTAGTATGCTCTCCGATGGTCAGGCCAGCTTACCCACGTTGTGGACTCAAACCACCAAGATGTTCATCTGCAGTGATGCTACCTGCTCTTGTCGATTGATAGAAATACGTCATGTTAACTGCGTTTCCCGTCTGCGCTAGCAATGAGGCATTATGGTTCATTCGATACAGGACAGTCGGATAGCGAAGCCCTTCACACATCAGCTATGATCAAGCAAATTTTGCAATGAATATTGATGAATCATACCTTCAGCCAGATTGACACCATGAGTGAACCCGCTAGTCTTGATATACGGCGTTCCCAATTTAGGAAAAACGCCTTCAACAAAGAATGTCGTCCAGTCACGGGCTCCCAGTCTTCCACCAGCAAACATGAGATCCATGGTCTCCCATATCACATCAGAGTTGTTTCGAGGATGGTTCTCGTAGAGCCACTGTAGGGCCAAAGGGAGCTCGTGTGTTCTGGAGAGTCCGAATCCGTATGGATCAAAGTCATCGTTCTGGGACTTTTGCTGGATAAGGCCGGTGAAATTATTCTTCAACATGGTATTTGCTAGCCGTGTAAAGTTGTGCATTGCAGTTACAATGCGATCTGTCTGGGCTGTATCTGCCTCGGCATATTGCTATCTATGGTGTGAGAATTGAGTTCACACCGGAGCCCCCCCCCCCCCCCCCCCTGTAGCAAGTACGGAGACAGATTACTTACCATCAGAGCGAAGAATAGCAGACTTCGAGCCCAAATTCCTCGCGTCTGACGTGTGGTCTCCGGTCCCAGCCATCCATCGGCCGCCTGATGATCAATCACATAATCCAAAAATTGCCGGGCCTGGTCTTTCAAACGCACTTCATCGAGGGTAAACGCCAGAGGAACAATGTAATTGAACCAGTAAGGCGCAGACTCGTGCAGCTCGCTATATTCATATGTTCCTCCGACCCAGGTTGAGTTCGCAACATAGCGATAGAAGTCAAAGAGGTGGCCAGCGAGCCCATTAGCCTCTAGGACAAGTTGGTCGTGAAGCCAACCAGTAGCTTTGATGGAGCCCAAGGGAAATGTGGAATGTGTGAATGGTGCCAATGCTTGATGGAAAGATGATTAGCGATGCGAGGAAGTTTCAAATAGAAATGCAGGACTCACTGTTAACTGCCTCAGTTGGCTGGATAACCGTTGTTGCCAACACAGAGGCCCATTTTATTACCCTCCAGGCCTTCATTGTATCACAATCTGCTCTTGGTCCGCTTCTTTGGCCAGGAGAACACAGCACGCACTGATATACATGATGTAGTCTTGGCTATTTAAGCATTCCTTGAATCTCATTTTCTTCCCCATACCCCGCATTCAATCCATGCTAAACGAAATTGGTGTTTGTCGACCGAGTCATGTAGCTGGGGCTTCACACGGGAATAGAATCTGTGGAGGAAGTATACGTATGGCGGCAGCGCCACATAGTTCTGCCTCGGGAATTTGCCCGGGTATATGCTGACGATGTGGAATTACCGGAGGAATCTCCGTAGTTATACCAAGTTTCTATGTGCACTAATTCTCGTTGTCTCTGTGGCTGTGGCTTCTTCCTTCTCGGTGCAAGTCTCGTCGGGGGTGAGCCCGGTAATTACCCCGGCCTCCGGGAGAGTACCTCAACTCACCCAGATGTAGCACAGTCAACATCGTTGTATTCCCTTTGCCTTCTCTGACCAAAAGCTCCAGGCCGTAGCATTTTCCTTTGACTTCGGCTCGTGTAGCGTTTGATTGGGTGCGATGCAGATTTTCGAAAACTCACTTTGACTTGCAGTTATGAGCGCGGCCTGGTTGGCGAGCTCGCATCGATCGATTGATAGAAAGACTTTGCTGTGAACAACCTATTCCGATCACCCACAGCGCGCTTTTCATCCTTCGAATGGCAGAAGAGTTCACATCCAGCCCACTCTCGGACCAGGTAAGCAACATCGAGAGTGGCCATCGCGACAGTCACCCCCGAAAGGTAAGATTTCATTTGAACATTCATTAACACCGGTTCTGCTAGAGCTCTCCAGCATCACCATGGACCGCCTGGGCCACAAGATATTCGCGCAAGATAATCGTCTGGAATTCACCAACCAGCTCGCCATGCATGGCCGTTTTAGTCGACGAGCAAGTGAAACAATTATTCCGCCGGGTCTTAGGAAGCTCAAAATTATCTGCGGCGAGATCAATCATGGCGCATTTTCCAACACTCGCCGAGCCGAGCTGGACATCCGATCTTCACGAGGTTCTGCCAGTGCAATTTCTCCTCGTCGCGCTGAAGGAACTCACCGTCGTCGCGCCGCACCACTTGGATGTTCGACAAGCGGTGAAAGAAGCTGGTGAGCTGGTGCGAATCGAGGCATTCAAGTATATCAAGGCCATGCTTCGCCACGATTTGGATTCAGATCCCGCATCTGGGATTATGGCCATGGACTGTTTTCTGGCATTGGGGCTTCATGTTCCAACGTTCTATGTCGTTGCCAAGGGATTCCTGCTTGACTTTCAAAGTGATCTGCAAGGAGCGATATTACTTCTCAAGGGGCTTGATGGTGGGGTATTCCATGTGCCTTTCACATTTCCCATGTTCAGAGACGTGCTGGATTACTTTCGTCACAATAGGTTCCAAGGACTCGGTTCCTAAACCTCAGAATCCGAACTCGATGCTCCTTATCGTCCACCAGAAAAGTGGTTTCAAAATTGGAAATAGAATGTTAGATTGATTAAGACGGCTCTTTGGAGTGGCTGCCCGCTAGGATACATATCATCCCGCGCGTTGCAGCCCCCAGTGTCACATTCGACCAGGGTCAGACGGATGTGGCTGGTGCACGGGCAATAGGAGCTTGACGCCTGAGGAGAGGCCTCTACAGGGTAAACACGGCGTGCTGTAAGAAGGGAACTCGTAATGCAAATGTTCAGGAGAGTTATCGAGCAGCGTTCGTAAAGACTCAATGCTCAGGGCCTGGGGTGAATAGATTTGAAACAACGCTGCTAGTTCCCACTTCCAAAGCACCCCAAGACCAACAAAGCAAGTCGCATTCTGGCGGGTCTCGACGTGCTGTGATCTCACTGTTGTCTCAAACTCCATTCAGGCCCACCCGCGGCTTCGAGGGCAGCCCTTGTCTCAGGCTTCTCGGCCGCTAATGCGGGTGCGGGATGCGCTGAGTTGATACCAGTTGCTGCAATGGAAGCTATCATATCCCTGGTCCTCATGATTTCAAGCCTCAACACTACACAGGGTTTCGGATAGAGAAAGGCAAAGTATTCCAAAATGCCAACGCCCGCGTTTTATATATGGTACAGGGTTATCAGCAACAAATGTGCTTCCTATATGTTACAATGCATCCAAGCAGTCCCAATGGAAAGGCAGATCTAGTGAACTCTCTCGGTCTCCTCCATCAAATCCTCCACCTTAAAGTTCTCCACATCACCCCGTGTAAACATCCGCACCAACTCGCCCTTGCGACCACTCGCCTGGCCACCAAAGTCGTAGAAGCGCTGCACAGAACTAACCAACCAGGTCGCCTCGGCGGTAGAAACGCCCCGATCCGGCATGACCTGGCCATGCATCAGGACCAGACCCTTGTCATCAGCCAAATCCAAGTGATGCGTGACAGTGGTATGCGGTTGCGCGAAAGAACCATGCATCTTGAACGCGCCGAGGTTAGTGAAGATCACAGTCGAGGTGTGGTTGTTGACTGTGTCCTTCGAGGCGGGAACGAAATCGTCCGCGGGTGGGTGGAATGCCCACTGCAAGAAATGGATTTCCGCGGCAGTCTCGGCTGGTGTTCCGTCTGGTGTCTGCATGTCCTGCTCGGCTGCTTGGCGAGGAAGAGGGAGAATGAATTGGGGGTTGTAGCGGGCGGCGTCGGCGATGCGCAGGTAGGTCTCGAGCGGGATTGCGGCACAGATGGAGGTTGAGCTGTTCGCGAATCGGAGACGCCAGAGGGCCTCGATTTCCTTCGCGGGTAGGTCGCGGATCTTCTCGACGTCGAGGTAGGTGCTGAGCGGTTTGATGGGGCTTCCGCTGCCGGAGATCTCCCGGGCGGCTTTCTCGGTGGCTGATGCAGCCTTTGGAGGTGGAGGGGGGTGGAAGGCTGGAGGGGTGCTTTGGAGGGAGGGCGATTTGGGTGTTGCTGTAGGCGCATTTGGTTCTGGGGTGGCCGCGGTGGCTGCTTTACGGCGAAGCTCCTTGATCTTGTCGCTGTAGGCCTCTTTCAAGGCGTCGATAGAGTCGAGACCCTCTCTAGAATGACAGGGTCAGCGCAGTTCAAAATTTTCCTGAGGGACTATCACGTATTGGATCACTTACTGTCTGGCCTTCTCGTCCAACTTACTCCTGTACTTGTCCAAGACATGCTTTGGGTCGTGGTGGGAAGCCAGGAAGCGGACATCGTGGACTTGGGCCCAGCGACGTTGCTGAGGGCGCAAGAGGTGAGACTTGCCACGAAGGACGGATTGGAAGCCTTGGAGTCGCCTTGAAGCCATGATGTGTGCAGATCCACTGTTGTTCTTCAACTGATTCTCGAACACGCAAGACCCGATTCAGACGATAAGAAATTCGGCCTCGGAATAAGTAATCTCCGATTCCCAATCGGGACATCCTGCCCATGACGTATTTACTTCTACTTTGACAGCATAATTTGAATAAATGACAACTGTTTCTTTGTTCTAGCACATACAACTACAATCCAGATTAGAATATACACGAATTGCTGAAGCATTCTGGCAGGGATTCAGGACTGGAATTGCCGGTCGCGTCGTGGCTGCGTTGGCCAGTTCCAACTCATGGGTCTGTTGCAGAATCGCTTCCAGAAGAATGCCTTTATCATAGCATTGAAGCTAAGATTGAGTTAGTCGGAGCTTGCTCATGCACTGAATATCAAATTATGGCCTACGAGGAAACTATGCCGAGATCATTCGTGTTGTTGCATGCAGAGTCCGACGTTTTTCCCGACAAATACGCGTCAATATATACCGAGCGACTTGCATATATTTCGCTGGCTCCAATCATCAACCACACTAGAATTCAGCCCAAGCTCGATTAAATCATACACGAACCATCTTCACGTATCAATCAATCTATATACGAACTACAGCATGACCCCAAGATCTTTTACCCCACACGGTGGTTCCAATTACCCGTCCAGATCGGCTGAACGGACCGAATTCCCGATTGCCCGCGACTCCGCGAGTGCCGCGGCCGGCTAAACTTCGGGCGCTTCAGCGGGCGCTTCTCCGTGCCTGTTTGAGCTGCCGGGGGTTCTGGTGGGCTTGTCCCTCCACAACTCGCCACTAAGACTGCTTGATTTCCTCGTGGGAAGGAGGACTGTGAGCTCGGGATCCCCTCTTTGTTTGGTACACGTTGCTATTCATCGTTCGACGCGAAGCGGGGAGAGTGGTTGATTCCACAATCTGGAGACGCCGCGGTGGTATAAGTATTCCTGCAAGTCCCCTCGGCTGGACATTTATTTGGGAAAGACTTATTGCATGTTCAAGGCTGGGCTGATTTGAACCATCTTGCGTTCTGAATTTCGGGTTCTAGTGTTTGGTTTCTACGGAAAGTATTGAACCAACTCGATCCGGTTGGAACAAAGCATTATTGTGCTTGACAGCTTTACACTTCAGAGTGTCTGTATAGAACAGTCAAATTTGCGACAATATGGCACCAATCGACGTTGAAAAGACCATTGAGGAGCTGACCCTGGGCGAGAAGGTGGCCCTCACAGCTGGTAAGTACCTGTCTCTGCCGCAATGACCATCATGTCTGGTGCTGTACACCCCACTATTCAAAACAAGGCTGATCCTTTCTTCCAGGACGTGATTTCTGGCACACGACACCTATTCCCCGCCTCAACATTCCCTCACTGCGCATGTCCGATGGCCCCAATGGCGTGCGTGGCACTCGCTTCTTCAATGGCATTCCCGCCGCCTGTTTCCCATGCGCGACCGCCCTCGGTGCCACTTGGGACACTGAATTGCTCGCCGAGGTTGGCTCATTGATGGGTGACGAGGCGATAGCAAAGGGCACACACATTATCTTGGGTCCCACGATCAACATTCAGCGTTCGCCTCTTGGTGGACGTGGTTTCGAGTCCTTCTCCGAGGATGGTGTGCTATCCGGTACCCTGGCGGGTCATATGTGCAAGGGTATGCAAGATAAGGGCGTTGCTGCTACGCTAAAGCACTTTGTCTGCAATGACCAGGAGCATGAGCGTATGGCTGTCAACAGTATTGTGACGGAGCGTGCGCTGCGTGAGATTTATCTGCTTCCCTTCCAGCTGGCTATGCGCATTTGTCGGTCGGCCTGTATTATGACTGCATATAATAAGGTTAACGGCACGCATGTCAGTGAGAATAAGCCTATTATTGATGGTATCCTTCGCAAGGAGTGGGGTTGGGAAGGCCTGATTATGAGTGATTGGTGAGTTGAACACGTCGAATCTGGGACTAATGTCAGGCCCTACTCAAGAGGTTCGTTCTAACTGTTTATGCAGGTTCGGCACTTACACCACATCCGACGCGATCAACGCCGGCCTTGATATTGAGATGCCTGGAAAGACCCGCTGGCGAGGCGAGGCCCTTGCCCACGCCGTTTCGTCAAACAAGATCCCCCAGTTCAAGCTCGACGAACGTGTGCGCAATGTTCTGAACTTGGTTAACAGGGTTGACGCTGCGGGCATCCCCGAAGGAGCGGAGGAGAAGTCTCTCAACCGCCCTGAAGATCAAGCTTTGATGCGCCGAGCAGCCGCCGAGTCGGTTGTTCTCTTGAAGAACGAGGGCAATGCTCTCCCTCTGAAGAAGGACGGATCTGTCCTTGTTATTGGCCCCAATGCTAAGATTGCCTCATACTGCGGTGGTGGCTCCGCTTCGCTGGCTCCGTATTACACCGTGAGCCCATTCGATGGAGTCGCCGCCAAGAGCCAGGGTGAGGTCAAGTATATCCAAGGTGTTTACTCTCACAAGGAACTGCCCCTCTTGGGTCCTCTGTTGAAGACCGAGGATGGCAAAACTGGTTTCACCTTCAAGGTGTACAACGAGCCCCAGAGCGCCGGTCAAGATCGCGAGCTTGTCGATGAACTCCACCTCGTCAGCTCTTTGGGCTTCCTGATGGACTATGTCAACCCCAAGATCAAGTCCATGACCTTCTACGTTGACATGGAGGGCTACTTCACCCCCGAGGAGGATGGCCTCTATGACTTTGGCGTGACCGTCGTCGGAACTGGTCGTCTTCTCATCGATGGCGAGGTGGTTGTCGACAACACCAAGAACCAGAAGCAGGGATCTGCCTTCTTCGGCACTGCTACCATTGAAGAGCAAGGTACTAAGGAGCTCAAGGCTGGCCAGACGTACAAGGTTGTCTTCGAGTTTGGCAGCGCTCCCACATCTGACCTGGACACCCGTGGCATCGTCGCCTTTGGACCAGGTGGTTTCCGCTTCGGTGCTACCCGCCGCGTCAGCCAGGACGAACTCATCTCGAATGCTGTCGAACAAGCCAAGTCGGCCGAGCAGGTCATCATCTTCGCCGGTCTGACTAGCGAGTGGGAGACCGAGGGCTATGACCGTGACACCATGGATCTGCCGCCCGGCAGCGACGACCTGATCAGCCGCGTGCTCGAAGTCAACCCGAACGCCGTCGTGGTCATCCAGTCCGGCACACCCGTCACCATGCCCTGGGTCAACGAAGCTCGCGCCCTCGTGCAGGCCTGGTTCGGCGGTAACGAGTGCGGAAACGGCATCGCCGATGTTCTCTACGGAGACGTCAACCCATCCGCCAAGCTGCCCATCACCTTCCCCCGCCGCCTGCAAGACAACCCCTCTTACGTCAACTTCCGCTCCGAGCGCGGCCGTGTTCTCTACGGCGAGGACATCTACGTCGGCTACCGCTTCTTCGAGAAGAGCGACGTGACGCCCGCATTCCCCTTCGGCCACGGTCTGTCATACACAACCTTTACTCGATCAGATCTCCAAATCAGCACTGTACCAGAGGAAGCCAAATATACCGAGGCCGGAGAGCCCATCACCGCCACCGTCACCGTCACCAACACTGGCTCGATTGCCGGTGCCGAGATTGTGCAGTTGTGGGTTGTCCCCCCCAAGACTGATGTCAACCGTCCTCTGCGTGAGTTGAAGGCGTTCAAGAAGGTCTTCCTGCAGCCCGGTGAGTCTAAGACTGTTGAGCTTGTTGTGGAGAAGAAGATTGCAACTAGCTGGTGGGATGAGCAGCGGGAGCAGTGGATTTCCGAGAAGGGTCGCTACAAGGTTTCGGTTACTGGTACTGGTGCGGAGGAGCTGCAGGGTGAATTTGAGGTTGGCAACACCAGATTCTGGCTGGGTCTATAGGTGATGATGTTAATGATCTTGAAACGAGTATCTGCAATTAAATTGCATAGCATAGAATGAATACCCTTGTTTTACAATTTACTGCGTAGGGTTGTCGTATGATAATGATGTGCTGTGTAGACTCCTTCACCATGCATCTTTTCGGGTTGTGTTGTGATGACTTCGTACTTTGCTTTCTATGGCCCCTCTATGGATTTACTCTAATGTCACATTTGTCTAGGCCCATTCATATACCGCACCCTGCCCACTCCCTTTGACGAGCCTAGGAAGAAGAATTTGGCTATCTGCAGCCTGGCTCAAATACACCCCTAACAGAGGACTTATACCAGCTGCCTCGGCAGCATTAACCCACTCTGCCAACGGAACTGTCTCAAATTTCTGCCCAGCATCTGCCTCCATCATCGTTTGTACCTCATTTTGCTCAACCTGAATTTCACCGGACTCATAGACAAACCTCGTTCCCTTGTTTTCCACAGACGTGGCACCGGATTCATGCACAACTTCTATGATTTGTGCCGCCGCCGACTCAACCGGTATGAAATCAAAGACAGCACTCCACGCTTCTGAATCTGGGATCTTCCTAGTACTTTGGCAGTAACGGAGAACATTGCTCATGAGTTCCAGCTTAGGCGCATTAGAGCCTGTCACGCTCGAAGGACGATGTATCCAAACTGGTATGCCTAGTGATTGACTGACACGCTCTAGGTATACCTCGCACACCCACTTGGCTGTTGTATAATCATCCTGGGGAATAGTAGGAGGGGGGAATGAAGCCACAGAACTTTCTCCAAAGGAATCTGTGCATACAAACCGAGTAACACTTGCAGACGATATAAAGTGGAATGGAACACGCCTTGGCAAAGCAAGTTTGACAAGTTCCACCGTTAAGGCCATATTGGTCAATTGAGTGACCGGAAGCTCTTCATGAAGGAGACACCTGCTCTATTGTGAATCACAATATCTGCCGTTTAGAAGATAGAGAATGAATCACTATCTGACAAGCCTAGCTGAGGTGAGCCTAGATTTCCGTTATACACGTACACCTTGGGATGAGCGAAAATAACGGGAAGTTGCGCCAGGGGCTTTCTGACAGCCAGACAATGGATCGTATAAACCCGATCATCGTTCAGAAGCTGTCGTAGAACCTCTTTGCCGATGAAGCCGGTCACCCCTGTAAGGACCACAACTCCAGCTCTAGTGCACCGGTTCGACGTTTCAATATTTAGAAAAGACAGTAGCTCGGAAAGGAGACCTTCAAGCTCTCTATCCCAATTCACTGACAAGGAAGCTTGCTCTGAAGTGATGTTTTGAAGGCGGGATGATATGCCTTGTAGAGTGCTCGCTTCAAAAAGCTGGCACAAGGGCATAGAGACACCAAATTGATCTTTGACATAAGCTTAAAGGTCGACCAAAGAGAGCGAGCTGCCACCAACGTGGAAAAAGTCAGATTGCGAGTTGAGAGAGTCCAGTCTTATTATGTCTTGCGGGATAATATCTTGCCATAGAGTACGCAGGGCTTGCTCCATCGGGGTCAGATCCCTATTGTTTGGTCATCTGAGGAGCAGACTTTGAAATTGAGATTTTGCTGACGGCTAGTCGGGCACCTTTCTGGACGTATTTTGTAGGAAGGCAGGAATAGGGACAAATATCGCAGGTCGTATGTACTGAGGCAGTGGCAAGGTGGCTAGCAAATCTGACAAGAGTCGATATGCAGCTTCATCGACCTCCGCATTAGAGAGAACCGCAAATACAACGAGGAACGATCCACCGTTACTATCCTCAGACCCGGGACGAAGGGACACGATGGCTTGTGAGACGAGTCTTTCAGAGTGTTGGACAATGGTGGACTCGATCTCCTCGACGTTGATACGAATCCCTCCAAGCTTGATTTGATTATCGCCCTTGATGCGTCCTAATAGGACCAAACGTCCATCTTGAGTGAGCCGCCCCCGATCTCTAGTTCGATGTATTTTGGTCCATCCCTGACTCTTGAAGAAGGTACTCGCATATGGATTAGGCAAGAAGCTATCCTTCGTCAATGTAGGATCAAGGTATTCTATTGGTGTCGCGAGTGCCGTGGTCACCCCCTCAGAAGTAAAAGCTCTGTTATAGCGACAGGATCGCCACGTACGGGGTTCGGCGCAATTAATAGAGTTGAAGCATTGCAACGGGAAATCAAAATATGATATATTAATATATCCTACGTATAAGAAGACTGATACAGCACTGTTTCCTTGCCCTGCGGAAATGTCCACGCTTGACTTAATGCTTGTATCTGGTGCAGGTGCGACGAGTGACTCAGTGACATGCCTTTGGGAACCGCGGTCGAGCCACTGGTGTATATAACGATTGCAATCTGAGTGCGCGTTGCTAGATTCGGAGGCAGATTTCCGGATTGTGTAGCAAGATTATTAACATTGAGCGCTTTTGCTGAGGTGCGAAGAAGGACGAAGTCTGCTGTAGTTGTGGAGTCTATTAAAATAACGGGAGGCTTCGATTCGGCATTTATTAAAGATAATCTCTCTATACCGACTTTCTTGTCTAATGGAAGATATACAGCGCTAACCCGCTAAATAGCGAGTATAGAGCAAATCCAACTGATACTAGCCGACTGAAAGACGCTAACGCGAGTGCCAGGAGTAGTAACTCCTTAACCGAGAAGCTCGTTGAAAATTCGAGCGACCCGCTCTTACAATTATAAGTAAGCTAAAGTTCATTAGGTTCTCCCATAGCCACGTAGTCAGGATAGAGCTTTAGTTAGTTAACGTTAGTAAAAACCTGTAGTGTCCCTATCAATTCCCATGGCTCACGGCTAATGTTCCAAATACTTTTGCTGTGTCACTGCACTCAATCCAATCTCGTTCAGGAAATCTTCTTGCCATCCCTTGACACTGCCATCCACATGTATAGTGGATTGGCGTGGATAGCTAAAATTACCGTAACTTACTTTGATTAAAATACGATTGTTGTCTTGTAACTGTATTTGCGATCCAGGGAAACTAGGATTTGCCTAATTTTGCCATAGAAAGGCAAACAAGTCAAACAGCCAGAGCTGGATTGTGCCACGAAAACCTGGCGAGCTGTCACTCCCTTCCTGCACACCCATATCCAGTGAGCGTCTTCAGGGGGCCGACGCGGCACCAGACCTGCAGACTCATGAACCCGTTTATTATAATACTCAGCCTGTTAGCCACAGTTCTCTATATCTGACGCTCTGTAATACACTTGGTGGAAGCTAACACAGAACTAGGTTAATTGACTCCTCAGTGTCGGGACTTTGAAACTTGAGTACACACACTACATAATGTCGACGGAGACTCAAAAACTTTGCGTGACTCTCAACCTGTTTTGAACCTCCGATGGTGCAGGTTGAAAAAGAAAATAATATGTTGTCTAAGAATCCACCGTGCGACTCATGTCGCCAACGTCGGGTACGCTGCGACGGACTTTTACCTTGCGACTCCTGCCAGCGGAGCCGGCTTGCTTGCAGACGCGAATACGTCCGGAAACAGCGCGGTCCGAAATATGGGAGTGGAAAGAGGATAGAAGCACTAAGGGCTGCTCAATTACGCTTCAATCAAGATGAGAATAGCGCTGGCCAACCAGAGGAAGATTTTCTATCTCCAGGAAATTTGCCACAGTTAATGAGACGCTGTGTCGACGTCTTCTTACATCAGATGTACCCGATCATGCCTCTTATCAGACCATCTACTCTAGTCGAATGGCTAAATCGACCGACGGAACCACATGAGCAAACTATGTTATTTGCTCTATGCGCACTGGTTACCGCGTTTATGTGTGGTCGCAGCGAATCCATTATCGGGTGCGGAGAATGGGCAATGGTCGCGCGGAGGTTCATAGAAAAGAGCCACTCCGTGCGGTCGGAATATAACTTCATAGAGGATAGCACTCCTTTAACGCTTCTCGCATCATTCTTTGTCGCAGTTACGCACTTTGAATTGCATGATGCTCGGCAAAGTTGGTTTTACCTCCGCGAAGCTATAACCCTGGCGCAGGTGCTGGGCTTGCATACGAACGACTTCTACCGGGACATGGATTATGTCAGCGCCCTGTACTGCCGTCGAATCTACAACATTCTGTTCGTCACGGAGAGATCTTTAGCGGTAGCAAGACATAAACCGGTCCTTCTACCTCGCCCGTTACTTCTTCCTGCTCCCGGGCCGAACGATCAGGTAGAGGGTCTGGAAGAACAGCCGGAAATTGACCTCGGATTTCGCCTGCTTGTTCACGTTTATTCGCAGATCGATGTCAACTTTTTGGACTTCTGGAGCGAAACGGGGGCAATCGGCTCTACCCATTCGACATGGGACCCTTTTTGCTCAGAATTGCTCCCGGACTGCGGCGCGATACCTGACACACAGAAAGCTGATATTCTTGTGACACAGCACTGGCTTGACCTGATGCTATGGAGAGCGGCCCTTCAGCAGGGGTTACTTACTAATAAGGCTGGATCACGGTCTAGGACGTTTTCATATCCAGAGGAAATTGCGCTATCCTTGCTACAGACATTAACATCAATTTCTAAAGAGTCAGTGGAGGTACATGGACTGGGCATTGTGCGTCTTACGACCTATTCCTACATTGGCTTGAGCTAACCAAACGTACCAGTTCGAAAAAATATACGACGTAGGCAATACCCTGGCCGACGTTATTTATTGTTCAACAAGTTTGACTGGCTGGACAAGGACAATGATGCAGAACTTGGACCGACTCGGTTCAATTCAAAAACACCTGTCTCTGTGTCCCAACGCTCTCGGTAAATTTGCTCTGTCTTTAGGGGGACGATGGGCCGAGTTTTCTATTTGTTTTGGCAGCCCTTCTACCATGCTGCATAAGTTTTATGCTATAGACGAAGATGTGGAAGGGGACCAACGTGTTGCATACACCCGGGAATGAAATCTTTGTTGTCATGTGTACATAATTTTAAACCCTCAGGTCTTCTTAATCTCAGATTATGTAAATAGCTTCCTGAGAGGCGCCTGATCCCGAAATTCTCACTCGGTGACAACGGTTGACTGGAAGATATTCACCTCGGTTGAGGCAAACTTGCGAGCGGACACCTGTTTTTCAAAAAGAATGTCTAGCTCTGCATACGTTCTCCCCTTTGGCTCTGGTAGTCGGAAGAATACCCAGACAATGCAGCAAAAACAAATGCCAGCCCAGAAGAAAGCGGACTTGGCTCCCCAATTCCACGCCGTCGAGGTAAGCTGATAATTTACCAAGACATTAACCACGATATTTGCAACGTTGTAAAGGTTCCGAGCCAAAACCACAGACTTCGCGCGCAGTCGTGTCGACGGCAGCTCTGATACGAGGGAGTAACAGACAGGTCCCACCATGAGGTCATACGTGAATGTGAAGACGGAAAGTAATGCCCCAATGGCCCAATTCGTGGTAGTACCATGGGGTGCCAGTGAAACGAAGCCGATGATTAGAAGGAGCACAAAAAGGGCAAGATTCCCGTACAGGTAAAGGGTTCGTCGGCCTGCGTGTGCCATGAGAAACCACGAGAGGACCGTTCCAGATACACCTAGGCCATACTGGATCAGGGACATGTTGAACGAAGAGCTGGCGGGGAGTCCTGCTGCAATATAAAACACAGTCGAATAGCCCATAAGTTGTGATCCACAGATCACTTGGATCAGCCACACCACACACACAATTTCTGTACGCCGCAGGTTCGACCGCCTGAAACATTCCCGGTAAGAAGTGCCCGCTGAGGCTTCTTTTTCGAGGTTATCAGTGTACTGGATCATTGCCAAAGTCTCATCCACTATGTCGTGTGACTGACTCATGAGATGCACAAGGCTTTGACGTGCTTCCTCTTGTCGGCCGTGGCGGACAAGCCACCAGGGGGACTCCGGAGCCAACAGACACATGATCATCAAAGGAATAGGCCAGGCCCATTGCACAGCAAATGGGATTCGGTATGCCCACTGGTCTGGCCTATCAAGCACACCTCTCAGCACACCAGAAACAATAAATTGGCCGATGACCCAGCAAAGGTTGACATAGGTGGTCAAGTATCCCCGGAGAGCGACAGGACAGACCTCGGAGGCGTACGCAACAGTGATGGTTTGAAAGGCGCCCCAAGGAATGCCGCACAGAATCTCCCCAGCCAGAAGCATTTCCACATTTTGCGCGAAAAATAGAACAAAGATAAACGCAGTGACCAGGCAAAGTGCTCCGAAGATCGTCCAACGGTAACCGAATCGGTCCTGGAAGATGCCTGTCAAGAAGAGGCCTATAATTTCACCCACGACCGCTCCGTTGGAAAGAGCTGATTTCCAAGGTGCGGAGATAACGTAGGTGCCATCCGCCTGGAGTTGGCCATATTTGCGATTGAACTGTGGAAGTGCGTAGAAATTGGACAATAACATGACCGCATATCCTTCCATGATCACCGCCGTGGACAATCCTACCGACCAGACGACTGCCATGGGATAGAAGCGGATAGCCTCACGAAAGCCCATATGACGTTCTGATTGGACAGCATGACCAGCGCCATCGTTGACCGTCGCATTCTGATCACGCTTAGATTCAATGTGGGAGATTTCCGAATCTTTCTCCATATCTGAGTGTTTCAACATAGGTTTAGAGTTAAAATGGAGGAATAGGTGTGGTGAGGAATCTAAGCGCCCAGGATGAGAATCAACTATATATCCATAATCTGTATGTTCCGCGCCGCCTCCAAGTCCAGGTGGAGTCGACCCCAGGATTGGACTTTTGACTTAGATCGGCGGAGAGGGTGAAGGAGCGTCAGTCGAATCGGCAAAGCTAATGCAGATGAGAAAACAAAATTATGGACGTGAGTAGCCAGGATGAAGTTTGCACGAAACCTTCGCCTAAATTCTCGGAGAAATACCGCAGAAACTATTGACAGATCGGCTAAAGCGAAACCCGGATCCAACCCAAAAGGCTGAGCCAATCGCAGAATTACTCGCAGAATTACTCGCAGATTTACTCGCAGATTTACTCGCAGATTTACTCGCAGATTTACTCGCAGATTTACTCGCAGATTTACTCGCAGATTTACTCGCAGAATTACTCGCAGAATTACTCGCAGATTTACTCGCAGATTTACTCGCAGATTTACTCGCAGATTTACTCGCAGATTTACTCGCAGATTTACTCGCAGATTTACTCGCAGATTTACTCGCAGATTTACTCGCAGATTTACTCGCAGATTTACTCGCAGATTTACTCGCAGATTTACTCGCAGATTTACTCGCAGAATTGCTCGCATGATTACTCACATAATTACTTGCAGAATTACTCGCAGAAATCTCTTGCAGGATTTTAGAGTCGCTCGGAATTTTATCAGGAATGTGTAGCAAGTTATAAGTATCGGTGGAAAGAGTTTCCAACAAGCCGCATGCCGAATCCGTCGTAATCTGTCGAACCATGACGTTCCCAATTCATCCTGTCGCCAACTCTCAGGCTGTCCTTCCTGGCTCGAAGTATCGCTTTACCGTGCTAACCGATCGCTTGATTCGATACGAGTGGGCTTCTGATGGCTGTTTCGAGGATCGAGCGTCTACCTTCGCCATTAACCGGCACTTTCCGACACCCCAATTCCTCGTTATCGACAACGATGATGGTCTCGAGATCATCACCGACCATTTCCACCTATGTTACGATAAGCAAAGATTCTCCCCTGCTGGACTGAACGCCCATTTAAGCTTTCAACACACCAACTGGGGGGCTCCATGGCGGTACGGACTCGATGAGAAGCTCAACTTGGGCGGCTCGCTCAACTTGGGAGGCACAGCTCGGACCCTTGATCTCTGCAACGGCCGTTGCGATATGGGAGAAGGAGTGATTTCCAAAGCAGGGTACGCGGCCCTAGACGATTCAACGTCCATGCTCTTCGACGGCGACTTCGTGGTGGGCCGAAAACCCGGGGATCGTATCGATGGATACCTTTTCTGCTACGGTCATGACTACAAAGCTGCGATCAAGGCATTCTACTCCGTGTCCGGCAAGCAGCCCGTATTACCCCGCTACGCTCTAGGCAACTGGTGGAGTCGATACTATCCCTATCATCAGGACGGGTATATTCAGCTCATGGATGACTTCCGTGCACGCGATATTCCCCTGTCAGTTGCTGTGGTCGACATGGACTGGCATCTGGTAAAAGACCCTTCTGTACCTCATGCCGGATGGACCGGCTATACCTGGGATAGGAAGCTCTTCCCAAATCCGGAGCAATTCCGACGTGATTTGCATGAGAGACACCTGAAGATCACCCTTAATGATCATCCTCACAATGGAATTCATTCCCATGAAGATGCATACGAGGAGATGGCCGAAGCTCTGGATCACGACACCAGTGAAAAGAGGCCAATTATGTTCGATCCCTCTAACCGCAAGTTCATGAAAGCGTACCTGGAGATCTTGCATCGTAATCTGGAGAAGACCGCATGCGATTTCTGGTGGATCGACTGGCAGCAAGGGCCGTACTCTAAGGTTCCTGGCCTCGATCCTCTTTGGCTTCTGAACCATTTCCACTATCTCGATCATGGACGAGACGGCAACACCACTCCTCTTATCTTTTCCCGGTACGCTGGGCCTGGAAGCCAACGATATCCAATAGGATTCTCAGGCGACACAGTCGTCACCTGGGACTCGTTGGCTTTCCAACCGGAGTTCACCGCCACAGCGTCGAATATAGGTTATGGATGGTGGAGCCATGATATTGGTGGCCATATCTTTGGTGTTAGAGACGACGAACTCGTTGCTCGTTGGGTTCAGCTCGGTGTCTTTTCGCCCATTTTCCGTCTGCACTCGTCTGATTCGAAGTGGAATTCTAAAGAGCCGTGGATGTATCGCTCGGAGTACTGCGAGGTCATGTCCAACTTTATGAAGTTGCGACATCGACTGGTGCCATTCCTGTATACGTGCAACGTCGTCGGTTCAGTCGAGTATGAGCCTTTAGTGCAGCCGATGTACTGGATGTATCCGGAATCTGACCAGGCGTACGCGTTTCCCAATCAGTATATCTTTGGATCGAAACTCCTGATTGCTCCTATTGTCGAGCCTCGTGACAAGACGACAAACTTGGGGGCTGTCAAAGCCTGGCTGCCACCCGGTTCTCGGTTCACTGACATATTTACTGGTCAATCGTATGACGCAGACCGAGAGATCACATTCTACCGAACATTGGAGGAATACCCGGTTCTGGCCCGTGAAGGAACCATTATTCCTATGGATGCGAGCCCAGCTCCAGGAAACGGTTGTTTGAATGTGGACGCGTTCGAGTTTGTCGTTGTAATCGGCAATGATGCCGAAGCCACCATTTTGGAAGATGCTGGAGACGAGGCACCCAATTCGACGTCTGGCAAAGGGCAACGGAAATATGTTGTCCAATTCAACCAAGCAGAAGGGAAGCTGACCGCACATTCGGTCGACCGACCCTCGAAATTCCGATTTCTGTCATTGACATCTGTTCCTGATGACTTAAAAATTTACTGTGACGGCATCGAGCAGACGGACGAGATTAAAGTGGCCATTGAAGAGGACTGCCAGGCCCCTGGTCTGGTCATTGACTGCTCGTTCTCCCAAGTTGGTCACTGTATCACTATTGAACTCGGTCCTGACCCTCAACTCAGCGTGATGAATCCGATGCACCGTCTCGAGACTCTGATAATGGACTATCAATGTGAGTTCGAGGTTAAGGACCAGTTGTGGAAAGTCGTGACAGACCACATGAAACCTGTTAACGCTGTGATTGGGACATTGCTATCGCTTGGGTACGATCTCTCTATCGTGGGTCCTGTGTCTGAGCAGCTGTTGGCAGATAGTCGGCTATGTTTGCCTTTTGTTAGGCGGACGCTGGCTGAAGGATCAGCCACGCGAGTCTGAAAAAATTGTGGGGGTTTGACGTTTGACTAAAAAGTCTAATTCGTAGTGCACCTCTCGTCCACACTGTAATGCGTATATTTTCTACGACGGGGTAGACTTGACGAGTAACCATCATTTGGAGGAAAATGCCGCAAGTGACGGCCCCATGTGCAAAAAATTTATTAGTCGACTGTTTAAATCTTTTGTTTACAAGGTCCTTCTAGACGAGGCACAAGTATACGAGATAATACAACGGCTATTTTCATGCGGTTATTATAAACAGTATTAGATTACTTCCAATCACGTAGTCAGGGGCAGTCTGACGACATAGGTACGATGCAGATGATCTCCAAAACAAATTCAAGGAAAAGACATAAGTGGGGACCAACGCCGGAAGCCTATCTTCAGTCACACCCGGATTCATCGACATGGGCAAGGTGGTACAGTACAATTAGACTTGAAGTCTGAGGTAAATGGTGGTATTCATCCCGAAGAACAAGGCAGCGATGTCGGGTCTTAAACTGATTAGACTTTTTCGACCAGCTTTTGGACTTCAGGGCGCGACGGATGCTTAACTTCATGGCTCGAAGAGCAAATTTGTCCCTTAGAAAAACAGTATCTCGTCCAGGTTGGAGTAGGCTTCTCAATTATATATTCACACAAAGCCTCAAGCACGACTTGAGTGATACTACGGAATCGTCCGCATTTAACTGTCGGTATTTTGACGCTGCTAAAGATCTTGGAAGAGATTCTCGAGATGATGCTTATGTTGCGAGCAGTGGTCATTGCAATCTCAGTTATAGATAATTCGCCACTGTGGTCCAAGTCATAGATAAGCTCGTGCTTGGAAGGAGCTGGGTTTGGAGTCATCTCTAGTTGGAATACCTGTGATCAATTGGTACAGTGACTACGCACAAGTCCCAACACGCTTCGACACACGCAACTTACAGAGGCACTTCGGAAGAAATTCCAACAGAGACTAGTGTCTCTTGGCGCAAATGGCAGGAGAGTTAATCGAAGAGTGGAGGTGGTTGCACCCGTTTCGGGACGTACTGTATCCACTGCACCCTCAGTGAGCTCGCACTGGGCAGCAGTCCTCGCCAGGCTGTTGGGACAATGGATTCATACCTTCTCGTGGTGTCCGGTGTTAATCTCAGTTGGGGAGACCAAAGTGAATCCGCTGTGGTTGTGCTGTCCGGCCCAGTGCGGTTGGCACGGGGCACGACCGCACAAACACGCCAAAATCAGGGGAAAACGGATATGAAAAACCATCCGACTTCTTTCTACCCGACTCGGACGTGGGCCCGGAAGCTGGACTTGTAATACCAGTGAAAGTGGTGTCGCCCTAAAAAGGAGACAGGACACCCCCGAGCTTGCATACGGTCTGGGATCGCATCGTGCGAGATGCGGCGAGGCGGTAGTGAGCCGGTGACACAGGCGGTCAAGCTAACATCGGACAGACCTCGTTCAAGGCCCAGAGACCTCGTTAAGTCTCAGAGATGTCGTTCGTTGGAGACCTCGTTAAGGCCTAGCCACGGGTAACCTCCCGGCCGGCCGTTCCTTGAAACACGGGCACCACCGAGACACGGGCATCCTCTTGGGAGACACACGGGGACTCTGGAAAATGCTGGTATTTGACTGGTGGCAACCGGCGGAACTCGTTAAGGCTTTGCCACGGGCAATCCGTCGTCACTGTTCGTACATCGGGGACCAAGCTTGGTTAGTGGAGAGCAACTGCCGAATGGAGCGTATGAAGGACTCTCTGCGAGACACGGTCGGCCTGACGGAGGGAGACCCCCTCAGGTAACGCGAAAGGAGAGTGGAAGCTCTCGCGGGGCGTGGTGTACTATGGCAGCCACTGCAACAGGGTCGGGGCCTGTCAAGAGACTGTCTGTATAGCCCGAGAGGACGGATGCGCGTGAGGAGGGATGCGCGTGTCGGTGTACAAAGAGCCGGGAGTCAGCTACCTCACTCGCACTGAGGGCCTGAGACCGACCTTGGTTGGTTGAAGCGGTGTCGTCCTAGTTGGCCTGCCCGTGATGTATGCTTAAGGAGCAAACTGAGAGACACCTAGGGTGAGAGGCGTGGTGAACCTCAAAAGACCGGAAGCCTCCATTGCTGGGCAGAAAACTGGGGTAGTGGTCTATTCAACTAGGCCTGTCGAAGCTAGTTAATGTCTTTTGGCCGCCCACTTCTCACGAGAGAGGGAGCGCTCATTCGTCGGAACATCTATGCTCAATGGGAGCAAGAATGGAAATCGTCCACCAAAGGTGGACCCTTGCGAAAGGTCGATAACACACTACCAGCTAGCTACACGAGGAGGTTATACGGGAACCTACCAAGAAATCGCGCATAGCTCCTAACGCAGCTACGCACAGGCCACAACTGGCTAGCCAGCTACCGCAAGAAGGTTGGCTACAGTGACGATGACCTGTGTGTATGCGGGGCGCAAGAAACAGTCACCCATGTGTTGGTGGACTGTCCGGATTTGAGGGAACTACGAAGGGAGCCACGTAGGAAAGTGAGAGAGGCATTTACTAGCGTGCAGAGCCTGCTGGGAGGCTCAAAACAAGGTGAGAGAGGTAAACCAGACACCGTCTCGCAAGCCAAAACGGTCAACGCCGTGCTGGAATTCGCCGAGGCGTCACAAAGGTTTTGCAGTCGCGCGCCACGAGGGCAGCCTAACAATGGGGACGGCAATCAGGCCACGGCAGGCCACGACGAGGCTCTAAGTTCGTTTTCAGGAAGTGGAACACCGTACGTGTACGTACACGGAGGTATATATAGTTGTTGTATCCTGCATATCGTTCGCGAAGTTGGATCCCAGATTAGGTGATGTATAGATGTTATCAGGCTTCCACCACCACTCTAGGCAGAAGGCCGCTACTGTGACTACAAATAGCTGCGCCTACTCGAATAATTAGAGAATCATCACACTTGTACCTCAATTCAGGGTCTCAACTCGCGAGCGGTCAGGGAAAATGATATCACACACACACACCCTGTATCAGGACGTGTCCACATAGCCAGAGTAACAGGGCTGTTAATCACCCATCATTCCTTCCTCCATTTAAATCTCTCGGTACAGCTGTACCGCATTCCACAGACCATATCTTGTTTAATATCAGTGACAACACCAAATTCATTTTCATAAATCCATCTGGCGGAAATGCAGCCGTCTTTTGGGTTTATCGCTGTTGGTTGTCTTTAAATAACGGGCAGGCATTTACTCCGAGGTCAGACCAATTGAACCCCAGGCTGTGTCCAATCACGCGTCGCGTCTGACCGCACGGGTACCCAGCTTTATGTAGGGGTTCAACTTAAAGTTGAAACTCTACATAATTATTATCTAAATACCTAAAGGTAACTAAGCATAAAAACCCATCAGGACCCAAAATTAGTCAGAATTTTTTTGGGTCCGTGTGAGCTGGAACCCGAGTTCTACTCAGTGAGCAAAAGCGGCGAGGGGCTGAACACTAAAACGGAAAGGGAGAGCCCAGACGTGGCATAGGAACTCCGGTACTTAGGGAATTCATTGATCAAAATTGTTTTACAGCACTTTCCAGGTCAGAAAACAAAACTTATCTAGTCAATTGCTCGATTTAGAATGTAGACCATTACAAAATATTCGCAATCCAGTTGTTAGATAGGGGTCACTTTGGAGGTAGTTACAAAGTACTGTGCGAGGTATCCAGGGACCCGAGATATAGCATGTACAAACATGTGATGGTTGATATTGCTTGTGAAATAAACCTCGGAATTTAGTTTGAATCTCTCAATAAATATATACAAATTCATCATTCTGCCGATCGGTGAGATCGTCGGCGACATGTGCACCCGCATGAGCAACGTGCTGCCCAGTCTCAGACTCTTCAGGAGTCTCGTCAATGCCATGGAAGTGGGTCTGCATGGAGTGATCAATGACCTGGGCACTCTTGCCATTGCGCACTCGGCGGCGGGCTTGTTGCTTGTTGAGGTACCACAGGTTGGCCCACTGTAGAAGCACAACGGCAGCCATGGCGCTAAAGATGGCCAGACAGGCACGCAGACCAGGATGATACTCGGGCGCGTCTTTCGAGGCGAAGAGTAGGGGTCCCACAATGTTGCCGGCGGAGGAGGCGGCATTGTAAAGACTCATCGCGACCGACTTCTTGGTACTTCCGGCGGTGTTGCCGACAATCCAGGTGACTACCAGAGGGTTGCCTCCGAAAAGGAAAGCCAGAAGATAGTATCCGGCCAGCAAGGCGCCCTGTGCGGAATTGTTGCGGGGGACGGCGTAGAGAATGGCCAGGCCAGCGATCACGGGAAGCATGAACAATGCAAGAATGGCTCCTTTCAAGCGGGCAGTCTGGGCAAGATAACTAGCGAGCAGGATCATGATCGTCTGCAGCGCACCAAAAGGCATGGTGAGTAGACTAGTAGTGTACTTGTCGTAGCCCAGGCCACCAAGGATCAAAGGCCCGAAAATGTTAGTGACACTGGCACCGATGTTCAGGAGCATAGCCATGCCGATCCACAGATAGGTCTTTGGCTCGAGCGCAGCCTCTAACACGTGGCTGAACTTGAACTCGGTATTTCCTGTACCCGTCTGGTTGGCTCGTAGTCGCTCCATCGCCTGTGCCTTCTCTTCTTCGGTAAGGAACCGAGCGGTGGTCACGTCATTGTCCAGACGCCAGTACACGATCGGAGCTGAAACGATGGTCACCAATCCTACGAAGAGGAAGATGCTATGCTACTGTCAGCTGGAAAGAACTCATCCCTATGGTTGACAGGACCAACTTACATTTGCCATGATTTCAAGAGGTCCGACTTGATGTGTGCAAGACCGTAGGACAGAGCAGCCGCCACAATGGTTGCAATTCCATTGGTACCATACCAAGCAGCAACGCGAATCGGCTGCTCAGCGCGACGGTACCACTGACTCGTAATCACTCCAAACAGCGGCAAGCATCCTGCCTCAAACAAGCCCAGGAAGAACCGCGCTGCCATCAACTCGTTGAAGTTGTGACAAGCGGCCATGCACGCCTGAGCAATACCCCATCCCAAGCATAGGCAGGGCATCAGGATTTTGTGTGGCACCTTCACAATCAAGTAAGACGAGAACGGCTGCCACGCCAGCTGGGCGATGGGAGCGATGGAACCGATCAAGGAGTACTCATTGCCGGTCAAGTGCGTGTCTGTCCGCAGACCAAAGGTCGCACCATATCCGAGGACGCTCTTATCAAGGATTTGCAGGAAGTAGACCCAGATCAGCACGACAAGAATCGTGCGGTCGGTCTTGCGGCAGATCCGCTTGTTATCCTCCTCCGTCAATGGTACATGTGGAATATCGACCTCGAGGCTTGGATCCGCCTTGGCCGGTTGAGAGCCCTCGTCGTGAATAGCAGCTGGTTTGGCCATGGCGAGGATATTGTTGAGAGGAACACGGTGAAAGACCCGACCGAACTTTCGACTCCCGATGGATATTTATCTCTTTGGCCACCCCCACGCATTATGAGCCCATTACAATCAGGGTTCACCAGTGGGGGCATCACTTCCCCGCGTTCCCCCACGTCTCCGCTTCTGGTTTCGTAACCAAAGGAAGCAGGCCATCATGTTGATAGTTCCGGTGGCGCCGGATACCGAGGTTCTCATTGGCAGTCATTCCCGGAATCATCGCACAGGTGGACGAGCTGGACCAATCCGAAGGGAGGCTTGAACGCACTTGGCAGGCTTTGCTTTGCTCGGTGTGAACTTACCGACTCCAGGGAGGTCCTGGACTCCTGTAAGAAGGTGTGGGGGGAGGATAAGTAAAGTGATTACTCCGTGTTTTCTCCGTGATGTTAACCACTCGGGAGTCGGGCGGCATCTTCCAAAGTTCCAAACCCCGTTCACCTTGTTCACCGCTTCTCGTGACTTTTTTCTCTTCCCGAGGTCAACCGGAGCAGCGGATCCCCAGAATCGATCCCGTGATGGTGATCCACTGTTCTCGTCTGTTGATACGGGGTAGACACCACGAGCTCAGCTAGAACTCATGGCACAGCCGAATCATCAACCTCCATACCCTCGACGGGGCCCACTAGGATGAATCCCATCCCACCCTCGTCATCGATGCCGCGTTTTCATTAGCACGCAGCCTGCATGGCGTCTCGCGCGCCCCCCAAACATCTGGGGTTATCTCTCGATGTGTCTTACCACGCCCCCACGCCTAGAGAAGAAGCAATTCTGCGCAAGACGTCGATTATCGGCCATTTTGTCGGCAAATGACCCCCATGGCCAGTCAGATATGGCATTGTCTTAACGCTTAAAGCCAAAGTACGATGCTCTCCGCCACCACCCGCAGACACCCCCAGGGTAAACATCCTCTCGAATGATTACCCGACGGCAATTGATGGCGATAGTCTTACGATAAAACACGTCAACTCGATATCGGATCCGATAAGGTACCCTGTACGGCGCACTCGACCTGGCGATTGTCCACTGTCATATGTACACATCCTCAGGATCCCGGTATTTCGGGAACCGATCACTCTTGCCGATGATTTTGATGTTCAAGGGAAGCTGTGACAACAACATCACTGCCCAAAGTGCCTAGAGCCAGATGGGATAAGCCGAACATACGCCACGGATCCTGGGACAGACTTACCTGGAATAACGTTTCGACAACGACAACGTCCCCTCCCTCGATTGATAAGAGCCATGATTCCCAACTAGCACCAAAGAAACTATCCGGACAACGCCTGAGAGCCATTGGGCTGACCTCTTCGTATAGCAATGAGTCCCCGTACGCAAGTGAGTCCCGCCCAGGTCCAGGAACACTCTGTAACAACCGAGCACGGTTCTCGTTGTGATCTGGGCCTTTCTCGCCAAATCGAGCATGAAACGCTTCCCTTACCTCCACTGGCACTCCTATATCCAAAAGTCCCATTCCACCCCTTGGAAAAGCCGCGGTTCTTGAGCAAGTTGCTTGAAAACATCGTGGATGGCATCAGCGGCCGCAATGGCGTCGGTCTTGAGATATTTACGCGGAATCTTGCCAAAGTGGTCGAAAGATCGGTCCTCCTCTGGACTCAGCCGATACTTGAAGCTATGAGTGCTCAGATGGCCTAACTGAAGAGCCGTGCTGTCGTGCTCGTATGCCCATTCCGAGATGACCGACCATAGAATTGCCCACTCGGCCCAGTATCGATCCCGTCCGCCCTTTTTGGTTGTTGGAATAGCGCCTGCTATCACTTCAAACTTGTCCTTTTTCCAGCCGTACAGTTCCCCGTATGCGTATGTCATCTTTTCATATTTCCCGGGTGGCTGGCCGGCATAGGTGAGGTCCATGTATGCGCCCGCGCCGCAGGCTACACTGATGGCAGGGCCGATTGCGCAGGGCTGTGGGTCGGGGCCCATCAAGCGTGCGCGTGAGGTGCGACCGGCAGTTGCAAGCAGCGTGGCCAAGTCCTTGGGCAGCCCGACAGAGCTAGGATCTGTCATGAAATCGACCACGGTGGGCTTCTTCCAGGTAGACAGTTCCTTGGGCGGGTTGAGAGTCCGCATGTTGACATCTTCTGAGTCCTGTCCTGCAGGATATCGTTTGCTGAAGAAATTATGCAACTGCGACCAGTCTGGGTGATTGAAAATGTCACGCAAGATGGCGGCAAACAGTAGAGTCGCTTGGGCCCGACCAGATTGCTGTTCCATGAAGGCAAAGTCGTTTAGAGAGAAGCGTTGGAATTTCTGAGTGCAGGTCAACGACACGAACATATACTCTGTATCCTATTCTATTTTGAAAGATCTACATACCTCACCTGGCTTCCAGCGCTCGTCGGTCAGTATATTGTACGTTTGCGGGCTGCGGAGATGCAGAGCGAGTGGAAGGGACACTTGCATAGGGATCGGCATATCGAGGATAGGGGCTGGTTAAGGAGGCTCTGGTTCGCGAAAAGGGTAGTCCACTTGAGAAATCTTTGTTTACGGTTATCGATCGTGAAGACCCGTCTTTTGAATCATTGTACAGCTTGACAAGTCGTGCCCATCTCTGCTAACAGGATTCTCGTTTCTACGCTCATGGATAATGAGGTGGCTGTGCAATCTTGGCTCTTGGGCTGATTTCCCCGATTGCGAGGCCTCGTCAGCGTCCTATTCGAGACTAGTTGAACTGCACTAATGTACCCAACGCACGGAATACGAAGTAGAAAGGTGGGGTCGTGACTTGACTGCGGCTCAGATGGACAAGCCTTTTTGAGAATCATTAATTCTTGTCGAATATCCGATCAGATGGTGCATATCATCTGCATCAACCATGGATGTCCTTGGTGTTTCGATCGGAGTTGTCTCCCTTGTGAGTCTATTCAAGACATGTTTGGACCTCTTTGAGACGTTCGAAAATGGAAGAAACCTTGGAACGGAGTACGAGATACTTTCCACAAAAGTCGGTATTGAACGTGTTCGGCTCGTGCTATGGGGAGATGCGGTGGGCCTCACAAAGCTGGCTTCGGATCAGCAAAACACTCCTAACCGGCAAGATGGGTTGGACTCTCGCCTCGTCGAGCCGCGCATGGTTAGAGCAGTTTCTGATATCCTGAGTTGTATGCGACGACTGTTTGAAGACAGTGGCTCTCTCACAAGACGGTATGGTTTACAGGCGACAACAACGACTGAGATGATTGTCACCACCAACGGGGAAAATGCATTGTCTACAACATTCCACAAGACATATGCCCGTATACAGGCATCTGCTTCGCGGATCCAACGAAACTCCTCTCTAGTCACAGCGACGAGATGGGCTATCAAGGATAAGAAGAGGTTTGAACGCTTTGTTGAAGATCTGCGCGGCTTCAATGATAGCCTGGGTTTATTATTTCCAGAACTGGATGCAAACTCGCGTCAGGTGATGGCAGATGACATAAAGGAGTCAACAGACCTGAACAATCTGCAGATCGTCGAGCAGGCCGTGTCTGATTTGGAGGGAGGAGAGTCACTTGCGGAAGCAGCGAGCATCCGCATTACTCAGTTATCTCAGTATTCCCAGAGTTTGTCGGAAGGCCAAACTGCACAGACAGATGACAGTATTGTCGACATCGATGTACATCGCCTTACCCGACAGCTGGGGAAGCTCGAGGCCTCGATGAGCAAGAGAGTTGAGCTACGAGGTGGGCTGCAGTTCAGCCTCGGCGGGACCGTGGGAGGAGACTGTTTCGCAGAATACTCATTTTATGGCATGGATACTGAGGACTTCATGGTGGAAAGGCATAAGGAGGCTCAATATGTCAAACGTGGAGTTCTTGCATGGTGTAAGTCACTGCACTACCTACTATCCTGAATGATCTGGAAGGCAGGTTTCTCTAATCCTCTACCCAGCGTTGATGTACATGTCCGACCGGAAGAGACATGATCAAGTCGATTTCAGCCGACAAGATTCAGAGGTATGGAAGAACAGCTATTGATTGAAAACATGTTTCAACCGGTAGCTGACCTTGTCCAGTGCCACCGGCTTTATGAAGGGAAGCTCCCTGGTACGCGAAGCATCGATGGTTATATCGCCGATTTCAACATGTGGATACAAGCCAACAATCCCACGACTGAGCGATTTTGGAATACATTGGGGGCTCTACCAGACGTCTCATTTGTGAAACTTGTCGAGCGGGCACGACGTGCACAGCTTCAAGGCGAACGATTTTGGAGTTACGACGAGCCCTCAACAAACAGCAATCTCGAGGAGCTTATCGGTCCAGCACACATGGGGTCCAGGATGCAGGATCAAGTGACGGAGCTGCTGAGCATTCTTAATCGTCGCAGAGACTTTCCAGACGTGCTTGATGGCGCCTCACTGGCAACCATTGCCCTCGGCACATCCGATAGTCTGTATAGCTTCCTTTTGCTGGTTATTCTAGCTCACGAACTTCGCCTGCGCATGCATCAACTATCTGATATTGCTTTTGGTAATATCAGTCGCCGAATCGTCGCTTCGATGCACGCTTCAGAGCGATGGCTTGACGGCGTCCATCTCAAAATTCCGGACCCGAAAGGCAAGCCTAATAATGTTGAGTTGCATAGCCTGGTCCATGAACGGCAGGTTGAAGGACTCGTCCGCTTCGCCGAGATGATGGCGTGGCCGGCTCTTGGAGAGATGCGCATCTTCGCGGAGGAGGCATATGCCGGTATCAGGGCAGGTATGAATACCAGCACTTATCTCTGGGACTGGCTATATGGCCTCATGTTGCCTGGGAATGCCTTCATTTTTGCAATCATGGCCGCGCTAGTTGCAGCCACGCCAAGTTTGCAACACCTCGCAGCTGCTGAGTACTACAATTCGGGACTAGTGCTGAAAGACCGATCGTACTGGCGGGCGAAAACAGTGTTGGGTCGTGTCCTGGGCGGGATGAAAGGGGTCAGAGCGGCCAATGGCTGGATTGGGCCATGCCCGGCCCCGGTGGATGTCCGAGAAGAGGCCCTTAAGGGGGCTGGTGGCGTGTGCACGCGAGAGATGTCGCCTTTAACCGTTTTATGGCCCGAGATCTATCAGCATACGAAGGCCGCTTCTCCCGGCTCCATAGCAGTGACGAAGATTCAAGTACAGCAGAATGGATTAGGGGCATGGGTGACCGTTCAGAATGGGCTGTGCCAATCGGTCCATCTCAGTCGTCAGATCAGGTTGAATTCCGCGCCCTGCGTTTCCAGAAGATTGGGTCAGTCTTGCACGGCAGCTCATCGCCCGTGGAAGACACACTGAACCCGACTGGTGTGGATAACGATCGAGAACCAGAGCAGAGAGCTATTCTTGATCTGCTTATCAACGGTCGCCTGGTGAGCTTCACCCTATATAGCAGCCCCGTATTCATCACGGCACCAGCATGTATAGATGGACCCCATGCTGTCCGGCAACGAGACCTTCCCAAGATGCAACATATCCTGAGGACGAGTGAACTTCCAGACCATGCTCACACTGACAAGAGGATACTCATCATTGATGCAACTGGAAAGGGAGAATGCGAGCTAGTCGCGCGAGCATGGTGCTCTCAAAATGGACAACATGCCATCATTGTGAGAGGGCAGGGTACTTGCTTCACATGTGCAGTTAAGGCTGCAAGTCAGGGTGGGCTTGTCATAGGCTGTGTTATCTGGTCGAAGTCGTGATTTAGGGACAAATGGGGTGATTTTAATAGAGTGCAAATCAGATCTATACCCTCGGACTTTGGGACTGCCACTGCACGGGAGAGCTTGCCCACGGATTTCACGAGTAATTAGTTTTCAGGTTGAGCCTCATTCCTGCATGAGAAAGGTACATGGCCTCGCATTGACCCCACAACCTCGTATAAGCTTGCGACAACATCCTGTGCTTGTGCCGCCACCCCTCGCACCTCATGCCTAAGCGGCTTGGCGTGAGGCTGTGTCTGGAACATCCGGGTTATGCAAATCGCTTTACTTTCGTCCCATCTTACTTGGATGACCGTGAAGTGTGCCCATCAGAGATAACTCAAGTACCAATCGACTAATGGAGATCGCAAGTACCGCAATCGGGGTGGTCGGGCTGGCAGCCCTCTTCACTACATGTATAGAGACCCTGGAAACACTATCCGCGGCTGCAAGATATGGTGTCAACCGAGAGATCCTTCAAACAAAGATTGAAGTCGAACGCCTACGGCTCATGGTATGGGGGGAATCTGCAGGACTGACCGATATTGATCCTGATAGACCCGAAGATGAGACTGCCAATGATCTCGGTATCCTCGACGAGTCCCTTCGAGGCGCAGCCCTACGCCCGGCCGTGGCAGGCCTTTTGGCTTGCTTCTCCCGTTATTTTCAAGATGTCGAGCAGCTTCAGAGTCGATATGGCCTTGCTACGCAAAAGAAAACTCAGGGGAAGCAGATTACACCGGCAATTAAGAGGCACCAACGCGACAGATGCTTTTAAGCATTTTCGAAAAGACTTACACGCGATTCCAGCAACGTACATTCAAAGTTCAGCAGAAAACGTCGGCTTTGAAAAAAGCGAGATGGGCTGTGACAGATGAACGCAAGTTTCGCGGTCTCATTGCGGAACTGAAGGCCATCAACGACTCGCTGGATTCCCTGCTGCCGGCCATCAGAGATAAGACGCGAGTGCAGATGCGCACTGCCATCATGCGAAGCACTGATGTGAATCAATTGCAAAATCTAGTCACTGCTGCTGATGAGGCGACAGACCTCATCGCTGAGACGGCGAGCTTAAGACTTGAGATGCTGTCCACGTCAGGTCACCTAGGAGGCGTGAAGCCAGCCCCAAAAATTGTGCAAATAACAGGGATGTCCAAGGATTTGGCAGAGAAAGGCATGGATGGTCCGTTAGCTACACAGTCCCCATCATCGGGGTCTACATCAGTAGTGCAAGACCTAATTGCCGCCACCATCGCAGTGTCTCTGGGCCCTGATTCCCCGTCTGCGACCCCGGTAGATGATATTTATGATGACACTGGAGCATTGGTGATACACAAAGCCTATTATAAGCCTGACAGCCTGGCATGTTTCTCATGGCTTGTCGGGCTAGGTGAGACTCCAGAACTGGCAGAAGTTCAACCTGCGTGTGACGATGTCTTCGGTGAGACTTGGAATCTCTTTAGCTCCTGCAGAACACTCAACTAATGATTCACAGATTTGCAATATGTCTCGGAGTCCATATCGGGATTTGCTGAAAGTTTGTTAGAAGCGGAGGTCGTGGGCGACAGAAAGTACGCCGGGTGGTCTCCCGGATCAGTATCATTGACAGGTTTTGCGAGAGATTCTTCTTTCTGGAAAAGGGCATCAGAGCTGGAAAAGAGAGCAAAGCCTCCCAGCTGGCATCGAGTTACTTCGAAGCAGCTCCACTCTGACTTTATTGACAAGAGGTGGAAGAAGTTAGTAGAAGAGGGACTTGGACCTGAGTTTAAGGAGAAGGAGGGCTACGAGCAGGTTCGGGAGTTGATCGGCCCTAGCGAGTACGTCTTCAACGAGTTCGTTTTCAACAATTAGTAGAGAGGCTCAAGCTCATTATACTCTAGGTACACATGGCTTGACCCAGAAGAGGGTTTTAAGCTGCGACATCAGATCACCGACCTACTTGGGGCCCTAAGTAGCTCGATCTTGCCCAGCTTCGAGGTGAACGGCAGTGTCGCACTTCTTGCCTTTTACGAGAAGATTGATCCAAATTCGCGGTTTGGGTTTGCCGATTTTATGAGGCAGATGCTCATCGCTCGCGAGGTGACACTGCGAATCCAGCGATCCAATCAACGCTGGTATGGAGGAATCACGCCCCGCGTTTTGTATGATATGATCGCGGCTGATCTATGGGCACGTAACATGGAGATTAAGCCCACTGGTGGGTATGAGGTTTCTAAACGAGTACTTCAGCAGCAGATGCATGGGATCATCAAATTTGTCGATGAGATGCAATGGCCCTATGCAGATGAGGTCCGTAAGACAGCAAACCATCTGCTTGAGGCAAAAGCCCACGAAATTAGCGTTGACGTGCGAATCCATGACTGGATGGGTGGACTCGTCTTTCCAGGCTCACATTTCCCTCTTATTATTGCGGGTGTTGTGTACAAGCTCTCGCCGACCTTGGGATCTTACATGCCGACCGAGACGGTCAAGGTTCGCGAGGGAAACTTTGGTATCGTCTATCCTGGGGCTTCATATTGGAATGTGCGCTCCGTCTTAGGCAAAGTACTGGCTCCACTGTCTCGGGATCAGCAGACAGGCAATCCCAAGGTTCGTTGTTTGGGGGGCTGGATTGGGCCTTGTCTTTCGCCTTCCCTCCCTGAATCCAGACTGGGCACGACCGTTTCTTTGGCGACTCGACAACCTCCCTTTGCCCCCCTAGAGCTGGATGGTGGTGTTGATACCGCTGCGACAACTTGGTCAGGCATGGGAGGACAGGGTGAAGGGGGCGAGTGGACACTTCCGACACCTCCTGAACCATCGCTTGATACAGTCGCAGTTCAGACTGTTCGCCTCTCCAAAGTGTCAAAAGCTGATCTGAGTGCTGGAGATGCACTGCATTATACCGCACGCCTTGACTTTCGCCTTGGGCGTAGTCGCACCTTTGTAACATTCACATTATACACCAACAGCGTGTTTATTGCCGTGCCACCATGTCGAGGCTATCACAGAATAGACCCACATGCGGCAAGCCGGTTCACCTTTGAGGTGAAAGAAATTGAAGAACTTGCGCGTATCTCTAAAAAGGGCGATGCTGCCGCTAATATGGCTATTCTGGTTGTCAACGCCAGCGGAGGGCCTACCAGTGAGGTCTTTGCACGCGCATGGTGCTGTCACACAGGGACTAATGCCGTGATGTGGAAGCGTGAGGAGGGCAAATGCTGCTTCAAGTGCGCACTTATGGTTGCATCCACAGATGGCTTGGGGACAGGGGTTTTGATTGCTTGCTAACTAGTTGAATTCTGATTTCAGGGGAATTCCTGAGTAGTATATGAACCGATGCGTCAACGTCGGGTCAATTAGCTTAGATTTTGAATTGATTTCCGTGGAGAATATATAGTATACATCGTCGTAAATGTAAAATAATGATACAGGGTGCTTTCACTTGTGCATTAAACTCTAAAATCACTGCTTCAGAGCATCATGTCCCCAATTCTTGAGTGAGCGATAGCTCTTGCTATCGGGATTTTGTTTGGCAGTCTCTTCCTGGGCGAGATGTCGCTTGCAGTAAGACACAACCTTGCGCATATGATCGATCTCCGAGTCTTCATAGTCAGAGGGCTTACGACTTGGATTATGCTCCAAGATATCCACTATCTTTCGACCACTAACTTAGATAATTGTGCTTGGTCAGTCCTACTGCATCACATTGAGTTTCCGGAAGGACCGCTGATTTACCTCTCGTGGCCGACGGTCTCGCCAGATTCACCAGTCCATCCTGATGACTGTGATTGCTCTTCCTTGAGCCACCCGCGAAGCTCATTCGGGGTCATGTTAACAAGCTCATTGAACTCTCTTGCTTAATGTCAGCCACAACCTTATTTTCCACTGGGACATTCAGTCTCAGCACGTACCTGATCACGGTGTCCTTGTCTTTGACCATTTTGATACTATGAATAGAGTGTTTTCTGAAATTAATTGTGTTGCAATGGATAAAAATGTAGTAAGAGCCCTCGCTCCTGATATACTGGCAAGCTTGTGTCTTGGGTGTGACGTCAGCATTCCTCGCTCGCCTCTCAATTCTTGAACCTTGGGAATCATGTTCACCAATTTCAAGATCTTGGAATAACACTGCATAAGAGGAAACAGACATAATTTTCATCGTCATGGCTTCTCACTTCCTTTGGTAACATAACAATTCAAGTTGGGACTTCTATGGCGTCCCATCACACTGGTTCTAGGGCCCTCCACCTGGCTGGTCCGAGCTCATCATCTCACTCCAACCGACCCACCAACTTTCACTCCCAGCCAGCTCCATGTACGGGGAACGGGGGGCGTCAAGCCTTCGGCGCTCGGGCGTTTGTGGAGCATCAATGTAGTGGTAATCATGATTTGCGATCATAATAATGGTGGATAGGGAATGGCATCGCAAAGCTAAGAAAATAACTACTTATTGTAATAACACCAATAACATATATTATATATGTATAATTTAAAGAAGCTTTTGGTAATAAAGGTAATATTAATCTAAATATACGAGAAGACCCAAAGGCATTGACCGGAACCCTGATCAAACTCCACTGGTTCGCTACAGTGGAAACTCCCAACTCCCGATCGACCCAGAGCCGGGTTTTTGGGTCGAGATCTTGAGAAGTTGAGAAGATGTCTCCATTTTTCGTTTCTCAATACTCCGTAGTCTAGTTCCAATAGATAACGCCTCTCATTCGCACTGGCCTGAGCTGAAGATAAGCAATGTCGGAAGGCAATGATCTCCGCCTCCATTTCATGCTATGCCATGGCGATCATTGAAGAATTACCAATTTTCATCACAAGGGACTGCTAGTTTATTTCAAGCATACATTTTCTTTTTTTTTTTCGCTCCTCCTTTTGGGGGAAATCAATGGATTCCGGAAATGTAGCACAGTGTGGATGCAGACATTGAACATTGAAAATATATATAGTTCGATTATTGGCAGTCCGTCCATTGTAACCTCAAGGATTTGCTTGAAGGTGGATTGAATGATCACTCGATTTCATTACTTTTTATAAAGATGTGTCCCGTAAAAATTTCAACCAAGTCTGCGCCAACAAAAGCAACCTATTTGTTAGGGCTTCGCAAATATTTGCAATCCGATCATGCGAGCCCCCGCGGAGATGCACAACCCAAATGCCAGTAGCCTTATCTTTGCCAAGAATGATAAGTTACTGTTCTTCTATTGGTTCCCTGGGTCAACTACCTATGGACCCGATCGGCCATTATCATGCGACTCCCATCACGAACTTGAGCTTATTCTTTATCTCTTCCCCACCACAAATGAAGGACGCCAGGGCTTGGGGATCTACTTTGGCTGCTTTATCAGAGACCAATCATGTTGCTCATGGAAAAGCATTGGTCCCTTGAGATGCACGGAATATATCGCGCGACGAAAAGATGCTGCCGTATCCAGCTGTATTAATATATCGTGCGAGGAAATGTCTGACTTGAAGTCCTCTCTTTCTCTCACAACTTATTCTTCAGTCGCAAGATTTCTCTTGTGAAGGCCCATATATCGCCTGGCCGAGCCTTAAAGAACCTACAATTTATCCGATAATTCTTGGCGAAGGACATCAATCTGGCCAAAATGACATTCGACTCCTTTTCTCCTCTGGAGGTGATTGAAGCTGTGGGAAACACGGGTGTGCACAAGGGTAACATGCGCTTGGACAAAGTATTCTTCAGCGCTGTCTCTGCTGGATGTCTACTCTCCTTCGCATGTGGAACTGTCCTAAGCACCAATGCCTCCCCCTGGTTCCAAGAAAACGCCGCTGGTTTGATCCGCACCATCAGCGCCTTAGTCTTCCCTTACGGACTGTGCATGATCATTTTGACAGGTGCTGATCTTTGCACTGGCTCCTTTATGGTGAGCTCATCGACTAGCCCGTCTCATACATCTTGGCAAACAATTGACTTAACAATCAATTTAGTTCACTACCGTTGCTGCTTTGCAACGCCGACTACCGTGGTGGAAGATGCTTGTGCACTGGCTTGTAACCTTTTTGGGAAACCTGGCAGGCTCTTTATTCCTGGTTGCAATTATCTTTGGTTGTTCGTATACCTCGACTATTCCCATCCCAGAACGCAGCTGACCTCGCATAAACAGATGGTGAGGTCTTCTCGAAGGACCCGTTCAAGTCGGCCGTCATCAGTTTCGCGACAAAGAAACAAGTCACTCCGGACTTCCACATGATTTTCCTCCGTGGAATTGGTTGCAATTGGCTGGTTTGTCTGGGATGTTTCTTCGGCCTGCAGGGACGCGACCTGGCATCGAAAATTATTGGTATCTGGTGGCCTATCTTTGCTTTTGTCTCTCTTGGATTTGATCACGTTGTTGCCAACATGACATTCATCCCTCTGGGAATCTGGCTTAATGCTCCTGGGATCAGCGTTGGTCTGTATATCTGGAAGGGTATTATCCCCACCTTGATTGGCAACATCCTTGGTGGCGGCCTCTTCTGCGGTGAGTACCCAATTTGTAACAACTCAAACGCAACACACTTTGCTAAACAAAGATCAGGTACATACTACTGGTACATGTATCTTCTCGACTTGAACACACTCCCAATCACTGGTTTGAGCAAGAAGACGGACTCTCCGACTCGACCCGCAACGAAAGGCGATGTCGAGGCGGCTGCTGCAGACGCCTCTCCGGCATCTACAGTACTGCACGCTTGAGCGGCCATTTTGAAATCTTTGCAACTCGAAGGAAAAGACTTTGAGCTCAAAGGTCATCCCTTTCTTCCTTTCAAATAATCGCTCTAGCAATGGAAACGAGACATTCTGGGCAGGTAATGGCAGGCGGGGCTTTGTAATTAATTTAGCTACACTAATAATTTATAAACATAGGTATCAATTACTCCTTACGCTGTTAATGCTCTGCCTGAAGTAGATCTTCCAATTGTTTTTGTGATACACTATAAAGAATTTGCTGAGAAAGTGCTTCTCAGCTTCAACAGGCTCACGCTCACAGCGTATTTGGATGTCGGCCACAAGGCGCTAATTATGGAATGATACCTTGAAAAACAAACTCTTTGGTAATTTCAACTAAACAAACTATTCGAATCATGACTAATGTTTTGTGTGGCTAATAATGTGTTCTTTTCACGATCAAAGAATCACACCATCTTGCGTGATTGTGGCAGGATCGGAGTTCTGGCCGATCTAGCCGACGAGCCGACCGTTGCAACCCCTTAGAAGACAAGGTTGCTCACTCAGAGCAGAAGGGCCTCCAATACAGCGGTTACCGATCGATCCGACCGCCCGATGCAGGGGATATACAAGTACGGTTTTGATTCTTGTAAACCCTCATATATTAGGTTGAAGGACCGCATCGAATGGCCTTGGAAATTTTTAAAATTGCATCGTAACTTGAGTTTCAAAGAGACAAGTACACAAGTCTTCCGAAATTAGCTCACTATGACATCAACAATTGTCGAGACAGATACGTCGCGAGCAACACCGGCCACTATCAATCTTTCTATTTTCCCTGATGGATTGAAGACATCAGGACAGCACCCACCGGTGTATTCACGAGTTCGTCCTTACATCGACTTTCCAAAGGTTCACGGAGGGCCCACTGTGTGGAAGGCTGAGGACTATCGTGAAAACCCGCAGCTTTGGACTCATCATTTCACTGGTGAGGAAATCAAAGAGCTTGGAGCTGTAACGGATGACTTCATTCAAAAAGACTTGCCTCTGACGGGTATCTCCAAGGTCAGTCTGTGGAACGAAATGCGATGGTGAATGTTATTGATAGAATTACAGACAAACTTCCCCCTTCCCAAGCTTTCTATTCGGCTCGAAGCGTTGCGAAGAGACTTGATCGATGGCAAAGGCTTCTTCCTATTCAAGGGTATTCCTGTCCGTGAGTGGGATCTCCGTAAATGCGCAACTGCGTATATGGGACTTGGAACCTATCTGGGATACTTCACAAGCCAGAACGGTCGTGGACACGTTCTAGGCCATGTCAAGGATCTTGGAGAGGATCCTACTAAGACGGATAGAGTCCGCATCTACCGTACAAACGCTCGGTATGTACAGACAATAGGTACTATGAGGTGACCTTGCATTCTTACTGAGATTCCTGTAGCCAATATTTCCACACTGATGGTTCTGACATCGTGGGCCTTCTCTGCATCGCCAAATCTCTTTCTGGGGGTGAATCCGATATTGTCTCCACACACCATTTGTTTAACGTGCTTCAAGAGAGACACCCTGATGTTGTTGAAACCCTGGTCGAACCTAATTGGTATTTCGATCGCAAGGGTGAGGTCTCAGACGGTCAAGAGCCCTGGATTCGTGGCAGCATATTTTACCTTGAAAATGAGCGCGCGGGTGACAACCCTCGAGTTTATGCCAGATTCGACCCGATGAACGTCACTTCTCTTTCTCGATTCAATTCGGGGCCCGACGCCAAAATCCCCCCTCTCTCGGAAAAACAGAAGTATGCCATGGAGATCTTTGAGAAAACCTGCGGTGAACTTGCTCTGCACATGATCCTGGCCCCTGGTGATATTCAGTTTGTGAGCAACTCGCACATTTTTCACGCACGAACTGCCTACACTGATCATCCTCCCGGTGCTGTTGATGAGAACGGTCAACCTGCTCGGCGACGACACTTGATGAGACTTTGGCTCTCTGCGCCCGAATCCGAAGGTGGTTGGAAACTTCCGTATCGTGACACACTTGAAAAGAAGCGCGGTGGTATTCAAGTCAATGATCAGGCACCCGTTTGTCCTTTGGATGCTGAGTGAGCGTTGGTTCGACCCTTCAAGTCCTTTATCGACATGACTGTATTTTAGTGAATAACATCTTCGATGCATCATATATGTCTCGCGTAGTCCATTTGCCCGATTGTGAATATCAGCTAGTATTTGTTATTATATTTCCCCGGCATCTTGCCGGGCAATTACCCTTATCATTCATGATGGTTAAAACTATGGGAGAACAAAATGGTAGAATGATTGGGATGTACCCATTTCATGGCATAATCTTGGGATACGATAATGAATTCGGGTCTTCAACGGTATCAAAAACAGGGAAATGGTAGGTTTCTACCAAGACCGGGACTGCTAAATTTGCATGAATAATTACTCTATTCTCATTATAAACAATGAGCGCAGCTGCAATCTTTCTGGTTTAACCCTGTTGGGAGAATGGAAACGCCGGTACCCACGGCTCTGCTTGAGTTGTGGAAAAGCCACCAGCCCATGGCAGTAATCCAGCTGCCTCAATACCTGAACCCACAGCTGTGTCTGCGGGCTGCCATGCCCAGCCCAAGTCAGACATGAACAGCGTCTGCAGCTCTTCGAGGCTAGCCTGGCCCAATCCAAGTTCTGGATCATGCGAAGCCTCTGTTTCCACACCTTGCTGTATAGGCCCAACCCAAGGCGGATCTACCTCGGTCGTAGAATTCGGCTTTGCGCTATTCGGGGCTGAAGATGTTGCGGCCTTTTCAGGGGCGTGTCTTTCCGGAATAGACTTGCGTGCCATGCGAAATATGGACAATGGGTTCAGTACGTAGTCAGGTGCGCTTTGCACTGGGGTTCCCGGAACACTCTCACTGCTGTCAAATTAGTACTTTCACTTCGAGTTCAGATATGTGGGAGACAAACGTCTGGTCTTCTTCTCCATGAGGTTGGTAAGGATCATCGGGTATACTATTCTGGGCGACAACATCTGAGCCTATACCTGAGCGGTCAAGCATGGTTTCGGCTGCAGAGCACTGATAGGGAAAGCCTGTTAGCCGCGAACTTTAGTTTCCGGGTATTTTGGAAACTGTTTTGCTAACCAGTGAGTTAGAAATCATGCTGAGTGATCCCATCAGTTTCAAGGAGCTAATGTTACTCCGCAGGAGAGGAATAGTCTCAATTGTAATTCTTCTTGTTTCGTCGGCACGGGGGTCAAGGATCTGTGTTAAATGATAGACCATAATCCTGCTGCTGTCGTAAGTAATCGTTGGAAGCCAGGAGTCTGCCAACATGCGTGATCCGTGGCTGGCTGTCTCCCCGATGATACTCGCTAGTGACCTTGCCGCATCGAATAGAACCTGTTGTAGTTGTTTCAGAAAGTCCCGCTGTTCAGGAGGAAACTCGAACGCAGCGCGCAGCTTGTATAGAGCTGGTGCGCCTAGTCGGTACAAATCGCATATTGTCTGGTAGTGCGCGCAGTGTAAGACGCAAAGAGCACCAAGTTGCGAGCTGTCTTTTCTGATGTACATCGCATTGCGTGTGAACTGCAAGCTCGGAGGCAAGGATTCGTACCATGTACGACAATCTGCGTCCAGCATAGCGAACTCGGACTGAGGGTCCCAAGGGACCATGGCTTCATCGAGATGTTTGATGTATCTTTGTTCTAATATTAGTTGAAGCGATCGCGGTATATGGGGCAATGGGCAGTATACCTCAGAACTCTTTTACGAACCGAGACATGCCGAATGAAATATGCCATAATACCCATGTTCGGTTGGATTGCGCTAGCTTCCACGTCTTCAGGAACAAAACTCAGCCAGCTTCCAGGCTCCAGTGTTTCTGTGAGGCATGCAATCTGCTGTGTGAAATTCCGCTCATTGCAAGGTAGCTGAATTTTCATGTCCTTCTCGTCAACTAGTGTCAGCTGGTCAACTCCGCTTCCAACGAGAGCATCCAACACATAGCAACTCCACATGAGTCGCCGACGAGATTCCCTGGCAGTTATCGAAGGGCCAACATCATTATTCTGGCAGAGCAGATCTGTGTTGTATTCCAGGTTGATCTGCAAGGCTTGGGTCATGCGCGTAATGATTCCACTCAACATAAACGCATTGGCAAAGTTCGCCATGCGGATTGCATAATCGTTTAACAGTACAGCTGCCTGTCAAATGGATTTCAGTAAGACTTCTAGAAATAACAGCAAGAATGTAGACAAACCCTCAAATTCTCGATCGTGACAGTATCCAGCGAGTCGAGGATAAGACTTTGGGCAACTTTGGCCCACTCATTGCCTGCCAATAGTATAAACTTCGACGGAAGCGGTGTTACAGTCTCACTGTAGGAAAGTGCATAAAATCTGCACGAATGATCAGTGGTCACCACTCACTAGTGGGTTCAAGCCCTCACACTTACTGGGCACCAAGGGCACAAATTATATGGAGCAGGGCATTGTGTTGAAATTTTTTATCTTTCTCCAGCCTCTGTAAAAATGTAGGTCTGTGGATGAAAGCGAAGCATCGTAGAGGGTGGATATTGTTAAAGTATTCTTCGACAAGCAATCTGATTTTCCAAGGGCTGGGTAGCTGACGGGCATTTATCCTGTTGAAGTGTAAGTCGAAGCACTATCAATCTTTCCACGAATTTCTGACCAAGCGAGTGATGATATTTGCGGCTCGACGGCGTCTGTTTCCAAAGAGTGGCGATATGATGGGCATGGGGATTGCGGCATGGATTGTTTTCCAGCAGCCTGCATTGAAGTAGACTGCAATAAAGATCCAGGCGATTCGCCAGAATTTCCGTGAGGGGTGAGCGAAGTATCTTGACTGTGCTGAGGGGTGACTTCGACGCGTTCGATCCAGCTAGGCTGAGCGGATTCGGAATAAACACAAGCGAAAGCCTTATTGTGGCATCTTCGACAAGCTGGGCGTTCTCCTGAACATTTTGTTTTCGAGGCCCGACACGCTGTACAAGATCGATATGTCCGTTTTCTTTTAGAGCTTTGTCTCGCTTCTTGTGAGATTTCCTGGCCTTGATGTCTTGGTGATGTCCCATAGCCTAAGCAAACTAAGCGGAGCCTGGCACAATTACCACATTCACCCGGGCGTTCATCGCACTTGACCTATCATAGCCGAGGAATGTTAGACTGGGAACATTCTGTATGTAACTGGAGTTATCTCACTTTACGCGCCCGACAGGTTCGACAGCCTGCTTATGTTACTATCATGGCTCCAAAATCTATGTCAAAGGAACGACTTACCAAAGCGTGATCTCGATGGCTTAGATACCGCTGAACTTGAACTACTCGCCATTTTGCAGCAATATCTACTGTGTATTATCCCTGAGATGCTCGGGACGTTGTTCATTGAGAGCAAATTGATGTAAATGGAGAGTTTCGGGTCATCGGCAACACAGCGGTCGGTCGGCTGGCGATCCCACGATGTGGTGAAATAGAGGCACGCAATGACGGAATGAGAAAAAGCGGGGAACTGTGCGCTTCGCGAGGCTGTGCGGTCAGCCGCCTGGACTCAATATAATGTGGCGCATTTACACAATCGAGGGATCTTCTTAAATCTATGTGAATATATTCTACCAGGTTTGCCAATTGAAAGCTCATTATACACGCATGATGGCCCCTCTCCCATTGATAGCTGTGAGACTAGAGAAAAGGATTGGATCTATGACAAAAGAAATGTCTTTGGTAAAAGTTCAACGGTGACTAAGGCCGCTACTAAGCATTCTCACTACTGGCTTCACGTCAATTCAAATACAGAAATTCGGATGAAGCGGTATAACCGAATAAACATTTGCGTCAACTCGTCAAGGACACGAAACATTACCGTTCTTGGCAAGAGTTAACCATCGCAGTAAGCCAGAATACTTGTTTGACATCAGATTAACGGCATATCAAAGCGTCAATCTATCTTCATAAAACGCCGGAAATTTTCCAAAAATTATTTGTCGAAGCTCGGCATCATAGGGATAGTGCATTCGCGCCAATGGGAGAATTCCTGTATTCTCGAAAGCGCAACATCCCGGTGGAATTCTGCAGCTTCAAGGTTTGCGGGGTGGATCAGCCACCGTGATGCTCGCTCATGCGAGGATTTATTTCGAGAGCCTCGTAATGCTCAATGATGTTGAGACGTGTAATGCTTTCCATTAATCGCTTGTAGGTCTCTTGACTTGCTTTATCCCAGTATGACTGATTGCATACATGCATGAAACCTGCGACTTGTTCGCCTCAAAGAAACTTCGAAATCCATAGTTCTAGAATCGGCTGTTTACCTGCCCATCTATTGAGTATGGCCACCCTGAAAAGGCAGCCTTGTCATGCCTTCTGGATTTGGCTACAGCGTGGTATAACCCAATCCGCAACCCCGGGGGTAGTGATCCTTTTCTTGTTTATACCGGTGGATATTACTAGCTCTTGACTACGACCTGGACCGACGTTGAGGTTGCACGAGCAACAACCATAGCTGGTCTGGAGACTGCGACAAAAAAGTCTGTCTACTCTACCTCTACGGCCACGCGATGCTGTAATGTTTGGTCTCCGGAGGTCCATTATCTGGGAGACACATGGTATATCTATTATAATGCTGGGAAACCACCGACTTAGATGGACAGCGGCTCCATGTATTAACAGGTAATTATCCATGACTATTGCTAGTGTATGCAAATTCCTCACAGCAAGAATTTAGGTGGTTCTACTCCTTGGGACGACTTCACCTACACTGGTCAACTCACCACTAAGTGGTCCACTGATGCGTCTGTGCTGCGGTTCATGGACTACGGAAACTTCATGATGTTCTCATGCTTCCGCGGTGTGACATATCAATCTATTTGCATTCAACAGCTCGGATCCGACTATGTCTCCTTGACGGGCGATATCTATGTTATCTCCCAGCCTACCAAGTCATGGGAAATAAACGGCACGCCTGTGAACGAAGCACCTGCCGCTCTTTACTTCGGAGGAACGACCTACATATATTATTCCGCTTCGTACTGTTGGACGGCAAACTATTGTTTCGGGCTATTGACATGGGACGGCTCTACAGATCCCACTGATTCTAGCGCTTGGTCGAAGAATGATGGATGCGTTTCCTCTTCCGCGAATGGAAATTATCGCATAGGAAGCAATGGTTTCTTCCAAAGTCCAGATGCGAGTCAAACATGGATCGTTTATCATGCCACAGAGTACACCTCCGGTGCGCGCAATGACAGTAGGTATACCATGGTTCAGTTACTGTGTACTCATAGCGATGGAAGTCCAAATTTCGGCAGTCCAGTGGCTTGGACTCATGCTTATAGCGAGCCAAGCGGAGAATAAGTCTAAGGAGGCTACCATGGGTATTCCACTTACCTAGTGCTGATGTACCTGATCGTCCCTGAGGGGCTGGTTAGATAGTGATCAATAAATATGTTTGGAGCTTCCAAGTGAAATGATCAAGGTTCACTGAAATTGAAATGATTTTCAAGGTTCTTCCACCAAAACATTTCTGTTGTCGATGACAACGGTAAATCGAACGAGATTTGGAACTCATTTCTATGGCATAGTTGCTTGTTACTAAACACCCTCATGAAACCTCTCAAGGTTGGAGGAAATGGGTTGCACAAGGTTGTAGGTACGATTTGCTCGGCAACCAACATATCCTATGCCACACGCAGAGGGATATGGACGTAATGGACGCGCAACACGCTCAGTTTTCCACCACGATGAGTCTTCTTATGTATATCCAACCCAGGTTCAAAATTTTCGTTGTCTCTAATTTCCCAGCCCGGGATCTGCAAAATCTCCAATCTGACCGCTAAGACTCGTTTTCTCTAGCCACGTTCCATATTCTGTCTGTCCTAAAAAACCTGTAAATTACCAAACGGACGATGCGTCAGGCCTCACTTTCCTGACTGACTCAGGGTGGCTGGGTGCCTGAACCTATTTTGATATCACAATAGCGATCGATTCGAGTTGCGACCGTCTCCAAATCGCTTGCGATTCAAAACAACTCCCTTTCTTGTTCAGTATATAATGGAAAAGAAAGATGGTGTTCGACGCTGAGTGGGACTATTTCTCATTCAATCCTCCGGTTCCCAGGTTTGACCCGCAATGTTATCTGAAGTTCCAGCAACCCAAACAGCCATCATCCAGTATCATGGCGGAAGTTTCAAGATTACCTCGGGATTGGCAATACCCGAGCTCAAGCCGCAATATGTACTCGTACGAACCGCATCTGTGGGACTTAATCCCTGTGACTTCAAGATGCCTATGCGCTTTCCTACCCCGGTCTCTGGGACGGATATGACTTCTCAGGTCCTGTCTGTGCTCTAGGTAGCAAGGCAGCAGGTCGATTTCACATTGGAGATTGGGTTTTCGGTGCTGTTCAAGGATCTAATCAATCTGACCCGGCCTCAGGCTCTTATTGTGAGTATCTGAGGATTGATCAAGACTTTCTGTTTCGTATTCCGAAGAGAACCTCTTTCGAGGTTACACCAGCACTCTCCGGAACGGGAATTTCCACGCTTGGAGTTGCTCTATTTTGGTCGCTTCAAATTCCTGGGAGCTTAGAAGTCCCTTCTGAGACACCTGTGGACGTTCTAGTATATGGGGCCAGCAGTACTATTGGGCTTCTTGCTATTCAGAAGGTAAAGCTGTAGGTTTTCTCCGAAAATATATGAAGTGCTTTCTCCAAAAATTTAGAAGGACTCACCATGAACTGACGATTATATACCTGTGGTCACTGTGTTACAGCAACCTGCTCGCTGAAGAACTTTGATCTTGTTCGGTCCTATGGTGCCGATCTAGTTTTCGATTATAACTCTAAGTCTTGTGTACAAAATATCCGGACTGCTACAAAAAAAACCCTTCGCTATGCTCTTGATCCATTCGCCGAGGCTAAGACCCTGCTTTTATGCCAGGAGTCTATCGGTCGGACTGGTGGAAGATACTGTGCATTGGAGCAGTACTAGGGGCATCTTTGTACTCGAAAACATCTTTGTACTCGAAAAACTGTCAAGAATGAACTTGTTATGGGAGGTGCTATCTCTGGCAATGGTGTGCAGCTGCCAGAGCCATATGGCATTCCCCCACGACCGGAGATAGGGACCTGGGCTAGATCATGGTATAAAACCGTTCAACGTCTGATCGAGGATGGCGAATTGAGACCTCGCCCTGTCAAATTGCTCCCTAGGCGATTTGAAGGAATCATCGAGGGGCTGAAAATGTTGAAAGAAGGCACTGTTGCAGGCCAGAATTTAGTCGTTCTACTGGAGAACGCAGAGTAGTTTTCATAGGGCTTATGTGGGAGCTGCTCGCACTGCTTTTATGTACTCGGCGCATGCTGATAGATTAGAAAGGAAGGATTTGAATTTGACACGGAGAATTTTTGACGAGTGGGTGTAGTTCATCTCGACAGTAGACCGATTTTTATGATCCACAATCCACGCCAACTGAATCCCTAGCTCTCTATGAGGACATGTGAATGTGATGTGTATATAAATACTTTGTCCGGCTAGTCTTTTATTCCCAAAGTTTCGCTAGGCCACTCTGTCAAAACCTGTTTACTGGATTTAATTAAGAAACCGCCGGCTATATGTCGTTGAGATCTCAAAGTTTCAACTCGCCGAAGCAGTCAACACGATCCAATTATCACTCTTCCAAGACTCTTGTGAACGGTTGTAGGAATGCCGAATGCCACATCTCCTTCACAGGTCCGTCCGATGATCGGTAGACGAAGAAGTATTCCTGCAGAACTACGACCGCACTGTCCCATCTCTCAAGTGACAGTTCATGGGCGGATTCTTGAAGTTTTTGCAAAAACGAAGAATGGCAACTTCGACCCCTAGAGGCCAGGCTGCCGATGAATAAGATCCAGAGAAGAAGATCTGGCGCAGTGCTCTTGAGAGAGGCCGAGCTCGCTTGGAGGCTTTTTCGAAGAGTACTGACAAAAATATCCGCACATGGCATGCCTCCAAATCCCCTGATTCGAACCACGGTATAGATTAAGATTGCGAGTCGGAGTGTATCTTGGAATGCTGGGAGGGAGCGGTCGTGTGCCAGTGTTAATAGTTCATGGTTCAGGAGAAGCAGTCCGTCATTGTCCATGCGTGTCTGTTTCCAGGATGAGCAGCTCACATTCTCATATAATGACACAAGCTTTTTTAATGAACACAGAGATGATATAAGCTCTGGATGAAGATCCGAGGACCAGGGGGAGGTGAAGAAGCGACGTCCGACGAATGAGGGAGCGATCTCATAGTTTTCCCATAGAAAAGGGCACTCCTTGCGGACTTTGAATTCCCATTTCCATGATTTGTTTAGTTGAACTGGCTTATCGTTAATCAGGCCTCTCATGAGGTCGCAGCTGGTAAGTAGGTTAGATGAATTCAGTTCAAATCGTAGGTTTTTAAATGCGGCTGGTAGGGGGCTTACACGTATAGTATAGAAAGTGCATCGTAACCCAAATTATTCAATCCACCCAAGACATCAATGATTTTCTTGATAGCCTTTTCATGAGCGCGGACTGCCAGTATATTAGCCTCGGCTGCCTAGGGAGAGTCATCGAGTCAGCATGATCTGCATTGCGGCTTTCGTATGACCATCGGGCACCATGAAAGCCTGATTCGACTAGGTTGCGTTACCTCTACACACATGATGTGGGCAATCACCCTCAAAGTCGCTTCCGAATAGAACTCGTACGGCTTTATCAAAATCCCTTGGAGTGATTTGATTGTTTCTGATCGCAACCGAATCGCATCTTGTGTCGAGCTCTGGATCATTTGAGGCGGTGCACCACTAACATAATGCACGGTGGCCCGATGAAAGGCACTTGTAGAGAGGAGGATTTGGACTAAAGCTGGATGATTGAGGGCCATTCGCAAATATCGAAATGTGATCTGGCTATCGCCCAAAGGGAAGCATAATTTTGTGGCATGAACTTGATCTATGGCATTATTTATTAGCTACACGGTCTGATAACACATCCCTAGCTCTATGAAGAGAAGCATATCTGTTAAAAGATCTGAATTCACTTACAGTGTTGAAGGTATAACGACATACTTTGGTTAGTAGGGCGAGAGAGGTAGGGGAATGCCATCGAAATGCATGCCTCGAGAGACTGACACAAGACTGGTGGCTTAGCAGTTAAGGAGCGGTCATTTTGAGAATTGCGACTACTTCGAGAATCATTGGAGATATAGTCGCTGACCGTCTCAGACTGTGGAGAATCACACCGCACTGGCTGCTTTTGCATCGACGATTTCAAGCTTCGCATCTGTGATTCTTTCTTCAAACGGTGATGCCTCGTCCTGATGAACGCCTGTTTCTCTCGGGAGGCATCTCGATCCTTCGGGTCCTCCTCCTGGGCGTTGATCCAGAGGAAATCTGCTGCTGGGGGATTTTTTTCATCCGGCTTTGCTTTTGTCGTTGGTTGTGGTCGTGTGGCATTCACACGAACAATCTGGTAGTTCGCCTTGGTCGACATCTTGATTAGTTATGGATTTCTGGGAAGAAAATTGTGACGCCACAGCCTCGTCTGAATTGAATGATGTCGGTAGAGGTTTTATATGAACTCTCATTAAGACTGAATAGTAGAATAACGGGGCTGACCTTGGGGCTGATAAAGCTGCGTCCAGCCTCTCGGTGATCGCGCGCTTCGATTGGCCATTGTGACCTTGTGCGACCCTGCCAGGATCGACCGGGGTCGGGGTCGCCGACCTGGACGCAGATTATTGGCCATTTTCTGTGGGGTGGTGAATGGTTTCAGGCAATAAAGGAGGTGATCAATGAGCTGGTGCAGATTGTTGTTCCATGGGTCTAACAGCCTTGACTCAGGAATGGGAAGTTCTTCTAGGATATAGCTCTCTTCAGTATCATTGGTCCCGTCAACCAACGGTCCGTCAGCCTTATCCAAGTGACTCGGAGAGACAGAATTGTTAGAAATGTCCGGCGAAATTTTCTGCCTAACTTTGATTGTAATTTGAATCTCAACCAGCGAAGTTTTTGACTAAAATATTACTCTGTAGCAGCATCTGAAACTGTACTGTAGGTAGTTCAGCTTTTTATGGATTCGCACACCTTCGCCAGTCACGTGCCGATTGGCCCTCCACCCCGCGGAGACCATTGAGTATTGACTATTGTCATATACCACGAACCAAGGCTTTAGCCCGCTCATCGTCTCAAGATGGCTGGGACTAGCTATGGGGGCTCAGCTTCTGATCAGAAGCTGCCAAAGAACACACCCTCGCCAGGTAATGGAGCAGATAGCGATGAGGAGGAGTTTCACGATGCGCGGTTCCCGCCCGAAGAAGAAGCTGTAAGTCGACCTTGAGTGATAGCCGGGAAGGGGACTAACTCTCATAATGACTATAGCGACTGCTGAAAGAAGCCCAAGATATTAAACAAGAGGCAAACCAGCTTTTTAGTTCTGCATGCTACGACCAGGCCATCTCCTCCTACGACCGCGCTCTCTCGTCCTGCCCCAACTACCTCGACTACGACGTTGCCGTTCTCCGGAGCAATATTGCTGCTTGCTACTTGAAACTTGAGGATTGGAAGGCTGCAATCGATGCGGCGACAGCATCTCTCGATCGCCTGGAAAAGATCATCCCTACACCTCCCGCCCATAACGAGCAACGAGACGGGCAACAATCGAATGACGCAAAAGCCAGCACACAGGAGAGCGGAGAAGTTGTTGAGTTGTCTGCGACAGATCCAGATGCAGAGGAGAAACAGCTGGCACTGTTGAAAGAACTCGACACGCAGCGTACAAATGTGCTGCGCATTCGAGCCAAATCCCTCATGCGACGTGCCAAGGCCAAATCCAATCTCGGCGGCTGGGCCAACCTGCAGGGCGCAATCGAGGACTATCAGGCTTTGAATACAATGGAAACCCTCCCATCCGACGAGAAGCGCATCGTACAGAAGGCGCTGCGGGAGCTTCCTTCCCGAGTCAACGAGGCGAAGGACAAGGAAATTGGGGAGATGATGTCCAAAATGAAAGATGTAAGTTGAGTTTTTCTTCATTCTCTGGAGTACATTGAGGCTAATTTTGAATGAATCTAGCTGGGCAACGGAATCTTGAAGCCGTTTGGTCTGTCCACAGATAACTTCAACTTTGTCCAGGATCCTAAAACCGGCGGCTATTCCATGAACTTTCAATCATGATGAACTCAAATAGGTCCTGGAAAGTTCAAGGACTTCTCTCCATTCACTTCCTTCTTGATGGAGAATGATACAACCTCTACGGGACGTGCTCGGTCGTTTAACTGGATCTTCGGATCAAGGAATCGAACAAGCCAGATGCAAAGCAAAGCGACAAACTGGCGGTGTTGCGAACCGCTTGGACTCCTGCGAGGTTGAATCGTTTCTCAGGCATTCCTCGTGTAGAACATGTGTACGACTGGCAGACTGGCAGACAGCCGTAATAGCGGGCTCGAAAGATGCACTTATCATTGGCTTTGACAACCGAAGGTTGATGTACATAGTCGACGTGAGTGGATTTAGACTTCCAAGAACGTCGAGAAAAGCCAGAACTAGCGCTTCCAGCCCACCTATGTTCATATTCTTCGACAGCATAAATGAATACACTATAGAACATATTTCCTACTGAGATAATCCCCCCAGGCATCATTTCAACTGGATTTGTATAGAACAAGGCATAACGTGCATAATTGACGATGACTACCCGATTCGGCTAGTGCACGCATAATATCTCATCCTCACCGCCGTCGTCATCACCAAAAACAAAACGAAGCCTACAGAGCTCCTTTCTTTCGCAACCCAGTGCTTCCGACCAAACACGACTCGAGTGCACCATTTCCTACTAGTCACTAATTGCATATCCGTCTATCGAATCCTTGTCATCTGTGCTATCAACATTCTGCAATATCTGCGCTCAACCCACTCCATGGACCGGTAGCCTCAACGCCCCGCATACAACCCATTTCACCCAAAGCACGCCAGGTGCAAAGGGCCGGCTTGATTCCACTACAATGTCATTCACGGCCTCGGCTGCGACCGCCTTATTTACAATCCTTGCCGATGACTCCGACGATGACGATGGAGGCAGGCGTTGGGGAGACCAGACAAAGTCGCGTGATTTGTACACTCAGTTCGTGATCAGTTTCGCGCTGGGACTCGGCGCATTCATATCGTTCTGTGTAGGTTGGACTTGTATTTTCAATTACTCATGTTTTGTCGCTAACCCTGATTTCACGTAAAGGTCCTGAGACCAAAATGGACGGAGCTCTATGCCGCACGGAGGCGACAACGTTGCGCCGCTTCGGGGCTACCAGAGCTGCCGGATAGCTTCTTCGGATGGATACCGGTACTCTATCGGATTACGGAAGAGGAAGTCCTGCACTCTGCAGGTCTGGACGCATACGTGGTGAGTAGAATATTTCCGATACTGGCATTCATCACACCAGCAGTATTATGCTAACCGGACCCTGTGGCCCCATAGTTCCTCTCGTTCTTCAAATTCGCGATCAGGCTACTACTGTTCATCTTTGTCTTTGCTGTTACCGTGATCCTTCCGCTTCACTTGAAATATACAGGCCAGTCCGGTTTTCCGGGGTGGGATGATATGGATCCACCAAATAACCAGACTATGAGCGCGATCGGTCTACTGGGCAAGGAAAAGGACAAGGACAAGCTTGTGACCGACCCTGGATATATCTGGATCTACGTTTTATTCCCCTATATCTTCAGCGGTATGGCTTTCTACCTGCTCCTCCGGGAGACAAACCAAATCATCCGCACTCGACAGACGTATCTCGGAAATCAGACTACTACTACTGACCGCACCGTTCGCTTGTCCGGGGTTCCTCAAGACTTGACCAGCGAAGACATGATCAAAGATTTCGTGGAGGGACTCCGTGTGGGCAAGGTGGAGTCCGTCACACTGTGCCGAAAATGGGGTGAACTGGACCGCCTGATTGATGAACGGATGGAAATTCTCCGGCAATTGGAACGCGCTTGGACTAAACACCTCGGATACAAACGCCCTCGGAGGGATGGGAATACATTGCCCCTGACCCATCAACCCCCATATACCAGAGCCCGGTTACGTCTGGAGGAGGATGACGAGACATCTCAATTGCTAGACGGCGCTGACCACGAACATGTTTCGGGATATCTCCACGAGCGACCAAAAGTTCGTATCTGGTACGGTCCCTTCAAATTGCGTTTCCGTATGATCGATGCAATCGACTACTTCGAGGAGAAGTTGCGCAAAATCGACGAGCAAATCACTTCCGCCCGCGAGAAAGAGTATCCTCCAACGGAGATCGCCTTTGTGACTATGGAATCCATTGCAGCTTCTCAAATGCTGGTCCAGGCCACTCTTGACCCGCATCCCATGCAAATGTTTGCTCGGCTTGCTCCCGCGCCAGCGGATGTCGTCTGGAAAAATACCTATCTCTCTCGTACTCGGCGAATGACACAGTCCTGGCTCATCACCGCTGTGATTGGTTTCCTCACTATCTTTTGGTCCGTTCTTCTGGTTCCAATCGCGACTTTGCTGCAACTGGATACACTGCACAAGATTATACCGTCTCTCGCGGAGACATTGGCCGAGCATCCCATTCTCAAATCTTTGGTTTCGACTGGTCTGCCGACTTTGGCCTTCTCCCTGTTGACGGTCGCTGTTCCGTATCTCTATGATTGTAAGTGTCCTCCGTTGTTATAACCAGTTTTTTAGCGAATCTTGGAACCCTAATGAGGTATACAGGGCTCTCAAAGAACCAAGGCATGATGTCTCGTGGCGACGTTGAACTTTCTGTCATCTCGAAGAACTTTTTCTTTTCCTTCTTTAACCTGTTCCTCCTGTTCACCGTTTTCGGTACCGCGACCACCTTCTACAGTTTCTGGGAGCGCCTGCGCGATGCATTCAAAGATGCCACCACGATCGCCTTTGCCCTTGCAACATCCTTGGAGGGGTTCACGGGCTTCTATGTTAATCTCTTGGTTCTCCAAGGACTGGGTCTTTTCCCCTTCCGACTGTTAGAATTTGGCAGCGTCGCATTATACCCCTTGCAGTTCTTCCGCGCTCGAACTCCCCGCGAATACGCGGAGCTTGCCACGCCGCCAAAATTCAGTTACGGCTTCTCTATTCCCCAGACCATCTTGGCTCTGATCATTTGCATCGTCTACAGTGTTTTCCCCAGCTCGTGGTTGATTTGTCTATTCGGTTTGGTTTACTTTTCGTTCGGCCAGTTCATCTACAAGTATCAACTCTTGTATGCTATGGACCACCAGCAACACTCAACCGGTCGTGCATGGCCGATGATCTGTAACCGGCTGTTTGTCGGCCTGGTGGTGTATCATCTGGCCATGATTGGAGTACTCGCCTTACGTGGCGCGATCACTCGTTCATTGCTCCTCGTCCCTCTCCTGGGCTTCACCATGTGGTTCTCCTACTGGTTTTCACGAACCTATGAACCACTGATGAAGTTCATCGCGCTCAAGAGTATCAATCGTGACCAGCCTGGCGGTGGAGAGGTCTCGCCATCGTCTTCCTCCACTTTCTCCCCATCAACAGGCATGGATCGTGATGCGCTCCCGATCCGAATCGGTAGCCAGGAGCTTGGTTTGCGGTTGAAGAAGTACGTCAATCCGAGCTTGATCCTGCCTCTGCATGATGCCTGGCTTCCTGGTCGCAGCCCTGACCAGATCAACGGTGCATCTCCGCCTGCACATCCAGACCTCGCGGATATTGTCTCCATTTGAGTGAAGTGACCTTCCTCACCCACGTCCCTGGATATACCTTGTCAATCTCTCTTGTTCATTACTCGTTGTTGAGCTCGGTCTGATTCTCCCCGTTTCGGATTCTTAATGATATACGACCTTGATACCTCTCTTGTATCTATTTCCTGCGCTTGTTCCTGTGGATAGATCGTTCCTCTCTTTTTTACATTGTGTACTTAATATTGTTGCCGTTGTATTTTACGTCCTTTGGTACATACACTGCTAGATACCAAGCCAATCCATTCGTTTCATCTCAATCAGCTCTTACTGAGGCTGGGCCATTACTGTTGCAACAACAAAGTTGCTGGCCGGTGTAGCGGACCCAATTAGTTCGACGTGTGATTGGATCACCGGATCTCTAGGTAACTAATTTGGGTCATAGTTAAGTGTTCGATATCTGATTTACTAAGCTCAGGCTCTTCAGGACCTCCATCTGTGCCCACAATTGCTATAAGACCGGCGATTCGAAGAATCTGGGCTGTCATTTGTCGATTTTTGGAGGACGATGAAGTATCTGTTTCACTTGAAAGGAAAGACCTCGGCTAAAGGAAGCTCACTTGATAGTACAAAGTTCTTCAAATTCATCAATAGTTCAAGTAAAATCACAGTAAGGCAGTGCTATAAATGCAAGGATCTGTTTGTATCGGAGCCTCGCCCCAATAAATGCATCGTATCGACTACTCGTCGATCAACCGTCAGGTATCCCAGTTCCAATCGTCGCCGTGTGCCAGGCTCTAGGTTTCCGACCTCCATGTTGCCGGTTATGCATGTGCTAATCATTAGGCAATCGTAGCGGGTCTTGTGGGACTGTAGTTCTCCTTCCCAGTTCCCATAACTTCCGATATTCTAAGCACCAGTCTCGACCATTCAAGACTGCGCAATAACCTTCTTCAACGCAGCAGCATCCTTGGGCACAAACCGCACCTTATACTTCTGCGGGATAGCGACCAAACTAGCCGGGTCCGAGTTACCTCGCACAGGATGCCAGTCCGTGTTGTCATGGGGCTCAATGCGGAAACTGTTGAGCGTCCGCATGAAGACCAGGTACAGTTCACGATTTGCCAGGAGAGAACCTGCGCACATGCGGTATCCGAGGCCGTATGTGAAAATTGGCGCATCGGGTTGTTCGAGCCAGCGCTCTGGTCGGAACTCCTCGGGGTCGGTCCATACATCGGGGTCTATGGGTTTGTTAGGCTGGTGGTTAAAGGGGAGATGTGTGTTGGTAGTAGCTTACCCATATTGCATGCCCACGCATTCAGGAAAAAGACGGTTCCCTTGGGGATGACGACGCCTTCGTAAGTAATGTCTCGGATGGAAGTGCGAGGAAGAGCTAGACGAAGCACGGTGAAGTAGCTTTGTGTTTTTGTTAGGTTGGATTCGCTGTTGTTTGGTACAAGGGTTACACTCACCGAAGACACTCCCTGACCAGGGCTGCGACATAAGCACATTTCTGATCATCGTCGGCCGAACACATAGGCTCATTCTTTCCGTACATCTCTTGGATAGCCTTGGCAGCCTTATCTTGCACATCAGGCCGAGTCGAGAGAAGACCAATACTCCAAGCCACCAAGGTGGTAACGGTGTCCAGACCACCAGAAAGCATAGTCAAGCTGATAGACGTAAGCTCCTCGGTATTCAACTTAGCCTCCTTGTCCAGAATAACATTCGCCTGAATACAAGGTTTATGGATACCCTTCTCCATCCGATCTTCCAAATCCCGGTTCAGAGCTCCAAGGTATCTATCACGGCGCGCACGCATCTCAGCAGCCTTCTTCGAATTTGTGCTGAATGGGTTCAACCGCAAGAGAGGAATGTAATCCTGCAGGTTACCAGTGGTGCTTCGGAACTTGCTAATTTCCTCTTCGACTTCGGTGATTTCATCGAATAGATCTTCCTCTTGTGATGCGATGCGGACGCCCCAATTGAGAGTCAGGGCCAGACTGAGACTCAGTCGTTGAATCATTGGCATCGGGTCGACAGGGGTCTTGCCGCCATTGCCGTAGCGGTAGAGTTCCTCCACGAATGCTTTGGATTCGACATCCAGATGGGAGACGTAACTTTCAACAGATGGGCGATTGAGAGCAGAGGCGGCACCCTTGCGGCGGCGCTTCAATGAGTCGCTGTATGGAGAGGTTCCGATGGTTGTACCGGCGGTGTTGGAGACGATCTACCCCGAGTTCCACGTCAGCATATATACAGGTTACATCAAGAAGGTCTTTCTTTACTCACCTTGTGGAAAGTATAAAATTCCGGTCGCGAGCTCAAAGCCTGAGCATTCTGACCGAACAACACCTTCGCAGACGCAGCCGAGTTGACCACGACGACAGGAATATTACCCAACTGAATCTGATAAACAGCACCAAACTTCTTCGACCATGTCCGATACTGCTCCGCCGCGTTGACCCTGATTTGAGCCAAATTTCCAATGAGTGGAAGACCAGTAGGTCCTTTGAGACCCTTTACTCGGGCTGAAGACCGAACGAACTCGTTCAAGATGACGTATAGAATAGGAACCAGAATAGCGGCTACTCCGAGGGAGTGCAATGGGTATTGAATAATCCTACCCTGTAGCGAAGCGAGTGCCGTTGCGATAGCCATGGTGCAGATTGAGAAGATGCCCTTGGCGATACATTCAAAACCAAAGGAGGTAGGTAGTTGGACATCAGGCCCAGGGATATAAAGGAATGCCAGGGTGCCCAGCTATGGGCCTGAGGGCGCAGGATTTCCGTACTCCTTCTGGGGATGGGTCACATTTAGATGGAACTAGCCAAACAAACACTGCTGATTGGTACTAGGCACTACCATCCAGGATGGACTGGTGCAGTTGGTCAAGTTGGTTACCCCACACTTCATCCCCAGAACATCGACTTCATCCTAGACCGAGTTTCCGCACGCGGAGATGTTCCGCACTCTGGCTATCCCCGGAAAGTTGGCGCTCCAATGATATACTCTTAATTACAGTCTATAAGATATCCATGAATAACGTGTTGTTGTTGATTTTAAGCAATATTGTTTTATCATGTCATAGATCTGATTGTATTGTCAAACCTCGCCTTGTCCGAATGATTGGCTCAAAATGGAAGCCCGGATTTCACCTCGGAGGAATCTAATGCGATGATGTTCTATCGTACTTTGTTTTTCTACTTTAATTGCTTTATTGAAGTCAGTTTGTAAACGTCCTCTTCTATCCCCAAACTTACATACATGACGCAAAGAGCGTTGTGAAACTGAGATGGCGTCCTTCTGGCAAACATAACTAGGGCATACTGGTAGATGTTGATTACTCTAGATAAAATGACATGACGTGACTTGAACCCTTGCAACCTAGATTTAGCTATTCAGTTTATCGCATCCCTGAATACGCATCGTTGTCTTCTTTGTTTCTATATTCTTCGGCAGCACAAGTTAAAAAAAAATTAACGGTGACCAAGACAACACCAACAGATCTGCGATCCCTTCATTCTCGCTTATTCGCTTAGGCTTTGCAAGCATATCCCCTTGCAGTCTAATGTGTAGCCGATCTGCGAGATTGACGAGCAGGAGTCGAGTTGGTCGGTCTCATTCTTCCTTCCCGTTTTTCTACGGCTATGGCAATCTCGAGTTAGACCTACGTAAATCAGGACGGCTACAGGCGACCTGCGATAGTTCCATATGCCGATAAAAGAATATGTCTATGGGAACTGGGATTACCATGAATCCTTCTGTTTCCTAGACTAGTCGCGTAAAGGTCTTAATACGCGATTTGCTATCACTTCATGGGAGACAATATACATCCTGGACACAGATAGGTAATCTGAAAGCCGCATTGTGGATCAGAGGCTAGATATATATACCTTGAGTTAAGTATACCACCCCCTAGTTACCTAAGAGAGTGCCATCTCATATTGACTTGGCATCTTGGCATAGGTAGATGTCCTTGAAGATGCGTCTTGCTCTGTATTCTCTTTATCTTCTCCACGTTCACTAGGTACCTGTTTTGCTGCCTGGCTATCTCTCAGGGATTTGCGGGTATATCCGCCAATATCCCTTCTTGCCCCGCACGGAGAATAGCCTAAATCGGGTAGGGTGTATGTCCCTGTCTTAACCTAGAAGCAGAGAACTTTTTCATCAGCAGTAGTATAAATCTGCCGTTTAGCTTTTTGCCGCTAGCTCATTCAATTGACCGGGGATAATTGAGTTCTCGACATATCCAACCGGGCGGGTAAATTAGAAAAGCCCTTGCCCGAACATTGGACTTTACTATCTCCAATTTGTCAAAGAATCAGGATTGTTGTAATGGGTGATATTTTCATTCAAAGGTTGCAATCGCTAGCTTCTGTATGTATCTACAGTACAAGTTCTTCTCTGATTTTCGATACAGACAAACATTAAGCAAAAGGATGAGTAATTTTACAAACTTTAAGTCTGTCAAGGCCAATTGTAAGGGAAAAAGAGACCCAAAGACACTGTACATCAAAGTCATAGTACACATCCAAAGGGATGGATGGCCGTGGTCAGGTTCCTTCCTGATGGATCGCCGGACGGTGAATTGATATTTTGAAAAGTGGTTGATTTCGCTCGAAAAACCTCGATATCGACTTCATACAGAAACAGTGGTATAATTTTTGCAGGTTGAAGACCAAGTAGCTTAAACGGCAGACTCGTCGCGCATCTTACGGAAGAAGTCCATGACGCCAGTGAACACGACGAGAAGGATACCACCACCGGGGCCCAGACGGAGGACCTTGGGGATGAAGCCCTTGTACAGAGCTCCGAAGCCCTCCTCCTTCATGACGGTGCCCACGGCGGGCCAGGCCCAGTTGTACTTGGGGGTCTGGCCAGCAACCTTGGTGGTGTTCTGAATACGGGACTTGACGACATCCATGGGGGTGTTGAGGATAGTACCAGCGATACCACCAACGGTACCGGCGATCAAGTCATTGCGGGTCTGTTCGCTTTTGTTGCCGGGCTCGGGCTGGGGCAGCTGGGCGCGAACCTGGAAGATACAGCCGAAGTAACCGGCGTTCCAGAGGATGTGACGCCAGAGAGTGGACTCCAGACCGTTATACAAGGCGAGGGGGCCCTCCTGCTGAACAATCTTCTTCACCACATCCAGCATGCCGTTGTACTTGCCAGCGGAAGCCTTATCTTGCAGACGAATCTTCACCAGCTCGAAGGGAACCACGACGAAAGCCTCGGTCGCACCAGCAGTCGCACCGGTCAGAACGGCCAAGCTCTGGGTCTGCTTCTGCACACCGAAGAGGCCACGGTAGAAAGTACCCCAGCTGTCGTTGGCCGCAAACTTGGTCGCACGCTTGGGAGCCTCCATCAGAATAGGCGCGGAGATACCGCGGTACAGACGGGAGAAACTAGAAAGACGGGGGCGTGAGCGTCGGGAGACTAGTGCCGTGGGAGAGGCGAGAGGACTCACCCTTCTTGCTTGATGATCTTGCGGAAGCAGTCGAACATGCCATTGTAGTGCTCACCACCAGCGGTAGCGGCTCCGGTCTGAAGTTGCCTGTATAGATGGGAGAATGGTTCGTTAGCCATTGAGGAATCGGGAACAGGTCATCCGATTGGGGAAAATCACACTTACACACGAGTCTTGACAACGTCCAATGGGTACCTATTGAAGTCGCAATATTAATATCCACAAGCTCTACTTCTGTAAAATGGTATACGCAGGCATCACAAGTTGGATTTGCGCTGCTTGGGCAAGTCAAGGGTGGGCAATGGAAGCGTACATCATCAGAATCTGGTGGTGCGGGGAGAGCAACGTTAGTTATTGGGCGTCTTTCTGGGAGTCACGCGATGCGACCAAGCCGACATATACAGTCGAGAGACGTCTATAGACACAGAAGTGCATACCTCAGAGACACCAGCCACCGCACCGGCGGCGAACTGGTAGACGAAGGGGAGGGGTTGTTGTGGCTTGTCAGACATGTTGGGCGACCGGCGGACCTGGGGAGTCGTGTTAGCAATGGTGGAATGGATTATTAATTACAGAGAGTGCTCAAAAAGACATTGAGAATGGGAAGACTTACCAAAGAGACTGGTCGACAACCAAAAAAGAAGGAATGAGGGGAGGGGAGAGGAGAGTGGAAAGTCGAGAAATGGAGAATAATGCAAAGAGATGTGAGTTGATTGCGGGTGCCGGTGTCGGCAAGATTCGGTGTTTTCCCCGGAAGCAACTGCCATTCCCCAACTCTGGACTATGGACAGCACGTGATACACCGCAGGAATGAACTGCCGGATAATGGCTCACCGGGACACGGGACTGGCTGACTCAGCCCCATGGGGTTTTGATTTTCCCTGGATCCACCAGCCAATCATAAGTGGAGAATTATCTATGGAACAATATATCGAGATGGAACGTAGCAATTGAGACATTTTATAGTCTGTTTCAATGCATGGAAGTGGGTTGGTTCACTCACTACCCAAGACCATGCCCTTGGGAGAAACCCATGGTTTTCACATGGTATTGACACGTTCAAGACCCGTGGGCTGGTAGTGCTCAAGGTGTTTGAGTAACACCAAGAGTCTGTGATTATGAGGCTGGTAAAATTTCAAAAAGGGACCGTGTAACAGATCCTGCTTATGGAAGATATATTAAAGTCTTGGTGACATTGTTTAAACTGACTCGCCTCTCGGACTCAATGAATATCGAACAACGACTACCAGGTCTTTGCGTGATGAATCGATGCCAGTCAACTAATTGTTACATGTAGAGAGTTTGCAGAGGCGAGTAAATACTAGATATACTAAAACTTTCCAGGCTGGAGTTTATGGGACAAATTGAGGCTGCAGGCAATTGTGAAATGTTTCAGATAACGCTATGAGCTCTGCGCAACCTATCCATCTTGTATCCGCCGTATAATATTCCGAGGATTTGTCAATCGTCCAAGATTGCCCTAGGTTACACTCATGTAATCTGTTTCATCTAGCTGTCCACCTCAGTCCCAGAACCAGGCTCGCAGCTGCTGTAAGGCTCCAGCTTTGTTCGCGGCTGAGTCTGACACAGTCGGCAAGGAAATGATGGGACAAAGTGTTAACCCCACACGCCACGATGGGGATTCCCCCGCTACATTGCTGTCCAGTCGAGATGGAAATTCTCCGCCTATCTGAAGATGTACTGCAGGCTATAGAATGTCTCTTTCTAAATTGTGTTCTAGGGCCGATGGGATGCATGAAAGTTCATGCATTGATACAGCTCCTGGTGGAAACACTCAAGGATATCCTTAGAGGATCTGTCAGACAGGGTATAGTAGTTGCATGATTGATTTCTCAAAATTTTGCGGATGATTGAACCCTGAGATCTATTTCTTCTCCTTGCAACGCTTTTATCGAATAGCTTGAAATATCATCTACCTAGGAAAGCGTACACGTCTGCCGCAATTTGAATACCTAGCGTATTCAAATATGCTAGCTTCTTCTATGAATGCTTAGAAACTAGTATGGAATCTAATGATAAAAGCTGGATCATATTCACATCCAGAATGAGACTCGAACCAATTTTTCAATAATATCATCAAAGGCCTTGGCGACCTTTAGAGGATCGCAAAATGAAATAAATCCTTGCAAAAGCCTGATTAGACTTGATCAGCGCAAGCTAAGACTAAAAATGGATACTTTGGGCATCTTCAAATCAGTTGCTATTTTACATTGACATAACAGCTCAGGCATTACTTTCAAATAGAACCATTAAACTTCAGTCTCATGCTTGGCCTGATGCCGAGGTGGATAATTTTCCAATCAGCAAGTTTCGATTTATTAGCCTAGACATCATAGATAGCTGTCTTTATCTAGCGGGTCGGAATGCATATCATCCATCACACGAATACACAGAGCTATTGACTTACTCTTCATATCACTCTTTACAAAGACCCTGATGTATAGGTTCATTTTGAGCTTAAATCTGTTGCAATGCACCCAGCTTTGAATTACCGACAGTCTCGGCGATCCGCTTGTGATAGATGTCGGGGATTTAAACTACGTTGTGAACGGGATCAAGTGCGTGGTAGATCCTGTGAAAGATGTCTCAAGGCTCAAGTCCTTTGTACCACAAGTCTCAGTCAATCAGCCTTTCCTTCGTCAAAAGTCAATACTCCAACCCTGCCCAGCGAATATGACGGGAGCTTTCGCAGTTTTAATCGACTATCTATGTCAGCTCTTCAAAGGCACACCCTTTCAGGGATACAGAAGTCGCCTGTACCTTCTGGAGTTCTGCGAACACAATTCGATCCATCTTTATATCTCGCAAACCGAAACATGGGTTTGGGGCTAGATGACTTTGCTGTATCATTACAACCCAGCAAGCCCTTATCGGTGCCTCCTGATCAATGGCACAATGCAAATTTATCTTGGGATGCAATTCCATCTTGGGATCCAAATCCATCTTGGAAGGTAAATCCATATTGGGATATCAATCAATCTTGGGACTTCAACTTTCAAACTGTCAGTTCCCTACAGTAGACTCAAAAGTCTTGGTTGTGCTTTTACTAATCAGCGGGATGACAGCAACCGATCGATTTGCGTTTGTCAGATCATGAAGATCACCTCAAGAATTATGTACCATTCTCCGACAATAGACCTTTGTCCAGTTATTCGAATGAGTTCATCACGAACGGAGTGTTCACCTCCCTTTCTGATCCCTTCGCCGAGCCTCGTATTCCTCCTACGGAAGAATGGAATTCGAGAAGCCCACAAACTACGCAAAAGAGGCTGCTCAAGTTGAATCTAGAATTAATAGAGGATCTCGAGCTTCTTGAATGGGAGTCGACTGCACCGGCATCAATAAACTTCTTAGGCGACAATATGAACCCCACAGTCGACAAACTCGACGTTCCAATTTTTCGCATGCTGAACCATTCAACCAGACTATTGGAGATACTTCAGTCTGAAAGACAACTATCCGAGGCTCACATTGCTATCACTCAATCGCCAAATAAACCGCCCACGGAGGAGGCAATGGATGACGGTATAGCGACAGTCTCTTCGCATGATTCGGGATACTTGACAGCGATAGCATCGCCCCAGGAGACAGCCCAGGTCTTGCCTCCGCGGCACACGTTACCTCTGTTTCTGAGTATGTTGACAACATACTGCCATCTTACTCGACTCTATCATGCCATCTTTACACAACTTTATCAGATGTTTCTCATCGTTCCCCCTCCTGAAGATTCAAGGTTCTTATTTCTTTCAAGTTCGGGGATGGACGGAACTCTAGCGGTTCAAGTTCAAATGCTAATCGAGCTCAGCTTCAGTATGCTCGCAAAGCTTGAACATGAGTTGGAGTCTGATTTTGGCACCGACTCAGATTGGATGTCCAGTTCCACTGTCCCGATTCAGGACAATACTTCATTAGCGGCTATTAAAGAACACATAGTGGCCCATGACGGCATACTTTCTGGGATCCCCTTGAGGGAAGCGATGAACTGTTTAAGTCGGCTTGTCACGGCGTCTGCTGAAACATGATCTTTGAATTGCTGGGGTTTAGAGAGAATTTCAAAATGCAACAATGTGCCTGTTTGTTTATTACAAGACTACGGCTATGAACATAATCTGAATCATCAATAAAACCCCTCTCTGTGTATTTGACTCGGCTGTAAACCCGCGGCCTGCATTCCATTTACAACCGAGTCTCCAAACCCATTAGGGCCACAAATAAATACTTCTTTATCCTTGGAAGTACCTCTCCAGTATTCTGGGCGGATACGCCCTTGGTGGACTGTGATCTTGGCGTTTTGTCTATTAAAGGGCTCCATGTCGACAGCTTTATTTGTGAATATCTCAACCTTAATGCTGACCGTCGGGGCCATCCTTTCAAGCGCCGGTTGGATCAATCGTAGCATAATTTCCGGCTCTCTAGTTGCCAGAACCAGAAATATATCGCCTTCAGCACGAGAACCACGTTGCTCCAGTGCTTGAATCATCGCTAGGAAAGGCGTTATTCCGATGCCCCCAGCTATCCATGAGACGTCGAGTTTGTCGGAGTTGATGAAAAAGTCGCCCGTGATGCCCACAATTTCTGCAGACACAGAGCCATTGAACTTAACAAGATGCCCCATTTGATTCAGCGAGTAATCTTCGAGGATGTTAAATAAAGCACCCGTCACTGCACCGCCGGGCATTTTGCGCATAGTCAATTCAAACCATGTCGCATTCTGTCCTTCGTGAGCACTCGATACCGTCCATGTACGGACTCGATCATCATTGATCGATTCAGGGGCTGAGTCTGCCATGTGTCGGTACCGAGGAGGTCCTATCCAATCCATAAAATCAAGCACGATGGCCTGACCTGGACGTATTTTGAGCCCTGCGGTACCAGGATTTGTGTTGACTTTGAACTTGAACACGGCGAGATCAGAAGACAGTTGCACAGCTTCTTGAAGATTTGCTTTGTGTCCTTCGGTTTCACTCATTTCCGATCCCGTCTCTTCCACCAAGTATTTGATCTTTGGACTGTATGGGCTCCGTTCAACAGATGTCCCAGGTTGCTGTCGCACAGGTAGGGCATTTCGGACTAAGGTATAGCCAGTCACCTTTACTGTCGTAAGGCTCGAGTGTCTGGTCATAATTTGAGATGCGGCCGGGCCCACATGATTCTCAGCGGTGCCTGACAGATAAAGGACATCGCCTGTTGAGAAGGAGACGATAGTTAATCCTGCTAGACCACTCGATTCGATATTCCCCAGACTTGTAAGGAAGCGGTTTCCGGAATAGTCAGGGATCACTACAGTGCGGCCATCGGATGGACTAACGCGAATGAAGCCCGGTAAGCCGCTTCGAGCATTCATACCCGCATGAGAGGGATACTCCGCGGCTGTTTCTTTCTTTGAATTGTAGACTGAGGCTACAAAGACTGTGTCGGCGTCCAGGATGAAGTCTCGTACCTCATCTGGGAGTCTTTCATCGGGTGACAGGTTTTGGTTTCGGTATGCAATACCAGGTTGCGTCTGTGGAAAGGCGACAAGTTTGCGGACATTGATGTACTTTGGACAGTTTCTATCGCAATGTTAGCCACGATCATAGGCAGTACTCTGAATTAATTTAGATGAGCAGCAACACTTACCCAGTGGTCTCTGTGACAGCTAGATCAATCTGATAATCCGATGCTGTTACTCGCTGCATACCTCGTATGAGCCCTGCGAATTTATTGCGTCGCCGTGTCGAAAATTCGATACCCAGTCCCGCAGTGAGGAATCTCTCAGTAATCACATCTTGTGGGTTCTTCAGACTGGCCCAGGCTTTGAAGGTATCGAGCAGTGGATCACCGTCCCAAATTCGAGCGTGGATGGAGAGTGTTCGAGCATCTGGGCTTTTAACAAAACCTATCGCACCGGCTGACCCAGACACAATGGACGCCCAAGGACGGCCATCATCATCAAGTGTAGTAAGAGGAATGAAGGGAAGGTTTGAGGTGTGAAATATCCGATGTTGCTGGGGCATGAATGATCCCACAATCGACCAGTGATCCCTGACGACATCCGCATATCCAAGCTTGCGCTGAATTGCTACCTCACCAGGGTGCCATCCGTGTAGTGCTGCCATGATTTATTTTAATCTATCGTCATGCTCTTCTGGCAGGGGGGTGCGCGGGATTTTATAGCTGATCGCGAAAGCTATCTAACAGTTTGCACTAAATGACGAAGGACAGATATCCTAAGTGGCGACCTACAATTGCTTTAAAGATCTAGCGATCACGACAATCGGGAGTCACAGCGCTGTGGCCGAAACTTAAAGTCTTTGGAATCATCATGCAGTACGAGGGTACGAGGGGTCTAGACCAATCACTCGCTAGACTTGGTCGAGCTGACAAATGCCACCATTCGGGATGTCAGCAGTACTCTAAACGGCACGGAGTTCTGGTCATATTACGGTTCGTATTCACTCTTTGGAATCATTTTCCACGGCCATTCCTGCAGTCTTCCATATCGCGGTATTCCTGGGCACTTAATAATGGCTTATGCAATCCTGCATGATCAAATCCCGAAAACCGGGTAAATCAGCCCTATGTAGGGACAACTGACTACTCCTATAGATTCAAGCTTTACAATTACAATGCCGTCATTTTCGTAAGAAATGTCTGTTTCCAGCAAGAATACTCCGTAGTTCGCCTCGATCGGTTGATCCGAATTCTGTCAAATATCTGTTCCACCGAATGGAAGGCCGGGTAATCCTAGCTAATCATATTCATGATCAGTCCACTCATCTTCTGTCTCTCTCTCCCACAGATCCTCATCGTTGGTCTGTGGATCCTTGACAGTGGTCGCGTTTTCGATACATTCATCAATTCCCTCGATGTATGATAATCGAGGCAATTTGGCATCCTTTTCGCTTAATTGCTCAATTGCCAGTCAAAGATATCGTCTGGAAGACCCTTGATCTGCGGTTTCATTCCCTTTTTATACCCATAAATACAAAGCGCTTCCAGGTTGGGAGGGAATGATCCACAATAGCAAATGTTGAATCATCGACCAGATCGGCGCCAATTCCCCGAGACAGGTAGTAGAGGAGATGAATTCCGAGACTCAAATTCTTCACGTTTGTAAGCCCACGAAGAGAGCAAGGCGAGGATTCAGTGCTCTCCTCTGGCTAGAGCTCTTGGAGTTCATCTGCCTACTCCAGCTTATAGGCGGGATGAAATCTCGATCGATCCTCGCTATCATCAAGAAGATATTGTCTAAGAGTCGGGTCGAATATATGAACTAGTGAAAGTTCCGCCTCGATATCTAAATCCAGATGCACTAGCGAATCAGCGTGTATAAGAAGTGCCTTCAAGACCTTATCTAGGATGAAATTACTCTATATATGATCGCTCGAGCCTCGGCCCCCGATGGCATATGTAAACTCTTTCAACTGTTTCGCTGATTCAATGGTTCGCGCTAGATTTTGGGAATCTAGATTGGAGTTCCGAAGGGTAATTTTGGAATAATTTGCGGATCGGGGTGGGGGCTGAATACTCCGGCTCTCTGTGTCTATAATTGTATCGACTCGAACGGATTCTATCGCGGGAAGCCGGCGTACCAGGTTGAGGCTGCCATACAGATCATAGGGCTAGTAATTGTACCAGGGAGTGATTTTTTCATTGGGATCGACGAGAAACTGTACCTGGCGAAGGTGATGCAGGTATAGCAGGGTCTCCTTCGACCTGCTGTTTGCCCGGTCCAGAAAATGCTTAAAGAAGTAGTCAGGTTCTTTGAGTGGGGTTCCCTTATTTTGATCCTTAGTTTTGTGAGCTTCATTAGTTCTTCGCCGACAGGACAGAAACTCAAGGACTCTGATAGTGGCGAAACGCTAACCAGTAATACTGCTAACGCCTGGGCGAGGAATAGGGCTCGTGGATCGTTATGGCTAATGAAAGTCAGAATTGTGCATTTTTCTTTTGTCCTCGTTTGAGAATGTGCCATCGAATTATGATAGAAAGAGTACAGGGACAAAAGAAGCTTACTCCATGGTAGCCGGACTCTGTAGTAAGACATTGAGCACCTTCTCCTGTTCTTCCGGGTCATCAAAGCCGGCGCGCCTGATCGCCTGAGTAAGACGGTCCTGGTCTTCTTAACTGAGAGACCGCTGCGCAGGTTTAAGTTCGTACGATGACACATAAAAGCTATTACCAAGCCATGGCGATCGGTTCAGTTCTATATAGCGAACATACTCCCTATACTGGGGTCTTCTGAGGATCGATCGGAGCATTCTCAAGGCCAATGCCAAATCAAAGGTCTCGCGTAGTTTCACGCGGCGGTATCTGTGACGATTAGACATATCACAAAGCTGATGCCAACAGTGGCATTGCAAAGATAGCGCTGCTGCATCGGTACGGGATGGCAGGTACGATAGTATTTGCAGAAGAATTTCGTCAGGGAGTGATTGGAGCGACATTCCTGATCATTGCAGTCCATTGTCACTAAATGATCCAGTCTCTCGTCTAGTGCGAGAAAGAAGGGGAGAGTGAGTATTAGGGAGTGAGAGAAACAACTAGTGCAGCGACGAACCGTTCGTAGCTGACATAGAAATAGTCACGTGACAAGATGGCCCGTAGTGTAATTTCAGTTATTCGGTTGGAAGCATTCTGGCAGAAATTTGGAATTGCACAGTCTAATTGCTCCCAATTTGAAGGAAAATATCACATTATCAATAGCCTATTAAAGGACAACTCCGGCGCCACCAACACCGTACACATAGAAAAAAACCACCCGAAAGAAAAACATACATCCCGAGAACAATCGTGGCACCTGACGCTTCCTCCTTGACCCGGTAGATGAAATCGAGACAGTGATATAGAAAAGCTCCTTCAAGAAAATCAGTCATGTCCAGGCCATAAAGAGCGCAATAGCTCCAAATCCTGTGCTACGGCGGGACTGGTCCGCTCGCAATCTTCCAAGAATCGCATCATTTCATCATTCCAACGTTCCCAGCCCACAGGCAAGGTCTCTCGTACCCGCGCACTGGGTGAATGAGCGATGCAATAGAAGAGGAGTATCTGTCCAAAGAATCTGCAATGCGAGTGATTAGCTCTGACACGTTAAAGTTGTATGGGATGCCAACTTACTGCGAGCAGAAGGCAAACTTGATGGGAATGCAGCTCTTCATTTTTCGAAAGATACCCTGTGTCACGGGCCAGTCCATCGCATTTTGCAGTCCACTTTTGATTTGCTCCAGATCGTCATCTGTCAACAGGTTTGGGATGCGGAGGGCTTTGTATAGATATGGTCTGCCGATGTGGAACTTTGCAATCATGTATCGCCCACGCAACATGGCGTCGGTTACTGCTACCGCGGGTGATAGTGGGCGGTTTGGATCTGTTGGCCGTGGGGTAACGTGGTTTGGAGATGCTGCTGATGAGGGTGACATATGAACAGATGACATGTCGCCGGCCGGGGTGGAGTAGCATGGCTGGAGTTGGGCGTCGGTGAATTGAATGGCTGATGGGAGGTTGTTGCGCCATTGCTCAAGCTGGTGCTGGAGTTCGGTATTGATTGCTGGGAGAGGGATTGTTCCCGAGTCGGCTTTGAATATGTGTTAGACAATGTATGCTTTGAAGGGGAGGTAGAAACCATACAGTAGAAATAGAGGGAATGCCGGATACGAGTCAAGATGATGCGATGTGCCACCTGTGCGAGGAAGTGATACTGAAAGTATGAATCATCGACGACCGTAGATGAGGGATACCGAGTGGAAGGGTAACCGGTTGTTTCGAAGGCGATGAACTTCGGAATGGGGACTTGCTCCTCGAGACGGGTCAGTCCGCTTGGGGGAAGATGCAGTTCTTGCACGAGGATTGTCTCGTTCATGAGACAGTTCCAGTATACACGAGACTTCATGTCCCCCTCCCATTCATCGAAGTTTACGTCGTGGCTAGGTGATGGTTAGAAAGATGAAAAACGGATTGTTGATGATGATTGACAATACTGACTTGGTCAACATAGAGAGGCAACAAGTCGCTGCACGATGGATCATAGCCCAAGCATCCATCGGACGGGGAATATGGCTGTAGTAGAGACTGTTTCTAGTCAGTATGGGATAATGCAAGCCAGACAAATGGTGATGAGACGTACGAAGAAAGCAAGAAGAACTGGCAACTCTGGATATCATTGTTGCACATCAAGAAGCCAATACGACGACGAGCTTCATTGAAGAATCGTAAGCCAGCCTGTTCTTCATAGACCACATTCATCCACTCCGGCGGCTCGAAGCGATGGCTCTGTGTGCCTGGGAGGGGATAGTTCCCCTCCTGATAAGCTAGCACACCCAGACAACCAAGAGCGAGAACATTCAGAACTAGACAGCTTTCCATGGTATACCCGAAGCCACTCTCAATGGCTGCACCAAGGGTAAAAGAGAAGAAGAAGGTCTTGTCCATGATGGGGGTGAAGGGATTGAACACGGCGAAGAACGCATCGGCCAGGCCTTTGATCATAGCGAGTGGTAGCACTTCCAACCAGTGTTCACCCGAGTGGAGTGGAAACGGGCTTGTGAACATGGGCAGAGGGGGACGCGTCGATTCCAGCTCGATCACGTAGTTCTTGCCCAGTAGCTCATAGGCGGAGAGTAGCTGCTCAGGAAGGATATTGCGTGCACCCGGCCATAGAATAACTCCATGCTGACTGAAGGAAATGGAGATACGACCAGGCGCGTCGGGGGCTGGCTGGTTCTGTTCCCAGTCAAAGTCATCCCCGTCTCGGGCGGCTGGCGTGAAGCCTGGAGTCGCGGTGGAAGGCATGATAGATGTATGCCGACCCTCATCACGACGAGCAGGAGATGGATGCACCTCTTGCGAATTACCATTTGTATGGCGTAATTGGCCCTCTAACGCCTGGAGGTCACTGAGAATTGACGAAGGGATATTCTCTAGCTTCGTCTCCAGCCGATGAAGGGTACTCATAATCATCGTGAGAGATTGATCCCGTCTGCGCCAATGATTAGCAATGCTACGCTTCAACATGGATCATTGAATGCGATCCGACTCACTTGGATGATCTTCGCTCATTATAGACACAATCCAGACCGATGGACTTGCACAAACCACATTTCGGTCGGGACTCGTCGCATCGTGTCTTCTTCAGCCGACATGTCTCACAAGCCTAGTGATGCATTAGCATGGACTCCAACAAGTTTTACACACGCGTTCAATGAGTAAGGGACATACCACCGTGGCAATGAAGTTCCGGGGCCTCTTGGTCTGACCCGCGGGTGGAGTCGGGTCATGGTCCTGCTCGTCAGGCGAGAGTAGCTCGTGTATGGCCAACAGGCCATTATGATCGGCCTCGGATGGCTGGTTGCCCCTGGACTCATCGAAAGAGCGCTTGCTCATGGTGCATCCTGAGGTCTGGCAGGCTGGCCCCCTTCGATGACTGGAACTCCTTGGGATCTTTCGTGATGGGGGTTCATTCGCTTTTTTTATCGCCAGTGGGGCCGCGGGGATCCGCCAATTGGAAGCCGCGCTGGTGTGATTCATCCACGAACGGATAAAGACAGGCCCAATGGCAAGAATAAAGATACAATGGAGGTGGCTGTTGAGGCTGTTGTTGATGTTCTAGGAAATGAGGAAATCCGGGCATGATGTTGTTGTTATATACAAAACTAGATCAGAGTACAACTGTATGTTCATCGACGAGGGAAGCAATGCACGAATAATAGTTACACAAGGCAAATGCAACAGGGATATACACATAACGCCAAAACTCGCTAATAAAACATCATAGACCAACACAGGCAGGGGATATCAAAAATTCATCAATTCATCAACAACCACGTCTCAAACGGTGTCCCTCGTGAAGTCAATTTCCCGTCGCGACCAGTCGCGAATAACACAGGCTCAAAGTCCAGCACCGACGCATACTGCCTCACAAGATGTCTCCAATAGCAAGACTCCGCAGCAGGCGTCAGGTATCGATCCCGGAACGTGCGCACCGAATTCTCGGCAATGCGCTCTGCGACCTGAGGGTTATCGATCAAAAAGTCCACTTTCCGCGGTAGGTCCGCAAAGTCCTGCTCCACCTCGACGTAGTTGGCATTCGGGCCTGACGCTATCAAGGCTGCATGATGCGCTTCGCGCCAGATGAGCGGGTGCGAAATCATCACAGATCGACAGTTGAGCAGATACTTGCCGCGACCGGAGAAGCTGCGGCCCTCGGTGTGGGCGAGGAACATGTATCGACAATGGTCTTCGATGGGGAGGAGGTTGAAGCGAATGTCATTCTCGTCATCCCAGTCGATTACTCGGACGCTCGCCCAGCTCCGGCTCTGCGCGGACTTGAGCAGTTTGCTGCGAACGCCCGGGTTGGTAGCGAGACTGCCGCGCCAGACTAATTGCTTCTTTTTGTCTTGGAATCGCAGACCCGGGGTGGTGGATCCATCTGCCGTTGTTTCACCATCGTCGATTGCGGCGATGCGTCGGCGGACTTCATGGTAAGGTCCGATCTGTACCTCTGGCCAGGCCCAGTATCCAAAGTCCGGCATCAACCAAACCGAAGTATCTTCCTCGCGCTTGGAATAGGCCCAGATGGGTCCTCTTCCTGTAGGATCGTTGGCAAAGTCCTCTGTCGTGAATATGAACTCGATGTTCGGGAGAAGATGTCGGTCAGGGTAGGCCATCAGGGCACGGTGGAGGGAGTTGAGGGTAGCGCGGGCGCGTGAAGCTGTGACGGGCATTGGGGCGAATTCGACAATGTAAAGCTATGATCGAAAGAGATGTTAGAGTCGATACTCGCAATTGGGTCAAGTTGATGCACGCAAGCCAGCTGGAACCCACCTGGCCTTGATCGATGATCGCGCGAACCATACCATCCTCCACTTCTCTCGAATTCAAATCCTTGTAGGTGATTCGCGCGCCTCCCTTCAATGACACAGACTTATCGACCTCTGCAAAGAGCTTGGGGAAGGCAAGCTGACACTGCTCGTTCGACAGTCCATGGTTCAAGGCATCACGCTGAGCGACAAAATTCCAACTGCCGTTTGGTAGAGTTGCATATGTCTCCTGTGTACAGTGTGCTTGGGATATTGATTCCGGACGCGCTGTCTTCAGGATGTATCTCGTTGCCGCATCGCGTGAGGATCGCGTGCCGAAGATAAGGAATGTCAAGGTGAAGATCGAGACGAGGGCGCCCGTGGCCAGGAAGCGGAATGACGGTCGTTGCGCGAGCATTTCGAGATGGTCCCGCTGGAATGCGTAGCCCTAATAGGTGAGAGAGAGACTGCGACCGGACCAGATTTCAATTTCCAAATTTCAGAGGATTAGACATCAGTTGTCAGTTGCATCTTGATTGTGAATCCTCTCGGTCTAATTTCAGTTGCACAGCTTGGGGGTTATCGGGGTTCGCGATTGTTTCCAGGGCAACGCGCAAGCAGAGGCTGGATGCGCCACCACGTCACACATCAGTAGATGATGAATAAATCATAAAATTAAAACATGTAGATACGGTCAATTATCATGGATATTCTACTTATGATTCATTACTGCCAGTAGAATACATGGGCCATCTAACACAGGTACAGTGTTTGTAGCAGGCCACGGGGAAAACTGCTTCTTCTGGACAGACACCACATAGCTAAACTACCAAAGATCGGGCATTATTACATCAACTCCTCCTTCAAATTCGCGTGGGATATGCTACAGAAGATCAAATGAATGGAAACTGGCATCCAAATTCCATCTTTATCACCACAGCTAATCGACAAACCGAACAACCAGGCGCATTTGAAGGTAGATTTAGGTAGTTCACCTAAGACACTAGGCGGACGGGTCAGAACAGGGCCTGAACAACTGGAATTGCCATTATGGTGCAACTTGCACAGGTAATAGATTTGCATTTAAATTTAAAGCAAACTCCAGGTCTCAGGGTTCTGAAAGAGAACAGCCTTCAGCGAGTAAGAAGCTTAGTACTGGACAGGTTTGTTGTATTGAGTGGGTATGGATATGGCACGGGGGGCAGTTACCCCGATGAGTTTGGTTGGATAGTTTTGGTTGGGGGGTAGGTTCCCCATCACGACGATGAAAATAGCCATGTATCTCCTCAGTCTAATCCGATTTCAAAAGTTAGGATTAGCATCGTACAGAAACAGCGTCATAATCTCATCTCTATCTCAGCAGATTCAAAGAAAGAAGTAGAAGATCCGAAGCGGCTTATTCAAGAAAAATATCACTCTATTGGCATCTCCGGTGTATCTCATCAAAGGGGTCATAATAATCAATAGAGAAGAAAAAAAAATCAAGAATAAAACCTAGTACATCGCTATTGACGATGACTGTCTATGCCTCCGTCACTGCCAAATCCCGTCGCCAAATTTTCACCGGCATCTCGCCCAGAATCAAATTCATCGTCTCCAGCCGCTTCAACTCCCAGCCCGGATGAGCCAACGCAAAGTCATACCGATGCACCATAGACGCAATCGCTTTAGTCTGCTCCAAGTACGAAATATTCCGACCAATGCAGGACCGAGCACCCGCCGAAAAGGCAATCAGATAAGGCTGCAGCGCCTTACCTTCTTCATCGAGCCACCGTTCGGGAATATATTGGTCGGCATTGGGGAAGATACCCTCATCGCGGTGGGCAACTAATGCGGACATACTGACGGAAGTTCCACCGGCAACCCACTCGCCCAGAATGTTCGTGCCTTCTGCGGGTGTTTCGCGAGGGAGACCATGAGATGTGGGCGGGAAGATGCGGAGGGATTCATCTAGACAAGCGCGGAGATAGGGGAGATGCTTGACTTTGTCATAGTCTGCGACTACATCTTCTTCGTCAAGGACGGCGTCGACTTCCTCACGCAGCTTGGCCAAGCAGCGCGGGTTGCGGAGAAGTTGGTACATGACATTCGTGATGGCAATGGCTGTTGTCACGCTGCCGGCGTTCATCATGATGTTGCACTCGGCAATGACCTCGCCCCATTCCAGGTTATTCGGGTTGCCGTTCTTGTCTTCCATGAGAGCCTGGAAGAAGTCGTCTAGTTTTTCGCCGGCCTCGTACCGTTGCAGTCGTTCGCTGCCTCGACGCCACATGATGTGGTCCCAGTTCTTTGCTGATGTGTCCATGCGGCCGAAGAAGGGAATCACGTTAACCAGTTTGTCGAGTACGGGGTACCACTCGTAGTTCCAGAGGATGAGAGATTGCTTGCGAGCCGTGGGGTAGAGAGCTTCACGAAGACTGGTCCTGTAGGTAGTACCGTCTCTCCGCTCAGCCAAGACCATATCATTTCCGTTATCTAGAAAGCCCAGCTTCTCAGAAAGGCCAATGTCGGCAATGGCATCAAGGGTAAAGAAATTGGTCCAGGCACGCAGGTCCAGAGTCAAGTCCGTAGGATCAGGTGCCACTTTCCCCGAGGCAACGTCATCCTTGGGGGTAAGAGTGCAGACTTCATCAAAGTGCTTGAACATGCGCTGTACCTTATCGGTGACCTTGTATTCCCAGCTCTCCAAGTTCTTCAAAGCATAGGCCGAGGAGAGGACCTTACGCTTTCTAGCATGGTCGGGCTTATCAACGACATCAGCGAGGTTGAAGTGAGTGCCTGCCGTGACAGAGTAGGATCCATCCTTGGTACATTTGGTGTTGTGTCCGTAGATGTCCTTGATAGCCCGCACATCACCGTAAGAAAGCATATTGGGTCCAGTGCGAATCACCGGGTGTTTCTTGTGCAACTGGGTGAGTTCCATTGATCGGAAGCCCCTTGATGCCATGAACATGAAGGGGAGGGCCGAAATGCCCGAGAGCGGAGAGAGATTGGGGTATTTGCGAAGACCTGCACTGCTGTCAGTCAAAACGAACTGTAGAAACCGAACTATATATCGCATGTCATAGGCTCCGGGCACCACGTACCTTTAGGATCACGAAGGTATTCAAGGTAGGGGTATGCCAAAAAATAGACGAAGGAAACAAAGGCTAGCCCAGCCGCATAGGGAGCAACGGCAAGAAGGGACAACATCTTGCAAGATGTATAAGTGTCGCGCTAAGTCGACACAAGTATGAAGTAAAGGGAAAGAAGAAAGATATAGGCCTGACGACTTCACGTCTGCGAACTGAGCCGCTTAAAATGAACGCTGTACTCAGTAACAGTAGGATAGGCGATGAAATGGAATGAACGAAAAAATGGTCGCCCGGATCGTGCTATAAATATCATTTCTGACCTTGTACCGCGGAGTATCACGTCGTAGCTCTTTCCCCATGATTTCTGTGGAGGGGAAGCAATTTGCCCCGCGTCCGAGCAGAGCTCCCAAGACACAAGGGTCGACGAGAATTACCCTTCCTAACTCACGATCGATGGTGTTTCCACGGTATTGTTGGAGAATAGCAGTATCCACTGACTGATCGGATCTGCGATCTTGTGCCCAGGCCAGCATGGATGTGGGGCACCGTAGAGGACCCAGAGGGACGGGGAATATTTCCCTCGTGGAATTAGGAAATCTTGCCCGAGAGGATCGAGGCGTGACCATGGGGGACTGCGGGGTTTGGGGATAGCTTGGTCAAGGTTAAGCTATATCCCATAATATTTCCATTCTTAGGTAGCCGTCCAGTTGTTATTTCATCCTCTACTACTGCCGACGCAATAATAGGTTGCAAAATACGCACCGCAGGAATTACTGCGATGCTTTCTTTTGACGTCATTCAACTATCTTGACATCCCAAATCTAGAACCTAGACCAAACTTCAAAATGATAGCCTTGATCAATGTTTTGAAGGCTGGACTGAATGAAATAGGTGATACGCGATAGCTAAAATGATAATCAACGACTAGTTGACAATATCCTCCCACATCAAGCCATACCATGTTACTGTATGTGTGGCTGGACTAGGGTAAGTCTTCACGTTCGTCTTTCACACCACCACTGTTACTTATCACATACAGACATAGAGTATTTAGTCGGGTGGCTTTGGTAGTCATTGAGCCATAAGTTGAAAAGGAAGGCACGATCTGTCCGGCGCTTGCCTTCTGCATATGCGACACGATAGTCCACCAGAATTGCTCCCTCCATTTTTGATACTCATTTTGTCTTCCATTTCTTCTAATAATCTCTATAATTCATCACAAACCAGTCATGAATCGGGAGTATTTTATCGTCGCCTTCATCGCTCATGCGAGTGGCACCTTGGGAATTTTTAGCTGAAGACGAATGTCAGTAGATGCATGAGTCTTTGGATGCCTGGATCTGAGCATGAAGTCGATCATGGCGAATTCGTTGCGTCTCATGGAATTCCAAGCTTGAAATTAGCTCCACAAGAACGTTCACTTCTTACGAGGACGTTTTGCGATTCTTTTGACGAGGCAACGGCGAACATACTATGGCTTCTCTCGTTTTGCGGCTCCAACTACAGTCCGACTTTGAGAGCGGCTGGCGCCAATGACACTCGCTGATGATAATACAAATTCCGACCACCACAAAACTTACCAAGTGGGAAATCTCATTGAATTTGATGGCTAGTTTACTAGTTTATCATCTTAACGCCGTTTCTATGCGAATTCCAGCATTTTAATGTCCCCCGCGTTCGCTTATCGGTGCCCCTCATTACCATACCGTACCGCTTACCCGCACTCGTCCGCACTCGTCCGCACTGTTTCCCTCTACAATCCTCGTGTAACATGGAAATATTACCGTCATCTACTCGGAGACAGCCGATCACCGCGGAAAATTGCCTGTCTTTGAAAGAGTTGTCCTATTGATCTTGCGTTGTCTATACCACCCTGTTTGAACTACACATCTCTCCCTTGTGCCGCAACGTCGAATCTAGCAGGAACATCCTTAGTGTTCTAGAAACTGAGGTGGATACTCCGCATCGCCGTGCTGGGACTGCCTGTTCGGGTACCATCCTTATCAGTCCTGCGCTCAGGGGAAAAGATATATCAATCGACCTACCTGCAGTCCCGATGGATGCTTGACTTTCGAGACTTTGGTGAAGTTGACTTTTTGAAGTGTGTTCATCCTTCTGATTATTTTGAGATTTCCCTGGAAACTGGTCTGGTCTGGCACTTGATATTGCCCTTCGCTCTTTTGACCAACTACCATTGATCCACTGGCTGTTTCACCCCAGCACATCATGGCGCAAGCATACGCATATACCATCTATCGCGGTACATTCGTTCACACACCCCGTCTACCAGACTCTACGCCTCGGCTAAAAACAGAGCTTGTGCGTAATCGTGGCGCACTATGGGTGGCTTCTGCGGACGGTCGAATCAAAGGCTTTGACTGGCAGGCTCGCGATGATGCCTCCTTTAAGGAATTGATGACCCGTAATGGGTGGGTGGATGTGGACGCCCCCCAAACTTATGGCTATGACGGAAACGAAGTCAAGGTGAAGATTGTCCTTGCAAGCGAAGAGAGAAATGAATTTTTCTTCCCAGGATTTATCGGTATGTTCCTTTCTTAACCACGTTCAATCACTCACAAATACATATCTGACTCGAAAAAAAGACACACATATCCATGCCCCGCAATTCCCGAATGTTGGCCTGTTCGGCTCTTCGACTTTGCTCGACTGGCTGGAAACGTATACGTTCCCCGTTGAGTCAGGCTTTGGCGCCCAGGCAGACCAACCCGGTGGAACCGATAAGCTTCCTAATGATGCACCTCTATCAGCATTGCGAATCTATGACCAAGTGGTTGCACGCACTCTGTCTCACGGCACGACATGTGCATCCTACTTTGCCACGGTCCATGTCCCAGCGACAAATGCACTCGCTGCCCTATGCCACTCGCGCGGACAGCGTGCATTTATTGGACGCGTATGCATGGATAATCCGGACTTCTGCCCACCATACTATAAGGATCTATCGGCTGACGACTCGGTGAGCGCGACAAGATCGACGATTGAGTATATCCGCGGGCTGGATCCAAAGGGTACTCTTGTCAACCCGATCATCACTCCACGCTTCGCGCCGACTTGCACGCGGCCTGCTCTGGAGGGCCTTGGAAAATTAGCGGCTGAGTTCAGCCCGCCATTGCACATCCAGACCCATATCTCCGAGAACACGAACGAGTGCGCGCTTGTCAAGGAACTGTTCCCCGAGTCGGAGAGCTACGCAGATGTCTACGACAGGTATAACCTTCTCACCAAGCGGACGATTCTAGCTCACGCTGTTCATCTCACCCCTGACGAGCGCAATCTGATCCGTCAGCGAGACGCAAAGATATCGCACTGTCCGGCCTCGAACTCGGCTCTTGGATCGGGAATTGCCCCCGTTCGTACTTTACTTGATGAGGGAATTACCGTCGGTTTGGGCACAGACGTGAGTGGAGGCTATAGTCCCAGTATTCTCGAAGCTGCACGCCAAGCTTGTCTCGTATCTCGATTACTCGGGCATACTACTTCCTTCTGCCAGAAGGGAGACAAGCATGTGCACGAAAATGGACACGCTGATAAACCTATTATCGGCCGCGAGAAATTGTCGGTTGAGGAGAGTTTGTACCTGGCGACTCGCGGCGGCGCTGCGGTCGTTGATATGGCTGATGATCTTGGTGGCTTCGACGAGGGCATGATCTGGGATGCACAACTCATCGAGCTCGGTAGCGTTCAGGAATTGAGTGAGAAACCGCTCGATATGAGAACAGATGGTGCTCCGAGTCTGGTGAAAGCTGGTCCCGTTGGCAATGTCGATCTCTTTGGAGCTGAGACGTGGGAGGAGAAGATCCACAAATGGGTATGGAGTGGTGATGATCGCAATGTCAAGGCTGTCTGGGTCGCTGGACGGCTGGTTCATTCGAAGTCCTAGGGATTTTGATGGATGATTTGTTTGTTTTTTGACTGTGTACTCTTAGCGGATGGTTGTACCCTCTTGGGCACCCCTTATTGACTAGGGATTATAGATTTGGTGAGCATAGAGAGACATGTTAAATAATATGATTAGTTTTGTATATACGGATAATTTTGGCAGCTATTCCAATCGGTTGTATCCTTAAAGGCTTGAATGTTGAGGACAACGCGTGTGAAGTGATGGAATACGCTTCCCACGGCGTCACATACAGTCAAAACAAGGTTGAGAGTCAAAAACGGATCTTTTTCGTGGTGAAAAGAAATTCGGTCGAATTCAGCCCCCAAATACCGTCTTGGCAAGGTTGATCAGTTGACTGTAAGCACTAGCCAATGCGGCATCTGGGGGCTGACGCACTACAGGTTGTGGAGTGGAACGTCAGCTACAATACATCACTTTAATTTCAAGATAAAGCATAAACATCATTTGCACTTCTTGTACACCTTCTAGATACGCATTCAAAGGCTGAGATATCCGAATATGGCATCTCACCCAGAGAATCAAAAATCTCACCAAGGCGATGGCTTGCTGATCATCCACGCGGGCCTGTTCCGAACAGGAACCAAAGCCATGGCCCGCGCATACCAAATCCTGGGCTTCACAACACACCACGGACTCCTGGAAAAAGTCACTGATACCCCGTGGGTACAGCTAGAGCAAGCCGCCGAGGCAACATGGCCCTCCACACCAAACGCACGCCCTCGAGAGCCTTTTACCCGCGCGGACTGGGACGAACTGTGGGGCGCAAAGTATGACGCCGTCACAGATCTGGCATCGCCATTTGCACTTGAGCTTATCCGAGCATACCCCAATGCCATGGTTGTTGTGGTTCAGCGAGATTTTGAGCGATGGTGGCCAAGTTTTCAAGTCGAGGTTCTGGATCGGGTCATGTTGCAGCCTATGGCAGCTATTAATGGGTTTGTGGGACTGTGGTTGATGGGCATTCCTGCTGTGCAGGCGATGCGGAAGATTCATTTTGGTTTCTTTGGTGCCCAGAGTCGGAAAGAGATTCTAGTGAAGGCGAGAGATGTGTATGAGGCGTACTATCGCAGCGTGAGAGCTGCTGTTCCACCGGAGCGGATGCTCGAGTATCACATGGGGGATGGATGGGATCCCCTGTGTGCGTTCTTGGATGTGGAAGTACCTGATGTACCATTTCCAAGGGAGAATGAAGCAAGAAATCATGCCGAGGAGGTGAAAGCTCGGAAGAGATTGATGTGGACAGCGGGTATCAAACTTGCGGTGCCTGTGATACTTGGTCTGGGTGCTATTTGGGTGGCTTTCGCATATAGTCAGACGGCTTGAGACTGAGTTGAGAAACGCTAGAGCTTTAAAAGTCCGAGCAGGCAAACAGCAGGCTGGAATACCGCTGCGCAGGAGAGAGATGATGGTGTAGCTATGAGCATAATCATGAGAGCCAGAGAGATTGCTTGTCAAACGTGCTGAACTACGAGCTATACTCGGAACACCTCCAGTTTAAGAGTGATCTATATTCCAGAACTAGGCTAGATCGTGCCGAGGTCAAGCTCGATCCGCTATCACTGTCGTACTCATCCTCCTTCTGTTCCTCTTCTTGCGTCATTTCCCTCCTATACCTCACAAACTGGACAGCTATCATTGCATACAAAGCTCGTGTGATGCCATTCAAGCGTTGATTGGTATTTAGCAACGCAATTTCTATATTAGACAACCTGGCCTGGATGACTTTCAGATCAGGTCCATCTGATTTGGTGCTGGCGGTACAATCTCTTTGAGCTGACTATGAAGAAAGTCTAGCTCGGGATGTCTGTACTGCGGGGGCAGTGATGGGGCTGCCTCTTCTGTGATACATGTATTAGCTTCTCAGACATGGCACAAATTATAGTAGCAAAAGAAGAAAAGGTAACAATACCTTCAGGCTCACTGGCGTGGGGTCGTTGTTGCCCACGATGTTCAGGAGGTGGTGTCGACGACATCCTGACTCTGCTTTGGATCGCACATATCTTCTGTTCTCGATCGATCTCTTGTTTCTCTAAACTATCTATCTTATCCATGAATTTGTCTAGATAACGATCTGTCCTGATTTGAGGATCGGACGGCCTGCCACGATTCGGGTTATGGAAATTATCCCGTGCAAAGCGGCGTAGGAAGCATAGACATTTTGGTAGGATTGAGGGGATGAAGAGTCCAAGACTAATAGGTTGACGTGATTGAAGCCGGGGTAACGCGTTCTGGATGATATAGACAGGAGCTACGCGACGGCAAAAAATGATTATTGACAAAGGAATACAGGCTAACCATTTTCAGACGATCAAAAGTAGTAGTTCAAGCTTCGAACTGCTAAATATCTGTGCCCTCCATGATATTGCGGCCCACCCACCGCTTCCGCTTATGGGTGCGCCCTAAATCCCCGTCACCCCTAAATCCCCGTCACATTTTTACCATTCGATTTCAACTCCCTTTCCCAACCACCCAATATGCCTAAATACTCCAATTTTGACGAGGATCGCCTGCAGAAGGCCTGTAAAGCCGTTCTACACCAAAAAAAGCCGAATATCGCTAAAACTGCGCGTGAATTTAGCGTGTCTCGAACTACCCTTGCCGATCGCGTCAAGAAGGCCCGATCGCCCTTTTCTACCACTGAATCGCGCAAGAATGCGCTTACATCACATCAGGAGAAGGCTTTGACTGCTTGGATAGTCAAAATGTGCGATTGGAACCTACCGCCTACTGCAAAGCTTATAGAAGCGTGGGCAAATCAGGCCCTTACGCGCGCTGATGCGGGTCGGCAGCCGGTTGGCAAGAATTGGGCATACTACTTTATATCACGCCTTCCAAAGCACCTATCCCTCGCTCCAGTGAAGCAGAATCTAAAGGAATCAAAGCGCATTCAAGCCGAAGATGCAGGGGCTCTCTCTTTCTGGTATGATCAGCTTGCAACCCTGCTAAAGGATATCCCTGCAAGGCTAGTCTATAACTTCGATGAGTGTGGTTTCCAACCTGGCCAGGGCCAGTCTCGTAAGGTTATTAATGGTAGATTGCACTGCCCTGACCTTGCTGAAGCTGAGCGAGGCGAAACTATCACTGCACTCGAATGTATTGCTGCTGACGGCTGGCAAATGGATCCGCTATTTATCTTTAAAAGCGGCGGGGTCTTTATGGAGAGCTGGTTCCATAATAGTGAGGATTTACCTCTAAACACACTTACTGCTACCTCACCGAATGGCTGGATTTCTGATGAAATTGCTTCTGAATGGCTATATCATTTTATTTCAGCTACTGCTACACCTGACCGTCTAAAAAAGGGTGAAAAGCGCTTCCTACTCTTTGATGGCCACGGAGCACATCTTACCCTCGAATTCCTTGAGATATGCGAGTTAGCTGATATTATACCATTCGGCTTTATACCTCATTCAACACATCTCTGTCAGCCACTTGATGGTAAGCCATTTTTGAGCTATAAGCAGCAATTTCGGCTTATGAATAATGAGCTATCTTTCTGGGGTGGTCAGCCATGTGGTAAACCGGATTTTCTACGGGTAATTGGGCCTGTACGAGCGAAGGCATTTAACCAACGAATTATTCGGCAATCCTTCAAAGATCGTGGTATTTGGCCAGTCAACGGCCAAAATATAGTGGATAAACTAGCTAGCCAGCTAGAATTTACTCCTCTTCACGCACCTGATCTTCGCGCTCATGGAGAACCCCGAACTCCATCACCGGAGCCTACAAATTTACTATCATCAAGCGTGGAGAATACCCCTCCGAAGTCAATTGAAGCGCTAGAGAAGAATCAGAAGAAGATATCAAAGAAGGTGGCTACCTTTGACCCGAAGGTTCAGCGAGATATTGCAATGCTTCACAATCACCACAGGATAATCTACGAGCGGCTTATGATGGCGGAAGCGACTGTTTCGCGAATTAGGGCCGCTCAGGAGCCCTTGAGGCGCCCAATTACCAAGCGCCAGGTTAAACCGCTTAGCCAAACTGGTATACTAAGCGTTCGCGATGCGAATCGGTCAATCAAGACTAGAAAGGAGAAAGAGGCTGCTGCGGAGGAGAGGAAGCTTGCGAAGCAGTATAAGCAGGCTACTGGTTTGGATATGCCAAAGAGGCCCCAGGAGGATATTGATAGGTCTACCGAATCGGCTAGAGTAGCCCTGGAGCGAGGAGATCTTTTTTATTTAGGCTAGTTATCTAATTTGATGGTTTTTTTAGACGCATGGTAAAAATGTGACGGGGATTTAGGGGTGACGGGGATTTAGGGCGCACCCATAAGCGGAAGCGGTGGGTGGGCCGCAATATCATGGAGGGCACAGATATCACTTCTCAAATATTATTGTTCTAACCCAATTAGTCCAGTCGGCTGCCTGTTGCAGTTAGACTGTGTCCACATTTGGTAATGACATCATCGTGTTGATGCTCGAGTATTTGGAAGTGGGCAACTGTGATCAAACATTCATTGGATGATCTTGTGTTGTTTCTTTCCTCTGTCATCTCTTGTGCAAGTAGATTCCATGATGAGTGCTTCTTTAATCACCCAACAACTAGTCTTTCCCTTGACACCAAAGATGTTGATTGTCAGTCACTACAATGTCCCGAGTTCGGAGTACACCCGAGTCACGTGCCTCCCCGAGTTGCCCGCCGCCATCGGGAAACTTCACCGAAACTCCGTAGTGATAAGCCCAAGTCGACCTCAACTCATGCTCCCTTGATCATGAATTGAGGAGGATTCCCACCCATTGCACATCCGGAGGAATGATCGAGTTAGGATTGAGCCGCGTCGCGCGTCTCCTCCAACAAACCCCGTTAACATGGAAAGCCATTCACATTGCCGGCACCAACGGTAAAGGCTCCATTAGTGCCTATCTTTCCCATTTGCTCTCCACAACCGGTGTTCGATGTGGACGCTTTACCTCACCCCATTTGATTGATCGGTGGGATTGCATTACCATCGGCGAGCGGGTCGTCCAGGAATCCCTCTTTCGACAGATCGAGTCCCAGGTTAAACAGCGGGATGAGAAACTCGGCATCGGTGCCTCGGAGTTTGAGCTCTTGACTGCTACCGCTTTTGAGATTTTCAATCATGAGCAAGTCGAAGTTGGAGTGGTGGAGGTGGGCATGGGTGGTCGTCTTGATGCGACCAATATCTTGACTGATGTGCTGGTCTCGGTCATTGCGAAGATCGGGATGGACCACCAGGCGTTCCTGGGGTCGACAATTGAGGAAATTGCCCGGGAGAAAGGAGGTATTCTCAAACCTGGTGTGCCCTCTGTGATTGACAACACCAACGAGACTGCTGTCCTTGAGACTTTGTCGAGCCGTGTCCAAGAGCTCGGCATTGACGCAATGTTTGTTTCGCCGGACAAAGCTGACGAGCAACTTCCACCCCTCGCACAACTGTTCCGGACGTTGGATCTTGAGCCTCATCAACAAGAGAACATGTGCTGCGCTGTGTCTGCCCTGCATCTCGCGCTGTCCAAGATTCGGCCTCTAGTCGATGCCTTCTCACTCCTGCCCCATCTTTCGGACGTCAAGTGGCCTGGACGGTTGGAGAATATCAACCTCCAACCTCTCATCAATCGTACAGAGCCAGTTCTGCTAGATGGTGCCCACAACCCACAGTCCGCCGCAGTTCTTGGCCGGTACATCGACCGCAAGCTCCGCCCAACCTCTGAAAATGTAACATGGGTCATTGCTGCGTCGAGTGGGAAAGACCTGGCGGGAGTCTTTTGCTCCATCATTCGGCCCGGGGATAATGTCGCAACTGCAGAGTTTGGCCCAGTCGATGGCATGCCATGGGTAACACCTACCAATGCCACGGAGCTTTCCTCGACTGTACGATCCATTTCGGGTATTGGACAGGTGGAGAGCTTTGAAGGCGATCTGCTCCCTGCGATTCAATGGGCAAGCAAGATCGCCCAAAGCGGTCCAATTGTCATTGCTGGCAGCTTATACCTTGTTTCTGATGTTCACCGTCTCCTGCGTGATGCACGTCAATGATACCCTTTCTTTATGCATTATCCTCCTATTTAGTTCTCTGTTTCATCTAAACATACAAAGATTCCTGTGCAAGGGGGCTACAGCTATGTCCGAGATCTGAGAATCTCCCCACGAGGCATGGAAGACTTGAAGTCTTGAATTTATGTACAATCCGAAGGTTTTTGCCACTGAGTATCTAACCCTTAGCGTGTTTTTCAATTTGACACTAGGTGGTCCTCTCCTAGGAAGGAGTTCATCATCGGGACCCTAGTAAAACACTCTTTGAGGGTGAGATATTCAGTGGTAAAGCCCTTTCGATCGTGCATAGATTCAAGACGTCTCCGTGCGTTGTGGGCGGTTCCTTCGTTAGTTTCATCATCCAATTTCCATAAAGATACACGATATACTCTGCGCTAGTCTGGTTACCGAGGTCAAAGGGAAGATCTACACACAGCAGAAAACTAGTAATCCTTGTTGGGGACTTGGCATTGCCCATGTCGAGGGTACGATTGTGGATATCCTGCGGTTGTGCAGTGAGAACGAGGAATTGGCTTCTTTTGACTTCAGAATTCCCTTCTGACTTGATGAATCTAGCGGTGTCAAGTCTATCATGGAAAAGATAGATCTGCGACCAACCGTAGGTAACAGATAATGATATCAGAAAAAAAATACTTTATGAGAACTCAGAGTTTAAATGTAACAAAATATTATTTGAACAAATAATCAATACACAAAGTTGAAAAGAATCCTCCCAAGCGCCGTTAATAATGCAGTTATTGCGCAAATGTGACACCGAAGCCTGGTCCCTGGAATGTACAGAATTGATAAGAGTATTTCGAAAAGCGCCCGGGTATCTAGCCATTGACCGAAAGAGCACCATAAGAGTACGAAAAGGAAAGGTTGTAGGGCGGGATGAAAGAGAATAAGGTTGGGAGAAGAGGTGAGGGTGTAATGAAAAGGAAGATCATGCCCGGAAATCGTACATGCGGACATGATAATCGTCACCACCAGTGATGAAGCGACTGTCACTAAGCCCGATGCAGTTGACGGCAGCGGAATGGCCTTCATAAGTGTCTTGACAGGTCGGGATGCGAGGGTCCCAAATCTTGACCATGCGGTCCATTCCGCCCGAGGCAATGCGCAGGGTATCCGCTGACAATGCCCAAATACCTTCCAGATGCCCGAAGAAAGTGCGTAGGCATCGGCCAGTGTTGGTTTCCCACAGACGGATAGTCGCGTCGACGCCACTTGTCATGATGTAGCGTGGGGGTTCCAAGCGATCCTGGTCTTGATCGAACGAGGCACCGAATGAAGAAGGGGGCGCGGAGAGAGTCCTGTGTTCCAGAATGGGCGAGAGAATATTAACGGCATCACCATTCTGGGAGGATGTGCTGATGTGATCGGTTTCGCAATCCGCCAGATGGCTCTCCAATTCAATTTCACGCGGTAGAGGAATGACTTGCTGCACGGCACCGATGTGATTGTGGAAGACCCGGATACAAGTCTTGGTGTCGAGATCCCACAGCCGTGCGGCACCGTCGTCACAAGCAGTCAGAACGGTACGGGAAGCGGTGTCAATCTTCACAGCGTTGACACCCTCCGGATGGGGCAGGACGAATGCCGACTTGTCCGCGAAGTTCCAGATCTTGACCGTTCGATCGACTGAAGCAGACGCAAGGAGAGTATCGTCAAAGTGGAGGGCGATAACCGCCTCAGAGTGTCCGGGGAGTGTCGAGACGCATTCCCCAGTACGCCAATTCCACACTTTAATGGTGCGATCCAGACTTCCCGTGATTAGTTTGGTATCGTCAAACTGTAGACAGCGCACACCGGCAGTGTGTCCACGGAGGGTTCGCAACTCTTCTCCAGTCTCCATGTCCCAAATCTTGACTGTCGCGTCGTACGAGCCGGTCATCAGGATGTTGTCTTCGAACTGCAGGCACATCACACTGTCGGTGTGTCCTCGGAAAACCTTGACGGAGCAGCGTCGGTGCTTCCAGTTCATGCCGACCACGAAGCGATCCCGATAGACATCTTTCCATGGTCGATAGCGTGTCTTGAAGTACTCGTCATCCGGCTCAGGTTTGTAGGCTGGCGAGATACAATGACGTTTGATCATGGCGCAACCTTGGTCATCCACATCGAGCTTGCGCTTTCCACTGGTAGGAAGCTCCACTACCGAGCAGGTACCATTCGGCGCACCGTCCGGGATGTTGTTAGAAGGCTGATTGCCCCAGTTGGTCGCGCGCAGCTCGATCTCGCGCTTCGCTTCCCGCAACCGTTTCCTATCCAGCAGCGGCAAGCCCCAACCACACTTGTTGCATTTCCGGCGAATGTGTTGTTCGCACATCCGATGCCACACCACGTCATCGTCAGCGAGAGCCTTCCATCGGTGGGACACTTGTGCAGCACGGCAGAGGGAGGCAGTGTCGAGGTAGCGGAGGATTTTGAAGGAGAGCTCGGGGGGAAGAGCGCTGAGGAAGTCGATTCGAATGAGTTCACGGACACTGGCGGAGATAAATGACAGTTGGGGGAAGCAGCACTGAGCCAGGATGCCTTGCAGCATCAGCTTGCGCTGCTTAGCCGGGGCGGCAGAGAAGAGCGACCAGACGTGGGCGATGCCCTGCTGATCATCTTGGGGAAGCGTTTCCAATTCCTAGATCTGTGTTAGCAACGTTCCATGATCAATGACAGCAACTCGGGGAACATACTCGCTGGAGTTGGTGCATAGACTGCTCATCCGCCTGTCGCGAGCACTTGGAGTCTGGTTGGTGGCGATAGCAGTAGCCTGCGTTGACTGTGCGCGGCACCGAGGTTGTTCCATCTTCCGATCGTAGGGGCGCATATTGTCGGGGGTGATATTTTGCGAGGAAGGGGGCGACATTCTGTTTCGCCAGTTCTGCCAGGGCGTCGCTGGCATCGCGGGGCGTTTGCTTTGCATCGGACTTTGTTCCGTCTTCTCTGTCGCGGGTGGTCGAGCCCGTCACGACCGGGGAGGACTTGGCAGTGGACTCCATATTGAAAGGACGAGGTCGGAGTATTCGTAGAGACAGTGGTTTCTTCGACAAGAGTCACGCCGGTTTGGGTATTGTAGGGCTGAAGAGGAGCTTTCGAAGGCTTGTTGTCAATCGCGGGGGAGGGAGTTTGTCGATTCGAAGAAATCAGGCGATGTCGATCTTAGGGGCAAGGTACATCCACCAAGGTGCCAGTATCGGGGCACAGTAAGTCACCGAGGGGGTCAGTCGTGGGTGACGAGGACCCTGGCGGACACCTCGAGTACCTAGATAAGGATTTGCCAGGGATTCGCAGGTGCGGTATAGATGGTCGGTTGTGAAAGTAAAAAAAGATCGAAGGGGAGCGCCGTCAGCGAGGTGAGAACTGCAGTAGTTCAAATAGTCGGTGGCCTAGTGTCAAGGGCGATTGCACAATTCCCGACGGCGTGGTTGCTGGAGATGCAACCAAGTAGATGAGTCTGATGAGAGAGTAAATGTCGACGATCACGCAAGAGGAGGCGTTGTCCAAGGCGGTGAATCCCATCACGGGATCCCATTGGCTAATGCCAAGCCCTGCAATCCCCGTGATCTGCTGCAGTCTGGGGATTAGCTAAGGTGGACCCACGTGATGGCGCCATCTCCGCGGTGAATCACCTCACAAATTGACCAGGAACGATGGAGTTGATGAAGTTAGGGATGACGAAAAATGGATATCCACAAGTCCACAAATGGCAGGAGGATGGACCCATGCTCACTAGCTCTGTAGGGACTAGCCTGTGCATGACTAAAGATAGCAGATGTCGCCATGGCCGGGGATGGTGAGACCTTTTCCGATTCATCCGGGGTTTGTTCAGACCGCTTGATAAGGAGCTGACATCTAGCATTCTAGACCCAGAATCACATCATCATGGTTGGCTTGCTTCAGCCACTCCATAAAGATAGTTTGCGAATGCAGCTTACTGTTCATGAGTCAGCTATGCAGGATACGTATCTAAGTTAACTACCTAGCCTCTAGGGCACTACAGTATGAATCTACGATAATCAAGTTGACTCCATGCCATGCTCTTGTGTATATATATTGTTACAATTAGGTACCTAAGGCTACTTGCACGCTACCTCCACTTGTGCTTTCGCACGACAGACTTTTCTATTTTTGGATATGGTGAAAATAAGTATACTGGATCCTTGATATCTAGGCTAGAGAATCAATCAGTCTTACAACTAGAATATATATGGAACATATATTCTGTTGAAATCGACGACAGCTGACTACCTCTGGCGACAGAAATGGTGCCACTTTCCACCCGCTTGACCGCCCACTGTCCAGTACCGCCCGCTATTCTGCCGGTTAGACAGTAACCTTCGTCAGTAGAAAATGTACGGAGTAGAAGGGATGAAATGCCAATTTTTGCTATATCCTGGCCATCAACGAATGAATAGTCGCTGTCTGGATCCTAGAGGTCAGTCTTAGAATTTCGAAAAGCGCGTGTGAGTGTAATAGAATACACAAAAGTACAGTATGCAGGAGTGCTAACGAGGGTTCGTGGACAATAATGTAGGGAAGTACAGAGTTCGTGTGTTGGCTTCTATACCGGCCCTCGGTCCTCTGATTCCTAAAAGCTACTAATTTATGAACTGGATGAAGAAACCAGGGATCTAATTTTGTTTACATTGACCAATGCCTTCACTACCTAGAATCTAGATTGCAAGGAAAGATGGTGGCGAGGTCGAGATATTTGGGCAAACCCAGGGGTGAAGGCTGTGGCGAGCTTTCAAAAGAGATTCCAAGATCTACCCGATGCGACAGACCTTCATAATCGTGTCCAAGGTGTCACTGTTCGACCACACCTTGCATCAACATGAAGACGGGGGAACTGTACGCCTCCGCAGCATTCGACGTCGAGTCGTTGATCCAATGCCCCAACATGATATCCCGCAGGGTAGCCTACATATGGCTGCGGAGGGCTGGCATATTAGGGACGGCCTGCGAAACAATGTCATTTGGATTCGGGACCACCATAGACCCGCTCTTGATAGGGAAGTTGTTGAAATTGTAATCGAGTTCCCGCATCTCCCTGGTACTCGGGTAGTATTGCGTCCACGTATAATCACCGAATTCAACGTAAGAGGAGTCAATGCCTTCGTCGGTTAGCTTAGCACTTCAGCCGTCAGAGTCCGTCAGTGTTAAGCGCGTGGCAGCTCCATTGGCCGTCAAGTCAAAGTACGAGTCGGAACTGTTACTGAATTCTCCGTAAGGATAGTCATTTCCGTCTGGAAAATTGCAGTCGAAATCTGGGAGCTGATTAGCATATGCTCTTTCTTGAAAAAAATTTGGAGTGGTGGCTTGTTCATACAGTTCATTCCCTCTCCAAAGGTAGCGTAGCTCCGACGAACTCTGTTCCTGGCCGTGAGTCTAGCTAGTTTTGATATCGAGAACTTGATGGACTGAGAATAGTTGTGATCCCTCGACAATTTAGCAAACGTATGGTCCAAAAATCTCGGAGGCTTGCGAGGATGGCAATAGTGTATACCTTTATCAGAGGTGCTCATGTAGATTAAGTCTGAGTTGAAATACTTGAACACTAGTTTTACCTCGGGTACAAAGATTCCATAAAAGCTCTGAAACTTTGCCGACCCTCGGGTCCCTGGGTCATTCCGTTGCCGCCGCGTTCATTGGCGACATCTTCGGCTCTTTGCAAATTTCCTATAGAATGGTTGCACCAGTAGGGGCAGAATTTGAACATGATAGCCGGTCGCAGAGGCAACGTCCGAGCAGCTTGGGCATCAAATGCATACGTGAGGCGGTCGTTGAGGAATTTTTGACTGATTCTGGAGTCTCCCTATAGAAGTCTTGCTTCCTAGTAATGTATCCGTTAGGTTTAGACTCGAATTTCTCTGCGAAATCGAAAAAGGCATTCAGACTCGTCTTGTCGGATACATCGACAAGCTGTATGCAGGCATCGCCGAGAAGTCCAAACAATCCCGTCTTCACCGCATTCTCTAACGAGGTATGCACTATAATAACACGCATCACAATAACTCCGTGTTGTAGTTTCCTGAGAGCCCTCATCCTTTCTTCAATATCGACATCGCTATCGCGGTAATTATCAAGATAATCAAGCATAAAAGAGCCCCCGCGAACCTTAGCTGCCCTCCTAGCTAAATAGTCGAGAGCGCTTCCGTCACCCTAGTATCTAGCACTATAGGCCGGTGTCCAATTTAAGTGTATAGTGTTAAGAGAGGGGTCGATCCATGTTTTGTCAACGCGGATACTGGATTTCCACGAGTCCTCCTCCGGGGTCAAACCCTTCTTGCGAAAATGTCCAGCTTCAAAAGCGACCAGGCGCGATTCACGGCATACACTGCTAATCACAGGCGCGCGTCGGTTGAGATTAGTCGTTTGATGCAGCTCGTATGGCGGCGGATCAGAACCGAAGACGCCGCAATCATCCCATGCATAGTCTATCTCAACGACTCGGTTTAGGAGGCATTCACGCCATATGGCCAGTCTCAACTCCATGGGTAGCTAGGAGAAGAAATGAAAGTCTTGGTTATTATTGTTACTATTATTTTCCATTGAGTCGAAATGGCTGTGGGAATATTTTAGAGGGTAAGTCTGAAAAACGTACCTCGGGTTGCGGCACCCTTTATTATTTAGCGTGGAAGTGTTGCCCGTTGCAACTTGCCACGCTATCGCGAGAGTCGTCAAGGTAACCCGCTAGCGGGCGGTCCACCATGTGCAGAGAAAAGGCTTGTCCCTGTGGAGTACTGGAGCTCTTCAACGAGGCTTTGAATCTTGAGCCAATAAGCGAGGACCGACATTTTGTATGTATGGATATATGTATGTATCTAGTTACTTATGTATATATATAGTTCACTGAAGAATATAGAGTCTGGAGGCTTCTATATCAAAACTAATCACACGACAAATGTCACACAACGCCCCTTCCATGAATTGAGTCGCCAACCTGGGCATTTCCTACACCCAACATTCCCCATCGCCATCCCACCGTGGCCCTGTTGAAGTGCATCAGCCAGGACCGCCTCGAAGCCCCACGTAAGGCACAGGTCCCTCTCTAAACCCTTATAATAATGTCAAAAATTGAGCTTGCAGCGTCAACACAGGTGGCCCTGTTATTCTTGTTCTTTTTGTTTTGCCCCTTCCACCAGGGCAGGGCACCTATGGTCACCACTTGTGGTGACCAATTAGGCCATTGGAGGGCGGAGAGTGACTGTTTGGCCTGGAAGTTACCTATGACCCTTATTTATGCTTGAAAGTGTATTTTTAGTTTTTGAATGATTTTTTCTTATGCTGCATCGCAATCAGCTGTTGATGGGCCGAATATCCAGGCCATATTTTTACGCAGCTACACACTCCTGTCTTCCAGAGTCACCTGACTCTTCTGGGCGTCGTCATCTCTCGATGCTAATCAACACGTGCTGATAACCACCAGTCTCCATGCCCCCGATGAGACCGACTTTCCTGGTTGCCAGCCATCGTCGACCCTTCAAATGGCGATCAAAAACCCCGCATTCCCCTATCGCCGGGGATCCAATGCCTCGGAGCAAGACTTCTTCGACATCCCCGATGAATCATGTCTGACAGTCGTCAAGCGAGAACTCCGTCGAGTCCGCACCTGGGTGGTGCTTCTGGTATTCTTCGTGTTGATTAAATGGATGCGCCGAACTCCCCCTCCCCCGCCGCCACTCCCGCATATTCATTACGATGAGGTGGATTGGTCGCGCTTCGCTTATACTCAATATGCCACGAGTGAGACATATCTGTGCAATTGTGTGATGGTATTTGAGGCCTTGCATCGGCTGGGTTCGCGCGCGGATCGACTACTGTTTTATCCGAAGGAGTGGGATTTGGTTATCGACGGTGATTCGGATCGGATCAGTCAGTTGCTGGTACTGGCCAAGGATCAATATAATGTGCAAATGGTGCCGGTCGCCATTGAAGGTATCATGGCTGAGACGGGAGGTGAAGGAGGTAAGTTAACACCTCACATTTGGGGATTGGGACGGTGTTCGCAAGTCAACTTCCAGTTAGTTGCTAACATTACATGTCTTTGGAATCAGAATTCTCCGAGGCATCTTGGGATACCAGCACCGCCAAACTCTACGCTTTCGGCGTTCTCCAATACGATCGAGTCATTCACCTCGACTCGGACATGATGCTCTTCCAGCCCATGGACGAACTCTTCTTCCTCCCCAAAACCAGCATCGCCATGCCCCGGGCATACTGGCTCTTGCCCGAGACAAGAACCCTCTCCTCCCTCGTCGCTGTCATTGAACCCTCATACCGTGAATTCACCCTCCTCAAAGAAGCAATCCAGCCCGCGATCTTCGGCCAAGTCGACCTCAATCTCACCAACGCCCGATACGACATGGAGGTCCTCAACAGTCGTTATGGGGATAGTGCGCTCGTCCTCCCTCATAGACAGTATGGTCTGATCTCGGGAGAGTTCCGCAGAAAAGATCACCACGCATACTTGGGCAATGACCACGAGGAGTGGAACCCCGAAAAGGTCATCTCGGAGGCTAAATTCGTGCACTTTTCGGATTGGCCATTGCCGAAACCTTGGGTGATGTGGACTCAAGAGCAACTGGCTACGCTGCAGCCTGCGTGCGATAATAATCCTGGGACACCGCAAGAGAGTGGCTGCAAAGACCGCGAGATTTGGAAACAGCTTTATGATGAGTTCCGGCGCAAGCGCAAGGTGTGTTATACGTGACGTGGATAATGTTGGAGCTGAAAGACTGACTTTGACTTCAGGATATTTGTAAACTGTTGAGCTTCCCAGCTCCAATTTGATGTTGCAGATTTCTTTCTCCCGTGGGATGGTATTGTGGATTCCCACAATTTGTACAGTATTAGCATGAAGGAACGTATAGAGAGAGCAGGCGTCCAGGCGTTTTGGAGACCAGGTTGTCTCCCTGGTGAGATGCATATTCATAGAACTGTATAGTCGTTACAAGATCACTCACGCCAATCATTCCTTGAGTACTTAAATCAAATGGTATCATAAAGGGCCATGTCTTAACCATCACAATCGTCGATCCCACCTCGCCTTCGAAAGCGAAGAATGTATCCTCCCAACAGCTCTTACCAACACCGACGAATCCAACTCCGTCTCAACAATAATCGCAACCGACAGAACCAACGTAACCAGAAATATCTATACAACAGTCAACCATCTTCAAATCCCCTTCATCCAAACCAAATCTAGTCATCTCTCATACTTACTGCACAAATTAAAATCCCCACAGCATTCAACTCCCACCCCCCAGCATGAACCTTCCCCAGCGAAATCGCACCCTGCTGCCTCCAGAATCGATACGCGCCGATTAACGCGACTAGAATCGCGACACAGTGACATGTCACTGCGAGTGGTTTCCCCGCGACGTAGAATTTGAGGCGGTCGCCGGGTTGTTGGAGGCGGAAGAGTTGGGCGATTAGGACGCCTTGCATGGCGATTACGACTGAGGTGCGGATGTAGGCGAGGAGGGTTCTTTCGAGAGCTATTGAGAGATAGTTAGTATTTGGTTTGTTGGGTGGTTTATACTGTATCTCTCATGTCGAAGATATTGAGAACAGGGCGAGTAAACGCACCAAAATGATCCCGATTGCTCCGTTGCGGCACCGTCAAAGTAACATGTTGAGTCCAAAACTGAGCAATCCGATTCGATTTCCATGTACCTTCTTTGCCTTTGCCTTTACCTTTGCATGCATCTGATGCGCGTCGCACGGTCGTCGACTGAGTAGATCGTCTCCTGGTAGTGACGCGGTAGTCCTCCCCGGACGAGGCAGATGGTGACGAGTACCCCAGTTGCTCCTCATCTTCACGGGTTTGCAGTTCCCGCAGTTCGAGGGATTCCCGTCGCTCGCCGGGCTGTGCGCGTGGAGTTGATACTGATCCTCTGGTATCTATCATGCTTGCGCTGGCTGGTGATGCAAAATCCCGGTGGGATCGAGGTGATGTGGTCATGGTTGTGGTTATCGTGGATGATCTCTGAGAGAACAGAGCAATGCGCTCGGGGATTGGATTGGCGGGGTGACGGTTGTGTAGTGGTGGTGGTCAAAGCAGGGATTTGGGCTAGTGGCCGCTCTGGAGCCGGTTATCGCTGGTGGTCATTAAAGACGAGGATTGGTGGTTGTTGGTCGTTGCGACGTGGGAGGTTGGGAGATTTATGTTGTATGGTGAGCTGCACATGGCCATGAGGAAGGTTGAGTGGATGTCAAATATGTGTGTAGTCTATGAAGATTGAGGGATGATGTCAAGAATCACGAGTTTCAAAGCCCCGAGGGTTCAATTAAGCTTAAATTTCACCTAGCGATTAGCAATGAGATGTAAAGTAGGGACACAGTTTATTGCACAAGTACATAAAACAAGAAATGTTCTTGATGTACATACAGTATGTCTGATACATCCAAGTGGTACTGTCGGCAATCGACCCCCCATATAATGCCCCCATTTGATGCCCCCACTTGGCCGAATGGCATCATTTCACGATCGGATGGTGGAAGATATCACCACTCGCAACGATTGTTATTCTCCACTTCGAAACAGCCGTGCTGCCAGGTACGGTCACCGGTCGCTTCGAGGTTCAAATCTAGCAGACGGTTCACGTTTCCGCTGAATGATCTCTGCCTGGGAAACCAACAAAAAAGAGTCTATCGACTGTAGCTAGCTTAGCTCCGTATCCTTTTCGCAAAGTTCGGTTGTACTTGAGAACTGTCGCTATTCAGCATATTCAGCATATTCCAAGTCCAGACCGAAGCGCAATTTGATCGCAAGTCTAATATAGAACTCGTAGATGTAAACGTAACTCTGTATTATATAGAAACTCTATCGGCATTATATCGCTGAATCTGGACTATGCAAAATGCGCCCCGTTTTGGTACTCTCCACCCCAAACCACCTACCTCGCAGTCTATCAAGATCTCCATGTAAATAGCAATCAGCGACGAGAGCGATCAGAGGCAGAGTCTGTCGTCAAATAACAGCCTCCCTCTACATCTCCTACTGTCCTACTCTCCCCTCTATTTCGGAACAGCAGCCTTCCAGAAGAGCCAGCCAATCGCCGCCACAAACTTGATACCAGCCGCCATCCACAAGGCGGATTGCATGCCACCACTGCTGCGACTCAACCAGCCTCCGACAATAGCGCCAATCAACAAGAACACGACACCACCAATGCGACGATTGCGCTTGACGTTCGTCGTGGGCTTATCCGTAATCTTGGGATCGGACGCAATATCGAAATAAACGCTGGTCAAAACCACGGTCGGGATCTCATTATACCCCAGCGAGCGACTGCAGGTCATTCCGCCCGCGGATTGGAATGCCAGGAGACCGATTGGGATCAGCTCCAGGAAGAGGGGTCCTCCATCGAGGGACTGGTCGGCCGAGGTGTGGGGGATGAGATCGGCTTGGATCAGGGCCACGGCGATGATGATGAGGATGGTTTGGGTGAGGAAGGAGACGAAGAGGGTGCCGCGGCGGAGGGCGCCTACGCGGCGCATGACGACAGAGAAGATCATGGCGCCGGTGAAGAAGGAGACGATGGAGACGAGGGATTTGAGCCAGCCCCATGGTTTGCTGGCGGGTTGGTTGGAGGCGCCGAGGCCGAGGAAGATGGTGTTTCCTGTGAGATAGACTGAGATTAGGATTTATGTCTTTCTCTTGAGGGTTTGGAATTGAGTCATACCGGTTTGCATGCCCAAGAAGCAGGACCAGGCATTGTATGCGCTGCTATCGCAGAGACCCGTCAAGAAGCATAGCAACAGACACACCAAGTCTGCATTGGTCGGGTCCAGGGTTTGGTTCCATCGTCGCGTGAGGGTGGACTCCTTGTTCGACTGTGGTGATGGACTGGCCTCGAGATCGGGCGCGGCCGGGGATGATTGACTGGGTTTCTCCATTGGCCGCGGATCTGTTCCGACCGAGGGAGTTTGGAGGTGAGGGGGAGGAGAAGGACGTCAACACAACAGAGAGAGGGATGGAGGGGAGGTGAATAGAAAGTGCGACAGAGGAGTGATGGCGGAGAGAAAGAGAGACGATGAGGTGATTATAAGAAAAGTCTGGGCAAACTAACCTCAGAGGTGCCGTTAATCCGTTTTGGAGTCTATTGGAGTTGAAATCGGTCAAGTCGGCGGGCGCGGCCGACCTCCGAAGAAGGCGAAAGTGTTTTTTTTTTTTTTTTTTTTTTTTTTCCTTTGCCGATCCTTAAACGAGTAAAGCCTTACTTACTGTAGGAGGTAACTACATACCCGAATAGTTACGTAGTAGGATAGAACATAAGTACAGTGAGGGCCCACTACACTGGGGCCCATAGGTCCATTGGTCCATAGGGCTGAATTGTCCACGGCAAAATGCAGGACAATTGATTGGCTGCCTGATGGATGAAAACGACTGGTAAATTAGCAGTTTTTTAGTGACAGTAATCACAGTGGTCACAGGTAAGAATGCACGGAGGAGTCATAGTCTCGGTATACTACGAGGACAGTGGTGAGCCTATAGACAGCTAAAAGGCAGGAAATCGAATATAGAGCACCAGTCAATATTGAAAAACATGATAGGATACATCAGAAAAAAAAACAAAAAACTCGATATGGAAGTACAATGTGGCCCTGTCTGCTATGTTATCACGAAAAGGACTCGATCCACACTCAACCACTATGTACTAAGACAGTATAGACGGATATCCCTTTAACCTTTAGTTTCTTCCGATTGTCACGCTTTAGTATCCCCCCTAAGAAGGTCGAGATCGACTGATTGGAAACATTTACTCCTCGATCTCTTTCTACCCGTATACTCCTCCCCACCAACTATATACATCTACTTCCTCAAAAATGTCAACGCCGCAAGACACAAAGCATCCACCCCCACTTGCATCGTCGGTTGAATCACCGGCGCAAATCGCGCCGAGTGATTCCCAGCAATCTCCTCACTAGGATTCTCTTCTCCATGCACCCGGTCCCACAGTTCAGGGTCAACTCCACCAAAGAGCCAAAAACAGCATGGAAGATCTTCACATCGGCCTAGATTCGAGAAATCCTCACTCACATTCGTGCGAGGAGTATCGTTATCGAAGTCTTTGAAGTGCTGTTCAAATGACGCGGCTAGTTCATTCGCGACCTGGTGGTCATTATCTGTTGGTGGGAAACGCCGTGTTGGTGTGAAGATGGGCGGTTTGGGGGACCCGCTGGCGAGACATTCAGCCTCGACGATGCGCTGAATCGCAAACAAGATCTTCTGTCGCGTCTCTAGCTTCACTGTTCGAAAGTCGAGTCCGATCTCTGCCCGATCTGCAATGATATTCTCGGCCTGTCCGACTTGGAGACTTCCCACCGTGACCACAGCCAGATCACTAGGATCAACCTCTCGACTCACGATGCTCTGCAGTCGCACGACGATATGCGCCGCAAGTAAAGCCGGATCAACCGTCTGATGAGGCAATGAGCCATGCCCACCACGACCGAACACGGTGATTTTCATACTATCCGCTGCGGCCATGATCGTACCCGGTCGGGAACCAATGCTACCAGCACGCATGCGCATAACATGCTGACCGAAGACATAATCCGGCACGGGGATTTTCGAATACAACCCGTCATCAACCATAGCCTGGGCACCGCCGCCTCGTTCCTCGTTCGGTTGGAAGAGCACGATCAGCGTTCCGCTCCAGACATCTCGCATCTTGGCGAGAGTTTCGGCCGCCGCGAGCAGACAGGTCATATGCATGTCATGTCCACAGGCATGCATCACGGGCTTTTCGATCCCCTCGGCATCACGCATGGTGACTGTGCTTGCATAGGGGACTCCGGTGAGTTCTTGAACGGGCAGTGCGTCCATGTCCGCTCGGAGGAGGATGGTTTTTCCCGGGCCGTTGTGGAGGACTCCTGCGAGGCCGTAGCCGCCGATGTGGGTGTGGGTTTCATAGGCGTTGAGCTGGGCTAGATGGGTGGCTACTCTTTCAGAGGTGGATTTCTCTTGCAGGGAGAGTTCGGGGTGGGCGTGGAAATATTTGTAGAGAGCCTCGTATGGGGTCAGATCGAGGGACCCTTCTTTCAGGATCTCGGATAAGCTTCTTTGAGCCATTTTGTTGAACTTGTGGTAGTAGTGAATACAATAGAAATCAAATTAGGCAGAAAGATATAGTAAAATGTTCACCCTCTCCTCCAGCGAGCCTCGCGAGTCAGACAGTCAGCAAAAGCACAATAAAGGTAACCTTCCCCGCGACGATGTGGAGGTGTGAGGAGATGCCAAGTTACGGAAGAGGAATGTGATAGGCCTTGCGATCTGAGAAGTCTCCACTAGACGATTCACTGCATATTTTGATTTAGAAAATTTCGTTTAAAAGATAATGTCATGAATGTTCATCAGACGAGGCTGAAAAGAAGAGAATGAGCAAATTCAATCCTGCGGCTCTACGTCGAGTTGTATTCGAAATTTAGGGCAATACTCGTGTAACTCCCGACATATTACAAGCTTCCATTGAAGTCACATTCTCACAGCACATGTCAGATAAAATTATTCTCATCATGTGTAGCGTGTTCCACAGCATAAGAAGTGTTTTCCAACACCAAGCCACCTGCAAACTTGTGCAAAATCATCCAATATCGTACAAGCCAAAGCAACCATTCTGTGCCTTCATTGAAGTCCTAAATCTCCTGATAAACTTTAAACCCCCCAAACTCCCAAAATGCCTCCTCAAATCTGCCCGGATTATTCGCCACAAAATCCGAACAGGTACCAGGACAATTATACATCTGAGTATAATACTGCGGTTGCGCTCCCAGTTCCCCACACAGATCGATATTTGCAACGATGCTCTGGTTTCGGAAGTGTGAGGGGATGTCGCAGTTCGTACTGGGGTAGTCGGCGAGTGCTGTGCCCCAGATTGACGGGTTGGGGGTGAGGGTCGGATTGGTGATGTCGGATGGAATGGAGGTGCGGGGGAAGAACCAGGTGCGGATTCCTTCCTTGCGGAGTTCGAGAGTGTAGACCTATCTTTGTTAGTTGGTCATGTCTTTCATGTCATAGGTATGGGAAATCCGATTTGTGTACTTACTCCACCACCATTCTGATTAAATTCCTGTCCGTACGTAGACGGATCACCCAGCACACCACAGCCAGAGTTCCCATCGGTGCTATTATCACACCACTTCTTCACAGGTGATCCCAACTCTTTACGCTTGACGTTCATGTTGCACCCCCTGGTCGTATGCAGGGTGATTTCATTACCGTTCGAACCCTCATTATTAGACTCGAGGACGTCAATTTCTCCATTATTCGGCCAGTTGTATCCATCTGTTAACCACAGGGCTGGCCATGTTCCACATCCGTAGGGCGTGTGGATAATATCAAACACAAATAGACCCGTGTCATAGGTAGCTTTGGACTCGATGCGCACCGAATTACGACCACCGATTGCACGGGGAGTGAAGGAGTCCACGCGCAGTATGGCAGAGGTATCGCTGGCATAGGTCAGATTGAGATCTTGAGCTGCACTCCGGTTGACATAGACCACGAATCCGTCTGTCGGATCTTCGTCGGAGAAGTAGTTGAATTTATCGAAGAAGGATCTTCCCTGGTAGGCATCTACCAGTCGATAGTTTAAGGGTGTGTAGTTTGGATATCGATTTGCTTTGACGCCTATCACGGCACCGACGACCGTGACGAGAATCACCGCTGCTGATATCACCGCCGCGATGAGGATTTGTTGGCCTCGGGACCAGCCTTGGGGGTGATACCATGGGAATACATGGGGTGACCGCTCTGGAGACTTGGCTGCACCTGTCACCGTTGGTACGATAGGTGACTTGGGGATATCCGTAAGATTGAGCTCGGGGACTTGCGAAGTGGCTCCGCTGTAGCGGTTGCCATATTCTGGGGGGAGACGCAGGTCGTCCATTTTGTGTATGGAGAGAGTGAAATGCGCTAGATGCGTTTAGTTTATTCAGTTGCGTTGGTGGAATTTGATTTTGGAAGAAAGAGTCAAACCGTGGGAGACGAAAGTGATATTAATCTCAATCTTATTGTGATGTTATGATATCATTCTTGTCTCTCTGGTATGCTGGGATGCGCGCCCGAAAAGGTCAAGTGCTGATCTTTTAGGGAAGACCCGTTTGCGACGCTCCGATGCAGAATTGGGAGGCGGGGAACATGATAATTTTGAACGCTTGACGGAGAGGTATAAAACATCGCACCTATATATTGTATGCCACGGCATGGTTGTCAACTATGAGTATGCGGTGTCAGGTATGGCTTGTTTCATACCACGGATCTAGATAGACATCCCCATCTATCTCGAGTATCTGATAAACAACCCATATGAGACCACGATCTTTGTAAAACAATCTGATTTAATTCACTGCTTGTAATATGGACTTGAATCGGGGTGTAACTCTACGCTCAAGGCACTCAGACAACCCGCCCTGAGCGGTTCTAGGTCGCAGCATTTCCATTCTACCTATATGATATTACAGCTCATGAATGATATCATGTCCCAGGAGAATATAGCAACATGTGATGATTCTGCCCCGCAAAACTAATCACAGCCCCTGCTCATTAGTAGTGTGATAGGAGCAAATCTGGCCGGAATCGGCAAGGAATGTTGATGACCCACACGTGGAAGACTCTCACGTCATGTTCCTGAATGACAGGTACGGGAGTTGACGAATGCGGAAAAAAGTACAATCAGAGAGAGTGCGAGTCAGATTGCCGTGATATAGCTCCAAAAACATATAAACAAAAAGATTCACGAGCAATGACGTGTATGTATAATTCCTACATTCGCCATAGCAACAAAAAAACGCCAAGACCTCTATATAGATGATGGATATATGTACAAGAGATGCCAAAAGTAGATAACAAGCAACGCCATTCTGGCAATGATTACCGGTTCGAGCGAACAGTCGATGAGCGATGCACGAGACCATCTCCGTTCGGCGCGGGATGAGTCTGCCAATCATGCGATTCATGACCCGTGGACAGGCCGCCGTCGGCCTGCGACTGCGAATAACCGCGCGATCGTGGCCGACCGAAGGATTCACCACCACTGAGATTCGATGCACGTCGGCGCATGCGGCGCTCGGACTCGGCGGCCTCGGTTCTGTTCAACGCGTCGGATGGTAGCAGTACGGCACGGTCCAGTGCATATGGTAGGCCACGGTGACGGCCACGGATTTGCATGGCAATGATGACCAGCTTGGAGACCACATTGAATTGCCCGGAGAAAGATGTGTTGACACCCGGGTATCCGAATGACAAGCCCACAGTACCGTAGGCCGAGACCACCTCAAACAGCACGGTGAACAGTTGGAAACTATAGTCACTGGTGCTCTCCAGGCGACTACCTTCGGCGATGGCAATAACAAAAAGTCCTAAGAACACGTACCACAGATCGAAACTCAGCTGACGCCGCAAGTGAGCACCAATATAACTGGGGGCGGTTTGGGTTTCTTCATCGTTCTCTTCTTCGACGCCATAGATCCCCAGACTCTTCTCTTCGTACACGTTGGTTCGACGCATGGAGATGGCAATGGGGAAGACGGAGATATACATCATGATCAAGTACGAGACTTGAATGGCCGGGTGGAGGTCCGACAGACTCACGATGCCAAAACCGGCAGTTCGAGTGGCTGCAGCCTGGAACAGACCGTCGAGGACTCGGATACCAGGTGGCAGAGTAGTCACAGTGGAATCGTTCAGCTGTACACAAAAGAGATTAGCATGCTAGCCTATTCAAAAAGCATTATCAGAATCACTCACGTCCAAGATAATAAAGAAAATCACATCAATGCCATTCAGCGCCACCAAAATTGCAAACAACCACCAAGTGGCATTCCGAGGGAACAGAAGAGTAAAGCATCGACGAGGGTGATCAAGCAGGAACTTCAATTCCTCCCACAGCGCCGTACCCTGTCGGGCAAATTTTGACAGTGTCCAGATCATCAAACGCAGCATGCAGGGGAATCCCGTATTGCCAATAATAATCAAGAATGACAGCAGGAGTAACGGGAATACCGCCCTCTGAAACGAGGTCATCGAGTCGGGTGTCAAGGTGAAACCCAAATCGTTAAAGGCAGACGCAGATGTAAAAATTGCCCACCATGGCCGTCCAACCCCATCGCCAGTCACCACGGTACCCCAGGTATCCACTGTCATAATCCAACCAACCATGCAGATCACACCCAAGAGATGGAAGCCCACGTAATAGGAAATCAGAACCACTGCCAGGGTCTTCAGCGCACGATACTCAATTCCACCCAACTCGTCGCGTTGCTCCTCGGTCAAGTCCACAAAGTTGGAGTTTCGCGCCACGGTCGCGTTCCAGCTCAGATACGGTTGCGTAGGCCGTTCTTGCTCCTGGGTGAGCGACCGGAAGATACCCCGAAAGGTATTCTTGGTTGTCGACGGACCCAGTGCATTCTCACCATCAACATCTTTGGTCATGGTATCGCGAATTGTTGGCCTCGTGTCTAGACGGGAAAAGGTGTTGCCGCGAGTGCGGGTACGGGTGAAGTCCGGCTCGTTGATCGTAATATGTGGTCCTTCCAGCGGACCTTCCAGCGGACCAAGTTGATCGTTCTCACCGGAATCTGTTGAGCTCCGTCGGCGGTCCGATCGGGGGCTTGATGGCTGTTCCGCCTGGTTGTGCTCTTCCTCCTCGCCCTCGTCTAGTGCCTCAGGAACTCCACCCCGATCGTACTCGCGAGGACTCGGGATGCGCAGGGCACCTTTGCTCTTGCGTTGATTTTCGAGGAAAGCGATGTGATGCTCGGGACTCAGCTGAGTAGGCACTCGTAGACTTCCCAAGCCAAGTCGACGTTCCATGGCGGGTTCCTCGGTATCCTCTGAGCTAGAGTGCTCGCTGGGCTTTTTGCCATCGGGAGCCTCGTCATCCGTTTGGAGCTCGGGGACCTGGGCCGTCGGGTTGGGGAGTCGACTGCCTCGGGCATCACCAGCATTGTTCCGGAGCACCACGATCGAGCGACCCCCAACTCCCTGCTCCGCACGGCTCACCTCCTGCGTCTCCTTATCCTGGGTCACCGTGTCCATGCGAGATCGAGTCGTGCGCAAAGCACGCGCATCCCGCACCACATGCTGAAACCGCTTCTCGAACCAGTATAGTCGGATAAATACCAGGCCACCGTGGATGAAGATGGGCGTACATAGCATCGTAATAAAGTAGAGCACAATCTGCTGATATAGATACATCTTGTTGAGGTCAATCGTGTTCAGCCCGCTCTGGGTGGAGGCACCGGAGGCGTGAAAGAGGGCATCCGTGTAGGACATGTTGCCACCGGAGAAGACAATGATGGAGCCGATGATCACCCATGATAAGATATAGGTATAGTGTAGGAATATGAAGTTCAGATGGAGCTGGTTTAGCAGCGGTACCCGCTGCTTGAGGTTGTTCAAACGGCGGATCAACTTGGAATACATGGTCAATGGAAAGGGCGGCGATGGCGCCGTCGTTCCCCAAGCGGAGGCCACAATCCGCGGATGGTTGATGAGGTTCGAAGAGGTGACCGGGTCAGCTTGGTCGTCGCAGGAGGGGGAGGAACCTGGTGGTCCTGTTTCACGGTCCCCAAGGCAAAGTTAACTGATCAGATTGGATGCTGATTAGTCCCAAGAAAAGCACTCATCGCACGGATCGGGAGAACCAGCATACATGTGGGAAGAATGTCGATCGCTGTGACGAGCGGAGACTTTCTTTTTTTACGTGCAGGACAGCACGAGGTGCACAAGGCCCGATGTTAGCCGCGTGGCATTGAGCCACCCTGGAGCAAAGGAGAGGTCGAAGACATAATTAGGAGGACAATGCGAAGGAGGTGGAGGAAGAAGAGGTGGAGGAGTAGACGAGAGAAGAGAAAAATCCCAAACTTTCGAGTCGATCGGCTGGTGACTGGCGACGAAACACCTGATGAAAAAAAGGCGCAAACGGCCGGGGCCTGTACGGTATTGTCAAAAGGGCTGTAAATTACCGTCGAGTGCCAAAAACGTTGTAACAACGTGGCAGTGCCGATCGTTTGTCTGCAAAGTCGGTAAATTACCGGCCATCCTACAAATACGGGAAATTGAAGAATCTCAATGATGTCGACTATTATTGAAATTACTAATTGTACTGTAGATACTAAAATCAAAGTGAGGCAATATCCGATTCCAATAGGGATTCCGATGGAACTAATCGATCGCCACTAGTAAACAGTCGGACCAGAATTGATTCAAGGCCACGCGGGCCGAGTCCACTCGAGTAGTACAGAGTAGTAGCATAATGAATGGGTATCATTCAAATAGGGGGCTCAGAACTCGGAGTACTCCCATCATTCTGATCAAAAAGAATATCTATTTACCGTACACAGTATACACAGTACTAATATTCGAACGGCTACTCTTCTATATCTTCAAACACATGGAAACACAATCCACACATATCCACCCCGACTCGGCTAGTGTGCAGCCAAGCTTTTCACCTGCGGGAGAAATCGCGACCTCTCGTAAGTCGAGACCGGTCGGACAATCTTCCTATTGAGATCTGGCCGGCAGATACTAGCAGTCCTGGAAGATGCTGCATCCGGCATCTGAGCTAGCATGGTTATTTTTTGGTTTGAACAAGGGTTCGAGTGGTCGGGGTATACCAGTCCGACCAGCTCATCACTTTCACATGGGTCCAAGTCAGGAATGGGTTTGCTGGGGCTGGGTTGGTATCATGTCTGCCTGCATTACAGGAGTCCTTGGCATCTGGGCATGTCCTCGGATACCCGACAAAAGTAATGGGGATTGCTCAATGCCATCTGGAAACCAGATCATTGTCGCACGTTCCCCCTCTATCACCACGGTATTATTGCAGCTGCCTCGCAAAATAGGCAGGTATAGGCAGGCTTTCCACTAGCGCCCACCTTTAAGGAGGACAAAAAATTACGAAGCGAAGCATCTCATTAGTTAAAGCTAGAGAAAGCTAGATCCGCGAGCAGATATATATATATATAGGGTCAGGTTAATGGCACTACATGAACGTTACTCGCACTACACACTAAACCTTTTTGATTAGTACCCGCCTTGGCAACTTTTCACCACCAAAAAGGTACATCCGACACCTAAAAAAACAACTACGGTCTACCAAGGCTTCTGTCTAGATATTTCTATGAATAATAAGCCCTTTTTGCGGTCGCTCTTAGGGTCAGTATTTACTTCGAGCACGTCACTATATGTTTACCTATTATTCGATAATTATTATGGCTATTTATCATAAGAACCAGAGGAATATGACTACACATGAAGACAGCGATATTTCTGTAGGTCTTAAATGTACCTTTTGGTGGTGGGGCGGACGGTAATCGAAAAGGGCCTAGTTTGTAGTGCGAGTAACGTTCATGTAGTGCCATTAACCTCACCCTATATATAGGCATTTATTTCTTTTTATCTTACTCTCCTACAGTCCTGCCTAGCTCCATAGCTACCACCTAGTAGCAGAAAGTATCTATACTATAGCTGTAGTAAGCGCCTATAGGAAGTACTTCAATTATGATACAAATAAGTACCAATAAAATAAATAGCAGGACTATATCTATACTAATACTATACTAGCATCTGGTCCATCACAAAACGCACGATATAGTGTCACACTCAACAACTTAGATCTGAGAGACAAAGATGTCGATTGTTTGAGGGGAAAATCTACTGAATCGATCCCAAGGTGGTCATCATGCCGACGAAACCAAGTCCTTTTTAGATAACGACACTCTGTTTGTAAGGATATACTCTATGAGTCAGGATAGAGGCCTGTCAATCAGGTAGGAGAAATGGGGCCAAGTCAATAGTGTGAGGTAGTCAAAGACTGTTTCTTGAGGATCGTAAAACCTCTTCAACATGGGTCAATTTATATACAGTCTCATCGCTCAAACAGGAAGGAGATGTATCCTGTCGGCCAGAAAAGCGGGTCATATTTCCATTAGGCCAAAAAGGCGTACTTAAGCACAGTCTTCAGGCTTTATTTGGAGATATAAGAGATCGGGTCGTTCAGGGGCCGATATACCCCCCTACTATATGCTGACATATCCTTAGTAGGGAAATGGGAGCGGGGTGAAACACGAGGCTTGTGTAACCTCTGTCAAGGGTGTTCCCTGCAGGAGTTCGTACACGTACTGATGCCGAAGCCCCAGCGAGCCTCCACAGAAAGCCTGCCGGCTTATCAGGTCCGGGAAGCCTGAGGCACCAACAGTTGGGAATAACCTCATGCCAGGATATATCATAACACTGTTATTGCAAGATGCGGACATGGTAGGGCCTGACCCACACGCTTTACCTTATACATGCATCCACATACTGGGCCTCCTAGATAGGTTTCTGTTTGGGTGCTTGACGCCAGCACTGGTTCCTGTCACAAGCTACTTCTAGTATCGCAACATCCAAAGATCTCTGCCGAAAGAGTGAAATAAAGACTAGGTATATGAGGTACCTATCAACTACAAGCTCCCTGTCTCTCCATTGCCTTTGGTCAGGATAAGCCGCGAGTCAGCTAGGAGGTACTCAAGAATTGGGTTCAACAGCACGCTGTCCAGGCCAAGAGCATGGAGCTCTCCAATCTGCAACAATACAGACCTCGAGCTGTCCACAATCTTCCGAATGTCATCCTTCAGGTCCATCTTGATCTGAGCACCACGCAAGAATTCGATAATTTGAGGCCCAGGCCGGTTCATCTTCAAAGCAGGTTGACTTTCCAACTTGACCACGATGTGCGCACTTTCGGGGTGAGATCCCAAGTCCAGAAGAAGGCCATTGTTCAGATATTGGCCCTTGACTATGTGTATTTCCTCCCCGACACAAACTTGCGTCATTTCCGATGATGTGTATCCGAGGAAGCGAACGCTCCACTGGTGGACTCGTTGAAGGTTTCCACCAGTTGTGGGCCCAATGTACAATTCACCGGCTTGTTGATTGAAGGAGATGTGCGTTCGACGAAAATCGATCTGATCCGTGTATTGTCCCTTTCCATCATCTTCCACAAGTTCGAAGGCACCGTCTGCCCCGACAACAACCAGGAGTTCGATCGTGGGAGAATCTGCGCAACCATTTGTGAGAGTTGATGCCATGTCAAGCGGAATGATCGCTCCTTCGCGAGCGAACGCTGGGTAGTCTTTCAGGCGTCGATGCAGCCAAATGCGACGGTCTCCATCGTAAACCATGCCTGTGAAGATATCCACATGTCTGCCAGGGGGAAGCCAAGCGAGGACCTGAGATCTTCGAGTACTAGGATCTTGAGGAGAGGTGATTGGTACCACAATGAGATCTGTGCCAAAGATATACTGGTTTGGTACGTTATATGCCTCCTCGCTTTCCGGGTAACCCCAATACATGGGCTGCACAAGAGGCAACCCCTGCACAGCAGCGCGTACATTCATTGTGTAAAGATATGGAAGCAGTCTATGGCGGAGCTGCAGATATTCTGTCATGATCTGCCCGTATTGAGGGTCAAGATTCCAGGGTTCCTTGATGCTGAAGATATTGTTTGACGAGTGGAGTCGCAGGATCGGGGAGAATACGCCGTATTGCACCCATCGAATGAGCATTTCATCGTTCTTTTCACCGTGGAAATGGCCACCAATATCATGGCTCCACCAGCCGAACCCAATGTTTGACGCCGTTGCTGTGAACTCTGGCTGGAAGTGGAGAGAGTCCCATGATACCACGGTATCACCAGAGAACCCAATAGGGTACCGGTGACTGCCTGGGCCCGCATATCGTGAAAAGGTTAAAGGTCTTTTGTTGTCAAGAGTGCTATCCAGGAAGTGGAAATGATTGAGCACCCAAAGTGGATCGATGCCAGGGATACGGGAATGTGTCCCTTGCTGCCAATCCACCCACCATAAATCCAACCCTTCCCTCTCAAATCGCCGGTGGAGTACATCAAAGAAAGCATCCAGAAATGTTTGGTTTGTGATGTCGAAAGAGATAGGGTCACCCATGGACACATCATGGTCAAGAGCAATGGCCATCTCCTCATAGGGATCTTCATAGCTCTGCACACCGTCCGCGGGATGATCATTCAGAGAAACATGTAGGCCCCGATCATGGAGTTCTGCAAGGAAAGCTTTGGGATTGGGAAAGAGCTCTCTATTCCAGGTGTAGCCGGTCCATCCTGTCACTCCCGCTTTCTTCACACACTCGTCCTGCACAATATGCCAATCCATATCCAACACGGCTACTGAGAGTGGAATCTCACTTTCGCGGAATCGATTCATCAGTGATAGATATTCATCCGCAGTATAAGGATAGTAGCGACTCCACCAGTTCCCTAGGGCCCATCGTGGAAGGAGCGGTTGGGGCCCTGATAGAAGATAGAAGGCCTGGATGGCTTGTTGATAGTCGTGACCGTACGCGAAAAGATAGCCGTCCACCCGTTTTCCAGGTAATCTTGTAGTCACCCACTGTCGATCATCAAAGAGCATTGACTTTGAATCATCCAAGGTGGCATATCCATGTCTAGAAATTACACCTTGATCTAGGACCACCCGGCCATCGGCCTCGTCCAGAGTACGGGTCGTACCGCCGAGATTTGAAGCTTGGGTGCCATAGCGCCAGACGCTGCCATGGGGTCCATAGTTTCCTTTGACGACAGCACTAAGGCCATTGGGGGAGAATTCTTGTTTGTCGTAGGTTAGGTGAAATCGAGAAGTTATAATCTGAAGATTGTGTTGGTTTTCTTTGACCCGAAATTCGGGTACAGGTAGCTGGCGGTTAATAGCAAGAACCGAGGCGCGATCCTCGAATTGGTTGTCTTCAGCCCATTCATAACGAAGCATACCGTCAGACAAAACACTGAATCGGTACTTGCCAGCACTAATGATCGCCTCGGGGTGAGCGACCGGAGTATGTGGGAAGGAATAGCGATGCATGGTTAAAAGGCTTGCTTGCTAGCTGGAAATTTTTTTTCCTCCATTTTGCTGTGACGGATAAAGTGATTCATATAGAGTATCTTCAATACTTTCGATCCATTCTGTATCACTACAGTGGGACTGTGAGTAACTCCCGTACCCCATGAGTTGAACTCGCTGGAATTTTCGCTGTGACTGAGGGATCAAATTAGAGCGGACTAGTCTGACTCCGGACCGTCCTTCGTATGTAGCACATGAGCCATGTACAAGCTATGCATGACTCGTACTTTAAATTCCAATTGGATGTTCACATTTCCCCCCGCCTTGTCTTAAACGCCACCATACGAATTTCGACGATGCGGGGAAGAATGCAGCGACCGGAGTCAATGATTTAATTCTCGCTCGAATTCCAAGGTGCATTCAAACCCCCGAGAATCATTGATAATTATCGAAAATCATCAAGAATCATGGCGAGCCCCTGCGACGGTTGTTTTGTACGGCGGGTGAAGTGTGATCGGCAACGTCCATGCCAAACTTGCCTGATGAGACAACAAACCTGTACTTATTTGAGAGTCCGCAAAAGACCCGGTCCCAAAGGGCCTCGATCAGATACCACCTGCAAGATCGAAGAGATCCAACGAGGAGCCACGGCAGATGTTGAGATGGTTACTCCAGCAGCCGAAAGCCCAGTCCTTCACGCTTCAAATTCTCGCATTCCGATTTCGACTTACTATGCGGTGTTTGATGTCTTTCAAGCGCGCGTTCATGATATCTGGCCGATCGCCGATATTGAGCAGTTGAAATGTCAACTCCAGAACTCCGATAATGATCCCCTTTCACACGCTCTGGCAGCTGCCTTGTGCGCTGCGACATTAGCACAACTTCGCCTTGGGCTCACACCAAATCCGTGCCCTCGAGATCTCTCTGCTACAGCCGAAGACTTTGCCAAAGAATGCCTCCGCATTCGACTGGAACATCACTATCATCAAAAGCCATCCTTGGAGGCCTTGATTACATCCGTCTTCCTTCATATGTACTATGCCAATCGAGATCAGATCACACCGGCTACAATCTCGCTCCGCGAGGCTATCACCTACGCAGACCTACTGCATCTAGGTCATACCCCCCATCCGATCAAGCGCAGTCAAAGAAGTGGCAACGGGAACTTCGATGTTATTGGATCTTATTTGTGACGGAAAGGTTAGTACATTACCTTCCTGTGAACTCTTCAAAATTCTAATCTAATTTATACACTCGGATTATTCGGACAGGACGTTTTGCATCCAACATGATCTCCCAATCACACTCCAAAGAATACCAAATCTCCCAGAAATCGAATGTGATCCCTCCCAGGGAAATCTATATGCAGGATTCTGCGCTCTTGTTCAATTGTTCTTGCATATACAGCGTCTCCTTATTCTACCCCTGACGACAAGCAAAGCTATCGAGGCAACAGATATGTATTCAAAAGATAGTATATCGGATATTCAACAACAAATACAAGTCAGAATGCCTCGACTCGAAGTCACTTCCGAAATACAGTATGTGGATATTTTGACTACTTCAGCATGGGTCCGTTCGTTGCTGTGGCAGTACTCCGCTTCTCGCTTCATGCTCTCCTCGTCCACGTCTATCGAGCCGCTATCATTTGAATACCCGCTTTTGATTGCCAAGGATTATTTGGAGTGCCTTTCACACGTATCCATAGAATCTTTGCGTAGCCACGGATACGGCATGGTAAGCCATTCAAGCTTGCTTTTCTTCAATGTTGAAAATCGATGTACTAATTCATTCCCCTTCATACAGGAGATAAAGCTTCATCAAGTTGCGAACTCTATCCTCGACTTTATGCTTTGTATGCCTAATCTTTTAGAGTATCAGACTTGTCGCATTGGGCCTTTTGATGCAGTTCTTGCAATCGAACAATTATTGTCGCAAGTCGGAGGGATAAAGTCGGAGAGGCTATGTTTACTACACCAACGTTTTTCACAAATTCCATCTTCAATGAGTTTGCCTCTCATGTTGGAATCATCTGAACAGGAGGAGGTACTTGATTCGATATTACAAGATGAATTCTAATCAATTATTTGCGTGTCCTGTGATACTTTGATACCCATTTTCCCGTACGCCATGAAATGAATCCACCCAGTCCGCCTTCATGTTGTAATTGCTGTGTTTTCCAATCAATGCGGGACTGCACATTCATTGAAGCCATCAGCCAAGTCAAAAATGTTTTGGGCGGTAGGCAAAGCTTAACGCTAAGTATCTAGTAACCGATGGAATGCGCTAATGACATTCTGAGCAAAATAGATAAGTCAAAGGACAGATAAGAGAGAAAGCCGAAAGGAGATCAATGTCAGAACCAACATCATCAGGATACCAGAGTGCTCGTAAGCCATACCGCCTGTGGACATACACTATGGGCAACGCAAACCTAGAGGAGAGGCGGGCGATAGAACAGGGCGTATACGAGCAGAGAACGATACAAAGGATAGATTGAGTTGATGCCGGTAAAGACTGTTGATACTGTGTGCGTACCATGGGAGTGCGATAAAAGAGTGCATGGGTATGATGTTGATATCCCTCTTCTCCCCATCCTCCGTCTCCATGAGCCCTTTCATCGCAATCTCCAAATCACTAAAATAAAATAAACATGCCAGCCTGTACAAAGGTATCAAAATAGCAGAGAGCATATGACTAAACTAAGGAAGCCTAGGAATAAAAGAGTCAACTCGCCAGCAAGCCCAACCAAAAGCATCGAGATCAGTGCCAAATTCTCCATTGGTATTTCCATACTTCGGTTTGAAAGTTCATTTTTCATCAGTCAATACCGGTACCTCCCGATCGTTCCAATTCATCTACGGCATCCTTATGGCGAAGAACCTTGCTTCAATTGATGGATCTCTCCCACAGCTTGACACACTCACATCATCTCAAGAGAGTCCCACAACTTCATAATTCCAATTGCAAATCGAGTTCGAACTTTCAGACAAGACACTCTTGGTTCCCATGGCCGAAGCAACAACGTTGTTCAAGCTATCAAGCACTTCAATCTTCTGCCCACTGCCCGCTGCAAGACCCGGTACACTGTTGTAGTTTAATCCCTTTTGACCAGCAATGGTGCCAATGAGATTGCTGTTGCTATAGACATTGATTTTGTAGCCATTAGAGGGAAGAATCACTGCAAAATTCACTGTATCAAGGGCCGATTGATGGTTGGAAATGGACGAGGAGCAGCTGGCACTAGTCAAAAGAGTTCGATACCAGACGGTTCCGACGGGCTTGGTGCTGGGTGGAGAGACTTGGGATAGACTTGTTGCGCCAGCCTTGTAAGCTTGGATGAAAGGTGTGATAATCTGTAACCATCCCTTGTGATCGAAGCCGTTGCTGTAATCGCCGATGGCAGAGCCGGCAATCTGTTCCTGCCAGAAGTCGCCCACGTAGTGGCTCTCTCCAGCATCGTTCCAGGTGATGACTTCAACAAAGTCGGGCTGCAGCTGCAGAGCCTGGCCCATACGCTCAGGTAAATTTACCTCCCCAATCCGGTACCAGTCTTGACCACTGCCGAGATACTTGAACTGGAAAGGTGAAACCGCTGTTTTCGAACTCCTTTTAGCCATTGTCTCATTCAAATGTGGTTATATGATTTGGGTTGACTCACGCATCATGTAAACCTTGCCAGCACCATGGGCCTCCTGCAAGGCAGCCGAATCCACTCCGTCACTGACATTGGTTGGGGTGGTTCCGGGGGATGGCCATGCGGACTCCCAGCTGAAAACACCATTCAGGATGGGATAGGTACTGAAAACACTGGTCGGATATCCAGAAAAGTCGTCAAAGTCGGGAACGAAGAATGGAGTGATGCCATAGGTTGATTTTAGAGGCTCAATAAATCCTGAGTTCCAAGCAGAGTTTGATATAGTGCCTCCTGTGTAGGTACTTATGAAAGCCTGCCCATTGACCATGTAGTATGCGTCTTTCTTGGCATAAGGTGCCAAGAAAGCTGCAAGCTGTGTAACATCCAAGCCCCAACTCATGTCGAATGAAATAAATAGCTTGAAGTTGGTTCCTGCTGCCGCGGTGAACAGGTAATTGAGTGCATCGGTGTTCCATGTGTCAGATGAGCTGATAGTGTGGGTGTTGAGAGCAAATCCATCAAATCCGGCATTCATGGCATCTTGAACGTCAGTCACAGCCTCAGCCAAGGTCATCGAACCGACCTATTAATTCATGGTTAGAGAAAGATTAGAATAAAATGAATGATGATTTCTCAAGTACCATGTAGTGAGCAAATACTGCCTTAGTACTGGTGGACCGCACAGCAGTCGTACTGGTGGACTTCATAGTGGTGCTTGAAGTGCTTGTCGTAGCTACAGTGGTGGTGCTAGTCGTAGCAGTAGCAGTGCTTCCGGTACCGGTGGACATCTAGAATGCAAATCAGTGCCAGCAAAAATTCGCAGTTTTCTTTGATCAACCCACAAGTTGAGCAGTTGTTGCTGTGCCAACTTGATCCGAGGCAACGCAAGTGCCTGCAACATTCCCGCTGGATTGGTAAATACCAACAAGCCCAACTTGGCAACAGAAGCCATTGCCCTGGAACCCTTTCCAGAGAGACCAGCTCGAATCGGCGCATTTGGGTGCCCCATCTATGGCGCCCACACAAACCGAGTCTATGAACGTTATCAGATGGTTGAGTATCAATAGAACACAGTGACAGTAGAGCCTCACCCGAAGAGCAACAAGAAGCAACTTGATCTGTTTGAGCTGGAAAACAATAGAGGCTGCTAGGGCAACAACCCCCTCCACCACATGGAGTAGTTCCACTTGGACAGGTGGCGGACTGTAACGACCAGCCTTGAGATACAGATCGTCGACGGATAACAGCTGCGGCACTGAGAAATGGGGCACAAATGCCCAAAAGGAGTAATCGCGAGGAATGCATAATTATGAAGATCAGACTTGATTGACTCTGTTTTGAGATGGTTGCTGTCTCATGTTTATCTAGCTAAAGACAATTTCCCAGCGAATTATATAGTTGTCGCTATTCATATTTCCACCTTTTCGATGATGTATGGAAGGCGTAGAACCCCACAAAAAGCCCCCAGAGAATGTTACAAATGCGGGGGTAGTTTCAGGTTGATCTGATGATCGTAGCATTCAAGATTTTCTGTTGATCCTACCTCTCAAGATGATCTGATGATCGTAGCTTTCAAGATTTTCTGATGATCATAGCACTTAAGATGACATGATGATCTAAACTTTCAAGATGATCTGATGATCTTAGCTTTAAAGTTATTATTCAATTAGTGCATAAATTAACTAAACATAATCCTAATGGTCTGTTACTTACTTGACTTGCATGTTTATGCGCGTCATGTGTTAGAGCCATAAGATATATTTACACCGATAAAGGTAGCGATATTGGTAACGACTTTCGTCCGGTTCGCTGTAATTCAAAAGGAAGGCGAAAAAACGTCCCAAAATCTTGCGAAAATTACACCGAATGAGAAACCTTACGCTGCGCTTCTTATTCCGCTTCTAGAGGTCTTTTGGAGCCGAATGAGTGCAATCTGGACAAAGAAGCCCAATTCCGCCTAAATCCGACTCGGTTGGTATCTGACCGTCTTGTTACGTAAACAGTGAAACGCGTTTGGTCCACTTAAAAGCCAGCACCGTACCCCTTTTGGCGAGACTACTTTTTGTTACAACACAGCGTGACCAGCCTCGCTCAGACGCCACAGCATTCGTCTGAACTCTTAGAGTTTTAGAGCTTGACTCGCGTACGTCGGCGCTCAGTTACACCGAGAAACACAGCGAAAGAAATAGCGGGAGCGATCCAATCACGTCCTTTCCTTGCCATATTCAATCAAACTTGATTTTCACAATGCCGGCCCTCTCGCAAGGAAAAGTCGAAACTTTTTTTTGACAACCGTATTTCCCCACAATCTCCCCCGCAAACAAAAAAATTCCAGCGACCTAGTGGCGCAAGATCCATGACTTGTTCATACGAGAGTGCGCCATTTGACGTCCTATGGATTTGCCTTAGGGTAAGAAATAGTTGATATAAACACGATGCTCCTCCTCATGTGGTCATGTTCTACCAAGCTCGTTCCTCGTTGAGGTCAGCGTACTCTTATCTGGACTTTTCTTCCGTCTTTTCTGCCCGTTGAATACTTAGGGTCCCCAATTCGAATCTATCGAAATGGAGGATCTCAAGGCGGCTGGCCATGTTGAGCATAACCTCGCCGTGCCCTCTCAGTCCCTTGGGGAGAATACTATCGGAATCGAAGATGAAGTTCTTTTGCAAATGGCCGAGCAGGTTCCGGACTTTGCCAATCTGGTAGAAAAGGCCCGTCGAGCGTCTGCATTTGAACACAATTTGACCAACTGGGATGCATTCAAGTTATTCCCGAAGGCAGTTGTATTCTCTTTTATTTTGTCTCTTGCTATCATCATGGAGGGATACGATACTTCTCTCCTCGGCTCTTTCTATGCCTACCCGACATTCCAGAAGCGATTTGGTGTTCCCTCCAAGGAAGGTGGTTATCAAGTCACATCAAATTGGCAAACTGGCCTGCAGAACGCGACCAATGTGGGGCAAATACTGGGCCTTCTTATTGCTGGTCTCATTGCAGATCGATGGGGCTATAAAAGGACGATGATCGGCGCCTTGGTATCGCTCATCGGGTTTATTTTCATCATGTTCTTCGCCAACAGCATCGGAATGCTCCTCGCCGGTGAGGTTCTCTGTGGAATCCCTTGGGGTGCGTTCCAGACCTTAACAACCACCTATGCTGCCGATGTCAGCCCTATTATCCTCCGTCCGTATCTGACCACTTATGTCAATCTGTGTTGGGTCACCGGCCAGTTTATCTCGACTGGAATCCTGCGAGGTCTTTTGGGCCGGACGGATGAATGGGGTTGGCGAATTCCTTATGCTATTCAATGGGTCTGGCCTGTTCCGATCATCCTTGGTGTTCTTTTTGCTCCCGAGTCTCCTTGGTGGTTGGTCCGTCACGGCAAGATTGACGAAGCAAAGCGATCGCTTACCAAATTGGCCAGTCCTGGTGACTCTGAATATGATACCGATGATGCCGTGGCACTAATGATCATCACGAACACCCACGAGAAGCTAATCCGAGACGGTGTGAGCTACTGGGATTGTCTTAAGGGGGTTGACCGGCGTCGTACCGAAATTGTTTGCTGCGTCTGGATGTGCCAAGTTTTCTGCGGTATATGGTACGGAGGCAATATTGTTTATTTCCTGCAGCAAATCGACTTCAGCAGCGACCAATCATTCGACTTTGGTCTTGGTGTCAATGCTATCGGCTGGTGCGGTACAGTCTGCTCATGGTTTGTGATGCAGCGGGTTGGTCGGCGAAAGCTCTTTGTCACCGGACTTGGAATTATGTTCACCGTGTTGATGTTAGTCGGTTTTCTGGGTATCCCAAGCCATACCACTCCCGGTCTAAGCTACTCGTCAGCTGCCCTCCTACTGGTATTTGTTTTCACCTACGATCTCACGGTCGGCCCTGTCACCTACTGTCTCATCTCTGAGATTCCTTCCACTCGCCTGAGAATCAAGAGCGCAGTTCTTGCTCGCAACTGTTACAACATCGCAAGTATTATAGCCAACTTCCTCAATCCCCCCATTCTCAACCCCACTGCCTGGAACTTGAAGGGCAAAGGAGGTTTCATCTGGGCACCGTTCTGCATGATTTGTTTGGTCTGGTCATTCTTCCGCCTACCGGAGCCCAAGGGACGCACTGCGTCTGAGCTTGACATTTTGTTTGAGAAGAAGATCTCAGCTAGAAAGTTTTCGAAGTTTGAGGTCACTCCATTCCGCTCTAACAACTTTGAAGTCATCTCTGATCGCGCTGTTCTTGCCGAGAAAGACTCACTTCCAGCCAATAAGAGTTGAATATGACGGTTGTGATCGGTTGACAATTGGATCATGATGTTCAGCTGGGCATTGGTATAAGAAAACCACGCAGGAATTGTTTTGGGTATGGAGTGGAGACAAATTTTGAGATACATAGTGATACATAGTGTTACAATTATCTAAGGACTTCTTTGAATTTACTAGAAGCTTCATTTTAGTTACCTTAATCATGTTAAGACCTATCCTACCGCCTAAATGTGGCGATCGTTTTCGAAAGCCTCACTTTAGACTCCAAACTAGTAGGTCAGTGATCAGTTCTTTAGGCTTATAGAGACCAAAATACCTTTTAATAACAGTTCTAATGAAAGTCACCCATAATACGATCATAAGGCCCCCTAACTAGTGACCGTCAATCAGAATGGCTAGTATGGAGTATTTCCCCCTCAACGGGTAAATTAAGAGCCTCTCTATAAGTCATGACAGCACCATCCATCAAGCAAGCGTATCTCCTAAAAATCACAATTCTTGCCATAGCTCTACTCATGTGATTATTCAATCATCCACCTGACCATTCCATCATCGACGATCTTAAACGTGATTAGCCGCTATCACTGCACAATGCCCTGCACGTTGCATGTGAATTGCACATGCATCGCAAATACGAGGTTTTGTGTAACTCTGGTCTACTGCATGAGGCGAATTAAATCCTCTTGCAGTATAATTAGGACATCGGCCTTAAGTATGGTTGGAAAAGTGGGGTAGTGGTTGTTACGCTTCAGCACAGGGATGCATGAGAGTATGTACCTCATTCCTTGCTAGTGCTGAATTTTATCTGGCTCACCCCGCAAGTTTAACATGGACATGCTAAGAATCCTATCACCTTTTACAAGGAGCTCTTACTGGGTCGATCATGCAACTCAATCTACACAACATGATGAAATCCAGTCCACATGTTATCTGATAGGAACGTCTGCGAGGAATGCTTGTAGATCTTTCAACCTTGCATGATTAGGGGGATCCTACTTAAGAATTATTAATATTTAAACTTCGACGCGTGGCAGGTTCGCTTCGACAACATTACAAGCTGTAATATTTAGTTTTCGATCTTGCCGAAGCCTTGCCTCGGCGGAGTGAATAATTGGAAGGAAAGGAAAGGAAAGGTGGTAACTAGAGAGTGGGCTGGGGCCCTGCGGGCGGGGATTTCTCTACTTCCTGTGGTGATCAAGTCGACCCGAATAGACCATCTTCAGTCGGTCCGACTCGGCCAAGGGTCCCAGGTAGAATGGCAGGAAACAGACCCGTGTCTCCGATCCCGCAAACGGTGCCTACTTCAAGAGCGTGTTATATTATCCATCCAACTCCCACGTCAATCTCTTTTCACTCCTATCTCCGACCCTTTTTATTTGTGGAAATATTTCAAACTTGCCTCACACTGCATGCCACCAATGCTTATCAACCATTTCTTCAAAGCCAACAAGTCATTTAGTTATGAAGCGCTTCGAGCTGCGGGCTATAGCAATCATGGTGGTGCGGATCTCGGTGAAGTGATAGCTATCTGCTCCAAAATCCGCCATGGGAACGAAGATGACTGGCTGCATGAGTGGCAGAAAGCTGCCGAGCGAGCATTCTCCAATGCAGAGCTTTCAGAATTTGTGAAAAACCAAAAGAGTGCCTACCACGGATACCTACGTGCATCAAATTACTTCCGCACCGCCGAGTTCTACCGTCGAGACGTTGACGAAGACGAAATATCAAATTTCTTGTATGGAAGATCGGAGACCGCCTTTGCAAAGGCGATGACGCTGTCTACTTTTACGTATGAGTCGATCAGCATTCCCTACGAAGGTACAGCATTACCGGGCTACTTGATTTGCCCTGATAGTACCAAAAAGCCACGACGTACAGTCATTTTCAACGGTGGTTATGACTCTACTATGAGCGAAGGCTGGTTTGCTATTGGAGCGGCGGCTCTGGATAGGGGCTATAATTTTCTCGCCTTCGATGGGCCTGGACAAGGTGCAGCCCTCCGACAACAAAATTTGCACTTTCGACACGACTGGGAGAATGTCATCACCCCGGTTGTTGATTATGCTTTGTCCCGTGAGGACATTGATGGCAATGCCATGGTAATTTTCGGGTGGAGTATGGGTGGATACCTCGTGGCACGAGGTGCTACGCAGGAGCATCGGGCTCGAGCTATTGTCCTGGACGATGGTGTGTACGATTTCGGTTCTGCATTTCGAGCTCACCAACCGTCCTTTATCCAGAAGATGGTTGAACAAAGATACGATTCGATCTACAACTGGATGTTTCACTGTGCACAATTCTTTTCGACAGGGATTCGTTGGGCTCTGCAAAACGGCAAATGGACATTTGGCGTGAAGTCTGCTGCAGATCTGAGTTGTGCTGTGAACATATACACTCTAGAAGGAATAAGTCAAAAAATTGTCACGCCGTGCTTGATCATTGACGCAGAAAATGACCATTTTCTGAAAGGGCAACCAGAGCTACTTAGAAGAAATTTGTTTTGTGAACACGAATTTGTGAGTCTGCGAGCAGATGAAGGTGGAGACACACACTGTCACCAAGGAGCCTTCTTTCGATTGCATCAAACTATTTTCGATTTCTTGGAGCCTCGCCTCCTTCCACCCGAAATCCCATGATTGTTCGAGCGACTGCCCTTCTTACATTCGCCTTCTTTCGTACATCGTCTTTGGTTATATCACTGTTGCTAAGTCTAGAAATAACGTCGCTCTGCAATAAACATATCTCTGAAATGAAGCGTGATAAATAAACTATGAACATTAGGCACTCAGCGCTTGTGTCATACGTGGTATCCGTCACGGATGAGAATACAACGCATAAGTCTTCTGTGAAGTTCTGACTACCTGTACGGTTAGAAAATAAGGCGCGACATACAAAAGAATACACGCATATCTTACTTGAATGTGGTTTTATTACTGTTGTTATTTCCCTTGGCTGATTTTTGGAAAAACTAAATACCGTGCATAATACTTTCATTTGCCCAGGAAGGCAAACTTCGAAATTTCCTCCGGGGTCGAGTTTCGGAACTAGATACGGGAGAGTATTAGTGGGATAGTATTAGTGACTGGAGTCTTTTGAGAGAACAAACAGCCACATGTACCAGTATGGTCGAGTTTCAATAAAATTCGGGCCGAATCGTCCAGCAGAATATGATGATACGTACCGACCTGGTCTTAGGACAACGAAGGGGTTATCTAATACATAGTCATCGATCCTGGATAGCGAAGAATCTTTGATTGAAATTCATTGGATGAATTTGTTCATTTAATGTTTCCACAACTACGGCAATTATGAAGCTATTCAATTTGGCATTGTATAAGACTATGTGAACACCCCTCGATACCACAGCTAGCAGCCTGTCAGTTCAAACAACTCTATGCCATTGAGCATAGTTTCCAGCTTCATCTTTCACAAAGCTAGAAGCATATAGCTGCAACATGATTCGGGGCATTCGGTGATTACGTGTTTGGTCGGTCAGTCGGAGGAGATCGGGTACACGAAGCGCACTTGGTTTTACCGAAAGTTGTCGCTAACCTGGAACGCATGCAGTACGTACCTTTTATGTTTAAGTTTCCTTTTACTTTCCTTCTACAATAATGCACACCCAGCTCCCAGTCTGAGCTTTTGATAATTTAAAACTGTGCGACCTTATTTGAAAAGGTAAAAAAAATTTCTTCTAGACGTGCCTTCCATCGAACAGTTCCCAATCTCAAGATTTCTTTTGGATCCAGAAGAAGCAAAACAAGATATCTAACCAGCACGGTGATATTCAAACCATCGACTCGGCGTGTTTTCCGTATGTGCTCGAGCAGAATGTGTCTGTACCTTTAGCAAATGGTGGTGTGGTTCGCTGCAATTTGTATAAGCCAGGAGCAGCTTCAACGAAAGCCCATTTCCAGTTCTTGTCACATATGGACTGTATGGAAAACATATTTCCTATTAGCCTTAGGTGACATCAAACTGTCTAGCAGTTACTAGTGACACTAATCAGGTCTAAGTGAAAGTTCAAGCCGGGAAGCTTTGCAGGAGTGAGCGCAGCGAACCAAATAGAGCTGACAGCGCCCACGGCACTGCTGGCACAGGAAGCGAAGAGAGAGAAGGAGACTGAGTCAAATTGGTCTATCTAGGAACAGGAAGACGAAGACGACTAGGAAAGGAAGAAGAAGCAGAAGGGAACAGAACAGGGTCTATAAGGCCCTGAAGCACAAAGGAAAAGAACAAGGCCTGGTCCTGACAGGAAAACCCCGGCCTGCTTCATGCAGGGCCAAAGAAGACGACAAACCCTACAAACCCCCGAGGTCAAAGGGATCGAGTCATCAAGAGCATTCTGCATGGGAGGCTCCGGCCTTGCTTCCAGACGAATCACGGATATGCTGTTTTGCGAGCTGACAAAATTTTCATCGAAAATTTCCCTCTAAACTAGCCAGTTAATCTGAGACCTCAATTGCCGGGCTTTGCGACGTGGTTGAATGGGCTAATCAGTCGCCTTGGTCAACTGGAGAAGTTGCCCTGTCGGACGCGAACGGGGCTCTGATATTATCGGGGACAATCTACTATTGAGTAATGGCATACGACTATGTCCTGATTGGAGTAAGGCGGAGAATTATGTCGTATGAATAATATACGTTACTTTTGAATTCATTAAAGGGCCTATGCTATTCATGTCTTGGATCCAAGTTCTTCAATCAAAATAATGCCGCACGACAGGAGAATGTGTTGTGTTTCCATATGCCGAGCCACCGTACGTTAGATACCCAGCATCGACAGGATCAGATTGCGCCATAACATCATTTCGATTCCCAAATATGAAAACAGTCTGCATACCCATGACCATATGTTGAAGGACATGGCAGTGGAACATCCACACACCAGCCTCAGTCACTCTGACCCGCCAAGCACGCCACCCAGAAGGGGCGAGAGGCGTTGTTTTCTCGCGGTACCGGTACAGCATGGAGGTATCGCGTTGGACTGGGCCAGAGGATTTGAGTCGCTCTTCGTTTGCGGTAGCGTTGTATTCCCCATCTCCTCCACCGATGTCGTAGAAGTGTCTGCCGTGCGCATGAAATGGGCGAGCATCTAAGCCTCCGTTCGAGAAGGTTCCTTGGTTTTGCCAGACGATTTCAAGGACTTCTCCAATCTGAGCAGGGAAGGTACGCGTAATGTTGTCGAACCCATGACCTTGGCTAATTGCTCTTCGATATACCCCATCCGTATCAAGCATCCCCGTGTAAATATCGACCAGGTATGGCGACTGAGGGAAGCTTTGCACCCAGTCATATCCATTCTGCAGCCATATAACATGGTCACTGACATTCTGATGGACGTCGATTTTAATTCTGCGGGTCACCTCATTCAGAGTAGGGAAAGCGTGATGGTGATCTGGATGTAGATTTGCCGTTTCCCTGCTTTTTTTAACACCGCCTCTGACTTGGCTTTGAGGAGTACACTGTATCTCTGGCCACTTCCGATTTGCAAGAAACTGGTGTTGAGCGGCTTGGTATAATGTCCATCTGCTTCGACAATTGACAAGTCGTGACTCTCGATAGAAAGCGAAAGGAATGACAGAGCAGTAGCCCCGATAAACCTCAAACGATACGACAAACCCGGTTCAATGCAGATCGAAGCCAACTGGCATGAGCCTGTGCTGTTGGTTGCCTGATGGCTTTGTCCATTTACTAGGATAGCGCTGGTCTCTCCACTCCATTTGAAAGGACTTGAAGTCAATCCATCGATAATCTTCTTGTCAGTCTCGTTGAAGAAGTCAGATAGCATGATTGTACGCTCTTGATGGTACCGAAACGGTGGGTCGTCATTCGAATCCACGATAAGCGGGCCCTTTGCAGTGACCGCCTGGAAGCCGACATGGGAATGGTAGAAGTAGGTTCCTGCAGTACCGATCTCGAGTTTGACTTCGTAGTCGAAAAGTGACCCGCAGGAATCGGCCATTGGCTAGCGGCTGGGGTGCCATCGGAGAAAGGAGCCGTAAACGCAGTAAGGCCGTGCCAGTGCTATCATTTCTATCAGTAACAAGTCTTCAACGGATCATTTTCTCCAACTTACTATTGTGGTGTTGTCATCCTTCATGTCATTATAGACACGAATCCAACTCACTTGTCCCTCCCTGAGGCGCAATTCGGGACCCGGTGAAGTTCCGTTGACAAGGACTGAATATCTGGTGGTGCATGCTTCCTTGTAGTTCTGGGCTGTTTCTCGGAGAATATGATCCGGCTGAAAGGAATCATCGTGGTGAACAACCGAACCAACGATGGCTGTTGTCAAGCTAAGTAATGAAGCTAGACTTGTCTGTACACGATACATGGTGCGACAGTGGAGGCTGCTCCAGGTCACTCGATGATCGATGAAACCGATTTTATCGAGACTTGGGAAGCATTGTTTATATATCGTACTAAGACCTTCAGGTCGACGTGATTCATCGCACCAAAGCCTCCCCCACGAAGTCCATTCCATATTTGGGGATACGAGCCGCTGCTTGATGTGATTGGATCCACCGGCAGATCTTTCCAAAACGTATCTTGTTATTGTCTTGGCATTCCTGGTTTGGGGATCTCACACCACCATAAAGTGTTAATCATAGTTCATGAAATTGTTAATTAACGTTCTTCGTATACCCTGAGGAGTACATCACATTGAACAGAACTCGATTTCTCTATCCAGCGTAAGTCTGAAAGAGAGATTGCTTATTTTCTGATGATATCGATGAAAAGACAGTTGATCAGACCCTTAAGACCATGATGGTGGCTGACGAGTGGCCTGATCAGCGCAAAGGTTCAGCCAAATCTAACAAAATCAAAGCGGTGCAGTGCAGTAGTAGTAAAGGGGACCTGGTAAGGTACAGCACTTCCCGTCATAATACGTCCTATTACAACACGTGTTCACCGATTTAGTGGAGTGGCTTGGAGACCGATATAGTATCAATATTTAGTGGATCGACAAAATCAAGCTAAGAGCAGGGCATATGTAGCAGTGTGTATTTATACGGCAGGGATGACCCCGATGGAGGAAGCAGCTCAAAGATTTTCATGGAGAGAGAGAGAGAGAGAGAGAGAGAGAGAGAGAGAGAGAGAGAGAGAGAGAGAGAGGTCAGGTCAGGTGACGTAAAAGCCAACAAATTTCCGATCGGGCCTAATAGAAAAGACATCATATGCAATAACCAATCAAAGTCACCGGAGTTTATCACAAATTGACCAATCGGCGTCGTGCGTTTGTGCGTAATCTTGGAAAATGGCCATCCCTTGCTTGCCAGCTAGATAAAAGCTCTGCTACGCCTTCGCAACAATGCCACTGTGCCAACATTTCCTCTTGCAGCCTAATACTGTCATATAACGTATACCAATAAAATTTCTGGCAAGTCGACATTTGCCCGGTCGCCATGAAGTACATCTTTACTATTTCGCTGATAATTGCCAGTGCTCTTGGACAGGGCATGTCTCAACTCCCCTTTTGCGCGGTGAGTATTTATCTCGATTCCAGTGTTCAAATGTTCAACTTTTTCATTTCCGGGAGACGGAGTTACTAACTATTGAGTTAACAGATTACTTGTGCCTTTGGCGCCATTAGCTCTGCTGGCTGTTCAGTTACTGATGCCAAGTGTCTCTGTACCCAGAAGACTTTCTTCACTAGTATAACTGCCTGTATCGAAACAGCGTGCAGCGCCCCGGATCATTAAAGTGCGGCCTCCCTGAGAATTGCAATGATGTACCCCGTAGTGATTCGCGCCTAACCTTGCTATTTCGCACTCTCATTTGCTCAGAATTCTGCGGCTCTGTTGGAGCTCCAGTGCCGGTACCGCCCAGTGGGTCTGCGACTGTTGCTTCATCCACGATGATCAGACCTTCCGCCACTTCATATTCTTCGATTGGTACAGACGCCCAAGGATGACCACTTTTATCTCCCCAAGGTGGACCAGCTTTCTACACAACTCCCTTTCTATACACTACACTTCTCACTCCCTGGACTCAGCTACGGATAGGATAGATAGCGTTTCAAAAGCCCCATCTCACGCAACAAATTATATTGACCGAATCAACTCAAAATTTCCGGCTCCACTTCGGAAATTTTCCTTGAATAATAGGAGAGGGAGGGAACATGGAGACGCACTTATCAACAATGTGACAGCTACGGAGTACTTGGAGATAGGCCAATCAGGGCAACGGAATCAATTGGGGAGCAATTGAGTATATGATTGATTGATTGAGAAACATGAAAATGAGGGTGCTCATGGGGGTTGAAATACCCATGAACTTACAGTATAACGGAGGTCCACGGAGGTTGAATATCCTGGTGCCTAATGACAACATAAATGACTGAGATTCGCCATATAAAAGTGTTGCACCATCTAGAAAACAATTGACGTGATGTTCACCCTTGTTTTGGTACGAGTAGCTATCCATTGGAGTTGACAGCACTACTTAATCGCGACTTTGAAGACCACGTTGTCCATGTGATGTTTCTTCCCCGTGTCAGCAGAGATTTGGACCTTCCATCTAAGTAATCTGAATAAACGTTCCCTTCCTACATGTGGTAGTTGTAGGGGGATATAGACTGGTTCTTCCAACGCCGTAAATGTAACACTGCAACGCCTCTAGTTACAACTCATCCTAAGTCTATCTGGGACTGGGTTGTTATATTCCTTACGTATATTCTTTTATCTCTGACCACCGTAGCTAAAGGAATTGCGCGATACCAGTCCACGCGGCCGACCAATGTCCTTATTTTGCACAACAGACCATTACTTGCCGAGTTTGTTAAGTTGAACCCGGAAAAGATCCTCTACCTAGAGAATGGGGGATACTATGTGAAAGATATCCACAACAACGTCCTCGCCATCACCGCTGACAACTTGCGTGAGGAACTCGACACTGCTATTCCTAGTATCAATGCTGAATCCTTAAAAATAACTCTATTTAGGGCTATGGAGCGTCCGGCTCTAGCGGTACTACACATCTCTCGGACGTAACAAGGATGTAACTTGTGACTATTTCTGCTAACACAGTCACTCTGGTTTTATTTAATGCTTTCATTCGGCATCCTCTCTGGGCTATAAATAATGTTATGGGCTGTGAATAGGCTCAAAATGACTGCTCATGCAAAGGTAAATTATTTCTTGAAGGTTGGCGGTTCTAAGATTTTATCTCCAATTCCCCTGGTCGTAGCCTTCAAGTTCATGATCTCGGTTGAGGGCTCTGGGATATCTTAGTATAAAAGGTGTGAGTGAGTCATTCCTTCAGTAAACGAGACCCCTGATTCTTACATCCCTTCAAGCTAGGTTCACCAAGAATTTATGTTCGCTGATCTCCGTACTTCCTTTTTTTTTCCGCTGGGAATCTTTTAGTTTACAATAGGCCAAACAAAAAGACATCAGCGCAGCTCCCTTCCAGTATTCACCTACCTTTCTAGTAGTCTATCTAGGGTTATAGCAGGCACGCATAGTTCATTGATAAAAACTGACTGACGTTAGACCCCACCGAGGAGAGTTGGTAGATGAGGCGACTAAACCAGTAATCGCAAAAAGAATGAAGCGCGAAGTGTGGTTACATTTGCCTTGACCACAGGTCAGACCGAGAATCACCGAACACGTCGGGTGCATTTCTGCACGTGCTGCCATTATTGCAAGGTATTCAGAGCGATTGCCTCGGTCCTTGCACTTTCTAGGAGGAAAGATAGATGACAGCGCCCACGGCACTGCTGGCACAGGAAGCGAAGAGAGAGAGAGAGGGGGAGACTGAGTCAATTGGTCTATCTAGAACATGAAGACGAAGACGACTAGGAGAAGAAGAAGAAGCAAAAGGGAACAGAACAGGGCCTATAAGGCCCTGAAGCACAAAGGAAAAGAACAAGGCCTGGTCCTGACAGGAAAACCCCGGCCTGCTTCATGCAGGGCCAAAGAAGACGACAAACCCTACAAACCCTACAAACCCCAGAGGTCAAAGGGATCGAGTCATCAATAGATATGCTACTTACAGCGTCTGGAAATGACTCTGCATCGCAACTGGCTGGAAATTATCCTGCTTATTGCGGACCCCTGCCTCATCACGGCCTCACTTAACATGTGGTTCATGCGGGCACGAGTAAGACCCCGATCAATCCGCAATCTTGTACTTAAGCTTTGTGCGAAGAAGAAATAACCCGGTATAATGACGGTCACCTTACTGGTTTGGGACGTCGGCTCCGTGCCTGAGAAAGGGCTAAAAAAAGGATAAAGATTAAGAGTAGCCAGTCATAAGCCTCTGCCACGGCTATGTATCGCATTAGTACCAGTAGGGTCTGTGGGAAGTTTGATACCATCCTTCCAATTCCAAGATTTATCTGTAGATCCGTAGGCATCAACCCCTCATCCCGACGGGGTCAGTGTATGACCCCCGGATGCTGATTCCAGTGGAATCTATATAACGAGCCAGGGCCCTTCCGGTCTTCAGCACAATCAACTCTGTTTCTCTCCCAATTTACCACAGCCATGAAATTCGAAATAGCGCAATCCTGGGCCTTGGCCAGTCTCGCCACGAGTGTCCTTGCAGCACCTCAAAAACGATGTATGACAGAACTCCGTATATGTTCATCAAGTAATTCAAACTAACCATCTCAACAGCTGCCTGGTCCACACTCCTCGGCCAGTTGGACTATTACGCACAGTGGTCCACAGCAGCCTACTGCTCTGGAAACACTGATGGTGCAAACAAGGTCGTTTCTTGTTCTGCCGGTAACTGCCCAGATGTGCAAGCCGCAAACACGGCACTGCTCAACGCGGCACTGCTCAACGAATTCGACAAGTAAACTACCCCTCAACCTATCTCATTTTCTCCCTACAACCCACTGACACTCACTCGCCAGCACGAATTCTTACGGTGACGCATCGGGCTTTCTCGCAGCTGACAACACAAATCAACACATTGTGCTCTCCTTCCGTGGCAGCCGTACTTTCAGCAACTGGATCGCTGATATCAGTACGGCACTTATTCCTAGCTCACTCTGCAGCGGCTGTCAAGTACACCAGGGGTTCTGGGACGACTACCAGACAGTCGCATCCACGCTGAATACGCAAATTGACTCGGCGCAGAAGGCATATCCCGGCTATGCGCTCGTCGTCACCGGGCATAGTCTCGGCGGTGCCTTGGCAATGCTGTGCGGGACGGGCTTGCATAACCAGGGCTACACGCTGACCACTGTGAGAAATTCCTACTTCTGATATTCCTTCACATATCTTATAAAATATAGACCAGTGACGACTTACCAGGCGTGGATCTCAAGTTGCTAACGCGAGTGTACACATATAGTATACCTACGGCCAGCTGCGCGTGGGAAACCTTGCCTTGGCAAAATATATCACGAACGTCGATACCCAGTGGCGTGTCACACACACTGATGATACAGTTCCCAAGCTCCCTTCGATGACAGCGGGATTCAGCCATTCTAGCCCTGAGTATTGGATTACCAGCGGCAATAATGTGACAGTGACCACCTCCGATATCCAGGTAATTACGGGAATTGACTCTACTGCCGGTAATGCGGGTACGACTACTTCGAGTACCTCGGCACATAACTGGTACTTACTCTATATTGACGGATGCACTTAAATGTGGGACTGTGGATATTCAGTGAGTGAATCTATTAATGACCAAAGCCCTGATGAGAGGGGGACTTTGACGGGAAGGAATTGAAGGAGAGAGAAAGGGGATAAGGGGGGCCAGAGGGACTATATGCTTGCGTGCCGTTCCTACATCTGCTTTGAGATTTCCTATAATCATCCTTGGCGGGCAGAACAAGTCTCCAGTGGGAGTATTCCCATAATGAAGTGATCATACGGAATGTTTCTCTATAATAATCTTAGATGTTTCAAAGTAATTTAGCAGTAAGAGTGAACCGAAAATTTGATTTCGAGGTCGGATCTTAAACACTCATTTCCGCAGCCTGCTGTTATACAGCTAAATCTACCATCCTCTACACCCGTAGAAGCGATTTTTGAGCAGAATGATACAGGTGTTATCGGCTGACTGCTCGCTATGACCCTAGTCAGTGACCTCTTCCCTATGCGCATCGAGAGGGGCACCTGGTCCTTTCTTAGGGAGGGCTGATCCCGAGACAGGAGAGACGGATATTTGTTGATATCCGCAGTAATTTCAAATCAGCTAACAAAGATTTCAGGGGGCAAAATGACATTTGACGAATTATGCTCTATGAGCAACATTCTCAGCTTTCACCGTCAATTATTCTGTGACATCAAGCTCAAGTTGCCCAATTGGGATGTATTTAGACCTTAGAAGTAAGGTATTAGTACGGAGGCTAAGGGTGGCCACCTCAGGAAATAATGATTTTGACGGCAGAAAACCCTCCACCTTATAAACAAGACTCTCATAGGTCTTATCATAATCCTCCTAAAGGCTGTCTTCGATTATCTACAACCATAGGTCCCTTTCGGTTCGAGTAATCGTAGCTCTTTATTTTAAAGACTTTCAAGTCAGACTCCTGAAAAACACTGTCGGTTTTTACTTTTCTAAGTTCTAATCCAGCGGTCAACAACGTGGGTTGCTAAATAGTCACGCGTATACGCTCGGGCCGCCGCCTATTTTCTAATCAGGATCACTAACAAAAATCGAGAACTACTTTACGATTATTACCCTAATTTCAAAGAAGTGAGGCTATAGGCAATAATATCAACGGTAGGTACGATAAGAGAGAGTATGTCTAAGCAAACTTTCCCTTTGGGCGAACTTGAATAGATGAAAATTGCGACTATTTTAAATCAGTCTGGAATATCCCGATTAGGAATAGACTGTTAGAATCGCACCTGATGTGTGGAACGTCGATAGAAAGGCGGTTGTTAAGGCGGCCCATAATCATTATTTCCTGAGGTGGCCACCCTCAGCCTTCGTAGTATGAGGGTAAAGGCCGTTTTCTAAGCGGTCAACTGGATACCCTATAATTGCTTTTTGGCCTGCGGTCGCTATCAGCAGCCTTTCATTCAACTGGGTCTCCAGTAAACGATCGGCATTCCTATGTGTACCCCCACATTAACGGATGGCGGCGTGTGCGACCGCAGTCCACTGAAGAATGGGTTGGTCTCGTAGTTTCTCGTTGCTGTTTTTAATCAATTATTGTCGAAAGAACACGGTTAAGTTATCATTATTTCCGCCTTGTTGCCTCTGTGATGGACGTAAGAAATAGCCCATACAAACAGGTGTTGACATAGTCATGGCTTCGAATATTCCCATAACTATATTCCTTCCATTTCTCTCGAAGCTGTACTTTCCGCTCGCAGTTGAAGCGCCCACGACAGGGGTATTACCTTGGCGCACCCACACAGTCTCATCATGCATACAAATCAGGAAACGAACTGCGAAGGACCAGCCAATAAAGGGAGATTGTAATTTTAGTAATCGCCACGTTTACTGACCAAGGCAATCTAGGACGACTGCTGAGGCCGCTCACAATTACCCCAGCGCGTGAGGGCTGATTTGAAAGATAAGGGGCGGTCTTCAATCTCTAGCCAGCATTCATCACCATAATCATAACTTCAATCCCACTGAATATCCGTGCGGTCAATTCGGATTTGCCAAGGACCTCCCAAGACCAAGAACCGTCGTTTGGCTAAGTTCCTTTATATCTTGGCAAACATCGACTGCTCCGAATCCGGGTTTCATTCGCGATTATCATTCAGCGCCTTCGAGGCCACGATAGCAACTATGAAAGTGTCTCTTTATCGCCTTCCAGCTGAATTGCTGTTCTTCGTGGCGCATTTTCTTGAAGAACGACATTAACTCCTGGCTCAAGCTAAGGGTTGGCTTTATGCTATCCTCAACCCTTACCTCTATCGGCGCTGTTGTCGGCAGCGGAACGAGGTAGTGAGGGAACGGCTCGAACCTGCATTTTTGCTAATATTGGCGTGTTCGATAGCCTTGGCAGATCACCGCTATTTTGCGCTGCGTCTAGGGGCCATGAGGTGGTAGTGAATCTTCTAATGGAGACTGGGAAGGTTGATGCCGACTCGGGAGAATCATGCGGTTCCATGTCGTTGTCTGTAGCTTCTAGTAATGCCGTGAGGCGGTTGTGAAGCTATTACTTGGGACTTGGAGGGTAGATGTTAACTCGAAGGAACCCGGTGGCACCACGCCATGGTGGTGGGCTGCCTCCGAAGGACTTGAGGAGGTGGTGAGGCTGTTACTAAAACCTGGGAAAGTGGAAATCGACTTGGTAAAGGATTATGATGATGGCACACCATTCTTAGGGGCCGCGTCGAATGGCCACACGTCTATGGTCAAGCTTTTACTGGAGACGGGGAGAGTCGATATAGACTCAATGGAATATTATAGTTGGTGGCGATCTATCGCCACTACGCAAGGAAGCAGGGAAGAGAGGAACAATCTAGTTTGAATACCTGGAGAACTATCTCTGCAGGAGAAAGGAAACAAAGGAAGGGAAGGCCTAAATAGGCCGAAGCAATCAACCTGGCCCTGGTATCATCCTCTAGGAGAATCCCGACCAGGGTTCTCCCGAGGGAGATCCCTATCGGATCTCCATCAATAGTCGTACATCAGTGAGGTGGGCTGCATCGGAAGGCCACAAGGCGAAGGTAAGCTGTTGCTAGAGACAGGGAGGGTTAATGTCAACTCAATGGACTTTTTGGGTTGTTCGCCATTATCTGGGGCTGCATCAAAGGGCCATGAGCCAGTAGTTCGCCTATTACAGTTATTGGAGGGAATGAAGATGCTCTAGACTTCTGATGAGTTTTCAGGTAGACCTAATCCAAGAATCTTGGTTCCCAGGTTTCAGGCTAAGCGAGATGGCATAACATAGGCTAGACGAATCTATCTAGCAGATTACAGCTATTTTGTATATATAGGATTATCTTGAATAGATACAATTTCGGCATCACCAAAAGGAGTTTTTCTTAGTATTCTAAATCGTATCGCCTTATCTTTTTCTAGTTCGTATAGCGTTTATAATCCAGGTTTGAAGTTTATATTGTTTTACCCTTTTCGGAAAGCGGGAGAAAGTGCGCGAACATAATCTAGCTAGTATTTATACGTACCAACTACCTCGGAACTTTCTTATATTCTTTTACATTTGAAGAATAGAGACTGGATATTTCAAACTTATCTATCCTACTCAGCATATACATACGAGATTATAGCTATTAAGTCAAAATATGCATACGCATGTCCTTATGTGCGTCAATACACATCAGAAGGCAACGTCGCTTGGTTTGAAACTCCGACAGGCTGTCCGTCCATGCGTGCTACAAACTCTATCTCCCAGTGGAGATCGTTGCCAACTACCTAGAAGAACGCGGTAGCATCCACATCATTCTCTCCAAGGTTACCCAAACCCCAGTTGGTCTCTACAGTTTTCAACAGACTATAGTGATTATACGCGGTGCCGTCCGTGGTACCAGCCTTAGCGCTAGAGATCACGCCACCCAAAAGGACAGCATAGATCTTATTGGTGCCAGTGGTCAAACCCTCATCAAAGGTAAGGATGATCAAAGTGCGATCGGTGTTGAAATTCTTGTTTGAGAGCAGAGGGGTCAAAAAGTTACGGGACCAGGCTCCAGCTGCGGCGAGGGAACTGTCGTGGCCATCGTTTGCTGATGAGCACATTAGAACCTGCCCTGCCTCAAAAGGTTACTGTAAGAGAAAGGAGATACTTACTCATATTAGGGGTGATGAACATCCATTGAGGCAGCTTATTGTTGTTCAAGTCTTCATTGAACATAGTGAAGTTCTTCGACTTAGCCAGTCGGTCGGTATTTGACGTTACCGAGTTGTAGCTCATCAGGGGACTTCCAAACAGGGTGTTAAGGACACTGGACCTGGGCACAATATAGAATTGGGGGACTCACTTGTGCTTGCGCACGTAGTCATTTGCGCCAGTCTTTTGGTTGCGGTAACTGGCTTCGAAGCCGGAATATGGCATATCCTCCTGATACAGACTCCAGCTGACACCAGCGTTTTCGAGGAGGTCAACGATTGTCTTGGTGCTCGAAGAGATATAGTGTGTATTATCATCGGCGATACCAAAGGTGCTACCGCCAACGGCAGCCACATAGTTAGGCTGTTATTCCGTGAGCAAGAATAGATACCCCATTAGTGCTAGATCATCTTACCTGAGAGGGATGGGTGATAGCATAATAATTTGTGAGAGATATGCCTTGAGAAGCGAGATAAGCAAGATTTGCTGAACCTCAGGTTAGCAATATTGTTTACCATCGTCCTCGACGACATTAGTTACTCACTATCCTTGATGGCCGCACTGTAATCCTCATTTTCAAGCCAAATCTGAACAAAGCGATCGAAAGTTAAACCAGCCACGCTCGATGTCGGGGACAGAGTCAGTGCGGTGGCAGCCGCCTGAGCCACGGCAGCCGTGCCAGTAGAAGTATATTGCGACTGGGCATAAATGCCCGACGCCATGGCAAGCAGCACAGTGGTTCTTGAAAAGATCATGGTTTCCAGAGGGTGTGGAGGTGATGGAGAAAGAGATAGAGCCGGATAGTGCAATCTGTTTTGCAGCTGCATTTCTCTACCTTATATACTAGTCCAAACCGATAGAACAAAAATGCTATAATGTGTGTTTTGTGACCTCGTTTTGCAGATCAACTAACCGAGGATGCAAGCGATGTAGCATCGCAATATCAAGTGCTCGTATTAAATCTCGAAGATCGACCACGTGTAGCGACGGAGTCCGTAGCACTAAATTACCCCAGTGGCTGGCTCGTAGAACACTAGTTTTCTAAGGGAAAATCTATCGTGGCATAAAGTATGAGATACACTAATAAATCGACGAATTATTAGGCGGCCTTAAGAAGTACTAATGCTATGTAAAGAGAAACATCTCACCGGACTAATAACGTGAATATCCAGAGTGAGAGGCAAAATCCTGCTATTGCTTGGTACAAGTTTTGGCGCGGGTCACCGGATCTTGGTAGGGGGGATATCTGCACGACCCTTGAAGGGTTTAGCCTCCTCGTCTTGCACGATAACTCCGGAGCTAGCTCCCGCACATGCTCACAAATCGTTTAGTGACTAGTGCACACGTGTGGCAAGCTGTTGCTTTCCTGGTCGTCGAGCTGATAGTCTGTCAGGAATCTTGCATTTATTCGCAATCTGCAGAGCGGGTTGAGAAGTGCTTAAAGAAAAGTCTAATATTAATACACTACGGTGCTACTCGCTACTAGTGTGGAGGTCGTTCTTCCAACACTTTATTTAGATCTATCGGAGACCTACCTAGAGAATCAGACTTCGTAGATAGTACGTATTTGGTCTGTAGCTAAAAATAAGGTATAGCAAAATTCAATGGAATTTTGTACGACAGACACATTAGTCGCATAACTAATTGAGAATTAAAGCCACCTCACTTGGTACAAAATCCCGATCCGAATCCAGAGTCCGCATGAGCTTTAGTTTTCACTCAATCCAACTTAAAGTATGAGTAGGCAGGCCAAAAGACTGTAGAGAATATCCCTAAGATCGTCGAAAACCGGGCGTGACTTGAGCTATTGCCTACTGTAATACTCAATCGTAAGGTATCGACTCTTGGCTCTAATCCGAGGGCCATATTTGTGTAAAACCCATGGAATGGGTAGTAAGAATAGTGTAACAAATTCAAACAAGCTAATAACCCAGACTAGGCCTATTGAATCGTACACTATTCAGGATAGTAATATCAATGTTTGTTCGTCTGGGGGACGTCATGTAAAGTGCAATCTTACTTTGGGTGATGAATCATAGAAAGGCTCCTGCAAAGCTACATCTTGCCAACGTCATGGCACTAGATACGCTGGCTACAACACTTCCGTAATAAATATCAGCTGCATATTACGCTGTTGCCACAAAGACACAGAAATTCCCCCAAGCATAGGGTATAATTGAAATGACAGGACTGGCCCATGATACACTGGTCTTGGAAGTCCAAGCGAACCAGAAAAGCCCAACTAGTAGCCCAAAACTGCCTATCATGGCTGAGTAGAAAACGACCGCAAAGCGTCGCGAGTGCGGCGACGTATTAAAGAGAGATGGGCACAAGAGTGGGCAAAGGAGCGAACTGGCAAACCGAACCAGCGGTTAGTCAAAGCTCCAGACAAGAAGGTGCTTCGGCTGTTCGAACCCCTTTCGAAGCCCTACACCTCAGTGTTGATTCAGATGCGATCGATGCGCATTGCACTGAATCACTTTCTGTTCAAAATCAAAGCGGTCGAATCAGATGAGTGTTACTGTGGAGAAGGGTCTCAAACACCGAGACACATCTTAATTCAGTGCCCGTTGTACACTGATCTGAGGCAGAACTTCCTTGACAAGATCCGGATGACCGATCTTGGAGATTCGACCGATTACGATGCGATTGTATCGCACTCGCAGGCCACCCGCTACGTGGCCGAATTTTTGCTGCAAACAGGCATACTGGGGCAGTCCCGACACGCCGAGATCGAACTAGAACCAACAGGCGATGCAGCAACAAGCCAGGATAGACTGGCAGGCACAGGGGGCGAAGACGCTGGGTAGGAGGAACGCCAAACCCACGGTTAACCGAGAGGTCGTGGAAGAATACATCCAACATCACCAACGAACACCACCAATCGAGAACGAAGCGGGAGGATGGCACGAATGCTAGAGAGGGAAAGCAGGGATGGGGGTGCAGAGGAAGCAGCAGGCCAATGTGAGGGCGATTTAAGGGATATATCGTGGGACTGAGGGCTTGGAGGGCGTTCTGATACTGTTTTGGACTGATTTTTGGGCTGTTTTACTTGGCAATACGCCGTTTTCGTTTGTATTTACTGTCTCATGCGTGTGGGCTGGCGTTCGGATCACTCTTGCTTCCGCCGGAGGAAGCGCCTGCATAGCCATTACGCCACTAGTTAGGCTGCAATAGGTTTATAGAGTGTTGATTGATTGATTGATTGATTGATTGATTGATTGATTGATTGATTGATGGCTGAGTAGAGCAGATGCTCAGGTAGAATTTTCCCACTAGGGAATTTAGCCGCCTTCGGTCTGTAAAGAAGAATGTCGCATACAAATATTGTAAAGAGCCTAAGAAAGGAACCAAACCACTATAGAGAGGAATACAAGACCTGATTGCTCCGTGCGAAATCCGTAAATCGTCTCAACCATATATAGGAGGACTGCGGCAAAGAAGCTGAACAGTACACCAGAATTGATAGCGACATATAGAAATACGAAAATGTAAGAATATACTCTACAAGTCAGGGTAGAGGCCTGTCAATCAGGTAGGAGAGAGGAACCGAGTCAGATTGTCTATAAAGTCAAAGACTGTTTCTTAAGGAGCGTAGAATCTTCTCCTCATTACTCAGTTTTATGTACATCCTTATAATCCGGGACAGGATGGAGATACATCCTAGAATAGAGAGGGGGAGCGAGATAAGCACGAGGCTTTGCATACCCTTCACCAGGGATCTTCCCTGTATGTGCTCCCAGGGTGTAGATAACGGATCGTGGGTGAAATGTTGCCGAAGGGCCGCCGATCTGCCAGGCCCACGCCTTAGGCACCAATGTTTGATAACCTTATGTTGAGGTATATAATAACAGAAAGAGACGATCGGGCGTTCAAGAGCATCCAAAGGAGGAAGGCGGTATACAGCGGTAGAATCTAAATAAAGGGATCCCACTAGCAGAAAGCACTATATAGATCTGTTAGGTCCTATATAGAGCTTTGTCTTCTCTTTTCTCTCATTAGATTTACTTGCCTAGTTAATAATATAGTACTTCTTATAATTTAACTATTTATTACTGTAATATATAACTTAAGCAAATTTCTATCTCTCTTTCTAAGCGTGAGTAGAGACTTAAAGACTTATCTGTAAAGATATACTCTTCACGGAACATAAGCAGCAGTGGATCCCGGAGAACGGAGATAGTATTAACGTAGACCGCAGGTATTAGTCATTATTATGCCCACATAAATTGCCAGATAGGGGCTTTATAGTAATTCAGACTTATTGACATCCAATTGGTGCGCACCATGATTTACTAAGCAGTATTTCCGTCTACACGATAAGTCAGGATAGAGGCCTGTTGATTAGGTAGGACAAAGGAACCAAGTTAATTGTTGTCAACATATGGATGTGCGATACCCCGCACTAAGCGCGTGCATAAGCGATGCACACATAAGACTTATCGGATCAATATCTAACATTCCGTGATATCAACGATCACATCACATACGATAAGCAACGAGTTTCTTAACTCTCTCGTGTGCCCCCATGTTATTTCGCATTTTTATTAGTCTTTTCCCGTGACATTCTGCCATGTACCTAAAGTTACAGATACTGCCTGTTCCCTAGTTAAATAAAACAAGTTTGACATCCTTTAAGTTCATGATTAGAGCTCAAGGCAATTCTGATTAAACTATGTTGACATTCGACCTTGCCTAGGCCCGCACTCAATACTAAGTGGGTCTTCAATAACAAGGTGCATATGTAGGCCTCCGTTCCCATGAGCGTATTAGGACATCATAAGATAAATAGGCGAGGGAGGGTAACTTCATTTTGAACGCCCGGAGCTAAACAGAATCACTTTCGGATGTCGGTGGCGCAGCGAAATCGGTCGACTCGCTGGGCACTGATAAAGCTGCATTTGACTTTGAGATTCCCCGAGACGTCTCCCCTAGCTCCGCACTACTAAAGGAGAACGCCGATCTTCTGGTGGAAAGCCCCTTTGACACAGGTAGACTGCGGCACTAACCGCAAAGACCATGGTTAACCGCAACCATATCCAAACCCATTTGGATTTGGTCTTCGGATCAAGACCGCAAATTTTTGCGGTTTGGTTGCGGTCTTCAACTCAAGACCGCAATGCGGTTTTGGTTAACCAATGGTTAGATAAACATAGCAAACAGGCTAAGCCTCGTGACCTTTTGGTCAGATGATTTTTTATGCAGTCTTTTCGGTATTTTTCTAGTATCTAGTCAGTATAGAGTATCTTACCAAAATCAACCTTTCTTTTGTAAATAATTCATTTAATATAATAGTGCACTCCTTTGATTTTTTTATACACTCATGGGGTTCCAATTTCAAATCCTAAAGGTATTCCGGCCCAATACCGGGGGGGTACTCATAGTTAAGAAAGTGGGGCGAGGGGGGGGGGTATTGGGGTTATACGATACCCCCCCCCCCAAGTACCCGAAATCTTGATATTTTTTGATCGGATTTTTGGAATCTTTTAATTGAATAATTAGTCCAATCTAAATGTCAAATAATATTCCACGATTATCACGTCGAAGGGCCTTACCCTAAGGGGGGCCTTTTGGCTGGGATTTTTTTGATGGGGGATGCCAAGGCCAGGGCCGGCGGGTAGGCTAGACCCGATTCGGCCCGCCAAATTGCTGGGGTTTGCTAAGCCTAGATTCGTGGCCTTAGCAATCAGGCCGTAGTGGTCTCTATTCGCCAGTTGCTGGCCAGCCTACTTCGCGATATCTAGCTATCTAGCTA